GGTATATACCTCCTTATAAAAGGATTAGGGATAGTAGTTTAGCTTAAAGACCTTTAAGCTAAAGTATAGTAATATAACTAAACCTACTTATAATTATTAAGGCTTCCTTAATTAAGCCCTTAGCTACTTACTATCTCTTATTATACTTACTCTAACCCTTAATTTTTTATACGACTTATTAATCTATAATATAAGACTTATTATTAATACTATAGCCTTAACTTATTAGTAGAAACTTATTATTACTAGCTAGCTATAATAGCTATTAGTTTTTAAAACTTAGCTTTATATAAAACTATATATTTTTAATTATAATAATTAGCTTTATTTATTAGTAAAGATTCCTAACTCTTATTACTCTTATTATAGGGTCTTTTATACTATACTACCTTTTATTATAGTATATAAGTATTATATATATATTTAACTTATTCTACTAAAATAGTATAATTAAAACTTTTTCTCTACTTTTTTATTACTTTAATAAAAATTTTTCTAATATTCTTACTCTTAAACTAATAGTTTATAGTTTAGTTTTTCTACTTAGTTTTATTAGCCTAAATTAATTATAATAAAGTATATAATAAATTATATATTTTCTAAAACAATATTAATTATAACTTATAATTCTAGATTTATACTTCTTATAGATTAATTTAATAAAGGAGGGTCTTAACTATTACTTTTAATTTATTAAGAATTATTAAGTTTATAATAGTCTTAAAAATAAATAATTCTATAATTTTACTTATAATATATAATAAAAATATAGTAAAAATAGTATTATTACTACTTTTAGGTTTTAATAAAGAGCTTAAAAAGGTATAAAAAACTTAGTAATTAAGGATATATTTATAAAAGTATAATATATAGTTTTAAACTTTATAATATTTATAAGTATATTAATATTATTATAAGAGAGTATATAGAAATATTAATTTATTCTAGTAACTTCTTAAATAAGGTTATAATAGTAAAAGAAACTTATTTAAAGTAAGTATTAAAGTTAATATCTAAGTTATTTTTCTAGTTAGCTTTCTTTTAATTAATCTTTAATAAGACTATATAATATATATACTTAATTTTTTTTAAAAAATATATAAAAAATCTAAGTTATCTTTTTAAAAAGTATAATTTATATTAAAGTCTTATTATAATTACCTTTATAGAATCTTAAAAAGTAAGTTAGGTTAGTATTTATTTATTAGTCTTATAATCTTAATTAATATTAATATTCTTACTAACTGAAATAGTATACTATTAGTATTTTAAAAAAAGTAATTAGTTAAAAGATTAAAGCTATTAGATTAGTAATATAATTAAAGATTTAATTACTTTTTAAATAAATATTTTTAAGTTATTAAATAAGATATAATTAGATATACTTAGTATATCTTTCTAATCTTTATTATAATAAGGAAGGGAGAAACTAAGAAATTAAGGTAGATACTTAAGGAAATAAAATAGAGTTTAAATATACTAATAATAAGTTTCTAACTAATCTTAATATTAGAATCTAATTTATCTTAATAACTCTTTATTATAAAAAGTATATAATTACTATATACTTTATAATAATTAGTTTAAACTATCTAAATTAAATAAAAGTAAAAGATTTAAAACTATTAGTCTTAAAAATATAATTACTAGTAATAACATAGTATAAAAATAATAATAAGAAGGAATAATATTTACATTAGTATTTTAACTTAAGATATTACTTATATAATTATATATTAACTTAATACTACTTATATATTTACTTTATATATATTAATTAAGCTTATTAAGAATAAAACTATAATTACTAGTTAATAAATTAGACCTATATAAATAGTATAAATATTATTATCTAAAACAGTTTCTTAAACTTATTATTATTTAATAAGATATTTTTATATTAAAATCTAAGTTAATTTAAGAAATTATAACTATATATTAGTAATAATTTTAATTAAGTCTTTTAATAAGTAAAAGATATTTATCTTATAAAGTAAGTAAATTATTAATTAACTTAACTTATTAAGTTTATTTAGTTATTTTAATACTTTCTCTAAATATAGAAGGAGTTTTTTAAAGTTATTATTTTAAGTAATACTTATATATTTACTACTTTAAGCCTTTAGTCGTCTAGATTATAAAGTAAATCTATTTAAATTAGTATTTAAATTAATATTAATTTAGCTAGCAAAAATATATTAAGATTTCTTTAATTAGAATTATAAGGTATTATTATAATTATTAATTAAAACTCTATCTACTATAATAAATAAAAATAACTATTAATAAATACTTTATAAGTATATAATAGTAACTTATATTTTCTATATTTATTTAAGTATTATATAAAAGTAAAATTAAAATAGTTTAGAAGTTATTTTAATAATATTATTTTAAATAATATAGTTTAGTTTAATAATTAGTACCTAAGCTTTATAATAAAATATATATTTATTAATATTTTAATATATAAATCTATATCTTATGACTTTTAACTAGCTTTTATATTATAAAAGTTAGTTTTATTTAGTATAATATAAGTAAGTATATATAAAAAGTTTAAAAATTAATAACTTATTTTATAATATTCTTAAAGTATTCTTATTATTAGAACTATAATAAACTTCTTATTTTATTATTATTATTAGAACTTAAATCATTATCTAATTTTAAAAAAATAAATACTTTAAAAGTATAGTTAAATACTAGTAATAATACATATTTTCTTAGTATACTTACTTATTTATATTAATTAACTAAGTTAAATTAATATATACTTTAAAGTTAATAAACTTATTTTAAATAAGTTTATATATAAACTACGAGTAATATAAGTTATATATTAAATAGAAATAGATATAGATTCTTTAAATAGTTTTAAATAATAATTTTATTATAATATTATAATATAATTATAAGGTGGTATTAGTTAATAAAAAAAGAATTAACAATAAATAAAAATTAACTTTTAATACTTTATTAAATTATATAAATAATTATATTACTTTATATAAGCTTTAATATCTTAAAATATTTTATTATTTATCTTATAAATAAGTAAAATATAAAGTCTATTTATAATAATAATTTTAAAACTTTTTTTTTAAAAAATCTATATTAATATATTATTAATTTTAATATTATAAGCAACCTTATAATAAACTTAAAAACTTAAAATAACTAGTCTTATTTTTTTTATTAAGAGTTAATACCTAATTAAGTAGTTAACTATTTAAATAATTATATAAAGTAATTAACTTACTTAATTAAGATCTATAAACTTAATAATTAATAATCGAAAATAAATATAATATATTATAATACGATATAACTAACTTACTTTAATAAAACTTAGATAAGAGAAACGTTAATATTCAAATATTTATTTCTTCTTAATAGTAAATATAAAGCTAAGTAATTACTCTTAATATTAACTAGATAACTACTTTATATCCTAATAAAAAACTATAAGTAAGTATATTAGAATAGTAAGGCTAATATAAGTAGATAGGAGTTAAGTAATAATACTTATTAATAAGGCTAAGATATTATAATAAAAGTATATTAGCTTGTTTTAAAGCTAAGTTAGTTAGGAACTAATAGCTAGCTAGGGGAAAGTAATAAGCTAGTTATATAGTTAGATAACGTTACCTATAATAGCCATAATAAAAGATAAAGCTAGATTATATATACATAAGTAATATATAATATAGCTTATAAATTAGCTTAGAAACTAGACTAGAATCCCTTAACTATAGAATATAGTTAAGGTAACTTAAATAGACTTTAAGATAGAGTTAAAGATAGTATTCTATAGAAATCTTAATACTATAATAAATATTCGAATCTAACTAGTATATAGCTATTCTAGCTAGTTAGTTATAAATATATTAAGTCTTAGAGAGGACTAAGTATAATAAATAAGAATAATAGAATATAAAAATATAATATACTTATACTTTTAATAAAGTATTTACAAAATAAGAAAGTAATAAGAACTACTTAGTAATAATAAAAGAGTTTTTAAAATATTAAAAAAAGTATTTTAATTATATAAGAGAAGCTAAAATAAATAATTAAGATTTATAAAAGTCGTTATTTAAATAGTTTATAAATTATAAATAAGAGGAATAGTTATAAAAATAGTAATAAAAAGAGACTTCTTTTATTAATAAATATAAGCTAGTAAAAGAGGCTAGCTTTATAATTATAAGATATTATAAATACTAAGGGCTTAATTAAGGAAGGCTTAGGAATTATAAGTAGGTCTAGTTATATTACTATACTTTAGCTTAAAGATCTTAAGTTAAATTATTATCCTTACTCTTTTTATAAGAAGGTATATACCCTACTTATTTACTATTAGTTTAGTAGTTAGTACTAATAACTAACTCCTTATAATAATTATAAAATAGAGTAAGCATTTCTTATACTTATAAAAAGATAATATATTTGTAACAAACTAGGCACATAGCAATCAGGCTAGAAAAGGTGTAAAAGAGTGACTTGATTTAGAAAGAGGGTATGTGCGTAAGGAAGCGCGTACTTATACGCCTACGGTATGCGTTTCATATGGCTTACGTAAAACACACCTCGCTCGGTGTGTTCGGTGAGCGTTGACACTATCGTTACAATATTAATAATACTAGCCTTATTATCTTTATTAAGTTTTTTTATAAGTTTAGTAAACTTTTAATTAATTATAAATATAGAACCTAATATATTTCTAAGAGTATTATATTCTTATACTTTAATAAAGTTAAGTATTATATAATATTTACTATCTTTCTTTATTATTATTTATATAGTATTATAAGTAATAAGATATTTATTTAAGATTAGAATATTTATTTTTATAATAAATTTCATAAAACTATATTACTTATTAAATCCTGTTAATTCTGTTCCATATTACTAAATCTAAGATATTATAAATATAAGTTTAATATACTATTTATATTTATCTTTCTTTTTTACAACACGTGCTAGCAAAAAGTGCTTTACAACAACATGCGCCTAGGGTCCTCGATGTACTCCTTTACCTTAACGAGGAATTGGACTGCTTCTCTTCCGTCCAGTAGACGATGGTCGTAAGTCAACGCCAGGTACATCATTGGGCGAATCTCGATCTTCCCGTTCACGGCAACAGGGCGTTCCTTGACAGCATGCAGGCCGAGCACAGCAGTTTGCGGAAGGTTAATGATGGGAGTTCCCATCAGGGAACCAAAGACACCACCGTTGCTGATTGTGAATGTCCCACCAGCCATGTCCTCGATAGTGAGCTTTCCATCGCGGGCCTGCAATAAAGAATGTTAGTTGATGTCTTCTACCGCATATTGTGCATGGGCAGGAAATCTTACCTTCTTTCCCATGTCAGCAATAGCCTTTTCAATTCCCAACATGTCGAGCGACTCTGTGTTTCTAACAACAGGCGTAACCAGGCCCTTTTCGGTAGCTACAGCTACGCTGATGTCGACGTAGTCACGATAGACAATCGTGTCACCGCCATTGGGGCCTTCGATGGAGGCGTTCACTGCAGGGATGTCACGCATTGCAAGGACACAAGCGCGTGAGAAAGCGCTCATGAATCCAAGTTTGACACCGGTCTTCTTCAGGACATCCTCCCGGTAGAGCTTTCGGAAGTCGATAAGGGAAGACATGTCGACCTCGTTGAACGTAGTGAGCGATGCTGCGGTGTTTTGGGACTGCTTGAGCCGTTCCGCGATACGCAGGCGCATGCGATTCATTTTCACCTGGGCACAATAAATATTAGTCCGCTTCACCACCAGATCGCAACAAAAATTGCGCCCAAGCCAGGGTACCACATACACGGCGCTCTTCCCGGCTACCAAGAGTTGGACTAGCGCTTGCCGCCGCATCCTTTGCAAGGATAGAAGCGGGCTTAGATGGTTCCTTGTTCTCCTTTGCTGCTGCCGCCGGTTTGCTGGCAGGTGCCTCTGGTTTGGACACAGTTGTAGGTTCGCTGTTAGACACCGACTCGGTGGGCTCAGGCTTAGATGCCGGCTTAGAAGCAGTCTTTTCTGCTGCCTCTTTGTTCTCGCTCGGCTTTTCTGCTGCCTCTTTATTCTCGCTCGGCTTTTCGCCGCCGAGCTCCAGCTTAACGATATCCTGGCCAACGGTGACGGTATCCTCCTCGTTTACAAGGAACTCCTTGATGACGCCAGCCTCGGGAGCATTCACGGCGACATCAATCTGAATGTATAAAGTATCAGTATAGCATTATGGTAGCAGGCTCGAAGTCTACTTGAAAAATAGGAAGGCTTCGATGCAGGGAAACAAACGAGGTAACACACCTTGTCGGTCTCGATAGTCGCAATCTCCTCGTCCAACTCTACAAAGTCACCGATTTGCTTGGACCACTGCTTTAGGGTACCTTCAGATATAGACTCAGCCATCTGTGGGACTTTGACGATCTTGTCGGCGTAGTTGCGGACATGCTGCATCATCTGTGGTAGGTGCAATGGCATCTGACGCGCATGTTGCCGATGGAACGGCACCAAGCGCACAGAAGTTCTGAGGGTTCTTGAAAGCATTTTTGACTGTATGCCGGTCGAGGCTAGGAAATCGAGGGCAAAAAAACAAAGGTACGAAGAGTGTGGCCGACGGGAGCCTGTAAGATGACCACGAGCGCGTTGTTGTTTTCTGTTGCAAATATGAGCTTTTTCAGAACGGGTTTGTTAGCCAGATCCTGGTAGTAGCAACGAAAGCAGCTGTAATGGCTCCCGATGCCCAGGGTGTGGTACCTATGAACCACTGTGAAAGCTGCCCCCTTTGGCTGCACTGGCACACTACAGTGTGAGGATGGAGCTTTCCGGTATTGACACTGTATGATTTCCCTCCAGCCGCTTTCCGGCGAATTATGGATCTCTTGCTGGTGGCTTGTCAATGTCTGCCGAGGAAATATTATTCTCTCCCCCATAGATTATATTACCGGAAATAGCCGTAACAAACGTCATTACTGGCGGTTATGTAAGGAGCCAATTAGCCGTCCTAAGAGATGCCTTTGCATTTCTTCTCATATGCGATCATCACCACTCGTTTAGATAGCAGGCAGTTCTTGATTTATCAAGAACGTTACTTTCTTGTGACATCTTTCGATATATCAATCCAACGTCTAAATTGCTCTGAACTTTCTCATTTTATCAACCATGACCATTTTTCATCCCGTCTTATGCTGCTTGGCTCTGCAGCACTTTTTGTCTCAAAACTGGTCGTTTAATATGAGTACATCTGCTGTCATTCAGGGATTTACTCGGACTTACCCTCCTCAACACTCCTGACATTGGATGTTTTGCGTTGAACTATAACCTCAAGATCTTGGATATTGTTCTGAAGTTGCTGAACTTTAGCCTCATAGAAGGACTCGGCCGACTCAGTATCCTTGGGCGCAGTCATCGTCAGCATCGAGGCGAAAGCCAAAATCTACGTGATATCTCAAACCTTTTCAACGTAGAAGCCAGTGCCGACATCGACGATCACATGCCTGGGATCTGACAGCTCGCCGCGCACATAAAGCGAGTTTGTCAAAGGAACTAGTACCGATTTCTCCCCTTTAAGCTTTGTTAGCACTCATAGCATTTCATATCGTTGCTAAAAGTCGGAAAATAGGAGCGTTGAGATAACGAACCCTCATGAGCCCCAGGTCGGGCCTTCACACATCGAAGGCACTCTCGGAACTTGGTCTGAGCGCTGTGCAATTGGGCAAAAGAGGATGTCAAATGCTCCAATTCTTCTTCCAATTGTTTCTTGACCTGACTTAGCTGCTGCGCATCCAGCGTCTCGAGGTTGACTGCCAATTCCAGTTAGTGGTGCACTCCTTATGATTCGCAAATTTGCCTCTTTTATATGTTAACCTACTGGTTTCTGAAGCATGGGCCGCCATGATCAACTGCTTTTGCTTGTGAAGGTCACTGTAAACCTAGAGCTGGGGTAGATGCTGTGCAGCACCAGTGATGATCAAGCGACAAACAAGACAGTTGTCGCTGTGAGGATTGGTTGCCTTTAATTGAATATGAAGCGCTGGAGGCCGAAGATACGTATCTATCTATGTTGTTTTCACACCTTGTCTGACTAAGGCAAGCCAGACCCATGTCGAATAGGCACGTGACTGGTTTTCAAACAGATCCCGCGCCTCCCAAGCTCATAACATAAATCTCAAGCAATTAAAGGATTTGGTTTTTTGTATCAATAAAGGTTTGTCTTTGATGGTAATACATAGTGGACTGGTCTATATAGAGTATTATTATACAATAACATTTCGTTCCCACCCTGTCTAAGCAGACTGTGCGATATACAAGTAACCCATTCTCTGACGCCTACCAAGCGTTCACAATTTCTCCAACGACTCTGATACGCGTCTGCGAATATCCGAAAGCGACACTTTCTCACTGATACCAAGCCTTCTGCAGTGCAATTCGCAGCTGCCACTTTGCCCCCAGACCTTGCCAAGAAGCACTACTACTGGGTATCCAACCAGCTCCGCATCCTTGAGCTTCCAACCAAATGACACTTTGCGGTCGTCTAGCACCACATCCACCGCAGCTAGTTCAGACATTGGCCTCGCAAGCTGGTCATAAACACCCACAGCCTCTTCTGTATACTCAGTCGCATATATCACGACCGCCTCGTATGGGGCTATAGCTCGAGGCCATTGCAGTCCTTTTTGATCCGCCAAATGCTCAACAACAGCACCGATAAGTCGCGATATTCCAATTCCGTGACATCCCATCTGCATTGGCTGTAACTTCTCCGTCATCAGAGACTGACTTGTGACACCGTCGCTGGTGGCAAACCCCGGTGTCGAGACCATTGCTCCGAGAGGCTCCGAGTACCGTGTTCCCAGGTGGAAGGTATGTCCCACTTCAAGAGCCTTTTGTACTTGCAGGGTGCCACTGTCGCAATTAGGGCATTTGTCACCTGCGTGTGGGATAAGTACGTTCAGTCCTTGTCCATTTCCACCTTCTGTCACTGTAACAGACTCCAGTTTGGATCTTGATTGTGCGAAAGGCCACATCTTCGTCTCCTGCCGCAAAAGTTCGTCAACCCACTTTACCAGTCTGAAATCTACCACATTTACAAGCTTCGGTCGGTTTGCTGCAGTCTGATCTTCAGTAAATGCGGTTGCAATAGCATCTCTCCATAGAGAAAGAGCATTCTCGATGCTAGCGTCTAAATCGGGGACGACGGACTTGACAGCGGGAATGCTGATATCAGTGTCTAGCATATCAACCATCTGCCTCCTGCCTGGAATCTGTCCTGGGTACCAAACATTCACTAGGGTATAACGGTCTTTGCTGATCCCTCGCCATACCTTGACAGAGGAGATTCCTGTTTGTGCTGCCATGTCCGCATTCTCTGGTTCTGTCGTGTTTGGTTGGGTTTCTGCAACTTCGGTATTGGCTGTATAATCACAAATACTGCAGTTGATGACGGTGTCCTCTCCAATAGGAGTAGGAAGATGGTATTCGTGGCTGAGGTCACCTCCCATGTCGCCAGAGCTAGCTTTGGCAACCATCACCGGTAGCTTCAAGGCGCCAAATATGCCCGCATAGGCTGCCTGGACCTTATTGTACGTCTCCAATGCTGCTTGTTGGGAGATATCGAAAGTGTACAAGTCCTTCATAGTAAACTCGCGGGATCTTAGAAGGCCATGTCGAGGGCGTAGCTCGTCGCGAAATTTGCGGGCTTGGAACATGATGTCAATGTCTGTATGACCGTAAAGTAAACCTGCTAACTCACTAATTTGGTAAAGACGAAGTGGTAGCTCTTTGTACGACTTAACAGTCTTTGCCACCAAGGAAGTAATTTCTTCTTCGTGCGTGGGTGATAACATGTACTGAGCTCCCTTACGATCTTCAAATCCAAAAAGCTGCAAGGCGTCAGTGTCGCCCGGGCACCTGCAAGAATTAACCTAGCTAACCTCTGATCCCAGCTGACTGAAACGACCACTTTTCCGCCATAACTCCTGGGAGGTTATGGTTGATAATGCAACTCTTGAGGCTCCTGGAAAACGGCCGTTAATTTGATTAACTTACAAAGCTTTGGAAACACCTCACCTAAGTCTTGCATGTAATGATCGATCAGGCCTTCTAGTTTATCTTGAACGCGTTTGCCAAGTGGAAGAAGGTGGAAAATCCCCGAGTGAGACTGCGCTGTCAGTCAGTAAAGCGATGCACAAAGGGAAGGGGTCAGTGCTTCGTGCTATTCACCTGTCTGAGGAAACCCGCTCGAATGAGCTTGTCGTGAGCATCTGGAAAAACCAGTCAGTTTGCATGAAACAGAAGAGATTACGCTGAAGCTACCCTCGTTTCGCCCGGCCGTAATACCCCCAGTAGGAAGCCAGACCGCCGATAATCGACTTCTTGATGGCCCAGCGCGGTAATGTCGTAACAAAACCTCGGATTGATGTTAGAAATTTATTTAAGTGCCTGAACCCTATATCTAGGTTTTGCCTCGCTTACCTGATTCCTCGCAGAGAGCAGCAGGCGACGGTTTGAGGCCTCGAACCTTTGTGATTTTGGGAGCGTCACAAGCACTTGTGGTCGTGGGAACGTCATTTTGGGGAACAATTCAGTAGGTCAGTCATAGGTATGGAGGGTTACGGGAAATGGGCTCAGCTCACTCAGGGTCTATTGATGGTATGGTTTAGGTGTACTGGAAAGCTAGGTGTTGAAAGTCGGGTATACTAAGGGCCAGCTTTGGCCCGTTGTTTTAGTGAAAGCAGCGTCAAAGGCTAGAATACTATTTGACCGCAAGGTGTCTATAGATTGTCAGTCTAGGCCCTTCTCAATATCAACATCGACCACTGCAAATGAACACCCAATCCTGAGTCCGGTGGCTCTCGAGGACAGTTCAATGTAGGTTTTAAAAGCCAGTCCTGGCCGAGACACGTCACGATAAGACTTAAGACCTACGAGTGAATAACTTCGGTTGTGTCAGTTGTCACGTCCGTCCTACTCAGAGAAAAGCGTTAACCAGGGACGAAGAAGAATGTCTCGTTTGGCGGGAAAGCTAACTCAATGAACGGGCGGCAAACACACCGAATGGAAACATATGGCCTTTCTTGAATGAACCACAACCCAATCTGCCGCTTTTGACCGGAAGATTTAAGTACAAGGTGTCTGCTGGTCTGAGTAGTAGTGTCAGCTTGACCGACGACGTGTGAGCTCAACAAATGGTAAATTGACAGTTTCGCGAAGGAAAAAACCCGATGGTGGGTCTGCTCAATTGAGTTTCAACGATGGAATGGGCCCATCTAGCCTCATCCATTGACTACCAGCTGTTGTACTTACGTAGCACAGGCAGATGGAAACTAGCCTTTCCTAGAATGACTTAGCGTATCTAACATGGGTGTGATCCCATGCGACCCCACTCTCATAACCATTTTTTTTTTCCGGACCCTTAGCCATGAGATGGGTGTAAGAAGCCTTCTGGTCAGTCCTCAATACTCGATTTACAATACTACACTTTCCCCCTCCTTCACAGAATTTGAGTCTGGTGAGAAGGCTTGGGCACAAATACATCAATCATCGTCGTGTTGTCTTCTTTATTCCAGGGTTCCGATGGCGAAGCATAAACGACAGTCTGTTGGCAGCAATGCTCCTCGAACAGAGCAGCTGAATGAGCAGGCTCTATCCGCGCTGACGGCCAAAATTGACAAAAGCCTAGGCAAAGCAGCCAAAGACAGCGATGGAAGCAAGAACAAAAAACGCAAGCTCGCCCCTGAAGGATCCTTGGCGAGTCCCCGTCATCGAAAGAAACCGGCGCATGGTCTTCAGGGTTCTGGAAAAGACTTTGATGGTGAGGTTGCCGAGACCAAAAACAGCAAAGACGGCGCCATCTCTCGTGATGCTCTGCTGGAAGAGATACGTGCTCTTGGTGGTGATGAAGAGGACTTGGTGCTTATCGGAGACATTGATTCTGATCAAGAGGAAGCAAACGGCGGACAAGACTCGAATGCCACTGTCGATGGCAAGCTTCAAAGCGAGTTAGCTGCTTTCGCTGCCCAACTTGGCCTCCAGCAGTATCATGATCAAGCCAGCATAGATGGAGACGAGCAACATGACCTTAAAGACGGGGGCGACGAAGCAGAGGGTGCTGACCTTGATGAAGATCTCGCTAATGAAACAACAATCTCCCCAGCATCGACCCTCAACAAGCCCAAGGATTCGCCGAAGAAGCAGTTCGTGAGCATATTTCCGCTATTCTAACCCGTCTTCGTTGTACTAACATAAGTTCTTGAAGAAATTTGAGCCTCGAGCGGACTGGCACGGCGTCAATTTGAGCGATCTTCCCGAACCCATCTCGACGGACATGGACGATTACCAAGGCGCCATTTATGCGCTAAAGAACCATGGCTTGACCCTTCTCGACGCCGATGCTTCAACATATGCCAAAAGCGTCCTGGCTTCTTCCTCTCACAAGTTTCTTTCCACAATCATGTCGTCCGGTACTTTGTCTGATAAGGTGTCGGCTCTTACACTGGCAATACAGGAGTCCCCCTTGCACAACGTCAAGGCTTTTGAATCACTACTTGGCCTTGCATCCAAGAGGAGCCGTGCCCAGGCCATTGGTGCTCTAGGAGCCTTGGTAGATCTCCTGGGACCTGGCCTCATTTTGCCACCAAATAGAAGATTGCGAACTTTTCAATCGCAACCGGGGTTACTTGGTGTTCTGCAAAAGTCCTCCAGAAAGACTTGGAACACTGGGCAAGATCTCCCGCCAGACTTGACGGAAGCGCATCTTATCCAATGGGCTTACGAGGACTGGCTTAAGATCTCTTACTTCAAGGTCATCCAGCTGCTGGAGGTCTGGTGTAACGACGAGATCGAATACTCCCGAACCCGCTCTCTTGACTTTGTCTATGGACTGCTTAAGGATAAGCCGGAGCAAGAGACAAATTTGCTGAGATTACTGGTCAACAAGCTTGGCGACAAGGATCGGAAGATTGCCTCGAGGGTCTCGTATCTCTTGCTGCAGCTTCAGAACACTCATCCTGGGATGCGGCAGATAATCGTTAAGGCCATCGAACAGGAGGTGCTACTGCGACCGGGGCAGACTTTCAGAGCCAAGTATCACGCTACTAATACGCTCAACCAGACAATCTTGAGCAGTCGTGAAGTTGGTACAGCAGAAACACTACTTCGTATCTACTTTGATATTTTTGTCACCCTCCTCAACAGTTCTGTACTGGGAAGAGCGTTTGGGGAGGACCAGCAGGAGCGTACAGCAGCCGTTAAAGATTCGGCCGCATCTGCAGAACGTCAAACGGCCGACAAGCTGGTTACTGCAGTCTTGACGGGTATTAATCGAGCGGTGCCGTTTGTATCTGCCCAAAATCCTATGTATGTTTGATTGACGTGTCATTACCCTGTTGTGTTACTGACCTCTTTTGCAGCCTTGAATCCCAGGTGGATACATTATTCCGGATCGCACATTCGACGAATTTCAACACCAGTATCCAGGCATTGATTCTCATTCAGCAGCTTTCAGTCTCGAGGCACTTGGCATCCGACAGGTTTTACAGGACACTGTATGAATCACTGTTGGACCCCCGCTTGGCTACCTCTTCGAAGCAGGCTCTTTACTTGAACTTGCTGTTGAGGTCATTAAAGGCGGATGTTGATACGCGACGAGTAAAGGCTTTTGCAAAAAGAATGCTACAAGTTTTGAACTTACACCAGCCTGCTTTTGCCTGCGGTCTACTGTATGTGGTATTTCAGCTGCGACTACAGTTTCCTGAACTCAAGGCACTTCTCGAGGAGCCAGAAGAAAATGGCGCAGAGGAAACCACTAGTAAGCCTATGGAGCAGGTCAACAATGAATCCGTCTCAAGGGGAACATCATACGATGGCAGAAAGAGGAATCCGGAGCATAGCAATGCACAAAATAGCTGTCTTTGGGAAATCGTAAGTACAAGGTTGCACATCATCCTTTGGAGCGCCTGTTGCTGACAGCCCAAGGTTCCTCCTCTAACCCACTTCCATCCGTCCGTGTCTTTACTTGCTGCTAGTTTGTTTTCCGACGAGAAACAAATGGCTAAGCCAGATCTGGAGAGTCACAGCTTGATCCGGTTCCTCGATAAGTTTGTTTACCGTAATCCCAAAGTGGCCGAGGTCAACCGAGGAGCATCCATTATGCAACCAGTTCATAACCCAGATTCGGGCAGCATCTGGCTCGCCAAGAGAAAGGGTTCGGCCGCTGCTGTGCCCATCAACTCACCGAGCTTCTGGAATAAGAAGACTGAGCAGGTTGCAGTGGAAGACATCTTTTTCCACGAATACTTCAAGCAAGCCGGCAAGAGGAGCGAATCGGGCAAAAACGAACCTACTAAAAATGCTACTGTATCTGATGGAATGGATGATGATGCCGGTCAAGAAGATGAGATTTGGAAGGCACTAACTGCTTCACATCCAGACGGGCCAATTGACAGTGACGAATCCAGTCTCGAGATGGATGGCTTCGACGACAGCGACGATTCATCTGATGATGAGGTTGTGTTTTCTGACGGCTCAGACGATGGGTTTTCAGGAGATGAGCAGGATGATGACGCTGACGAGGCCGAAGAAAGTGAGGAAGGCGTGGAAGATGATGAGGGCAATCCTGAACTTTCGGCACCTCCTGTCGATGACGACGACACTGAGAAGAGCAAGAAGGGAGGGCGATCGTCCAAAAGGAGACTTAAGGACTTGCCAATGTTTGCTTCTGCAGATGACTACGCAGAGCTCCTGGCACAGGAGGAGGACTAGAATAATAAGTTGCAGTCGTATGGCAGTGATCAGAAGATGGAGAGACGAAATCAAAACAAATCGGTATGTTAGTATATCATTCTAGCATTACGTGATTGTAGCCATCATGTGTCAAACCATTCTAGTGGGTCTTCTCTAGCGAAGATAGCACGATACGTCTTGTCACCATCAGCATGTTGTTTTTCCTCTGTGTGAATGCTGTGGAGCTTGGCTGTATCATCTCCTCCTGGCACATCAAAAGCCCTGAAATGGATATAAGCAGGCCCTGAGTCGGACAATAGTGGTATGCGGATCTTGCCAAAAAGATGAATACCGTAGGCCGAGACAGCAACTCGCACAAGGACGAAATCATTTTTGCTGAAGGAGGAAAGCTGTTGATCGTCCAGATGTTTCTGTTCTTTGCATAAGTCTTCGCTGAAATTGTGTAGCTCAGCTGCAGAAGCGGGGTACCTACGACGGCCCCAAAATACTCAGGCTCGTGCTCTGGTGGGTGTTCAATGTTAGTGTATGATCTCTCTTGACGATAGTGGCAGATCAAGCAGCCTAGCAGGATAAAGCGTATATACTTTGGTATTCACGTCGCATGCGCAGAAGCTCCCTCTTGAGCTCATGCTCGATATCCTCGAAGACCTTTGTCGATGACTCCTTTGGTTCATGGACGGGGCCTAAGTCAACTGTTTCTGCTGTGGCCTAAGGGCAATAACATTTGACGGAGTGTTAGCGATTATGTTCAGAGGCTCGCTATGATGTGGAAAAGTCCCAGAGAAACAGTCTAGGAACGCACCATGGTAGGGGGTTAGGTATTGGTATTCTCAGTTGAAACAAACAAAGTTCTCGTGAGGACGCAGTGTTAATAAAAGAACAACAGTGTGGTTAGATATCAAAACTGAACGTCTCTCGACGTATTTGCTGCAAGTGACATGTCTTGAATGTGACAATTAGTAGTGCATTTCAGGGTGCGGCTGATGCTGGAACCCGACAGCTTGATCTAGACAAGCGCATGACCTCCTTCCTTAACTACCAGTTTCAAAGATGGCAAGGGGTTCGACACCATGAGGGCACGGGCTGTGTATTGGTTCGAATACCTGTTTTCGGTATATCTGATAGTAGAAATATTTCAATTGGTCAATATACTTGATAATTCTGATATGCAATGTGGATCTAAACAAGTACCGGGATTTTCCCAAGGGGAAAACGGTACGTAATGTCTCTATGACATGAGGCTCGACTGCGATCCACTCAACAAGATACTTTCCATCTCCAGCCGCATCCCCATATACAGACCTCAGCCTGGTCTACAACAAGAGTATTGGTTCGCATTCATGACGCTATCGCCGTCTATTCCGCTGAGGCGGGTGTTTGCTCGATCCACGAAATGTCCTTTGGATGCACGAGTTTTGCGTGTACCTGCTCCCTATCGCCAGACTTACCTTCAACGCTATCATACTGGTGTCGGTGTAGGTGAGCATTTCCGCCATTGTTCTGTCGCTGTTTGCCCAACTTTCTAACCTTCTTGCAGCCTCTGTGACACCACGAACATCGAATATCCCACGGTTTCGTAAAGCTGTTGCATTCGGCGCATATGGGCTACTTTTTGCAGGTCTTGGCTTCGCGGTCGCAGCAAGCCCACTTCTGCCCGGTCTTTGGGATGCCACACGGCACCGTTCTGACGAGGATAGCCTACGTCGATATATCCCTGAGGATGCGGAAGCAAAGGTAGTGGATGATTTTATTAATAATCACCCCCTGGCCGCTGAATTGCGGAGGAATCCGGACATGGTCGAATCCCGTCCACACATGAGATTGCCCGATGCTCTGCGACGTCACAACCTTACCGGTGGTACTCTTCTTGGGCCTGGACGCATTACAGTTCCTCCACTTTGCTGGACTGAAAAGGATGGAAAGTCACTCGTGTCAATAACTCATTTTGGGACGGATATGTGCGGCCACCCGGGTATCGTGCACGGCGGACTGCTCGCGACAATACTTGATGAGGGCTTGGCTCGATGTTGTTTCGGTGCGCTTCCACACAATGTAGGTGTTACTGCCAACCTCGAAATCAACTATAGAAAACCTGTACATGCGGGCACATACGTGGTCTTGCGCGCCCGGACGTTGAGAGTTGAAGGCCGCAAGGCTTGGGTCGAGGGCCAATTGGAGACCTTAGCTGGCGAAGGAGAGGAGCCTGTTGTTCTAGCCCAGGCAACGGCTCTCTTTGTCTCGCCCAGATTTGCCTCGGTTCGTAACTCTTTTTCTGATTGCCACTCCCCCACAGTGCTGACGACATGTTTGCAGGTTATGGCCAAGCTCAACGCAACTTCTTGACTATTCTGCGGAGGATAGTTTCAATTCTGTAATAGACCTGGCACATATATCAAACCTAAAGTATAAATGTGTCATCTTTGAAAAGGCAAAAGGCATGATGGGGCCTCGATATTATCAAACTTGACCGGGACAGGGCTGCATCTAAATCTTCTCGGTATTGGAGTACAGATGACCATGATGAGACACTTGTTATGTACTACCACATGACGGCGCATCAGTGAGCTGAACGTATCGCCCTCAACTTCTGGACGCATGAGTGGCGACCGAGAAATTATACATATATATAGATGGCTTTGTGCTGAACGATCTCTCAGCCTCATGGGGCAAAGAAACACCATGTTCTTCTAAGTGGAAAATTAATGTAAATTCTAAAGACACCTTGTAATCAATGGATAATAGTGTGCTCTCATAAGACTTCTCATAAGACTAACACATAGTCGGCGCCTATCCCGTACTAAACCTCCTTCGGCACCGAAACGGAGCGGCATCCGACTGGTACGGCAGTCGGTGCGGCCGGAGAGGCTACCGGTGCATCGGCACAATGCACTGTGGAGATGGATGACCCGCTAAGGTATGATCCACCTTTAGCCGATCTGACGCAATCGCTTGGCATAACTTGCAATGCGCCTGTCCCATCGTCCCTCCCTCTTCCGTAGAGGTTGGACACCCCTCCATACTTCACCCCTCACAACCCAGATACGCTCCAGTCTCTGTCTTACAACACCCACTTCTGCCTTGAAAACTGTGTGCCGGTGCCGGCATAATACACAATGAGCGGGCCTCGTTCTCTCTTGCTTCATTCCATTTTATGTTTAATTGTGGGTTAGGTGGCCCTGCGGAAGAGGGGTGCAGTGGAGATGATTCTGCATTGCTTGTCTTGTTACTTTTCCCAGTGAGTCCGTTAGCTTTGCTCACCCTATCTGGGTATAAAAACTCCGGCCACTACTCTAGTTCCAACCGGCAACCATTTATGATTTACATGTGCTGCTGTATGCGTTTAACCTTCCCGTACCTCCTACTTCTCCTTTTCCTTCACAAATACTGGAAACCCAACCAACCAACCAACTATATTGCCAAAATTTCACCCTAGACTTTCAGTTATTCATAATGGCAACGTAAGTTCAATTCCCTGTCTCACCCCGCGCAATGCATTTAATCCCTCGAAATATGTCCAACCCCGCAATCGCCCAGGTCAGCACCTACTGTTGTGCACCGCCCATCATCACGCTAGGTTGCCCATCATCAGCAAAAGCTTCATGCCCTACAGTTACCTTCATTCGTCTGCTTTTCCCCTCCCTTCAGTGCTTCATTTTTCTACCTTTTTTCTTACTGATCCAACCATTTTAATTCAACAGCAATATCACATGGCATCCGTCTTTGTCCCGTCATGAACGCAACAAGCTGCGTGACCAGCGCGGCTTCACCATTTGGTTGACTGGCCTGTCCGCCTCGGGCAAGTCAACCGTAGCCACCGCTCTTGAGCAACATCTTCTGCACTTGGGCCTTGCTGCTTACCGATTGGACGGCGATAACGTCCGTTTCGGCCTCAACAAGGACCTAGGGTTTTCAGAGAAAGACCGTAACGAGAATATTCGTCGTATTGCAGAGGTAACACAATGTCTTCCCAGTCCAATCACAACAGACTTTAACCATTTCTACTTACTCCTTCGGACTAACTGATTGTCAATCTACAATTAGGTCGCCAAGCTTTTCGCCGATTCATCCACCATTGCCATTACCTCATTCATCTCGCCTTATCGCGCAGACCGTGATACCGCTCGTGAGTTGCATAGTCAAGCAAGCCAGAGCAACGATGATGCTATTCCTTTTATCGAAATCTTCGTCGACGTCCCCCTCGAGGTTGCAGAGCAGCGCGATCCTAAAGGGCTTTACAAAAAGGCCAGGGCTGGAGAGATCAAAGACTTTACCGGTATATCAGCCCCTTATGAGGAACCTTTGAGTCCCGAGATCCGCATCAGGACGGACAAGTCAAGTGTAGAGGAGTGTGTGGCGCAGATCACCGAGTGGCTGGTCAAGGAGGGTCTCATTTCACCAACCAAAAGTGTCTAACTCCTAGTTCAATTGGTGATCATTGATTTTTCGGGTTTCTACATTTAGTTTAAAGACTATTGGAATGCCAAATAGCCGCAACCAGGGCCCCTCTATTTAAGATTCAATTGCTTCCATTTCCCGTCTGCCGGGTGCTCGTTGCATACATACAGGGTTGAGAGAAGGGGATTCTCGTCGGCGCCAATATCACTGTGTCTAAGGAAAATCGAACTCGTAATACACATACGCCGTGTACTCGTGCCCTTCAACTCCACCTAATCCAGCTGCTGCCAGCTCGGACGACAAAGCCGCGTCATCTTTGGTTATTTTCCCGCGCTTGTCCCTTCCAAAGGCATTGCCTCCTAAATATGAGTAGTTGGAGTCAAGAGCCGTCTTGACCTTTTTAGCCAGCTTGGAGTTCGTCTTTACGATAATTAGCAATGTGGGCGCATGTAGAAGTCGGATAAGTGAACACCAACCTTTACAAGCACACTGACATAGTCCAGAGGCAATCCATAGCGAAGGACAGCCTCAACAAAGACGCGGAGGGCGAGGACGTGAAGCCAAATCATGACACTTTCACTCCAGCCTGTACGTCCAATTCTGAGAGCCTCTCCCCAGGTTTTCTTTTCTTCACGTGCCACTCGATCGAGCTCACGCTGCTCTTCCTCTCTGCCACCCTCAACGTATTTGTATTGGCGCGGGGTCCACTTCTGTTCGCGACATTTCTGCAAGAATTCAAGACCGTGTTTCTTGAACGTCGTAACAGCGAACAATGTGAACTCCTCGTCTTGGGCGACCTGTACCGCGGATCGGGGTACTACCATCGGCGCCAGTGTTTCGTAGCTTCTAAGAAAGTCCTTCTTGGCATTGTTTGGTACCACTATTAGATGTGTCTCGAGATATTCGGAATCTTGAATAAGGAGGGTCGGATCAACAATTGGGGTAAGCGATTTTGTCGCTAGATTGCCCCTGGTAAAGGTCAGTAAATTGTAGCTTCACTTCTAAGGCTGTACGGCTGTACGTTTGCTTGCGCTGCAGTGTGGTAAAGTTTGTCTTGATTGAGTTATATTGGTTAAACTTGCTCTTGACATCGTTGTCGGTAGTGATGAGCTCCTAGTGATTGCTGTCAGTCTTCCTATTTTCCTTCCGGTGCAGCATACAGATATTGCAGTTTGCAAACACATGGATACGAACTCTCTCCCATACCAACAGACCTTTTGCAAAGTATCGACAAGTTCGCCTAGGCTTTTGTCGGCGCGGTAACGGACCTTGTTCCACGAAAAGGAGCTGACATACTGGTCGGTAGGTTCTAGAGTAGTAATAAATTTAGTGACGATTCCATAGAATGAGAACTAGAAAACATATATGGGCATGTCTTACTGTCGTTGACCATCTTCTGCTGAGCAATCTTATCTTCATCACCGTCGAGAATTGACTTGAGAGAGTCGGCCACCTTGGCAACGACAGCTTCACAGGTGGATTCCAACTTGGCCAAATCGTCGGCTTGCTGTACCAAGGCATCCAAGGTACCGATCTTGAAGTCGGGTATGTTGAATGGTCGAACATTGCCGTTCTCGGAGGAGATGGTAGTACTCAGCGAGGCAATGGCATCCTCCTTATCACTGGAGTCAAAGATACCGAGAGGGAGAGAGACGAGGATATATTTGGTGGACATATTGCTGACAAAAACGGTGGAAGTCCATGCGTTAATGATTTGTTGCGGCTCTAGGATGCTGACACGGTGCAATGACGATGATGGCAATTGACGATGCAGAGGGGGGAGCGCAAGGGAGCTAGCTTGCAGTCCCGAGAGGTCTGATTGGCAATGCTTAGGTAAGGAATCTGGAGCTAGGGCGCTTCAACCTGGCCGTAATAGGTGAAACGTCAAGGACGTGCTGTCGCAGGATAATGTATATTGATGGCGGGCGGTGGTGACGAGCATGTGTCGTCTGCTGTCTACGACGAGGTGGTCAGCATCAGGACAGTGGATGTTGAGGTTAATCAGTTTCGTTCCTAGCCGAACAGAAGCTGTGTGTTGGGCTCTACGAGGTTGAGGTAAAGTGGAGGCGTTTGTGGTGCTTGCTTGGAGGAGAAAGCTACTGCTATTGATTGGATGACAGCGTCTCAGACAAAGGGCCGGGTAGCGTCTGGAGAGAATTGGAAGATGTTTAGGTAGGCAGACTGCATATGGGGGCTGTGGAGGACACCGTGGGGTCCTAGAATTACCACTACGTCGTACAAGTAGCTAGCTACATTGGTAATATGTGGCTGTAGTAGCCAACTCCCCGCCCTAAACGACGCTGCCTCTCTTCCTCACTTCCGGTATTTGTCGACTTCTACCACTTCTTTCCCGCATATTGTTAGCCCATTGTCACCTTTTGCCTTTTCACTCCGCCCCAACGCCTTTCTGGTCTTTACTACTCCTATGTTCCATTTTGCATTGTCAACCTCTAGTTGAAGGCAAGCAGAAGGTGTTAATCGCGACGACCGAAACGTGTCTTCGTTTGTCCTGTCTTCGTCTCCCAACTGGCTGGCCCTAACGATGGTCTGCTCGCGTTCTTTGATCATTGTTCAGAGGAGCTGACTTGGTAAATCATATACCATCTCTGGGTCCCCTCGATAGTATCGGCTGGGATTCGTGATGCACCTCCCGACTACCACTTGCTCATACATTACCCCCCTCTTGTGACTGCTTTGGTATATCTTTGCCTTGGCGCCTAGTCCAAAGACAACCGGGACTACGACACCTGCGACCTCTGCCACAACTACTGTCACGGCCACAGCCTTTTGCACTTGGAATGAGGTTCAGTCTGCAACACGGCATTTGCTCACGGCAATGGCTACGGCTGCAGGTCTGTGTCGCACTGTCTTGTGTTATTCATCTGCGTCCCGACTGACAACGACCTTAACAGCATCGCTTCAGCCCTCAAAGCCGATGGTTCCCCCTCCCATAAATGGAACGAGCACCCACGATGGGAGCACGTCGCAAACTCCCCTGCCAGCCTCTGTGAGCCAGAGAGGTGTGTCGACTTGATCTGACTTATCCCATAACTGCTTTTACAGGCCACGGCCCGCTATGCTTGGGCGACCGGTAGAACTGTTACTGACTCCAGAATTGTAGGCGAACTTCAGGGCTTCGGCGTCCTGCAACACACTGGCCCTCCGGTACAGGATGATATTCCTGGCTTATACCGAGATGGGCGCGTTCGAAACCCAGTCCCCAATAAGCTGAAGGGCAAGACCGATGCCAAAAAAGGAAACTTTGGTGTCATGCATATCGACTTAACTACTACAAACGAGACCCAGGAACGGGATGCTGCAGCGAAAAGGACGAGCGAAAGCACTCAGCTAGCAGCGAAGCTGGCCCAAACAGATCGATATGTTCCCATCAAACGAAGCAAGTTCGTTTACCGTCCAGATGGCGAGCTTGCTTCCAGCTCACCACAGCCTACAAGCCTTGATCGAACTCCAACTCACACCGCTGCTGAGATCAAAGCTGAACAAGCTCGATTGTTAACACTGTTGCGAAGCCTGCACCCCGTACTAGTGGTTGATCAGCTATGCAAAGCGTTGGCCTTTTTTGGCGGTATACCTGGTGCACAGGCATCGACTGATGGGACTTTCCCTGATAGTGCAGAAGCGAATGGCTCGGGCTCTCTGTTTATTGCCTGGCTGGCTGAAATCTTCCCAGCACTTGATCCTGAGTCAATGGCGAATGTGTCTCAGGCAACAATCAAGCGGCCGCGGGGACGTCCCAAAGGGAGCAAAAATGCAAAGGGGAAAAAGTACAAGACATTTAACAAGCGTCTAGATCTTGACAGTCGCTTGGCTTCTGCGTCTGAACGTAGTGACGTGGGTGACGGACGATCTATGAATTCATTTGTAGATGATAGCTGGGTGGATATTGACGGAGCAGTCGACAACGAGGAAGGAAATACAGTAGAGTTGACTGAAGAAGGTGCTGGAAGAATGGCAGCGAATTCGCATGGCAACAGTCGTTCAACAGCTGGTGCTGAAGTGCCCGGCGGTGGACCTGGAGGTGGCGATCCCAGTTTTACCATTGCTAAGTCGACTCTGCGGCGGCGAGGGAGGCCTAAAGGTTCTAAAAATCGCCCCAAGGGCACGTCGCTGGCTGGTGTCGGACAGAAAGGGGCAGGTGATGTGGGCTCAGCTGTGGTCACGGGAAGCTCTGGGTTGGCGTTGAGTACCAAGAAGCGGAAGCCTGGTCCTGGTCGACCAAAAGGGTCGAAAAATCGACCGAAGGAACCAAAGGAATCGGAGGCAACTGGAACCAGCGAGTCAAGTCCATTGCCGGCGCCAACCGTTCAACAGGGGGAGCGTACAGGCGAAGCGAGGGGCTCCGGGACCTTCGAAAGTGGTACACAAACCTCCTTGGCGATGACGGCGACAGCACATGCTGCACTTCCCCACAGCCCTCGTCAAGAATCAACACTGATAATGCCCAGGCCAGTGACGCCGCAGGCTTCTGATGATATTGGTACGGTCAAGTCAAATGCTGGTACTTCCAAAAATGTTAAGCGGAAACGGACGTCTTCCGTCATGACAAAGACTTCGAGAAGTGTCGAATTTCCATTACAGAATAACCTGCCTCCTGTCCAGCTGATTGCGGACGGCACTTCTCAGGTGATACGACGTGTCGAGTCTCCTGTTGCTTTTGGCCCTCCAGCACAGCAACTCTCTAAGAAGCGGAAACTCTTGAAAGAACTACCCCAAAACGCTGCGCTCAATAGCAAGACTGATCAATCAATCGGCAACAGCGCGGTTCTTACTGATCCAGTTGGTTTGCAGGTGTCACAACCAACCCTTTCAACCGGTGACTACGGAGCCGCGGCCGTAAGAGTTGATAATCAGAGCAACATGCGGAGCGTTAGAAATCAGTTGACTGTGTCGATGAGCTGTTCGCCTCATCAACAAAAGATCAATTCACAAAACAGTGTGTCCGACTTACAGGTCGACTACAATCAAAATCCTCATGATCCAGGTAGCAACAGCAAATCGCTGACAACTGGCCCCTATCCGATGACACTCTCTGGCAGACCGTCACAAAGCTTGTACAGTCATACTGTCCAGACTCATTATGGACAGCAAACCCAGCGTCAGCAACAGCAACAGCAACAGGATGTGCAACAACAAGTCCATTCTCGAAGTCATTCTTACCCTGAGCAGCGTCTTATGAACTCAAGCGCTAGTCAGTTGCCGTCAGCGGGACAGAATGCTTCTGACAGTGATGGAGGATACCAGGGACTTATATCGCACCAGCCATCATTCAGAGCGCAGGCTACAATATCTACATCTCCCGACAGTAACTATCGAACTCCTGCATCCCGTTCTGTGCAAAACCAATCTCCTGCTTTTCAGTCACGTCAAGTGCATCATACACCCACGTCAAACATGTCCTCATTTCAAGAATATACGGACTCGCCGTTCTTAGACATGACGGATCTCGAGTCCGCAAGCCAAGGCAACCTTCCCATAGGACATTCATCGTACGGTTTAACCAGTGGAAACATGCAGCGGTCATCATCCACTGTTAACGCATCTTACAACTCAACCACAGATATGGGCCATTCATTTGACGGCTCCATGACAGAGTCTGCACTTAGAGAACGCATGTATCATACTTTGAGGCGCCAGTAGAAAGGGTGACCTTTACTCCATCCGAGTGTGCTACTTACTACCCATTTTGAGTCGGACTCTATTATGCCCTACTATCCCTCTATAGAGGCAGAGAGGCCTTCAGAGAAGGTAGGCCTCTTGTCCTTGGTGGTTATGGCACGCTATGTAGGCTGCGGAGCGTTACGAGGTAGATAGTTTACATCCTCTCGTTATATTCAAGTCATCTATCAAAAGTTGAGTATGTGTATGACACAAAATCAGCAATTGTTGAATTATTCAGTTGCTGGGACTTTGTAAGTAACTACCCTTGGTGTTGGGTTTAAAATACGGTAAGGAAAATATCAAGAGTATGATGCCGGTATCTCTAACCAATCGTTTGCACCTGTCCATGCAAGACCTCAACAAAGAAGAGGAAAAGAAGTAAACGGAGAACGAAAAGCTCGCCTCCGCCCCCAATGGCCATTGCCCTAGCCAACCTGAACGCCAGTAAATGCTCAACATGCCTCATCGTGATCAAACGCCGTCAATAAGATCTTCCTCTATAGCCTCCAGTGGGGGGCGCACTGATTCCGGTGTGCTTCGCCCGTACCACCACTCATCCTCCTCATCCATACCGTCATCGCGAATCAGTTCCAGCATAACTTGCGCATTGCGCTTAATATCTTGGGTACGCTCTACAATACCCCGTTCCAAAATCAGAGCCTCCGCCGTCGCCAACCAAAGCTGTTGTAGACTGGGTAGGTCTGCAAGTATACGACGAACGTGGTCCCGTCCAAGTGGTCCCATTGGCATGCCTGCAGCCAGGCTCGTGTTAAATATGAGATTGCCGTCATAAGACTCAATAGGATCGAGGAATGTTCCAGATGCGCGCCGAACCGATAATCCTTCTTGGGGAGCGCCCTTCATCGAGTCCCTAACTGACAAGGACGACTTTTTTCGGCCTAATCCCATAATACCTCGTCGTTTGCCTGGTGGCTGTTCGATTGAGTCCCTGGCAATGGAACTGTACCAAACATCAACAGCACTCCTCCTGCTGTTATATCCTTTGATCTCCCAGAGCCTCTCGACTTGTCGCAGGCCACCAACGCAAAGAATTGCGACGTGCACTTCATCAGGGGGCTTTTCTTTTAGATAACCTCTCAGTGATCGTTCGACACGACCAGCATACGATGGTGGCCGTAGCCGTCGGCAGAAGGAGGAAATAACGAGAGGGAAAACCTGATGGACACGTAACAGTGTTTGATCATCATACATGTTCATGATTTGTGCTTCGATCGGATTCAATGTATAAGGTTCATGTAGTAAACCATGTCCGTTGTGATCATGGATATGTTGCAGATGTAGTTTCCTGTAAGTTTCGAAAAAGTGGAAAAGAGTAAAAAGCAGAGGGATGAGACGTCGACGCATCCGTTCCCGTTGAGGAGCAAATTCCTGCCGCTGAGCTTCTGTCGTTCGAAGGAATATTTCTTTGGTAATCCATTCGCACATGAGGAATGATAATTTCGCTGCAACGTGCAGGCGATGCCACAGACCACAGAGATGATGAAAGTTGGCAGTAGTCGGGTCTTTGGATGGGTAGAGGCGCAGAGCATAAGCCGGAATGTGATGATCGAGGTGATAGCGAGCGATGGGTGCCTCGTTCAAAGTAACAAGTGCATGCCATGCTTTCGAGACTCGGCGGAGGTTGAGGATGTCGGTTAGAGGTAGAGACGAGATGATTTGAATTTGGAGCTCTGTAGGCAAGGCAAGAAATAACTGGTCAAACGGAAGCCTAGTATATGTCAGAATCAAGGGTACATTCGACAGGGTTTAGTCGGTTATGGGGAGATGACGAACGTCTTTGACCTCGAAACCCCCACAGGCTGCTCAGGCGATTCACTGTAGGATATTGAAGACTTAGGGTGAAGAATCGAAACTTTGGATCTTAAGCCAAAGAGTCGAGATTTGTCCAGCCGTTTGTGGTCTGCGGCTCGAACGTACTCGGCATCAGTCTCATTTGTTTTAGAGGTACGGAGCGGAAGGATGAACGTTGATGACTGTGAAGGGATGGGTTGGGAGGGGTGCAAATGAGGTGAAAGGAGATGCGCATCGTGGGAGTGATTTTGAACATGGGTATTATGGCTTGCTGAGGACTCGCTGAGTTGGTGTAGTTTGCTAAAGTAGCGCTCAGAGGCGAATTCAGTGATGTGAGGCGGATCCATATTCCTGCTATCGCGCTGAACGAAGGCGCAGCCAGAGGGGGAAGGGAGCGAGGCCTAACAAGCTCAGCATAGGGTCGCTTTATGAACTGTCCTAGTCGGTACGGGACAGCTACGCGTGGATACGAAGTGGTCGTCGATTTGGGACATTCGCGGCTTCAAACATGGCTGTACATATGGAAACGTCCGGAGAGGATTTTGGCGTAAAGCGAGGGGCTGCAGGTGAAGTGTTTTCTGAAGGAATGGTCCTGACTGGAAGTAAAGAGCGAAAGCAAAAGTAAAAGTGTTGACAGCGATTGATCTGTTGGATTGGAGATGCTTCGGCAGTCGACGCTGGGGACCGGTGGTATCGGGGGTAGCGGTACGAGTTATGGGTCAACAACCGTCCGCAGAAATGTCAAGTCGAGTAAGGAGATGAAAACGAAGTGTGGTGGTGGACGGGGTTTCGGAAAACGTTTGGCCGCGATGTTCGAGGTTGACGAAGCATGCGAAAGAGGGAGAGAAGAGAGTGAGTGGGTGAGTGCGGGAAAGAGAGAGAAAGCAATGCAGGCTGCCCGCCTCCAGTGTCTGGCGTGTACCTGGGATTGGGTGCAGTCCCGTTGGTCAGCTACTCTACATTAGCCTTGGTAGTGGTGGGTGGGGGAGCAAACGTCGGGTGAGTTGGTGGTACAGGGGGCGTGCAAGGTAAGTGAAGTGAGGTAAAATACAGGTGAGTAAGGTGAGGCGCTGGAAACTTTACCCACCGATGCTTTGAGAACGTAGACAATGGCCACTCCGCTGCGGTATGTCTGCTGGATATGGTAGCTGGAAGGTACCTACACTGTTGGGAGCAAGAAAGGAAATGGCTGTTTGCTGAATCTGGGTGGCCCGGCGGTATGTGCGGCGAATTAGTGGGGAGGTCTAGGTGAAGAAGGGCACTTGCTTGTTCAGGGGGTTTGTCCATACACAGTGCGCGTTACTGTATTTGGTGTGGATGGTGGCTTGCGCTGGCAGCTGAGTGGCCTTTTGGCCTGGATCATCATGTCCTCTTGCGGGCGGTTGGGTGAACAGACCACTCGAGTGGATGCGGCATACTGTGTGTGGTATCCACACACGGTGAACCAAGAAGCTGAAGAAAGAGCGGCCGAGGGTAACACCGTAAAAGTGCCCGGTCGGGGTTTTTGACACCTCACGAATGAAGTGGGAGTGGCAGCTCTTATGTAAGGTATCTTGAATTAAATCGTTACCTACCCAAGTTGAGGTTATGATGTTAATGTGGAATTCGCAATTGTAGCCACTGCCAACATTACCTTCAAAAGGCCGATACACTGATTATTCAATGCGTTCACTGCTAGCCCTATGGCACTAGATGACGGTTATCATTGGACATTGGCGAGGCAATCGCATATTACAGAAGTGAGGAATCCTGGTTGCCATAACCAGCGACCGAAGCTGTCGACGGCGACGTTGTGGGCCAGTCTATATCCTCAAGACAAGATTTGGAGTATGAGAATGATAGAGCATCACCTACAGCTGTTCCCCAGTGCCCTGTTCGGTGTTACATATTTGAAGATGGAAGGGATACGGTCGTACTTTATCAAGCCTTGTCTTGAAGGGGGTTTTGGTTTCTGCCATGTATCATTAAGATAAAGACGGTATCATTACGGTGGGAAAATCCAGCTCCTTGGGCGTGCTTACCAGCGAAACGCCCGACCAACAGATTGCCAGGGCCTCATCGACGGCGCCGCCGATCTGGGCTCGGTGATTTCGTTAGCCATGTGAAGGCGGCTGGATTACGGGGCCGCGCCAAGGGTTGGACGAAATACATAGCGAAGATAAACAGGATCGTATGACGGCGTGCGCTGGATGTGGCGACATGGCGACGTGACAAGGTGGAAGGTAGCCTTGTGCGCATAACTGTAGCTTGGTCTAGTATTGAAAAGTTCGAAACAATAAGTTGACATTATCCGTGCAAACAAGTGTGGTAATAAGGCACATACGTTATGTTTGGCCAACAGCATCGGATGCAAGAATTGATACTCGACTGCCGCAAGTACTTGATGATGTATTGAACCACGTCTGACATACGATGTTCTATCATGTGAGCCAGGCCCATCGACTGTAGGAAACGCCCCAATAGTTTGTTCATATGCTTTTACCCTGGGAGGAGAAAGAAAAAAGAAAGCAGGGCGTAGAGCATGGTAAGCAGGAGAGTGGAATGTAACTGGAACTGGATGTGGCAGATTCGACCGAACTGACCGAAGTTGAAGCGACGAAGCCGACACACTGAGCTTAGTACTGTCTCGGATGGAACAGCCAGCGGGGTCATGGAAGCTGGGCTGGGGATGGGCTGGCATTACAGGCGACTGGAACAAGGTGTCTCTGTCAAACTTTATCGCAAGTCGAATAGGTGACACCTTGTCTCCTTTCTAGGGTATGGGTATGTACCAGGAGTGCGTGAGGTGTTAGTCGACGGTCAACGCCCCTCGGGCCTACTGCGGCCTTTCTCTCCCCTCCCCCTTTCCATCCATTCAGAGTGACCTCTACCCGCATGTTAGTGGACTACTACACTTTCAACAAACAAGGAGCCAGTCTTAGGTCACCAACTATCTCTGTATCCTGCACACATTCTACCAATATCGCGATACTGTGCGCTCTTCATTCAACATGCTAGAAAAAGAAGGCAAGCAGACTTCAAAAATCTTAATTGTTCTAATTTTTCTATGTCTTAACGGAGTCATCTCCACCGTTCGCTGCCCTCCCCCCACCCCCCCCTAGGCACGTAGTGTAGAAACATAGTGTAGAACCGTTACCCCAGTCTAGTTGCTCAAGTCATCGCAAATTCGAACTGGCCCTTGTGCCTTGTGTCATGAATCCACTCCACTCCACCGTAATCCAACTTCTCCAGTCCAACTCCATATTACTCCGCGCTCTCTCCGCGCCGTGATGTCTCTTCCCTTCAGTTATACTGCGTACCTTGCTCTTGCAACACACGTCTCTTCAACTTTTGCTACAGTTCCCTTGACATTATTTTTGCTTATGACGTGTGGAGGGCCCAGTATGTATTGTTTTTCTCTCAAATCATTCTCTAACTTGTTCATAGACACCACCATACCTTAATTGAACTCACCGCCCTGTCGGCCAGTGATTACCCCAGATAAGGTACTATGTACTAAGTGTGCTCTGCACCAAGCTGTCGTTGCGCAAAGCAACCAAAAGCGTTGCAATCATGGTTTGATGGCTGACTATCTGACCACTTATCAGCTTCTTTACGGCCTGCAGACATCTGAACAACAGTAGTTGGTACAGGCACTGGCTGTAGTCGGTATTAAGATGGCCATCCCATTCTTGCTTGTTCTCAGATGTGTATGGTTTCCAGGTGCCCTCGGCAAAAACCGCATTGTTGGTACCGTCATATTTCGGCCTCGAGCCATCCTTGGTTTATTGTCCGTAACTGATCAATTGCTAAAGGGGGTGTAATACAATTTGCTTTGCGAGGAGGCTCTTTCAAGTAATGTTTCTTGGAACCTATCTTGTGTTTCATGAGTTAGACCAATGTCCGTTTTTGTGGCAATCTCTCTGCATCCTACCTCTTGGTGGTTTGATCTTCGCCGAATCTTTAAACATGGCCAACAGCATAGTTAGTACGTGTGCCCGCAACTTTCGATTCCAGGTAGGGATTCTGCAGTGTACCGACTTCCCTTGCCAATATACCAAAACATACTTGAGGTCTTAGGAGGAACAGAAACATGGACGTGTCGGATGTGATGGAAACCTTTTGTTGACGGCCGGCTCAGATTTGCACAGTCGCCAAAATGTTCTTGATTATGATACTGATACTGAACCTAGACGCCATTTTAACAACGCTTGTTCAGCTACGTTTCTCTTGTCCGGCTTAGGTCTCGAGGGGAGGGCAATAAAGGCACCATGATTCCTATGAACGATTACGATTCTACATCAACCCATATAGAAGCCCTTGTCTGCTTCCCCGTCCCTACCCTATAGACAAGCGTGGCTGGGACACAAGGCAGCTCACCTTTTATACAACGACGAAGGGATAGGAGCAGCCATATGCGTTTATTTCCTAGTTACCCCAAGAGCCGCTATGCCTTCCGCTGTCACCGTCAGTCCTCTTGAGGTATCAAACTTGCTGTGAAGCCACTGCCAGCCATTACTTCTCCTGGGTTGGGCAGCAGTACCTCGGATTCTGGAACACAAGGGATTATACATACTCATCTCGACTGAATGAAGGCTTTCAGGTCGCAAGTGATTGATGCAGCAATAGACTATTGAACCATCTGGTGTTGCCTCCAGTACTCATCTGGACATAGACATAGCCGCACGACTGCTTTTATCTTTGTACCCAGCTCTATCACGCTCCATCCCGGCCCCGATATCGGTTAATGAGGTTTGGAAAGAAGAACACCAGAAGACAAAAGCTGGCAACCTTAGAGGGGGGTCTGTTAAGGTTTTCGGTTGTTAAGATGCCCTCCAGTGTTATTGAAAGCTGTTCTTCAGATAGACTCATTTTCTGCCTCTTCAAACAAGCATGCGCAGCCACTTGTCCCCCCTCTCTCAACCCACTCGGACTTCTGGTGGCATGGGAGGCTTGTCACTACCGACACCCACCCCGCAAGCTCCTGTCAAGCTGAAGCCTGATATCTAAACAATTTTGGTTGCTGTAGTAGGCGGCGGTGACCTTGTCTCAAAACACCAAGGTCACGGTGAAAGAGCGGATCCGTTTGTGCCCCCATAAGCCCTCGACGTTTCAACGTAACGCATAGCTGTTCATCTTCAGGTAGTTCCCTTAGCTCCATCGGTACAGTGGCAAAGGTGGAGATTTAACTTGCTCCAGATAGTGGTCTTCGAGCAAGTCAAAGTATCTTGTGTGCTGGCAGAGAGACCTGCATCCGGACTTCGCCATATCGTGTCGGTGCCAGGTGCGACTCATCGGCAATCAGCTCATTGATATTTGTTCGAGGCCGTCAGTGAGCCTTGGGGATGGAAATTACGTGTCCTTGGAGGAGCTTGTTCCGATACATGTCGTAGATAATTCCTAAGTCACGAAAGTGAACGGCATTCTTGCCCGTGCTGGCCTATAATATCGTTTCATGTGTTGCAGAAAGCCATATGTGATATCGATGCTAGAAATGCCATCAGCGAATCTGGTACCGTATTCATGTGAACAGCTCTTCGTGTTTCTTAAAAATCTTCCGACACCTCTCAGACCTCAAATCACCTCGAGGCTATCCACCTGCTTAGCAGGTTACGAGAAGCTCTTAAAATTCGCCGTGACAATGACAGGTGCCACGAAATATGGTGATTAGTGAGGATAACTCTACCTCCAACCACCTACACGACCCTCATCCCAGCGCCCCTTCCTCTCTTGCCGGAGGTAATACAATGCTTTTGCGTCTCTATACCTTTTGATCCATTCTAATGTTTCCCTCTCCGAAGCAAATGCACCGCCTCCCTCTCCATCAATGAAACTTTCTTCCAGGGCATGACATACGGAAGCTTGTTCGTGAACACCTTGCCCCAGCCTCTGGTACAGAGAAGCTGGTGAGAATGGCGCCAGTGCGTGGTCCATGTCTGACTGTTTTTGCCGCCATTGGCGCTCCAAAGCGTGTGTTGAGAGCAGCTGAGCTTGTGCGGATGACCTCTGGTGTGCTAATCGAGCCTCAAGCTCAACGAGGCGCGAGGCAATGTCGAGATTTTCGGCCAAGGCAGCCTTGAGAGCTTGATGCGACGATGCTAAAGACGGGTGAATAGTGCTTGGCGCATGGGTGAGGGCGTTCAGAAGTTCGAGGTTGGTGGCGATGTCTGCAAGGTCATGTTTCCTGTGCTTAAGTTTAGCAGAGCCACAACGGTTGCATCGCAATTTCGACCCCCTTACGACTTGTCCTGCAGTAACTTTGGAAGCCACTGGTCACCGGGATCCGGAATAGATTCAGGTTGGGAGAACTCAAGCCCAGCCGATTGGTAAGCTGGATGTCCTGGGCCGGAGCCGTCCAGTTCGAATCCGGGCCCAGTCCCTGGCCGGGGCGAGTTGGATATAATGGGTGTGCTGATGCGGCTAGTCTCATGGCTGCCTGGCTTGGGGGGGAGCGATGGTGGCGGAGGAGCATGCATAGCAATCAGCAGGGCGAAGTGACCGCCTACGCAGGGAGCACGACGGCAAGTGATCAGATGGTGGATGGAAATGGCAACGGGTATATGAAGCGATGATATTGTTCGATGTGCTGACAATAAATCGCGTCTATGGATTCGAATCAGTAGACGTCAGCGTTTGGGGTATGCGATTCGGTACTAGTACATCCAATGTCCCAGCCTGATAAGGTTTGTGCGGGGAAGATTAAACAGTGGTCATGCAAACCGCCCTGGACCAACGGCCCCACGTAACCAATATAAGTCAGCAAACAAGGTAGATACAACATACACCGCGCTGTGTCTCTACTTTATGGTAGGTTATTTCGTACATTAATCCCTAAAATTCCACACTGCTTCCAGAGACTTGTTCCTTAGTCCAGATGCCCCGCTTGTCAAGCGACCGTTTCCTTTCCTTTTTTCCCTTTAGACATTATACAGTTTCTGGACGAGATTTGAACCTCTCCTCTGGAATTTCGGCACCCCTCTGTTAAGGCTTGACAGACCAGATATCTCGAGACCAGCCCACTTCGCGCAGCTTCTTGTTGCTTGAACCAGCTACCTTCTTTTCGCCCGAGGCAATAGCCAATGCTTTGCTGCAAGCAGCGAAGGCTTCAACCAACTCTTTCATCCTGTTGGCTTTTATGAAACACACTGCAAGGTCGGAGCCCTTTTCAGCAATGGTAGCCGCTAACTCCATACATTCCAGAAAGTTGTCCCTTGTCAAAGTAGTACCAGCAAAATGCAAGACGCTGATGTATGCGAGGAGAGTTTCAGGCAAATATGTGTCCCGTAGAACTGCCAGTTCTGGATCATCTGTCATACACTGATTAGCATCAACCTAAAAGCCTAAGCCGCTCAGTAGCGTACCTTGGCCCAGCAGCCAGTTTTTGAGTAGCGGTCGCACGTAATCTTTAGCGGATTTCACTTCATTGCCAACTTTGGTCCAAAAGTCTCTCTTGACAGATGGGTCCCTAAACACTGTTAGTATCAAGTAGCGACACTAGGGCAAGTTGACTTACTCTCTCGAAAGCTCTGCTAACGACGCAATGGTTTCCATCGTGTCCAACGCCTTAACTAGGCACTCGAGTTCGCGCAGCGTTCGTGCCTCAGAAGCAAGCCGACTGGGCAAAAGTTGTGTTGCATCCGCAGGCTCAATCTGGCTGGCCCAGAATTCCATGTCTTCAAGCCACAAGTCATTCTCCTCCTGGTCAGGAAAATCGACTCTCTGTCGCATAATGGCACTGAATGGTACACGACTCGCAAGGCTTCTGGCAGCATTCAAATGCATGTGTTCTGGTTCAGGTTAGCATATTCGGGCACATTAACGTGTCCTTCGCGAGAACTTACTGAGAAAGTATTTATAAACAGAGACACCAACAGCGAAGACATCAGGCCACGCCTCGTGAACAAGCAGGAGCCATTCGACTGACCGAATGAGACGATCATCGGAGGGGTCAATGAATTCCGGGTCTTCTCCGAAGAAGTCTGTCTTAATAGAACGTCCGTACTTTAAAGATCCTGGGCCACTTTCCATGATCTGGAGTTGTTTGTTGGCCAGGTAGTCCTCCGTCATCTCATCTTCCAAACTCTTGAATATAAGCTGGGGTTGCATTTTGACAAACTTTAGTACATCCAACCCAGCCTTGCGGATGAGGCTGAGCTGAACGAGACGAGATTCACGATCTGTGATTGGTAGTATGTTGGTGCTCAGGACTTGGAAAGCCCGAGGACCAAGGAGCCTAGAGCAATATAAGGGAATCAATTCTTCATAGCCTGCCAACCGAAGCAAGCTGATGTAGACTGTGATCACATTTTCCTGCAATTCGCGACGATCATACTCTGTGCTTAGCGTAGCCGAACTTGATGACATTCCGAGCCGGTCTAAGGCAGAAAAGATGATAAGCGCATGTACGGCCAGACGCAAACGATCAGGCGTATGCATATCGGCAAATTTCTCCTGCGCCACGTTTATATTGCGACAGCAATCGTCAGGCATGAGCACAGAAGGCTCTGTGGTGTTGGCCTTTTGGGTGACAGCAACGCCTTGTTCGTAGAAATGTCGCTCAAGATCCCACGCAATAATGGCGGCTTGAAGGGTCTTGACAGGGTCAATTGCTTCTTTGCGCGTGTGCGGATTGGTTTCCAATGATTTGATTAAACGTTGCTCCAGTGTCATCGGATCACCATGGAATTGAACAGCGTCGAACGCAGGAAACGAAGAGCGAAGGGAGGCGGCTGCTTCCGAAGAACACCGACCCAAGACAAATGTATCGAATTGGGTACGAATAAGGGCATTGTAGTGCATAAACATGAAATCATCCCAAGTTTTGCATAGCTTCTGTACGCTGGGGATGTCTCCTGCTAGCAGGCCATAGACAGCTCTCTCAATATCGTCGGAGCCGCCTTGACGTGCGAGGGCAAAGCACATGCGTCTCCAAAGGGCGAGTGCAGACGGGTCATCCACCAGCGTTGGATTACCAGGCTCGGTCGCAAGAGGCAGCGCGGACATTGACACCGCTCTCCAAACCTCTGTCCTCTCCAAACACCAGTCTCTTATAGTCTCCAGGCTGTTGCCTCTGCGAAGAAGTTGGAAGCAACCAACCCATATAGCTCGCTCAAAGTACTCGTCTTGCGGCTCCAGCTTTCGTCCCTGTCGAGTAACGGCGTCTGGATCTAGCTCTGCTACAAGGGGCGCATTGTCCGAGTTGACCAGCAAACGTGCCACTTCGGGGAATTGCACGTCCAATGGACGGGCCGACCCTATAACTCCCTTTTTTAGCTTGATGGCGGATCTGGTGTGTATCCATCCATGTGCGATAATGTCGCCTCGGTCGGCGTTCTGCTGAAGTTCCCGCACCAGGTCGTCAATATCGGGCCCGGTCCTCGCACCTTGTTGTAGCCATTCTAAAACTGTCTTTCTTTCTACAGCCAATTCATCCTTTTCCAGGAAAACACGCCAAAGATCGTCGCCTTGTTGGCTAGCGTTGAAGTTGTTGGAAGAAGGCTGCTCCCTGGCTGTGGATTGCAGGCGATATCTCAGCGGAATCAAGCGACGGATAAGGTCCCATGTTTGCCTCTCTTGCTCCCATCCTCGTATCTCTTCTGAACTCGGTGCCGGTTCGGAGTCTTCATCGTCGTCTAAGTCCATCTCAGTGTCGCCAACCAAGCCCTGTCGAACTTGATTGCGGAGATGTGCCAACCTCTCGCCCGCATATTCATAATACGTGTCGACTAACCCAAGTATTCTCGCATGCTTATCCTCAACTGTACCATGAGGTGAGAGGCAGTCGTCAAGCGCATTTGCGAAAACCTCGAACTCAGGCCCGATTTGTACATCCATTGTCAAGTGGAGGAAGAAATGGGGTGTGAGACTGGAATCCGCTGTTGTGGATTTCGTGAGAGCTGGACGTGAATGTAGTAGCAGATTTCGTTAATTATTAGGACAATGTCTCGAAGTATCGTCCCTGGATCATGCGGCGCATTGGATTCAAGTTAAAATGATGTTGAGGGACGATTCTGTACGATCTCTAATTAGCAAAACTTGTATCCACACTTCAGTGGAACCTAAAGAGGAAGGAACACTCAGACAAACCTGGTGAATGATTGATAGTGGACTGTGTTGATTGAAAGGCTTCGGTCTAGTAGTGTCGAAAGGCCGAAAGCGTTTGGCCGTGTCCTTGCGATCTGGAAAATTTGGTGAAGAGCGACCAAGCTATTGTGGTCGGCTACCCAATGGCGAAGGCGCAAGCTGTAGCCTGTGGCGTTTTTCCAGGATAAGATATCTCTACTTAGGAGGGCTGTCCGCCCAAGATCTGTCGAGTGATAAAAGAGGAGGAAATGCTGTACTGTGCGTAGCCCAAGCAAAAGCTGCCTCAGATCACCAAAACAGAAGCTTGTGAACCTACCACCCAAGGGCGGATTACAGCTAGTTCTTACTGGCCCGTGCACGTTCTGGTCAACTTCGAATGTGAGAGGCACCAACTCTGCTTACTGTGATATGCACTGTAGTGCATGCGGTCTTAGCACCAAAAAGGGAAACGGAAGATTGTTGACGCACTGTCGAGACCCGCTCCCAGGTTCCTTTTTCTACGCCCCGTTGTTCGAATTTTTTCTCTTCTCTTTCTCCTTCTTCTCATCAATGTCAAGGCCTTCATATTAGAGTCTCGGAACAAGACATTCAATACTTGTTCAGATCCTACGGGGTCTCTTGCGTGCTAATGAATGCCTAGAAGAATTTACCATCTTTCTGAATGTTGCCAGATATTTCTTGTTCGGGTTGACGTCTTTATGCGGAAGAGTGGTACATGTATTGCATTTGAACGTATTTGTCCACCTCATGTTCTTGAAGCCGGCGGGTTTTTGCTTTTGACTGGATTTAATATGCCACAAATATCTCACGTTTGTGATTATTCTCTCAGCCTCTTGAGCTTCAGTTGCAGCAGCTGTGGTTTTGGGCAGCTGGCAGATGTCCCATCATCGCCCTTTAATCGGTAAAATGCCTCGCAGCACTCATACAGCGCCAGTATGGTTGGTTGGCACTTGTCCTCGTTATACCCGTTCTTGGCCAAACAGTCTACGAGTCCTGTTAGTTTCTGCCGACAAGCGCGCAGAAGGCTACTACTTTGGATTGACTGCGGAAACCTCACCCTGAATAGCACACTTTATCCGCAAGGACAAAATATTAGCTTTGTCCATCTACACCATGTCGCCCTTGGCTGGGCCATTTGAGAACTCACCGCGCGAGGGTGGCATGGAGGCTTGGCTTTCAAGTCTTCCTTTAAGCCCTTCGTAATATTCTATCAGCAAGAAAACCAGGGCAACATGAGGACAAGAATGCTGACCATGGTGTCGGCTTCCTGCTGAACCCAAGTGATTACTTAATTAATAAATTAATAATACTGTGATATAATATCAGTTTTCCTTTTCGAGAACAAATGTTGTCGAAAATCAGTGGATGTTCTTAATCGTGAATATTTATGTGTCGGATGAGAGGCGGTTACGTCAAAATTATCCGTAGGTACTTCTCTACCTCCCAAGCAAGGCATCGGAAGCTATCAGATTGCTTACCTAATACATACTGCTCACCATTGCCACAACAGACAAACAGCACCTATTTACCTAACTAAGGAATTGGTTCATCAAAGTTACAACATTTCATCGATACGGCGCTTTATACCAGATGAGGACGGAATTCGTGAGGCAGGGGTTAAAAAAACTTCTGCCCTGGAGCTAGAGAGAGAAAGAGAGAGAGAGAGAGAGTGAAGTACATATGGCAGTAGTATCAAGGCGGGCAGGCAGGCAAGCATCGGCGCTGAGGATAGTAGCAGGGGGAAGTCGCAGCCTTACTACGTACACAACTCTGGGGACCCTTCCGAATTTACCCAATCAGAGACACGCCGTCCCACCTTCGCCTTTGGTCCTTCCATTAGAGTGAGATGTGCTTTCTGACCTTCACCATTCCCATCCACGGTCTCTGCGATAGCTAAAGGCACCTTGCCTCCATTTGCAATCTTCACCCCGCGCCAACCCCCCCCCAAAAAAAAACTCCCACCACGTGCCCATTTAGCACCAGAGCGGCATTTTTTTTACCCTCGCATTACTCTAGCAACAGCTTGACACCGCTCTTCACAACGCCTATCTTCTTTATACATTACCATCTTTGCGCATCACGACGTATGTTACACATCGTGCTTCCCCATCCTCGTGCCACCAATCTGACTTACCTTGCTAACTGTTCTTGCCGCTATGTGCAATAGCTCCGCTATGTCCGGCGAACATGAGAACGGCAGCCCGTCCGCTGGCGGCCAGGACGCTCCCCCCCCGGCTGTCGAGCACCTCAACATCAAAGTCACCGATAACAACAACGAGGTCTTCTTTAAGATCAAACGGTCCACAAAGCTTGAGAAACTTATGACAGCTTTCTGTGAGCGGCAAGGCAAAGCTATCAGCTCTGTCCGTTTTCTTTTCGAGGGCCAGCGTGTTCAGCCTACGGATACCCCCGACACGGTAAGGACGTAACCTATCGCATTGCTGTTGCTTTCCAGTCGTCCCACGATCCTGACTTTCGCGTCCCAATAGCTTGAAATGGCAGATGGTGATACTCTCGAAGTGCACCAAGAGCAGGTTGGCGGTTCCTCTTAATTTTGCGGAGCTAGAGAGATGACATGGCATATCGAGAAGGTGCCGCGAGTTTCTTTGCGAAAAGGCCAAGCCCATTTTGCGATTTGAGTACATGGATGGACGGTTTCGCACGCGCGAAATATCCGCATTAAGACAGTCTATGATGATTATGACCTTCACCAATTCCTTTCATTTCCATGTTTCGTTCCAAAGTCCTAAAGCAAACGCCACGCACTTGACCCTCCATAACTCGTGAAAGCAAAGCCTTCTTCTTCAGTATCAAAACAACGCTTGATTGCTTACACACCATCAAATCCTCAATGATATAAATTCATACCTCTAGACCCCAAAAACCATTTCATTGACTCGTTATGCCTTGAGTTCTATTATGCGGCAGCGCGTGCAGAGCACGACCGTTTTGTCTCCATCTTCCTTTGGAAAAATCTGGCCATCATCAAATCCTCCCTTGCATGAAGCACAACGGAAGCACTCTTCATGCCATTCACCTCCTAATGCTCTGATGTACTGCCCAATAACAGCACATCTGCACTTTTTGCATTTGGGTGCCCTTCGCTCAGTTCGTTTTGTTTGGCACTTTATGCACCAGGCGTAGCCATCCTTTTCAATATGTGTCATGCTTTTCTCGAAGGGATCGCCACACTCAGCGCAGAAAAAGTGGCCATAATGCCAATGCTCACCAAGGGCGACAATGTGTTCGCCGATGATAGGGGTCTTGCAGTGTTTGCATCTTGGTGCAAAGAGCTCATGCCAATCAAGGTGACAGTAGAATCGTAACCGCTCGTCACCGTCCTCAGCCATGGTTTCACCAAATCTCTCCTCCAACCTCTCTGCGTTCGCTCGACGCCTAATTCTATCTAGGCGACTCTGGCGATGAGCTTCTGGCTCAGGACTGATTTCCAAAGCCTCAAGGCCGGTGCCACAAGCAAAGCAGCTGAAGCACTGTGGATGGAAGCGCTCAGACAGTCCGGCTAGAGAAACGAATCTGCCTTCGATAGGGAATCCGCACTCATGACAAAGTGTTGTAGACCTATAGCTAGCCCCAGGGGCTGGTGACCAATGTCGTTCTGGACGCTGATGTAGTCGGCTCCGGGAGGATGCTGTTTTCGGGTCGGGAAGAGGCCGTCGCGTAGACCCTGAAGTAGTATCATCAGGTGTGGCTATGACAGGTATGCTTGGATTGTTTCCATGTGCTTCATCCGCATCTGCGATCATTATCGACGGCATGGGTGAGACCCGGCGAGTCTCGTCCGCCGGGGGATCCTCCGGTGCCACCACAATAGTAGGAATCTCCATCGGCTGCTTCTTTTGGTTCGGGGTTCCTGGGCTGGGGTTACTGAAAGCCGATCCTGGCCTAGAATCAGTTTTCTCGTCCGGAGCTTTCCAGTTCGAGTCGAAGCTTACAATCGGCCGACCAGGTCGATCACTGACGGCCGTAGGCGTGGGCAACTTCGGGCTGCGGTCTTTCAGCTTCATACTTGTAGCCCCCCTGATATCATCGCTCCGAATCTCCATCCCGTTTTTCTTCTGTACTGTTTCGTTGGTCGTGGTCTTCGTAACAGGGACATTTGTCGTGTACTGGGGATTGCGCGATTGTGACGGAGGATTGCGATGAATTTCGACCTTGGATCTGGGTTTCCAAGGCGCCACCCGGTCTGCGGGTGGCCCAGTAGCGAAGCGGACTTGATTTTGGGGGTTCTTCGGCTTATCAACTAGGGGAAGATCAGGCATTGTCTCCAACTTCGTCATGGCAGCCTTTCCACGAGTCGCCCCCTCTGGCTCTTCCCAAATTTGGTCACCAGAGAATGGCTTCTGGACCTCCCCACTGATGTTGCGCTTCATGCTGCTACGCCGGCGACCAGAGGATGTGACGCCAGAGTTGGACCCCATGGTGCTGGAGGGGCCCGACATTGCAGAGTCCAAAGAAGGGCATTCGAGGCTATTTTCTTCTTTGCCAAAACTGTCCTGCGACAAAGCCAATGATGGGCGGCTCATGCGCGATTGTGCCTCGCCATCAGTGGAACTGCCAGAAAACGACCGCGGCGTGTCTCGTGCGAGACCCGAAGGCCTGATTTCTTCTCCATATTTACCTACGCTTGCTGTGCGCGCATGAGCATAGCTATTTTTCCTCAAATGAGGTCTGTATCGGTATGGTGCATGAGGATCTGGGACCACTCCATTTTGGTGCTGCCAAACAAGTTCGGAGGCTTCGTTAAGAGCAGCATTGTATATGCGGGTATCTTCGTCTTGAGGGTTGGCAGACTCATTCGTGGGTATAACGGAGTAATCTTGAGAGACGGAGTCTTTATCAATATTGATACGCATGTCATCCATAGCTTGGCGAAGTGAGACAGCTTCTTCCTTCTCCATCCACCTCTGCCCTCGCTCGATGTAGGTAGCAGTGGGCACAACTTCTGAAGGCTTCAAGGGTGCTGTAGAGCGAGGAGGGTAATAGTCACGTCCTGAGGCACTCGACATGGAGTAGCGAGAAGAGGAGCTGGCGTTGACAGTGTTGGAGGAAAGAGGATTCGGTCGTGCAGGATTGACGGCAGAGTTTGAACTCAGGGTCGTCGGGCTTTCGGATCGAGCCAGGGATTCGGAGGTACTTTGCTGATCATAGGACGGTCGTTTAGACTTTGTACTCGATGGAGGCGGTTGAGGTCTCGCGCCGCCAGGGCGAGCCACACGGTTTGTTCTGAGGTTGGCTAAATAAGCAGCTAGATGAGGTGGCAAGTTAACAACGTGATTGGAGATACAGCTCTAACAGAATTGGCCCTCACCAAATTGGTCGTTGCTCATGTAAGTCGGTGACGGCGGCGTCACTTTCCTGGACTTCTCCATACTCCTCCGGCGATGCATTATGGAGCCGGTCTGCCGCAAGAGTGGAGTCCGCTCAACCTGGCTTGCAAAAGACAGACAGCCTGCTTCGGCGATTGATGAAGGCAACGAGGGGCAAGGGCACGCAGTGATGACTTCCGTGGGAGAGCTTGGTATTAATATAGTGATGCTGGCTACGTCTATGATTGGCGAAAGCGGGTACGTGAGGAGAAGACGATAGCGTCTTGAGCGACTGAGGAGTCAGATTGAAGTGTTGAAGTTATATCTAGGCCATGTGGTCGGCGCTGGTTGGTTGTCCCGGCAACGATGGCTTCCTTTGTTAGTGGGGAAGCTACCTTGCTTCACCTTGAGCTGGATTGGTTGGTCAATACCTTAAGCACGTACCTGCCCATCTTGCTTGGGGGCAGGTTCGAATTTGTACTTTCTAGGCTGCTATCTTCTAGCCCCACGGAACAGTAGACGCCCAAAGCCAGGTACTTGTAGGCTGAACGCAGGGGCGGCTTTTACCAAGCGGTCAGTATTGCGGTCAGAAAACTTTGTCACGCCAGGATGAGACGCCGCCAGTGAACAAAATGTTCCCTGGACCTGACAGGGTGACCCGCTTGGACCACTGGGACCAATGTTGGTGCAGCAATCAATGACAACAGAGGATGCCAGGCCAAAATGCGATGACTCTTCAGAGCCAACTGAGAGGCTGCAAGGTTTTGTTGACAACTGTTCGCGCTAAAGTAATAACAATAATCGTGATAACAACAAAACAATGCAGCAGCAATGTTGCCATTTATTCTGATGGCAAGGATGCATGAAATTCTAGGATGTTGTAACTTTGCGCATGAAGAGGTCCAGTTTTGATAATTACTTTACATTTTGAAAACTAAGCCTGCCTCAACACGAGCTTATGACAGCCGTAGCATTTTGTATTGACTTTATCATCCTTATTTGTACAAGTTTGACTGTTACATTGGATACAGTTCCGCCAATGTATACAGCTGAGGTCTCCGAGGTGTACTGATCATGTAAGGCCTAACAGCAGCGATTCACCACCTCAACTCACCCGGCCGCATTTCTTTTTCTTTTCCAGGAGCGTCCTGGCCATGCCTCTGGTCCTGTATCAGACTATTGTGGTTCCCCGTTGCTTGTTGATTGCCGAAGCCTAAATTCTTGAAATCGTCTTTCGCCATGAGATTTCTGATGAGTCGCAACTACTGTCAGTATACTGGCGATTCTTCCATTGACAATTGAAGCCGGCTCTGTACCTATCCATGCGGCAAGCCAAATAAGATTTGGCAAGGTCACGACATTGTGCGTCATTGACGCCGCGCACTTTCTTAATGCACTCGAGATAGTTTGATATGACGTGCTTACATTCACCTATTATAGCGTGTCAGGATATGGCTACACGCAACAATATCTGTCGTTAAGGTGCCAAAACTGAGCTTCTTGTAGTGTAGTGCTCAACTCACCGTCGTGGTCCAAAGGAAAACTCCCGCGCTGAGGACTAGGAGGAGGCCAGGGCAACCAATGTTAGTCTATCATGTTTCTTTTTTTTTTACTCTATTTTTTCTTAAGAGTGCTGCCTCAGATATGGTGGATGTCTGCACGCACGGAATTGGTTTGGCATTGGCTTGCCGAGCTCCGGGACCGCCCAATTGACTCATAGTGTCTTCTGGCCACTGAAAAGGTGGTCTTGAATTGTTGGTTGCTGTTGAGGTGAGTTGTTAGAGGGAAATCGGCTCACGTTCTAAGGACATCAGTTTTAGCGGTAGTGGCTTTACGGAAACGACACCACTACCAGCATTAACACCACACCAATGCGGCCATTGCCTCTTCACCCATACTTAACAAAATTTGGTAGCAAAATTCGTAGCATCTCAACTTAAAAAACCGAGACATTATACAAGACCTCTATGATTTCCTCCTGTAATTAGCTGACATTTCTCACAGGACCCTGTGCCTCCCTATTCAGCTGACAATTTGCTTCGGTCAAGGAACATCTTGAGGCCGACAGAAGTCTGCCTTTTACACTATTGTTAGCTCGTCGTCTCATGGGCCCCAGCTGAGCTAAGCAATGCCACCTGGTAGGCTCCCAATAGGTTCACGGGTACCCGTGCGTGTAAAATTTCACGGGTACCCGTGGAAATGACTAAGCAACCTGCCCACGTCAATGAACGCGTCTTGTGTCATACACCTTTCACGCGTTATTTGCATCCAGCACTTCAGTCATATATTCTTAAAAATGGAAATAGCTCTCAAAGACTCAATACTCACATTCCCAGACGACAGTCTCCCCCCTGAAAGCGATCATAAATCTCGCGATGAGCTTTTTATGTCAATCAACAACTGGGCGGCGACAAAGGGATACGCATTCACTACCGGGAGATCAACAAAGGAGAAAAGCGGACGACGGACGATTACATATTCATGCGATAGGTCGTGTCATCCGCCAAGCACATCAATAGCGCGGCAAAGGCAAACTACTAGTAGGGGGACTGGTTGTCAATTTTCCGTCCTTGCTAAGGAATCTTTAGATAAGAGCACATAGAGCTTGAGACACCGGCCCGATAAGCGTTTTTCTTCTCATAATCATCCCCCAAGCTAACATCCGTCTACTCACCCAACGCATCGCAAGCTATCTGAGGAGGATCAAGCCAAGGTAGCCGGTCTTTCAAACGCTAGCGTCGCACCCAGGGACATCAGAACATACATACGACAAACGACAGACTCTATAGCGACCCAGCAGGATATCTACAATCATATTACAGCCGCTAAACGAGATGTTCGTAAAAGGCAGACCTCGATCCATACACTTGCCAATCAACTTGATAAGGAAGGCTTCTAGAGTCGCATGCAGTTTGCACCAGATGGCCGAGTTACGGCTGTCTTGTTCGCTCATCCAGATTCCTTAGCCCTTCTCCAAGCCTACCTAGACATCATGTTACTAGACTATACCTATAAGACTAATAAGTATAGTATGCCACTTCTTGATATAGTTAGCGTCGATACTTGCCAACGGTCGTTCTATATTGCGTTTGCATTTCTTAGCAGCAAGGCAGAAGATGACTATACCTAGGCTTTAGAGCAGGTCAAATCCTTGTATAGTCAGTGCAACGCTAGCCTACCTGCGGTTATCCTTACAGATCGCTACTTAGCATGCATTAACGCTATTGCAACCATCTTCCCCTCTTCTGCATCTTTGCTTTGCCTCTGGCATGCAAACAAGGCCGTTCTTCAACATTATAATCCAGCTTTTGACTCTACTAAGCCAAAGACAGTCAACAATCCTACAGCGCTCAAACCTTCAACTCAGAGCTAGGAAGAATTCTATAACTCCTGGCATTTGATCATCAGCTTGCCATATAAGGTGGTTTTTGAGGAGCGCGTTTCCCAGTTTGAGGAACGCTATCTTCTAGACCATCTCGAAGAAGTCGGCTATGTTACGTCCGTTTAGTTGAAACTATACAAGGAGAAGCTAGTGAAAGCCTAGGTCGATCAGCATACCCATTTTGGCAATATGGCTACTTCGCAAGTTGAGGGTATTTATGCACTACTTAAATCGCACTTGAAACGATCCATATTAGACCTTTTTAAAGCTTGGCAAGCAATAAAGCATGCTTTACTAAATCAGCTATCGGATCTAAAGTCAAATCAAGTTAAACAGCAAATACGGATACTAGTTGAGCTTTCAGGGTCAATATACGGCGCAGTGCTTGGCTAGGTATCGCATGAAGCCTTACGCAAAGTAGAAGAGCAACGGAAGCTGCTTACGAAGAAAGACACAAATCCTTCCACAGCCTGTACGGGGACGTTTTCTCGAGTATATGGTCTCCCATGCTTACACAAATTAAAGACTTTACAAGAACAGAATCTTGTTCTTCTACGTGAGCACTTCCATGCACATTAGCATTTAAGGCGTGATAGAGCGCCGCAGCTATTGCTAGAGCCTCGCCAGCGCATAGAGCCCAGGTTGCAATTAGAGAATCCCAGTATTCCCAAATCAAGCACTAGACGAGAGCCTAGCGGGTTCGAAGTTGTTAAAGTTGCTTCACAGGCCCCAAGCAAATGCAGTAGGTGTCATACAGTTGGCTATACTATAACTTCAAAGGCGTGCCCTCTGCGATACACGCATTTATTGCCTAAACCGACACCTACTCCAGATCCAGCTACAGTATCAACTGCGATATTTACCAGGACGACGACAGATACACAAGAACCTCCTTCAAACGCCATGCAAGACGTACCAGAGTTAGTTCAACCGACTATTGCTATAATGGTAGAGACTAGTATATCACCACCTCGGGTATTATCACCATTTGCGCATTCGTATTCACCTTCGCTGCTAGGATACGATTCACCTCAGGCGATATACGGACGGTACTATATAGCAAGAAACGCCTGGTACGGTGCTCAACCTCGTGGGAGTGTCAAAACAAACCAGGAGTATCGAAGGGCAATAGGACTTCCGCTACGTTATAACAAAAAGTGTTATAAGTAGTATCTTGACTATAAGCAGATGAAAGGACGCTGCACTACCTCACACGGGTCAAGGGATTAGACGAAGGAGGAGATGATAGCTTATCTGGACTAGGATAAGGCTGAACACAAACGGGTCGATGAGCTGATTATTACGGAAGATAGACAAAACCCCTTTAAAAACAGTAAGAGAGGTATAAGCGAAGTCTGGAAACGAGTCGAGCAAGATAAGGCAGAGCAGGAGGCGTTATACGCTAGTAGTAAGCCCGAAGAGTGCATCGTAGTAAAGTCGTAAACTTTCCGGATAAGTTTGATGCAGGCCGTGCCTCTCATTGGCTCATGAGCCCCATATCAGAGTTGCTTAGTCATTTCCACGGGTACCCGTGAAATTTTACACGCACGGGTACCCGTGAACCTATTGGGAGCCCACCTGGTAGGAGCTTTCACTGTCCGAGAGCTGGATACGTACCTGTGCAACCAGCAAGCAAGGGCCTCTGCAGCCCGAGGCTTCGACGGAATACCACCATTACGTCCCTTGCCCCAACTTTCTCTAAGCAGGCGACCTGTGGATCGCGCATGAATTCTTGAAATTGGACGACGTGCGAAGCATCGACATCGCAATATCGATCCAACGCCCTCCGATCCATCCACTCCAAAGGGTCTCGCTCCTTCCTCGTGCCTCCTTTCCAGTATCTGCAGCAGCTTGGAGACATTCAATTTACTCATCAACCAGCCCGCGCTTGCTCCCTCCGTTGGCTTGTTTTTCATTGCATTTTCTTGCGTTGCGTTGCGTTGCGGTGCGGTGCTTTGCCTTCCCTGCTTCAGTCCAGCCTGCAGTCAGTTTGGACCAGAACAGCTTCGCTTTCGATTATTCACCAGCCAACATCTGTGTCCAGTACTCGACATTCACCTTGAACACATCATCAACCCAAATCACGCCTCGCGAACATTTTTAACAATCTGACCCGTCACTATGGCGTCCCTAGGAGACGACCTACTCACTACTGTCAACAAGTTGCAAGACCTAGTCTTCAATACTATTGGCAGTGATTCGCTTGATCTTCCACAGATTGTTTGTCTTCTCATTCCTCAAGCGCGGGCGGTCTGCAAACATCCAGCAACTGACTTCTCTGTAACAGGTGGTTGTCGGCTCCCAGTCGGCCGGAAAATCCTCCGTACTTGAAAATATTGTTGGCCGTGACTTTCTGCCTCGTGGAAGTGGCATTGTCACTAGACGGCCCCTGATCTTGCAGCTGATCAATGTCCCCGAAGACGAAAATGCCGCCGACCCTCTGCAAGATCCATATAGGTCTCCTGACGTTGCTCGACGATCCGAATGGGCGGAGTTCCATCATATCCCAAACCGACGCTTTAACGACTTTTCAGACGTGAAGCGCGAAATAGAGAACGAAACGTCTCGTGTGGCGGGCAACAACAAGGGCATTAACAGACAACCCATTAACCTAAAAATCTACTCTCCACATGTCCTCAATCTGACTCTGGTCGATCTTCCGGGGCTCACAAAGGTTCGTTCCTCGCTACCCTCATCCATCTTTGTCTCTTTCCATGATGCTAACGCTTGTGAAAAGGTCCCAATCGGCGACCAGCCCACAGATATCGAAAAACAGACGCGCAATCTAATCTCCGAGTACATCGCTAAGCCTAACAGTATCATTCTCGCTGTTTCTCCAGCCAATGTTGATATTGTTAACTCGGAGGCCCTGAAGCTTGCCCGCCATGTTGACCCCTTGGGAAGGAGAACGATCGGTGTGCTTACCAAGGTTGATCTCATGGACCATGGTACAAACGCACTAGATATCCTGTCAGGCAGGGTCTATCCGCTCAAGCTGGGCTTCATTGGTGTTGTGAACCGCTCGCAGCAAGATATTCAGGGCAACAAGCCCATGGAAGAAGCTCTTAAAGCTGAGTCAGAGTTTTTCAGGCATCATCCGGCCTATCGCAACATTGCCAGCCGATGCGGGACTCAGTACTTGGCGAAAACGCTAAACACAACACTCATGGCTCATATTCGGGAGCGCATGCCTGATATCAAGGCACGTCTCAACACTCTTATGGGGCAAACCCAACAGGAGCTGGCCAGCTATGGGGACATGCATTTTAGTGGAAAAGAGCACCGTGGATCCCTGATTTTACAGCAGATGACACGCTTCGCTACATCATTTATCTCTTCTATCGACGGTACCTCGACCGAGATTTCTACCAAGGAGCTATGCGGTGGTGCACGTATCTACTACATCTTCAACTCGGTTTTCGGCAGTTCCCTAGAATCCATTGATCCAACCTCCAACCTGTCGGCTTTGGATATCCGCACTGCAATCCGAAACTCTACGGGTCCTCGTCCTAGTTTGTTCGTACCGGAAATGGCATTTGACTTGCTCGTGAAGCCTCAGATTAAACTTCTCGAAATTCCGAGTCATCGATGCGTCGAACTTGTTTACGAAGAACTCATCAAGATATGTCACACATGTGGTTCGACGGAGCTGTCGCGCTTTCCGAGATTGCAAGCAAAGTTGATCGAAGTTGTTTCAGATCTCCTGCGTGAACGCTTGGGGCCCACCTCGTCCTACGTTGAGTCTTTGATATCGATCCAGCGCGCATATATCAACACGAACCACCCTAACTTCCTAGGAGCTGCTGCTGCTATGAGTAATGTCGTCAGCAACAAGCAGGAAAGGGAGCGGAAACGTCTCATCCAAGAAGAAAGAGAAAGACGAGAAAAGAGGAGGCTGAAAGAGCTTGGCTCCAACGGAACCGAGGCACCCGAGGAGGAAGAGGAGTCTACTGCCACTGATAAGGCCGACCCAACGGCTCTTCGGAAGCAGGCAAGTAAAGGAGCGCGAAGCCTGTCACCGGGCGTGAGGGAAAATGGCACTACTGGCCTTAATGCAGCTCTGAATGGCGTTCGATCAGCTTCTCCGTCGAGGTTTAATGGCCAGGGCCTTGGTGGCGCACGAGACTCATTTCTGACTTACTTTTTCGGCAAGGACGGTGCCTCGCCCATCGGAGCCGCGCAGGGCCTCTCACCTGCACCCAATTCCTCCATTGCCCGCCATGTGAGCCAAACTTCTGAACCCACATTCTCGCAGAGCATTCGCCGAACCGAGGACAAGGTAGCGCTGCGTGCCCCTGCCCAGTCTTCAGCTCGTGAGGATGAGCTCGACTTTAACAAGCCTGCCAGACCTGTAGATTTTGGTGCCCCGTTCGTAAGTTGGCTCCCGTGAAGTTGAACCCGAAGTGTATTTACTTACTTGTTCCACAGGGCGCGACTGGCGGTGAACCGGCCATGACAGAGCGAGAGGCTATGGAAACGGAGCTAATTCGAGCTCTCATTTCTTCGTACTTCAATATCGTTCGGGAATCTATTGCTGACCAAGTGCCCAAGGCTGTTATGCACTTGCTCGTCAATCACTGCAAGGATGTTGTACAAAACAGACTTGTTAGCGAACTGTACAAGGAGGCTCTATTCGAGGAACTGCTGTACGAAGACGACGGCGTCAAGAAGGAACGCGAGAAGTGTGAAAAGCTGCTTCAGACGTACAGGGAGGCTGCTAAGATCATTGGCGAAGTGTTATAGATAAGTGTTGGAAAAAGTAGATAGACCCTGGCGAATCGGCGCCCTTGTTTACACTAGTTCTGTCAACTCTACTTACTTTGGTATTCGCTAAACTTTCATGGTGAGGGTCAGATCTGGGGCGTTTCAAGGAACGGGCCCGGCATGTCTCGAGGATCGATGGGATGACGATCGCCTCGTATTCGTCAGGGCCACTAGGCGGCTCCTTTGCTATCTTATAGTCGAATACATGTGTAATACAAGAGGCTCAAATTGACCAAGATCTACGAGAGCTGGGTACAACAGGGCGACAAATTTAGTTGGGTTTGATGGACGACACTACATACTACAATACCTAAGGTCTTCAACAGAAATAGAACTAGCCTTTTATCATAGTACTCCCAACCCTCCTAGTCAAACTCCAAGGATCATCGGTGAAAAGCTACCAGATATCATAGGCAGAGAAGTGCTTAGTAGCCTAAGTGACGCTTATTGTCAGTGACAGAAACTGGAGCAGGACAACTAGGATCCTACTCCTCGTGAAACGACGAATAACCATTCGTCCCGGAAAGCATCGTAGAGTGTTCGTGTACGGGAATTGGAGGTAGTAAGATCGGAGACTCTCTTCCGGCAACCCGTGGGCCATAGATTGTACCATGATGAGCTGTCGAGTAAGGAACTTGCTCCTCAAGGTTGTCCTTGTACAACAATGGAGACGACTCGCGGCCACGAGATATTGACCGCCTGATGACGCACTCTCCCTTTGCATTCTGTATATGAATTACTCCATAAGCTCGCCCACAACGTGGTGGTGATGTTCGCGTTTCGCTTGCGTATGTGTACATAGCTCCTCATCTGTTATCCGTATGGTCGACCGTGGCGAGGCCAGTTAATCTCCGAGGCACGCTGCGTTACAACGTTTAGTAAGATAATAGTCCTTGAAGGTTGGTGTGGGTCGTCGCTGTCTCTTTTAACTGTGATCAATATAGCTAGTATCTTGAAAATGGCTATCGCGATGAGCGATTCTACGTTTATCTCTCCAATTTTCACAGCTAGGTTTTGAGCTTAGCAGTTCGGTTCTTTGTGGACGTGCAGGCTTTTGTGCTCCTCAGCCATATGGGATTCCAGGGCGGAATTGAGGGCTGATGTCATCAACCTCTGTCAGTCGTGGCCTGGTAGAGCGAGTAGTCTGTAACACGCCTTTCGCTTTATGCTACGTATTTGGCTTGCCATGCCGTTCATCCATTTGTATATCAAGGCCGGCAGATCCCTCAGGATCTGTGTAATTGGCCGAACTAGACACTCTCATATTGCGACCTTCAAGATATTCGGAGTTGAGACCATCGCAACGCAAAGGACTAGACGAGGCGTTGCTCTCTTCGTGCAAGTGGACATGAGCTGGATTGACATGTGAACTTACAACTGCTCCTAAGATGAGCCGTACTTGGAACGACGGATGATTATCGTTCATCTATTATGGCGTAAAAAGTCCGCTTTATTCCGCATTGTCTATTGTTGCATGTCTGGCATTTTCTGCGCATGGTTGAACTGTGACCAGTCCGATAGGATATCGCTATCGTTGCTTAGGCGGCTAGGGGCCGCTCTAGAGTGTGCCTGCCCGGCTCTTACAGCCGCTGTAGAAACAACTGCGGCGAGCTGTAGTAGTTTTGAACAATGGAGTTTGAGGAGAAAGACCCGGTAAGATGGTTTTGTTCTGAAGCCAAGAAGGGTGACTAAAGTTTGCCGGTCGATATAGCTTCTCTCAGGCGCTACCTGATACAGCTGAGCCCGAGTATGCTGGAAGCAAGGAACAAGATCAACAAGCGCGTATGGTTGCAAGGGGCAGTTGTTCACGCAGATTTGGCTGGAATGTTTATGGCAGATAACAGGCGATCTTTTTCCAGGCTGGTTTTCGCGGGACTGCATTTGAATGTGCGCCTTGCCCTGCCTCCAGTTGCAATTGCAAGTGAAAGTTGGAGATTGCGCTGACCCTCTGATTTAAGTCGCCCGAGCCTTGTCTACAGTATACCCTGACGTATGCCTGGGTCTCCCCTTACCCGCTCAAAGTCACCCACCCCATTGGAAAATGGACGACGAACACCATTGAAGTGGTGATCAATACAATTCGGACATCGGCAAGGCCTCATAAATAATACCTCTCGCTGTTGGGGGAAGAAATGTTGTTGCTTATGTACGCCTTTGTTTTCTATATTCCCACAACCATACATTAGGTTGAAATTGAGTGTTCATAGCGAGTAAATCAAATAAGCAGTCCGCTCCAATGTGCGTCATATAGTACTGTTCGTATCTGCGCGCAAAGAGCATGGAAATCGGCGGTGTTGAACAGCCGTCGCATCAAACGGAAGCCTCCAAAATACTCATACAACAAGGCAATGCAACGTGACACCCCATGCAACTCTAAGCGGCAGCGGCAGCGGCAGCGGCCAATGTCAATTTGTGTGCGGACCAGCAGGAGGCATCGGTGCATTATTCAAGGTAGGCGACCTTGCCCGTAGAGCTAGAGAAATACAATCAACGTACCAAGTCAGGCTGAATGCGGTGAAGTTTGACCATCCTTTCCTTTTGGCTCCTAATGCACATTTGCTGATTTTTAGGTGACTGTGGTCGGTGATTGACAGACCTTCGTGACGGTTAGCCTTAACCATTGCTAAGAAGAACTTGTTTTCAAGCTTTGCAACGGCTCAACTTTGATCCCCGCTTCCCATAACAGATGGCACGTGTTGTTCACGGCGAGCGTAGTCGTCGCCGACTTGTCTATTGGCTGCGTCAGCCAACTAGTCGAAGTAAACCACACCTGCTTCGAAGACCAACCATATTGTATGGAAAACCGAGTCTTCGAAAATATAAGCAGTGAGCTGAGAATTCTCACTTAGAATCATAGCCGGACCTCGACTGAGTGGGTGAAAGGCTACGACGCTTGCCTCGGGATGATTCGCTTCGTTGGCGCCTTCTGCTCTCCCGCGATTTTTCGCTGCTACGTGCCTCTTTATCTGGTGAACGGGAGGCACTGCTACTGCGACGCTCTCGATGATGGTTTCTCGACCTTTGCTCATGGGTTTCTTCACGATTGCGGTACGACTGACGTCCGGGGCTAGGGCTACGAGATCTTGAGCTCTTGGATGACGCGCTGCTTGCAGACCTGCTCCGAGATCTTCTGTCAGGATCCGGCGACCGACGTCGAGATGAAAAGTGCCTCCGTCGTTTTGTAGCTGGTCGTCTGTCAGGCGAAGGTGACCCAGACGAACGATATGTCGTGCTTCGTTTGCGTCTTGAGTCATGATGTCCATTTGCACTTCGCCTAGGCGATCTGGAGCGATTTCTTCCAGGCCGACTTCCAGATGAGCTATGGTCTTGGCGGGGTCTTCGGGGTGGAGGAGAAATCGAGCCATGGCTGGACTCGCGTTCTGGTTCCGCACTGCGACCCCGAGAAGTGGACCGTGAGGTCGCAGATGCTATGGAGGGTGAGCGAGTACCACCACGGCGACGACCAGAACCTCTGCCAGTCGCAAGGCGATCTCTAGGAACATAGATATCTCGTTGGGAACCACGAAACGAGCCCCTTTCTCGTTGATCGCGAAACCTGGAAGCCGGGGATCTTGACTTATCTTCGCCAAATCGGCTGTCACGTCTGTTTCGTTGGTCAAAATCCCTATCCCCTCGACGGCTGCGCCAAGTGTCTCCTCGACCACGACCACGGTCGCTGCGATCACGGTCCCTCTGCCGGCTGATATCATGTTCACGTCTTTCGGCATCTTCGCGTCTGCGGCGGGCTTCGTCTGCGGCACGATCGGCCTCAATCTACGTAAATGTTAGTTGCCATCTGAGTTCAGCTTAAAAGAAATCGATGTGTGTACCTTCTCCTGAATCAGTTCCAATTTCTTGGCCTCAAGAAGTTCTTTTGGGACGCCTTGGGGGCTTGTCTGGGCACTCAAACATAGTTTCCACAGTTCCTTGCAAAACGGTGCAGTTTCCTTGTCCAAAAAGCCAGTAAGTTGTATTTGAAGAGACTTGATGTCAGGCTGTCAAATTGTTAGCACGCATATATATTTGTGTATTTAGGCCGTTGTGTACGACAAGCAAGACTGACAAATCGGGAGCCCTCGATCAAATTAAAGCAAAGCTCAATGACGACGTCGTCTTCGCTGCCGAGAATATCAGATATTCTACTTGCTATCCATCTACAGGAGAGTCAATAAACAATGAAGATGGTAAAAAGGAAATAGAGAGCAGCAGACTTTTTCATGACCTGGAGGTTGACCTTTTGCATGTCAACCTTCTGGCTGAATTCCGGAGGAAACCTCGTGGACTTGAGCAGCCTTGCGTCAACACCTGTCGCCATGATGGACACAAATGAACAAGGCCGAGGGTGGCAAGCGAATGAAAAGGGGGATCTTCAACTTGAACCGATGTCGGTTCGGATACTTCGAGTGCTGGAAGCTGAATTTGGGTTTGAACTGGAACTGTAGCTGGAGCTGCTCGAGGCCGTGTTCTGACTAGCCTTTTGCCTTAGGTAGGTAGCACCACTTATCTTATCTCATCTACAGACGTTAGTCAGCATATCTCAAGACACTCCGAGGCGATGTCATTGCCCCCACATTCCTCCCTTGTAGACCGCCTGCCAAATGCTCTGTAGGTTGGCACCAGCAGTTCTACCTGGACTCAGTGGTTCCAACATTAATACGGATTTACTTCAACTCATTACCTGTGGACAATCCAACCCGTTAGCACGTGCGGGAATTTTGACTTATCCAGTGTGCTCGCCCCACGATTTAGCGCGACGCGAAATAAGGCACACAAGCCGTCATCTTGGTTGTTATAGAGCAAGCAGAGGAGCAGCCGTTCGTATCAGAAATTGAGTTCTGTCGGCCCTTGCTGACCATGATGACAATGCTATCTAGAATGAATAACATACACGCTCCCACGGTGCCTTCAGGCCCCACAACCAACGCGGGAACCAACGGCAGTATCGCTCACCTGACTTTTACGGAACTTCAAAGGAAGAAAGTTGATATGGAAGCTGAGCTGAGAGCTTTGGGCGCAGTCCTTGATTCTGTACCTCGAACCCCCAAACATACTTGCCTAGACATCTTGCCATCCAGAGGCTTATCTGACTCATTAGTAGCACGGGGTTAATATGACTAGCCCGCTTACGACTCAAGATGGATTCCCAAGGGCCGATATAGACGTCGCGCAAGGTAGACCGCACTTAAAGGAGAACTTGAAGAACGACGGATTGACCTTTTGATCAACAGTGCGCACCACCAGAGCCCGCATAATTCACCTCCGTAATGATTACAAAGACCTGATGGCTCTAGTTGAAAAACACCTCCATGAACACTTTGCTAGTCTTCAAGAGAACGACGAGGCTCAGCCTTCATTTTCGGGTAGTGACGATGGCTTGCCGTTGGAGCACACTACCCCACTGCTGCTCCAGCAGCCATTTGCGCAGGTTAACAGCGTTGTCTCAGGCAGCCCAGCCGAAAGTGCTGGCCTAAGGCCGCAAGACGAGATTCGCAACTTTGGGTATGTCAACCATTCAAACCATGATGGCCTTAAGAAGGTAGCCGAGTGCGTCCAAGGAAGCGAAGGTGTAAGTTGATGAACAACAAACCCCAAATCCGACAAGGTATCGGCGTCTAGGGTACTGACAAGTCGCAAGCAACCGGTATTGGTGCGAGTTTCGCGTCCTGGTTCAGGGGGAAGGCAGGAATTGCAGCTGATTTTGACACCGACACGCAATTGGGGTGGCAGAGGCTTGTTGGGCTGTCACATTCTTCCTTTGTAAACAAATTGTTTTTCCCTGGGCGCCAATTTCGCGAAAACTGGGTTTATGACAACTATGCGAAAGAAGAGGCATTCGAGGACTGCTAAGTCATTGCAGTGCCAAAAAAGAAAGTGTGGACAGGCAGAGGTCATCTCAGCCATATACTCCGTAGGCTGCCTGCCATAGTGTTAGGCACAGCGAGTCTCTTCTTCGGCTTACAAACAGGTAGCTAATGAGAAGGCGGAATCACCAGGCCAATGCAGCATAAGTAAGGCACTAGGAAAACAATAAAAAAGGTCACGTGTGTGGAGACAAAATGGCCACTGGGTAACTTAGCCACAGGAAGTAATGTAAGTGTTCATGCTGGTCAGGCAGACGCTTTAGTCAGGTAGCACTGCGAAATCCAGGTTGCCAGGCACATAGTGTAGAAGGGACGGCGGCAAAGTATCTGTCCAAGCCATCACGATTTGCTTGCGTCTGAAGCTCGAGTAAACAAACTAGTTCGTTCAGAATGCAGGCAAACTATAACTATCGAAAAATTCAAGTTGCTTTCCAGTGAATTGAGTGTAGATAGACATCTAAAGGTCCATACAAACAATCTAGCCCGCTCAACTGCCAGCATCAGATGGGCCCGTCACTTTGAAGCAGTGACAGGCTAGTGGGGACCATGAATATTTTTTGTGATTCCGTAACAAGACTAGCGTGGGCTGGGATGGACTTGGTTTTTCTTTGCCCACCTTTCGCCGCACTGTTGACTTTGAGCTGCTCCTGCTGGCGATTTTTGCAGGGCGAGAGGCACCCCGCTATGACGAGACAGCCATGCACGTGACAGGCGCATAGCCCAATCGTGCCTACCTGACTCCGTTGGCCTGCCTGACTGAATTTTTCGCTTAAGAAGTACGGCTCCTTGCAAGCTCCCCGCCATCCTCAAAAACATCACCCCCCCCAAAGTCGATCAGTCGGTGACGATTTCTACACGTCAAACGTCCACAGCCCGTTTCGCTGTTTCTCTACGGTACGCCTTTCTCGCTCCCACGTCATCACCAGTTTCTTCCTACCTTCCAAAACTTCTCGACGGTGTTCGATCGGTTCGATTATGTTCGTTTGCGCCGACTACTAACCCTTCGAACAGCCCCGCTTGTTTATACCATCTCGCACCGAGTGAACTCATCGAGCGATCGCGACTATGGCTGCCGCTCAGGGGACACCTACCTTTAAGCTCGTCCTTGTCGGCGATGGTGGTACTGGAAAGGCAAGTTTTCGACCTTTTCTTGGGTTGTGTTTGGTTCTTCCACGGAAGCAACGGTCCATGGCTTTTTCGTTGAGGCCACTCACGTCCCGCTTCCTGATGAATATTCTTGCTCGTTACTGACCGTGTGAATTACTACAGACCACCTTCGTCAAGCGTCACTTGACTGGTGAATTCGAGAAGAAGTACATGGCCACTCTTGGTGTGGAGGTTCACCCCCTGGGCTTCACTACGGTACGTGCATTCATGAAAAAATCAGTCTTGGCCCCCGCTTCACGATTATTCAGTAATTTAATCTGTTCCGTGTAGAACTTTGGCCAGATTCAATTCGACGTCTGGGACACCGCTGGTCAGGAGAAGTTCGGCGGTCTCCGCGATGGATACTACATTAACGGCCAGTGCGGTATCATCATGTTCGACGTTACGTCTCGTATTACCTACAAGAACGTCCCCAACTGGCACCGTACGTAACTCCCCAAGCGATATTTGCCGCCCTCAACCAAATTTTGTCTCCTCGACTTGCATGACTCACAAATGCCACAGGCGATCTCGTCCGCGTTTGCGAGAACGTACCCATTGTTCTTTGCGGCAACAAGGTTGACGTGAAGGAGCGTAAGGTCAAGGCCAAGACTATTACTTTCCACCGCAAGAAGAACCTCCAGTACTACGACATCTCTGCCAAGTCCAACTACAATTTCGAGAAGCCCTTCCTCTGGCTTGCACGCAAGCTCGTTGGCAACGCTGCTCTGGTAAGCTGGCTCAAGTCTCGGTATTAAAGACCAGAATATTGACTGTTCACCAGGAATTCGTTGCCGCGCCGGCTCTTGCCCCTCCCACCGTACAGGTCGACGAGAAACTCCTGGAGCAGTACAGCCAGGAGATGAAAGCTGCCGAAGGCATTCCCCTCCCTGGTGAGCTTTCGGATGATGACTTGTAAAGATAGACAAGGCTTGGATCAATTTCCAACCGCGGCGGGGTGGCTGATGGGGCATCGTGAACCGGAATTCTCTGGCGCAGACCGGCAATTGCTGGTCACGGCCATTATGGTAGAAGACGGCACGGCCGGTTCATTTGGTAGACTCGGAGCAGGAGGGGAGGGCCTTACATTTGCTGCTAGACGGCCAGCATACTTTGAGTAGTTTGACGCCTCACAAGATGAACACTTAGTCCTTACACTCCACACCAGGTCATCTAAAGGGATGTGCCTGTCCGCTCTCTACTTTGTGTGCAAGCCATGGCAGATAACGCGATGCAATGCGCGTAATTAGATAGCAACATATAGGTAGCCTGGTACGAAGGTTGAGGAGGATTACGGAGGTTAATGACAATTTTCGTACCCATAATGACTAGTAGTGCAACACGGCCGTATAGAGTGACAAGCTACGTCATGTTTTTTGCTGATACGAGTAGATTACCATGGTGCGGGCTTGAAAGGTGTAGATTGTGGCATGTCTCCATCAATGTATGATATCGGTCAATGGCTTTGGTCAGTGACTTTGGCTAGCGTAGTAAGTGCCGATGAGTCCAGGCACATTGGGTGGGTGCATTGTAGGGCAAGTATGTGTAAAGGATTATTTAACACTATGCTTGTTGGCTTCACACATATGTCGGTGAACAAGACTAAACTCCCATCCTCCAGATAATGCAATGTCCACATTGATAGATGACATTCATAGACTCAGTGCAACGCGTTTTTGTATTTTGACAGTGACAGTCTCCATTCTGGGGATGGAGCGGAGAAACAGCAGAAAACAAGCTGCGCAACAGGCACAGACCAGGGGCAGCGACGCGTCTTTTGATCCGTTAAATTGGGACAGGGTTTAGAAGTACACTTCCTTGGCTAGTGCAAACAAATGCCTACGGGAAATAAAATGGGTAATAGTTGTGCATGCTTTACGATTGAACGGGCGTTGTCAATTACAACTGCTGCTGGGCATTTCACTACCAGCTCTGTGAATGACAGATGGGTGCAGTATACATATCAAATTGATGCACCGCATTTATAACCATTTGAACAATAACCTCTTCTCAAGACATTGATTATCCTGAACAATACATGGGTTTGGTTGGTGAATCTAGTTTCCAGAGAATGCCCAGGCCTGAGATGCAACCTAAATAGTAAATGCGCCAGCAAGCCAGATGTCGTGTCAATGTCATTAGCAAATAACGAAAACAGTTTAAATTGCCTTGGATATCTGGTGGGCGCGCAGGACGATTTACCTGAGTTGTAGCCCCTGGTGACCAAGTGCAGAGTGTTTTTGTTTGATTTCCTAATTGACAACAAGCACGCGACTTAACTGGTCAAGCCTCATCAAATTTGTGTAAGTTAGGTAGTCAACAACCCTTGTGAGGACATGTCCTATTTAAAGTCTCCTAGACATGAATACAAGCAGGTCTTCCCAGCACTCTAGTACTGCCAGGTAGTGAAAGGTACGTGGGTCGTGGAGACCCGTGCCGCGATCGCGCTGCGGTGCCCTATATTGGACGTGGAAGTACCATACTTAGCGTGTAAGTATGAGGTGGAACCTTGCCTAGTTGGGCCCAGACGCGCTGTGTTCAACACCAAGGGTGCCGCATCAGAGCGTACCTCACCGTACCTAATTACGAATAACCGCGCCGTCTCGTGTCTCGACACTCTGCTTCCCCACCTCGCTCGTTCCTGGAACCTCTCTTCGTCATTCTCCCTCTTCCTCTCAATTTACTCAACAACCTCACTCTTGAAACGCCGAGACCTCTTTTTATTTTATTTGTGAAGCCTGCAGTCTCCTCCGGCTGTCCTCTTACCCGCCCGCCCTATTCACATCGGACCATGAACTCGATTCAAGCATAACGCAGCTCGACCGCCGCCGCCATGCCAGCCCCCGACATGTCTCCTCCAGCCTCGACTGCTGTCGAAACGACCTCACCTATATCCTCATGCGATTCACTATTAACTCACGAATCTATCACTCAATCTCCTGCACGAGATACGACCACCAACTTGACAGAAAAGCCGGACCTTTCACCCTGCATATCAACGTCAATCCCAAAGACAGACATGTCCAATCACGAGCCAGAGAAACACCCCAAAGGAAAGAGGAAGAGGACTGCGTGAGCCCATCCATATCCATTGAACAGAGTCGCTAGCTTTTCTTACAGGTGCTAACTCAGCTCCTGCAGTGCCAAAGACAAGACTATCCTAGAAAACGCCTACCTTGCGAACCCCAAGCCTGATAAGGCAGCGCGTCTGGATATTGTGAAGCGCGTTTCACTCAACGAGAAGGAGGTTCAAGTAAAACTACGTTCTTAGCCAGATCATGACCTGTTTAGTTGCTAACTCTTTACTTGCAGATATGGTTTCAGAATCGCCGTCAGAATGACAGACGCAAGTCGCGTCCCCTTTCTGCCCAGGAGATTGCTGCCCTCCGCTATGGCGGAATGCAGATTCTGTCTTCTGACCCGGTGACTTATAGTCCCTCAGCCACCGAAGAGAAAACTTCGCCCGCGACTGACGGCTCATTTACAAATGGCTCTGTGTCCGTGGAAACCCCGGTCAAACCCATCAATGCCTTGGCCGAGGATCTGGTCGAAGGACCACAACATATCAGTCCGTCTAATGGAGCCATGAAGGTGGGAACCAAGGCTTTTGAAACTCCAGCGTCTCAAGTATCAGATCCTTCAGCTGCATCTCAGCAACATTCAGCATCATTTTCCTTGTCAAGCTCCGTTAGTTTCCTAGCGAACCAGTGGTATCCTGCAAGTTCCTTCTCCACGCCGTCGACTTTCAGCCGTACTGTCGACGATACACCCAAGTAAGCCACCCTCTTGTGTCGTTCGTCTTCTTGGTGGCCTATATTTACCATCTAGGTCTGAACAATGTACGTCATCCTCTTGCGAGCCTGCCACGTCCGCGACTTCCATCCTTCCTCTTCCTCAGTCTCACGTACGTCTATCACTCTCTCTTGAGGGCAAGGCGGAGCTTGTCGCCAATGAGGCCTCATCACCACGACTACAACCTAGCAAATTGTTTTCGGATTTGCCGAGTCTACCTCAAGTCAAAAGTCGGCCTTTCCAACGCAGCCATAGTGCCCTTCCCAGCGTAACTTTGCCTCCCATCTCGGCCCTAACAGATTCTCTCCCGCCAACTCTTGGACGAGGCCGCTCCCGCGATGCACATGCATGGGAACTGTGCTGTGATGCTGATGCTCGCGATGAGCTCACTACTCAAGCAGAAAACGAGTCTAATGGCTCTGCTGTTGCCGCTATTAGTCTCCTGCGCTCAACGAGCGGTATTCTTCAAAACAATACATCAAAGCGGAATTCTCCAGCTACTAGACCAACGTCCCGGCCCCAACAGGCTAAAAAACCCAAGCTGAGTCGGACATCATCAAGCGTGGCAAGAATGCAAACTGCTCTTGTGGACAGCGATGATGGCGTGGATTCACAAAAAGTCGAGAAGGGGTCAGGGAAAACAGTCAGAGTCGACATGCTGGTTTCTCCATCGGGTGATTCCGATAAGGAGAACTGGTTTCCAGACGACGAGAGGAATCCACGCCGATTTTCACCGTCTCATAATGTTCGGAGGCCGTTGCCGGCTACTGCGACCAACAGGTTCAATTCGAGGCGAACCGGCCGGCTACTACAGGACCACCCTGGCCCCATCGTATTCGGCGGAAATCGCTCCAAGACTATGCCGATGATAGGTCGCCGAGATTCTGGAAAAGGCTTATCGATTTTCGAAGATGAAGACATGCCAGGGCTCAAGCCTACGGATGAGGTAGAAAGGTTTATGCGTGGCGAGATCAGCCCCAGCAAGAAAGGAGACATGGATTGCATTGCGGGATTGCTGTCCCTAAGTCAAGGCAATTGGAGATAGAGTTCAGTGAATGGGTGATTCCATGCTGGCCAAGATGTTTGTCTTAGATGAACAGTTGCAAGCGGGTGTTTCTATTTTCAGTCTATGCGGCAAGGACGATTTATTTCGAACCGCATACTGGTCCTTGTCAGGCAACTGGCAGATTAAGGCTGACATACAACCTGAAAAGGCTTGTTAGAAAGCAATGTAATTCACGAAATAGTGATTCCTTAGCTGGATGAACCGAGGAGGACGCAGAGCTCGCCTTTAGTCTTGGTCAAAGCCACGGCTGTAGGTAGTCGAGGCTGAAGGGATGAAGCGAGGCAAGCAGGGCGGCTTGTTTAACAGAGCCAGTACGACACCCGTGTGATGGAAAGTTAGTATGTGGTCTGTCATAAGCTCGGTTAGGACTGAGTCGACTAGGCGTGTAGAAATCGGTTGCGGACGTTTCCACAATCGGCTATGTATGCATATTCGTTGGTTCTTTGACAAGCTTAATGGCAGCGAGGCGTATATGTCAACGCCGAGTTGGAGGGGAGAGCTGAAGAAAAAGCTTCATTACTTACCATGGAAATTGTGTTTGTCACGCCCATTTCAAGTGTAGTTGCTGGCATTTCAGATCGCACCGTACGTTTTGATGGCAAGGCTCCATGTGTCAATAGTTGGCCGTTTCCCACGCCCTCGGTCTTGAAGATGTAAGTCATGGCATCTGTGCTGTTGGTGTGGAATGGTGCCCTGCACTCCTAGATAACAACGAGCTTTCCCTTCACACTATTTAAGCGTAAAGAGGTTCAGATGTGCAGTCTCAGTTATAAACTTGTCGCATGCCTAGGCAAGGATCTAATATCAAAGACTAAATCGGTTGTGCACAATCCATACAATGTGCCTGCTTAGGGTTGAATGTCAACCTAAGTTGAATATTCTGATTGGTGACCTATGTCTATCTAGGATAAAAAAGAATATTTCTCTCCTTTTCCTCTTCAAAGCTGAGGCCAAAATGTCTCACCCTGAAAGCCTCCTGTGATGGAGAAAATGTACCATGCTTGAAACCACATGGATGTGGTTCCGGTCTCTAACGTGTTTCTGCGCGTGCGAACGTGCCTGGCCTGGCACTGGCCGCCCTTGACACTTATGCCATGCTTCCTGATCAGATTCGCTCAAGTCTATAAAAAAGAGAAAAAAAAAAGAATGACAAACAAGATTAGATGCGTCTAGCCCACCTCGCTATAGTAGGCAATGAAGGGGTGATCATTAACGCTTTCTGAAAGAAAAGTTGTGTAGGGGAATCATGCCGCTGCTGCTCCTTTTCCGTTACCGTCTCTAAAATCACATGCCCAGCAGACTCATCTGCCTTCGCAAAGGACTCGCGCTAATGCTTCCGTCTTCACTGGCATAGCAAGCCGAGTCCGTGTCGATATCCCACTCCGGGTCGTCATCTTTTCCATCCTCAGATGGGCAAAGGCTACCATTAGCTGACGAATCAAAACCCTTTTGAGTAGCAGCACGTGTGTTCCAGCGGAGGGTACGGGAAACGCTGTCAAACCACTCCGTCTGGGTGCGGACCACGGTAGGGAACGGATATTGAGATGCCGTGATGGTGACATAGTCGCCCTGCTTGAGTTCCACTCTGCCCTTGCCGTCAAAGGCGCAGTAGGCGGTAGCGCGAGAGTTACGCGGTACAGACACACGGAGCAGCATGGTGTCAGATAGCACCATGGGACGGAAGGATAACGTATGTGGGCAAATAGGTGTTAAGAGGATGGCGGGAATGTCCGGATGCACCAGCGAACCGCCAGCAGACAATGAATAAGCGGTAGAGCCAGTGGGCGTCGAAAATATGCAGCCATCAGCCTGCACCACGGTGAGAAGCTCGTCATCTCCATAGAGCTCTAAATTAGACACGTACGGAGACGGCCCACGGTCGATAACAAGCTCGTTGAGAACTTCAAATTGTTCGCCCTCTTCCGCTTCCTGACCCATAGCACCGTCCCGGTATACTGTACAGGTGAAGCGCATGCGCAGATTAACACGCATGCCTTCCTCTCCCATGATACGGTCCAGATGTTGTTTGTACTTCTCAAACTCGAAGCTGGTGAGAAATCCGAGGCTGCCCAGGCTGAAAGATAAGACAGGGGGTACGATGCGCTGAAACAACCAAGAGGTGAATAGAACGGTGCCGTCGCCACCGAGGGTGAGAACCAAGTCGAATTTCTCAGGCTGACTCCAACAAAGATCGGGTGTCCAGTATCGTAGCATGCTCTGGAAGACGGGGTTCTCGGCCACAATGCCCTGAGCATCGAAGCGACGAGAGTTGCGAAGCTTGGCATCTACGAAGACGTTGACGCCGACATCGGAACCATACCTTGGGGTGCGCAGCAGCCAAGTAGCCAGTTCCCTAGTGAGGTAGACAAGTTGATTATCACGAGCCTTGGTGACGATCATGACGTTGCGGACAGCACGCTTGATGGGGCGGCGCTGAAGCTGTTTGGAGACCTCGCGGACACCAGTTGCAGTCTGGACGAGCCTTGAGTGAGACATGCAGTCATCGTTCTTGATTTCCTCAAGGACCTTGTCGATGTTAACAGCATCATCGAATCTGTTGTGGTAAAAACACGGAGATTGTAGAGAGGGCAGTGCGGTGGTAGGAGTCATGTTGCGGTTGGCGAGCTCGGTGAGTGCGTCGGCAAGTTTCTGAGACGAAGAGGTGGCAGGTCGATTCTCGACACCACCTTGTGCAGACAACATGCCTGTAAGAGAAAGAGCCTCGGGTTTATTTCTGCGAACAACCGAAGCCAAGGCTTTCATAATAGTCTGGCGAGGAACTTCGTGAGAGGGCGCGTTACGGCGGTGGCCCTTGGGAGGGTGGCCAAGATGCGCAACGTTGGAAGATCGCGACAAAGGGGGTGGCAGCTCGGGAAAGCCGGTAGTGGGCGTCGCAGTCGTTATAGATAACGGATTTAAAGTTGCAGGGTCTGCAGCTGGGCCGCCTTGGACGAGCTCGGCGCTTGAGAATGACAAACCTGCTAACGATCTGGCATTGCGAGGCAGAGACTGGCTTAAACAAGCAGATGCAGATTGGGACGAGGAAGGGCGATCGCGGTCGTGGGCGGCGTTGGAGCTTTTTGGTCGGTCGGAGAGCGAGGTTTTAACTGCCTCGGAGTGCAGAGGCGGCGGAAGCGGATTACTGAGGGCGGGGTGCAGGGCGGTGGGCGAGGAAACGAAGCCCGACATGATTAAGAATAGTGGTTCTCCACAACGGGGATTAAGGAAAGGAAGCGACCTAAGACCGGGTAAGACTTCGTGAGAAGTGGGCGATGTCAGGCTAAGAGGTAATAATAGCCTGGGGTTCGTACTGTATCTGTCCCCTGTATCCAAGACCGAGCAACGCTGTTGCAGCGAAGTGACACTCGACGTGGGGCGGGTTTTGGCGTGCTGGATCAGCAGGAGCAGCCGGAGTTTGCGGACCACCGGTAGGCGATATTCACTGTCGCTAGTGTGGAGTAAAGTGACAACGTGGGGATTGAGGGCGTGATGTGGACGATGTAGGCGAACACATGCACAGAGAATCTGTATCTTTTCCTCACTTTCACGCACTCAGCACTCGGGACTCGGCGTTCGCAAACGAAAAACGCAAGGTGACCCGTGTGCAACCTTTGCAGCACTGAAAAACTAGTACAGTCAAGGTAATTGTACCTTGAGGTGAGGTATGTGCGTATTTTGGGGTTGTGTATGTGTGACTCGATGTTTAGTGTCGCAGCAGTGTTGGCCAAAACGGGGATAATCGGTCACTGCGCCAGACAAAGTAGTGTCTTGGGCCAAGGACAAATCGGACTCTCAGGCGGAGAGACGGGGAAAGGGAGTGTGTTAGAGCGCACAAGACTGAGTGTGTGTGTGTGTGTGTGTGTGAGTCGGTGCGATGGGCGGCAGCGATGTGGTGTGGTAGGATGAAATGGGACGAATGACGCTAGTTTTAGTTGGGTTGTCGCCTCTTGGAACGGACAACAACGGCCGAGACAGGATGACAGAGATGAAGATGGTAAGTTGTACTTGTCGCTTGGTTTGAAGCGAGCCCACTGTAGCAGTATCTACGAAGAAATCGAGCTGCCGTGGAGATTGGCGTCCGAGACCGCCAAGAAGATTTGGTAAAAGTTCCTGGAAGGTGCGTAGGTCAAGGAAGGGGGAAGGCAAGCCAGGCAATCACGTCGATATCCTGGTTGTTGGAGTTCGGTGTGATCTATTCCAAGAGCCCGGAAACTTGGAAGGATCCAAGTTGACTAATTTTGACTGAGGGTTCCGCGAGATTTGGTGATGCAGTGCGGGTGCTGATGCAGGTGCAGATGCAGATATAGACAGGTGCTGACTAGCGCTATTATGTTGCAGAGACACAGGGCTTCGTTCTATTTCGGGACCGGGATTAGACCAGTAGAGTGTAGGTGAAGACGCAAATAGATGTGATATTGGTTCTCGTCCAGCGGGTAAGTCTGTAGAGAGTCTGTAGAGAGCTGAACAGTGATTGTTGATAATGACAGTTCTTGGGCGAGATGCGCGTGACCGGGTCCTGGTGTTGTCTCTATGCAGCTGGTTGCAGTAGGTTTGCACGTGGGTATGGGAAGGTGGGTGGTTGACGTAGAAGAATGTAGTGAAGCTGCTGAGGTCCTTATTGGGGGTGCCAAGCCGAAAGCCAAAGCAAAAGAAAATCGAAGGTTGGTGAAATGTTGCGAGGGTATCGACGCCGGGTCTTATGTTGAAGTTGTATCCGTGAGGAGACTATGGGTTATATTACCAATATCAAGTGTTACTGCCGCTGGCAACGAACAATTACGCTGATCAAATTCGCTGCAAATGCTGTGATGACGCTCAAGAAGCCGAATTGCCGTCAAGGAAAGGGGCACCTGGCGTCGCAAGAGAGATGAGCCCAGAAAGCAGCGAATAGGCCAAGTCCTAAATCCAATAACGAGAACAGGCGAAGTGCCTAGCTTTCTAAATGGGGTATTTTTGAGACAATTGTGAGAAAGGGGAGTGGCAGAAAATAAAGTAAGCCCAATAATAATAAGTCCAAAAAAAAAAAAAAAAAAGGAAGGGGGTAGGGAAAGAAAATGCAATGCAATGCAATGCACTTAAGAAAAGCAGGTAAATAACTGATGCGGCAACGCAATGCAACGCGAGAGACCAAGAGAGGGGGAGAAAAGAACCCAATGGGACAAAGACGGAGGTAATTGCTAGAACTACCAGAGCTCTGCTTCAGAGGGGAGACGGAGGGGGAGGAAAGGAGGGGGGAAAGGACAAGATGAATAGAGAGTGACCAGACTGACAGACAGAAGCAGAGACAACACAGCTTAAGACTTGTCCCAAAGGCAGGCTGGCTTTAATATTGATTGGAAGCCTCCACGCCTCCTTCTTTGGTCTGATGTTGATCGGGGACGAGAATGGATGCGATCAAGGGCGCTCCCGCCAGGACCCAACACCCCAGCTCGGCCCCGGCACCTTAACTCATCCTAATAATTCTCAAGACCTTTGCCTTGCAATTGGGTACCTTGGTCCAATCCACTACCTTTCAATCCTCCCAATTTTGCCCAACTCTGTTGGATCCTCACTCTTTTTACCGTGGCTCCTTGCATCGTATTCACCTCAACACTATCCATGCCTTGCCTCCACGCAGTCGTATAGTCGTGCTCATAAAGAGTACCCCTTAGATTGTTCTTCTGCCCAACTATGAGTAATTTCACCATTACCCAACTTCATCACTTGATTAAAAATCCTCCATGCGGTATTTGCCTCTCCTTGCTTGCCTCACTTCATCTTCTCCATCCTACCTTCCATCTGCAACCAACCTTACCTAAGGCTAAGGGGATGCTCTATAGACAAGGTGCGGCGAATAGTAAAACAGTGGCACGTATCGCCCGACCCTGGCGGCCCAGTGGCTTACTCCATCCACGTCCCAGTCCTGCAGGGCAAGGCTCCTGGGGTCCTGGACAGGGGGCGGCATGACAGTGACAATCCCCCGTAGTTGACCAGGAAGATCCCCAGCCAATGCAGGGCCGTCTATGATGCACCGCTGCTGAAGGAGGCGGGAGGCGACAAGCCCACGGAACAGGAAAGATAAGGTGAAGTAACATGTAGCAGCAGGAAACCCAAAGGGGCGATAGGAGACACTAAGTGTATCGGGTACTCGCCTACTACGTATGTCAATGGGTCTCGGTACTCGGTACTCTACACGCAGCAGGCTTTGCCCGAGTTACTGCTATCCAGCCGGACAGGCGTACTCCGGTTAACTCCCTCCCTTGCCATCGCCACCATGGCAACAGCTTCCATCCCGTCCCTTTGGCTTGCTGTTTCTCGGCTCTATCTAGAACCCCAGCGTCCTAGTGCTCTGGTACTCCAGAGCTTCATCAGCATGAAGGCTCCTAGTGTACAGAAGAAATGGGGGCGGCGTTGTTGCAAATCTGTGCGCATAGCACAGTTACGGCTGGCTACCACAAGCCACTTTATCCCTTCTGTTTCCACATTTTGCTGCAGAACGAAGAGATTCATTTAGACTGTACATACATCAGCACAAGGTTGATACAGATTCTGGTAAATTAGCAGTGGCAGCAAGCGCTGACTGCAGTCAATGACGATTGTTAAAAGCATGTCCTGGAATTTTAGAGTCAGTAGTGACGCACTTGACACGATGCACCGCGGGAAAAGTTATGCTGAAGAGGGTGACCCCAAAAGGTGATGTTGAACGTTGGCTGGGCGCCCTAGTCCCACAAGCTGGTTTGCTTTGCCGCAGCTCTTGTTTGGTATCTCACGTGCGCATCGTCTTTGTATCCTTGTGTGCTTTGATTTGACGACAGCAATCCACCTAGCCACGTGTTATGCATTGCAACCGCACTTCGCGGGTGCCAGTCTCACGTTCAAGGGAGAAGTACGCATACTGCCAATGGACTTGGAATGGTTGGAGGCAAGAGATGAAATCCAATTGCCGCCGGTCGTCTCACGATACAGCTTGCCACGTATTCCGTACGACCTCGTCGCAAACACAGCAAGACAGGAAAATATATTAAGTGAGAGACTTCACGGGGAGGTATGCTTCATGTGTAGAAAGGGAGGGGGGGCATCAAGGGTACGCAATGGTTCAGTGCTCGTAGGCAGGCGTGGCCTCTTTCGAAAAACGCAGGTCACTTGCTGGACTGTGTTTGTTCTTTTTCTTTTTTCCGTCAATTGCAAGGTCTAGGGGCAGTGAAGGTCAGTGCCATTTAGGCTGGAATTATGCCGCCGCGTTTCGAGCTTTCAAGCCCTTGACTCTGTCGCCGCTGCTCCTTCTAGATGCTCTTGAGCTTCCGAGACACAGAAATGACCCACCGATGATAACGAAGAAAATATGAGGGAGCAATATCGGCCCTTACAAGAACTACAAAAGACAACCGTCGGTAAGGGCGGCAGCCAATATAATTTGCTCATGATTATTGTCATTGGTTGTCACTATTGTAGCTGTCAGTAAATATCTCCGGTGTTGTCCGAGAGAATGAAACATTGAGGTGGGCACTCTGTAGAGGTAGTAAGAGGGGATCCACGCCTATAAGAACAGTAGTGTAGAATGTCAATAGAGCATCCAGTTAAACTTGGTGGACGGCCTGAAGACGAAAAGAAGGCCCATTAGCCAAGACTGTCATCGGCAGGAACCTTGTTACCATAGGCTTAGCCCAGGTATTATATGGTACGTGGCACGTGTAGGGTGGGAAGAAAAAGCCCCTTCACAATGGTAAATATGAGAAAAGCCAAGGTATTTCTGTAAGTTAGGTAGTTGATTTGCAGTTGTTGTTTTGCCTTGTTCTAAGCTGCTTGTCTCGGCTGTCGTCAGCGTCGGAAAGACAAAGGAATGAAGTTTGGTTTGACTTGTTGCGGATCAAACAGAACTGTCCACTTTTATTCAGGACGCTCGATTCACCGCACTTTCAGGATGGTCTGCAGTCAGCGTTCCCCTACTTGTATGTTCAAATCCTCCGAGGTGCTTAGCAGCCACACGTAAGACGTGGGTGGGTTCTGTGCGAGAATCTGAGATGGACTTTACAGCGCCACCTTCGCCAAAACTTGCAGGCGGAAACAGCGGTAAGAAACCCGGGTCCACCACGATGGAACATCTGCTCACTTGAGAACTTGTGGGGATTGACTGGACCTGATTGCAGCGGCAACAACGAAAGGAAGAGAGAATGGGCAAAGAAGAGAGAAGCCACGTCGTTTACCTTACATGCAGCCTGCCTCGCCCTCTATCACATAATTACCTGCTCAGGCCGATTATGCTTAAAATGACCCAAGGCAACCATCCATGAGTAATTAATCAATCTGTAGTGTCGCCCTCGATCCGTTAAAGTCCTTGGCGGAGCGAAGCCAGAAAAAAGCAATCACACTGCGGCTATTACGTTGGCTATTTGATTTTATCAGCCGAAAGGTCCCAGATTGAGGGTGCAACGTCGTAGAAGGAAAGTAACTGTAAAAAGGAGCAAGACAGGGAGCAAAGGTACGTACAACATCATGGGCCCCGCCGGGTCTAGAAGGGCACCGACGGGAGAGCAACAAGGTGTTGGGAGGTGCCCTGGTAGAAACACTCGGCAACTCCTGACTTATGCCCTGTCAACGTTGCAGCCCCGTGCCCTTCACGCTTCATATTCCCGTCTCTGAGGTCGTAGCTGAAACGTCGTCCGCACTGCCTGTTCTCTCCCCTATTTTCCGTCCCTTCCCAGAAACTCCGTGAACGACCCCAACAACGAACAAAACAACGTCGTTCCCAGCAAGCCCCACTTCTTTTTTCCTTCAGGGTCCACGTCCAGACTTGTCACCGGATGTGGCTGCTCCTTTCCTTTTTTTTCTTTTTTTTCGGCGCTTCTTGTCCTTTTCGCCGCATCATATTTCTTATCCCCTCTATCCAATCCATTGTTACATCCAGTAACATACCTGCGGTTCTTGTGGCTTCAAAGTTAATCGCCCACTGTGCTGCTCCTCATGAGCCACCGATTGCCACCCGTCAGCCGTCTCATCCTATAACCACTACCCTCACCAGCTGTACTAGCATCTCGGCAATTAGCACCGTTGTGATGATGCCAGAACTCCCGCTCCACCTGACCGAGATGTCAAGTTTCTCATCACTACCGCCGTATTCGTCGTAGTCGTCGTCGTTATCATCGTCCCATCGACTTCGTCCCCTTGGTTGCACCGGCCGTCAATGTTTACTTTACGTGAATCCTCTGGCAACGCTCACGGCCCATACGTCGCTAGGCTTATCCAGGGTCCATGCCCGCCTGCCTCAACGTTGGGACGGTATCAAACCACTTTTGACTCCATCACCGTTCTAATAAAGCGCCGCATGTCCGTGAAGTCTTTATTGTCTTCCTGCATCGTTGCGTCCAAATCTGTCCGGCGATGCTGGCCGCACACACGTTGACCTGAGCTCACGACGTTGTCCCAGTCGCTCATAGAAAAAGATCCCTCGCTCTCTGCTAAAAGCAAGTCGTCTTGTGACGTAAAACTCAGAACGTGGAGTGATTTTGCCTGATCTACCTGTGAAGCAGAAGGGTCAACAACGATCTTGCCGTCGCTTTCGAGGACAGCCAGTGTGGTGCAGGTGGCGATGGTCTTCAAGGGTACGGCAGCCGACAATAAACCCAAGATGGCACTATGAAGCAATGCCGGCAAAAGGGCCAAGTTCTTCGGAGTATGTAAGCACAAACGGTTCGGTCTATTCTCGTAGATTCTGCATGTTTTGGTCCAGAGATTGACTTACAGACTGAGCTTGAACGACTTTGCTGTTCACATAGTCATTCTGAGGCGTTTCCGTCACCTGAAGCGTGACTTGAATGAGACAGCGAGGGAAGTTCTTGACAGGAACAAGCTGGCGCAGAGCAGACTGTAAGATATTTTCGAGCTGGCGTTCTCCAGTACCTATATATTGATCAGGAGCGTCAGCATATTTGCCGTAGGTTTTCGGTCACAGGGCAGCCCTACTTCCGACCCCTGCAGCAGGTCGTACGACAACGTCAATAACCGACTCAAATGGGTTCTCATCTCGTCTTTGCACCTCCATCGGCCCATTGACGGACGCAACCACGCAATAGCCACCCTTTGAAAACGTTGCCGAGCCATCTGCTCGGGGCAGATGTGAGATTCGAGCCTGGGGGTTCATATCCGGAGCCATTGTAGGATGCTGAAGAGGTTCAGATACTGACAAAAACAAAATACTGGCTGCTTTCTCTTGTTCAGTTTAGAGCAGGGATGTCTTATAGATAGTCTTCCCTTTGTTGGACTGAAGTGCGATATTGCATCACTTCCACGAATGGCTTTTGATTGTAAGACCTGTCTGCGCTAGCGGGTTGAGTAAAAAATTGAGATGAAGTTGCCCGGTACGTACCTGTTTACTAAGACTCCTCAAGGCAGGTTTCACCAATGACATGGGCAACTTCGCCGTAGTTGGTGGGGGTGTGGTGAAAGCAGAGGGGCATTAGCTGCTCAAGTCTCAGGCTTGATTACTACTGGTATGCTGGCCCCGGACCATTGTTAATGACGCGGGCCATCTCTATGTCTCCGTCTTGTTCGATTGGGAGCTTCCTAGCTTCTTTCTGCGTCCACACTCCCTTCTGTCATACCATTCTCACCTTCAGCCCTTGGACTTGGCCTTTTCTGAATCACTATGGCTTCAGTCAACATGTCACAATGTGTCGATGCACTAGCAACTGCGTCTCCCCCGAGCAACAAAATCCCTAAACTCGAACCTCGCCGCCGACGCGGAGCTCCCTCTAACCCGACTCCTCGCCCCGAGACACCCATATTACCTCCGCCTCCGAACCTCGACGATCATGTGTACAAGACGCCCTCAAGAAGGATTTTATCGCCAACTGACCTTGGGTCGTTTCTTTCATCGCCTACATATAACCTAATCCTAGCGTTCGTCTTCGGCCTGTCCGAGTCTGTTCAGGACACTGCTCGTTCCGCCGTTAAGGACAGCGAGCTTAGCCCGTCCGTCCGCGCGATCATTCATATCTTGGACGAAGCGGACACTCTTGTAAAAGATTCGCCTCCAAATGACCAAGGTGGCTCGCGTTTCGGAAACAAGGCTTTCAGAACCTTTCTAGACTTGGTGAAGGAGAAGGGAGCTGGATGGCAAAGTCAACTAGGCGTCAACAATGCCGCTAGCGATGAGATTTCGGTCTACTTGGAGCACTCGTTTGGAAATCGAGCGCGCATAGACTATGGCTCAGGACACGAACTTAATTTCATCATGTGGCTGCTCTGCCTGTACCAGCTGCAGATCCTAACTAAGGATGACTTCAAGCCCTTGGTCCTCATGGTCTTCAGCAGATATCTAGAGCTTATGCGGAACGTCCAGTTGACGTATTACCTTGAGCCGGCTGGTTCGCATGGCGTTTGGGGCCTAGACGATTACCAGTTTCTCCCATTTTTATTCGGCGCCTCGCAGCTGCTGCACCACCCATTCATCACGCCCCTGGCGATTCATCAAGAGCTTACACTGGAGGAGTTTAGCGATGAGTTTTTGTACCTCGGGCAGGTCAACTTTGTCAATGGCACGAAGACGGTGAAGGGCCTGAGGTGGCACAGTCCGATGCTGGACGACATTTCCGCCGCAAAATCGTGGACCAAAGTCGAGGGCGGGATGCGCCGCATGTTCGTTGCTGAGGTTTTAAGGAAACTGCCTGTGATGCAGCATTTTCTTTTTGGTTCTCTGATTCCGGCGGTGGATGGAATGAGTAAAGAGCAGGAGCTCGGGTTGGATTCAGAGGAAGAGGGGACGGAAGGGGGAGAGATCTCAACAGTACCCAGTGGTAGCCACAAGCATCAACACACCGGCTGGGGCGACTGCTGTGGCATCAAGGTCCCGAGTAGTCTGGCTGCCTCTCAAGAAATGAAGAAGAAAGGCACTCATGAGACTTTGAGAAGGATACCCTTCGATTAGACTTGGGACCTTTCAGCATCGCTGCTATGATTAACGACCGTGCTTGATTAAACAATTATGCTGTTAAGACTACATCGTCCGGTAACGCGTACAACCACATGTAGACTCACCGTTGCTTCAAAACGCCATTTAGTCTGAGGCGCAAATTCTTCAAATGTATCGCGCATACAATGCTCTTAAACACTACCAACATTACCACTCCATTTACCCACTGCCGCATTCATGGCAAGAGGTTACTCGTAAAACAGGAGATGTCTTACTCCAGTAACCCTAACTCACGAAGACGTGCCATCCCGGGAAGATGCGCCCACTTCTGATCCGAAGGCGATCCGCATGTGAGATCAAACCAGATATCAGCATGGTCGTTATCGATGGAGTTTAATGCGTAGGCAACATTACTGCCGTACAAGTCGCATCGTGGGACATTGAGGCCCTTCTCGGGGTAGAAGCGGTAGGCTTTGCAGCCATCCGTTGTACTCATAACGCTCTGTAGCCAACATCAGCACTTTTTAATCTCTGTTTCCCAGAATAAGGCAGAAGGTAGAAACCCCGAGCACTTACGTTACAGAACTGGTAGCACCCTTCAAGAGTCACACGTACCCCCGGTGCATTCTCGACAAAGCGCGCCAAGAAGTAGTTACCAACTGGCAAGCCATGGACACCGCAATGGTGATTTTCCGGCATTGGCTTGCCAGTTGGTGCATCATTCTGGCACACTGTCCTCGATGGTTCAAGGGTTGATGAAGGAACAGAAGTAAGTGGTGCACTGGTGATGGGTATCATGGAGGTGTCAATGACGCAGCTCTCTGTCGAGGTCGGAAGGTGGGTGCCAGATGTTATCTGAGTGTCGGCGGTGCTGGAAATGCTGAAGGATATCGTTTCGGTGGTCTGGCTGGTCCATGAAGCTGGTGTATTGGTGCTAGTCGATGTCGCAGGATCCGGTTTAGAGCTCGAAGTCATGATACCTTGAATAGACGTAGAAGATATATCCGAGAGAGTCTCAGATATCCTGATGCTAGAATGGTCCTCGGAGGAATCTCTTGTAGTGATGGATTCTACTGAGGTATGGGTAGATACCGTTTTGCTGAGAGAACTTGATGAGTCTGTGATGGTTTGGCTAATCGTTGAGGCGCAATCCGGCGCAGGCATAGATGAGACTGGTGATAGGGAACCGGGGTTAACTAGAGATTCGCTCGTGCTCTGCGAATTCGACGCGTAGATAGCAGTCGAATTTGTATGACGGCTAGTAGAGGTGGTTGACAAGGAGCCATCTGTCGTTGAGTTCATGAGCGGACCAGATACAGTTACTACTGTGCTAGATTGATAAGTAGACCTCGAATCATTTTCGCATGACTCAGTCCTGTAACTTTCAGATGGACTGATAGTCATAGTCGAAATATCAGAATGTCTGAAAGACGTTTTCGTTGTTGTGTTTGTCTGCGGTAGCTGCGTCTTAGTTATTTCCTCGGGACAAAGTGATTTAGAAACTGTGGAAGTGGTGGCAACGGATACATATGAAGAGGCGATAGGATCGATGAAGCCAGTGGACAAGTGAGATGATGTTAAAGATATGTTCCCTAATACGTGTGAGGTCGTAGAGCTTAGTATCGATTGAGACGAGGTAAGTGGAGAATCAGTGCCAATGTAGGATGTCAGGTTGCTGCCATATGAAGTCGTGGCAGTGATGTAAAATGTTACGTCAACCGTCATCGTCGACGTGATGATGCTCAAGGGGCACCCCAGGGAACGAGATGTGGTTTTTGTGGTGTTGAGCGGCAGCGCAATGCTGCTAGCCACTCCAGCGACAGCTGTGCCTGTGCCCCCCGATGTTGTTGCATTAGTACCGTTGAAGCGGAACCCGGGGTGGGCCCGACCGGAGGGGGTCAAGGCGCCCGAGTCCCGGTCTGAACGGAAGCTCCGTCCTTGAACGATGTGAGCAACTACCTACCATCTCAGTCAGCAAGCATTCAGAGAAAACGCCTTTCATTGCACATAACACAACGTCTTACTTGGTTCTCCGGGATCTTTGGAGCTGTCTGTCCTTCTCTCGCGAGGAGAACAAGGGCGCCGAATAGCAAAGCGTACCGCATGGTTCACAAATAAAGAGGGGATGTAGTATTGAAGAGAAAGCGAGCGGCGTTAATAGAGCAAGGCACTGGCTCTGGCGGCCTCGTGATACCAAGATTGCTGGCTAGTTGGCTGTGCTTGCTCTCGCAGTCACGATGGGATTTAGACGTTGCTCGGCAGGCCCCCAATCTTATACGATGTTGTAATACACGGATGTTGAGGGAGTATCGAGATCTTCAGGACAGTGCAGCAATATTCCCTTGTGACAGGCCGATGGTGGCATGAAGAATTAGGGGTGAAACTATAGGCGTCGACTATTGGAAGCTGGCAATGGGGGGGTTTAATAGCATCGAGCAAGGGGCAGGACCGGTACGCCCCTGCAAAGGCTAGAAGCGAAACATTGCCAAACGAAAGGTAGAAATGGAAGCAACGATTACGACAACGGCAGTGTTTAGACGAAGGTGAGTTTGAGCAGTTAAAATAATCCACTAATGAGCACTACACCTACCCAAGTCTTACAAGTAGAGAATCTCGTGCCGCGAATCTCAGAGAAAGAGAACCTGAACATCTTTAAAGTACAGCATCCAAATGACATGTCGATGTTTCCGTAATGCCCTTAACAGGTGAAATGCGTATAGGGTATCAGAAGCAGTTCACTGAACGCCGCCATGCCCCCCTAACCTTACCAAATGCCATATGCCATGCAAACAATCAAAGAAAAACACCAATCCTCGAAACGAGTCAGTGTGGTGAGACGTACATCGTACGTTACGAAAAAGCGACGCTACCTCCGGCCAAACTCCCTGATGGAGCTCCTGCACTGTGATTGCCGTCTCACGCCTCTGAATAAGCCTCCCAACGCCTCTCTTCAATCTTCCCAAATAGTTTCCAAGTCAAGATCTTGACGTCGTTCAGCACCACAAACACTCCACCGCTTTCGCTTGTCTCTCGATCCAAATCCCAGCGTTCTGCCCCTTGAAGGTACATCAAGACCACTCCTGCCCTTAATCTCGGCCGCATCGCCTCTCTCGGCCGCATCTGCAGCTGCCTTCAGCTGAGCAATTCTCTCCGCTTCCATAGCAGCCTCTTCAGCGTCAGGCGAATCTGGTATAGTTTCGAGACTGGAAATACTTGGACTCCTCGATCTGGTGGAAGTTGGAGTTGATGGCACTGACGAAGACGGGAATGAGGCGGAGACACTGTAGCTATGTGAGAAGGGTTCGTAGCCCCGGTAAGACGGTGAAGACGCCATCGAGGTAGGTGTAGAGGGTAGTGCAGGAAGTGAGCCAGTGCTGTTGTGACCAGGATGGCGCAAAGGCGAGGATGGGCGACGGTGGCGAGGCAGTATGGCAGATGGTGTCGCAAAACCTAGATTTGGAGAGATGTTGGACTCGCTGGCTCTGCGGTCGGGCTCCAAGACGGAACTGCGAATTGGTGAGGTTGGAAAGGCTTCATCAACAGGCTTCCGCGGAATTCGAATGCGGCTGGGCGAGCTTGAGGGGCTCGCAGGGCGAAACTGGGGAGAGAAGAGTATATGACCAGCGCCGTTGACGCCAGGCATAGATTGAGTGCGAGACATAGGAGGGGCTAGGCTTGCAACGGATCTGGATCTCACGTGGTGTCCGGAGAGAGGCGAGGTTGTACGAGGACGATAGGGCAGTGGGGGTAATGTCCATGCCGGGGCGGTCGGGGATGTAGGACTCGGGTCTGTCTGGCGCCGCAAGGTAGGAGGCTTCCTTAGAGGATCGAGGTCGGTAGTGGCGGAAGGAATCAAAATAGAATTCTGCACTCGGAGGGAGGAAAGAGGCGAGGACCGAAACTCTTCCATTCTCTCAGTCTCGGGGACGGGTTCCATTGCGTACGTCGGGGGGCCCGAAATGTCAGGCGGGAGAGGGCGACATTAGCAGCAGGTAATGCCGAAAGCGCTCGACGGATCGAGATGGGACGGGCGATATGCACTATGTTCCTAGTCCTCCGGGGGCGGTAGGGGAAGGATGAAGAAGAAGCGAGATCGGAAAAGAATCGGAATATCGACAGAGGCGTGGTTGTGATCTGGGATGGTTTGTCGGTTGGGTTATCTCGAGTCGGCCGAGGACGGGCGAGTTAGGGTGGAGGCGAGGGAATGCCGTCGAGGTCGTTGAGGGATAAGGGTGAGAGGAGGGAGGGGTGGTGGAAAGATGAAATAGACGAGAACAAGACAAACAACGAACAGAAGAGGAATCGGGCAGTAATGTGAAGCGGAGGGAAAGGGGCGGTATCAAACCGAGTCACACATTCCGTGTTGTAAATGAAAGAGGCCCAGACGGCTGACAGACGGCTAAGAGGAACAAGAAGAATGGGAAGGGACCAAATTTGAAGGGGGGTGCACATAGGAGGCAGAGCAAGAAAGGAAGGGCGGAAAGAGATCAGGCGGTAGGTACCTCAAAGTATTCCCACAGTGGAGCGGCACGGGGGTAGAGAAGCGGGAAACAGACTAGACTCCCGTCAGTCCCGTTTTCTCAAGACCAGTCAGGTAAGGTACCTGGGAGCGCGGAATACTAAGGTACGGTACATGCGAGGCACCTCAGTGGCGGTAAAGAAAGGGGGGAGAAGGCGGGGGAACGGGTTGGATGTCTATGCAGCACCTGTGCAACGCATGAGGCGCCATCATTACTGCTGACCTTTGTAATGAATCAAGAGACCTGGACCTGGGGGACAACATTGGGCTCCTCTTCAGAAGAAGGTCGGTCAGATACGGCAAGGCAGTAGGCATCAAGCAATCAAGGTAAAGTTAGTGAACAGCACCCATGGTATAAGGCGGGGCTGCAAGACATGGTAACTGCGATGTAAATATGCAAATGCAGTAGGGGAACGAGCCGGATGAGATGACGGTGGAGGGAAAATGGTCTCCTAGGCCAGGAGAAGCAAGCCGGAAAGAGAGGAAAGGGGGGAAGAAGAGGAACCAGAGGCAAGGAGCGCTACCGCTTTGATCCGGAATGCCAGAAGATCGATCACCTTCTTTGTCCCTTCTCAGCTCTCAACTCCCGGGTCCCCCACAGGCATTTCTCGCGCCCATAATTAATCTATACGACGTCGCTTGCTTCCTGCATTGTAGTTTACGGATCTCATTGTGAGGCAAGGCCAATTTCCCGCGCTGGCCGAGACCTCTAAGCAAGACCGGAGGTTATGAAGATGAAGGAAATTGGTCTTGAGGGAAATAAGGTGGATAGGCTAGGTACCTCGCCGGTAGGTTACCATTGGGGCTTTGGGTTAGGCGGGGAGCATAGCGCTAAGGGACCGGGCCAGGCCAGTGCTGCATCTCATTGCTTGGTGAGTGGGTCCAGGGACCCCAAGGAATGCCCGAGGACCCTCTTGCCCTTTTCCATCTCCACTAGTAAAGTCAAGGCTGGATCTCTCGAGCATTCATTTGGTCAGCACCACACAGCAGTACCGTCATTGATGGGAGCCAGTTGCCTAGTTGCTCGCGCGTCAACTACTGAAGACGCACGAGGTACGTAGCGGGACATTGGTGTTGTCTTACGCCCTGATGAGTGCCCTGCAGTAGACTATAGACTTACAGATACTTTCTGTTGCTCTGATGGCCCTGTCTTGCCTTCTTGTACCTTGCTAGGCCGTCTGGACTGTGGTTCAGTTGGCCAGTCTGAATCGCTTCTTCCCCTGGCAATGCCCATGTCCATTGACATTTGGCTCGACCAACACCAGGACTATCGCCCTCTCTGGGTTCCATGTCCACGTTTGCGGTTTTGCGGAGTCGGTGAAGCCTCGGTGTCCCTTGACCTTGGAATACATGTACATTGAGCATTGGGTTTAATTCCATCACAGCCTGTTAAGATGAGAAACCTCAGGCCATACATATCAACAAACATCAATGAATAACCCCCTGAGCCCCTAACCCAAGACAAACAGCGTTGATCTCCAAGGTACTATGTGATTCTAGCCTCCACCTTGAAATCGACGGGCTTGCAGGAATGTCCTGACTCGTTTCGCTGGCCTGTTTCTTATTAGCATATGCGAACTTGTCATCAAAAGCCTAACATCGCCCAAATCAATAAAGTCCCAAGAAACCCTGGTAGGTACATGCACGTACGGATACTGACAGGAAAAGTTGTCGTGCTTTGCAACGACCTGTCCTTCGTATTTGATGAAGCACCCACCTGTAGTCACCACCTTATTTCAGCATGACCTTGGTCTCTGTTGCAACCGCTTCGTAGAGTTGGGCGGCTGTGATTACACAGTACTTGGTTGTTAGCTGCTGTCCATGTTGTTTTTAAGAGCAACTCGCTCCCTCGTACCAAAATGTGTCCGAAAATACCTGCCGGGAACGTGCTGGGTATTGTCGCCGTCGTTAACGCCATCCACATCCAACTCCCCCTTGGCGTTGGCGCTCATGGCTGTAAAAAGAGCTTGCTCAGCGCCTTCAACTTGGGGATCAGGGCCCGGATCTGTGCGAACTCGGTCCATCTTTTGTCGCGCCAGAAGCGTCATTGCACATAACCCTGCCCTCGTCATTGGATACACGGCCTCCTCTGACCTGACCCAACGCCCGCTACCTCCTGTGCAGGCATCCCAACTCACTTCTCCACGATCTGCCATGAAGCTCAATTCTACGGAGTATCCCCTGCACCCTTTACTTGAACCTCTCAAATCTAATTGGGATGTCAAGGCTAGGGTGTACCACCTACTTCACCTTAGTTGGTGGCCTTAGGCGCATGGACAGGTACAGGTCTGAACATGCTATTACGTCTGCTTCCCACATAGTCTCACTTTCAAGTTCCTCTGTTTCTGAGGAATTGATCGTCACTACAGCAATGCATCTCGTTGGATTAACAGTCAAGGCCGTTTGCGGTCTGCACTGGCCCGTCCATCCTTTCGGATGAGTTCCAATTAGCCAGCGTAACGCACTGAACCACAGCCTCCTCACAGAAGACCCCTTTGAGACCCTGGTAAGCATGCCCTCCATCATCCATGTTCGCGGCAATCGTTGCAGTCACACAGCACAGCCTCGGGTTTCAGCCGCGTCCATTTTCGCAGATCCAGAAACATCTCCGCCATGTGCCGCCAACGTGCCGCAATGCCTAGTCAATTGTGGCCATGCGCTGCGTAGCGCTTCGAGCTGCAAGTCGGCTTTGCAAACCGTCCCAAGCAAACCTGACGCTTGGTGCGGCCGTGCCTGTCTTACTTCATCCCTCCCAGCTTATGGGCACCTCACTTCTTCACTTCTGTAACCTCTTATTTGTCAATCAGAGCCGTGATCTTACGGATGCCAACGGTGACGAAGGGCTGCTTTACGATCCAGCTGGGTTAAAATGACGTCTCGTAACACACTTTGCACTGAGAAAGCTCCTGTGCCTCCTTTTTTCTGCCTGCCATCTCAGCTATTTATCAAGCAGAAGAAAGGAGGCCAAGGCTTGTGGACTTTACGACACCTTGAGAGGCTCAACAGCTCGACCTCTTCAAATGTAATGCCACCAAGTAGGCTGGGAAACTAGATATGAGGTGACCATCGCCACATAGTTTGTTCGTCAATGCGCAATCGATACCTGCAATGGAGTCTTCTTTTTCTTTGACTGATTAGTGTATTACAAGAAACTAGGGTCTTATGGCGACTTACTCAAGGTAAGCATGATAGATAGTTCGCTCTACTTCCAGTATTACCCAAAGGGCCTTTCTCCCACGCTTATTGTTAGGCATGACACTCATTAAGGGTCCCAAAAGATATCACGCAGAAGTAGATCATGTACAATAGTCAATTGCCATACCTGGCTTCTTTCAAGTATGGAACAGAATCTGCAGATCCTCTCTTTTCTCTTTTTTTCGTCTTATGGTAAGTTCGTGTATGAGTCTTGTATTGACGTTTACAGAAACTACAATCGCACCTTTACAACCGAGCCTTTTGATTTTCATAAAGGAGTCTGGCTGTCGAGACTGTTCAGTGAGATTCGAATAATACCCCCCTCCCCCCCCCCCCCCCCCCCCCCCCCCCCCCCCCAAAAAAAAAAGAAGAAGAAAAGAAGCTATCCGGCTTTGCCATCCGCCGAGCAGCTTCGAGGCTTGGCTTAAAAGACTTTCCTTATTGCCCCAGTCAGGCATATCTCAAGGCATTTATAATCAAATCCTCTATTTTACCAATCTCATTTGATCTCATTTGTGGTTGCTTTATTGAATTGACCGAACCTCATAAGGAGTACTAACATCAACGGTATCAGGTCGTCAGCGCCGATTGCGAGCCCTGTTGAAACCATTATCGATTAGCCCTTCATCATAATCAAGCATCCAGCGTTATGTGCGCATGTAAATGATGTCATCGCTGCTGTTACAAACCCCCTACCATCACAACTGGTAAAAGACTTCGACGACCAACATGAGCTCCTGACTGAGTGCTTCCCTGATTCCCTAGGCGTCAGCGATTGCCACGCCTCCGTCATCTTCCTGTACTCTCCGCAAACACTCCCATCTACCAGACCGCATCACTGGAAATATAGAATCCGAACAGATCCTATGCAGCAAGGGGATTCTTACAATGTGTTTCGACGCAACGGCTCGAGTGCTCTTACACTTTGTGGCGTTCAATGCCATCCACCTTCCCTACTGGATCATCATTGGTACTTTGTACTGGCACTACCTCTGGCCAACGAGCAGCGCGGTTATTCCTATCATCGGGCAGATTCTCCTCGGCCTCTCTGTTAACAGCTTTACCGTCTTTGTAGCGTCATTCATCCGAAGGGCTCGCACGTCCGCTACACACGTCGCTGGGACCTTGGTTCTTTCTTCTTCAGGTGCTATGGTGTATTCGAACAAATAACCTACCCCTATAGATGTTGTAGTTGTTTCCCTCCTGTATCCGGGCGCTGGCCACCTGTTCTTGCTCCAGTTAATGTGAGCCTGGGAGTACGACCTGAAGTCTGCATCGATGAAGAGTCTCCCCGAGTTCTTTAGAAACGGGTCCCTGATTTTTAATGGTGCAACACTACTTGGCTTTTTGGTAAGAGCCATCGTTTTTTATTCGCCGTTAGCAATCCTGGTAGAGAAGTCTCTACATGGTATTGATACTAAGAGCCGGAAATTTGATGGAGAGCAAGCCAATATAGGCCCAGTTGTGGTTGAGGCCAAGGAACTGGTGAAGACTTTCACACCGCGACCAGCAAGATGTTTCTCCAGCTGCTGGAGAGCGAAGCCAGTGACTGCCGTCAATAAAGTCTGCCTTCAAGTACACAGAGGCCAGATTCTCTGCCTCCTAGGTCCTAGCGCATCAGGAAAGGCGACGACTCTGCATTTAATGGCTATGCTTTTGTCACCCAGCGGAGGCTCGATTGCAACAAACGATCTCCCTACGTAGCTAGGTTCGTGCTTTGAGGATGGTCGTGGCATCCTGTAATGTGACAGAGTCTGGCGTGTTCCAGGCATCTGTCCTCCAAGAAATATGTTTTGGGCTGAACTGACAGTAGAGGATCATATACGCACCTGGAACCGTATGAAAGAAGGCACGGAGAATATAAAAGGACTCGACCGACTCATCACGGCGTGTGATCTATCCCTCAAGAAAAAGGCAGCTGCTAAACACTTAGCGGCGGTCAGATGGGAAAGCTTCAGCTTGCTTGCATGCTTGTGGGAGGCCCGTCGGTTTGCCTAGTCGACGAATGTACCTCAGGCCTGGTAGGCATCATCACTTGTGCCACGGCCCAGCAAGAATGCTTAAATAACATCATGGCCGCAGTTATAGTTTCAGTGCCGCGCTCAAATGGAGTCATTGCCGGTTGTTTTTGTCGCACAATTCATCAAAATCGACTCGGTTAGTAATATCTAGAGAACCGAGACTCAGCAGCGCCCTGGTGTTCTCGCTGCGTGGCTCCAGCAGAGGTTACTAACCGTGGGTAGTTTATGAGACGCCCGATGCCAGCTCCGCTGCTCAGCTTGCATCCAAACTGGTCGCCGCGGGTTTTTCGGGCGTCGCTCTAGCTGGTCCACAGGTGGAAGACGTATTTCTCCAGACTGCGGGCGATCCTGCTCTGGATGACCTGCCTGACTCGGTTTTTATGACCCAGAACTCGACTTAACACCAGGAAAGGTCGCTTCCTTTTCGACGCTGGTTAAAACTAACTTCTACAAGAGACTCGTGGTTCTCGGAAGATTTTGGTGGCCCTACGTTTTTGTTCTGGTCCTTCTAATCGCCATTACCCCAGCTTTGTCGCCAATTCTGCAGAACTACAAGGCGACTACATGTGCAGATGCTGTGTATACTCTAGGCCCTGCCGAGACTTTATCTTTGAATTACTGGGGACATAAGCAGCCTAGTGAAATGAAGATGTATCAACCTGGCTTGCTCCTAGGTGGGCTCTCTTGGTTGGATGAGTCTCTCTACCACTTGCTAAACAGCAGTGCTTTTGCCATGCATCACTCCAACACGTCTCAATATAACGGATGGGCCCATACGGTCGAGACTCTAGACGAGCTCATGAAGTGTTTGGAAACCAGCCAATCGATAATGGAACAAGGCGGCATATTCATGAAATCTTACACTGTACTACCAATAATTGGCAGTAATGTTGAACAGGGTATCATCGGTGGCTTGAAGATGCTCAATCTGTACAGTCAAATTCGCAGTGATACTAATATCACTGCTTCTTACGGGCTCCTTGGAAAGCCACGGGTTGTAAGTCTTATCGAGATGTCACTCATAATACCAGTGATATTAACAACCGTGACAGCAATCGGCGAACATTGGACTGGCCTACACTGCTTTCTTTGTGTTGATTCAGGCAGTTTATCCGGCCGCCTTTTCTTTGTATCCTTCACTCGAGAAGAAAACGTTGGCTCGAGCAGTTGGATATGCTAATGGAGTGCAAAGAGCCCCTCTGTGGGTCCCCTACGCCCTGTTCGACTTCAATTTTGTCGTCGTCACATCCGTCGCCGTCATAATCAGCTTGATATTCATCTTCCGTACTGGATTGAGTCTGCTTGGATCATCTTGCCTATACTTTCTCTACATGGCATGGCAGCTCTTTTGTTCAGTTACGTTCTATTCATTCTCTTCAAATATGACTTGGCTGCTTTTTCTACCGCAGCATCCTCTAATCTGCTTATGTCTGCCATTGTTGCTACCGTCTTCATCGTTAGTACCCTAACTCTTTTTGACTCCAACTTGGATCTAGTGGTGGCCGCTCTCTTTGCAGGTACCTGACACAAAACTTGACTACGGTGAAGCGGGCAGGGTAGTTGCAGCGACCACGTTCGCACTGAACTTACTCTTCCCCATTGGATACGTATTCATGGCATGCGTCTTTGGAATGAACGTCATGGATATTGGCTGCAAGAACGGAATGATCGTGCCGCCGGTGTCGATACATGGATACGGCGGTCCAATATTATATCTAGTCATTCAGATGCCTGTCTTGTTCGGTATCCTACTCTTGCTGGAAAAGAAAAGGGCTCAAATCCGAGGCTTGTGCTAGCCAAACGCTCTCCTCTTCATCTCGATTTGGGGAAGGTACTGAATATTACGAACAGCGATGTCAAAACAGAGAAGCTACGCGTTTAGGAGTCCACTGGCGACCTATTGCGAGTCCTCCATGTCAGCCAATCTTTTGGGGGAAACATGGCTGTATGCGATATCACTCTCGGTGTTGAAAAAGGCGAGGTTTCAGCATTTATCGGACTAATTGGAGTAGGAAAATCGACTCTAATCAAGTTGACTCAAGGAGATCTGGCATCGGATCCCGGGAACAGCTATATTCGTGGTGAGGACGTGAAGCCAGTGTCTGCAAAAAATCACATGGGAGGTAAGTTCTTCTCTTTGACTGTGTAATACAGCGTTGTCTGTACGGGCCCAACTGCCGCATAGTCTGTCTGCAGCACGATGGGCTGGACCTAATTAGTACGAGGGAGCATCTGACATTTTTTGCAGAAACCAAGGGAGTTGAGAATGCCCAGGGCAATACAAATGTAATTATGGATAAGCTGGGGTTGGCTAGGGTATGCCGATCAACCAGCTGTGAAGTTTCAGGGGGCAACAAGCGGAAGCTGAGCTTGACTATAGCTGTAATGAGTATGTATTATTCGTATGCCATACAAAATAACGCTCTGCTGATAACTTCAAGGTGCGCCTCCAGTTCTAGTTTTAGACGAGTCCACTTCGGCGGCCATGGATGCGCTGTGTAAGCGAGCGTTCTAGAAGGTAATTCAGCAAGTTCCGCCAAACCACCTCAACATGGAAGAAGCAGACGCTCTAGCCCACAGGGCCGCCGTTATGTCTCGAAGACTTCTTAGCATCGGTACAACCCAAGACCTTAGAGCAAAGTCCAGCAACGTGCACTATGTCCAAATTTTATTTAAAAAACAGCCCCCACATCCTCTGTCGAAGAGATGAATGCAATGACAGGCTGGGTGTTGCAAAATGTGCCACGAGCTGCGATCGAGAGAGAAGTACTCGGTGGTCAAGTTAGATTCACCATCCCTGAATTTGGAACAACACGAAGCAAAACAGGGGATGGCCAGAGTCTCGGCCAGCAACACAAAATCGATCACTAACCTCATTGAGCATTGGGAATGTGTAAAGAGGGACAAGGGATCGAGTCTTATTCCATTGAAGGCGCCACTCTAGAAAGGGTCTTCTTATATGCAGTGAATGAGACCAATATTTCTGTCGAAGTAGTTGCAGTGGAAAGGAAGCGGTGGTGGAAAGGAATGTAATAAGAGCCTCTGTGTATTTGAATGATCAGTTTAGCATCTGTATTATAAGGTAGCTTTCCTTTGGCTTTCTTTTGCCCTTGATAACGAATCGAAGCTGTGGCGCAAGAATTATTTGACATGAAGGTTTCTGGAGCATTTCACATCATAGTTATCTGAAGAGTTCAAGTAGATCTATGGATTTGTCAAAATTACCAAGTCGTCACTTGTCGGAAAACGAAGCTTCACTCGCCATGCATAGCCACTGAGCAGCATCTTATGTCCCGAACCTAGCTAAAGAGATGTCCACAAGGGCATTTCAGTGCAACGTTGTTCTACCAAAGGTGGCCGTCTCCAATTAAGCAGTCTAAAGTAATGAAGCATCTGAACAATCAAGCGTCGAGGAACACTCGTCTGTCTTGGGATCTTTTCGCTTCTTCAGATTTTCGAGAGTGTTTTTGACTCGAGATTGGAGCTCGTCCAGTTTCAAGCAGTTGGCGCACTTAGACTCAACCCGTACACATTGGATGGAGTGGATTCGGCGCTCAGTACAGTACCGTTGACGCTTTCCAGCCAGGAATTCATGCTGCTCCTTGCAGTCTGCGACTTTTTGCCGGAACTCAACATGCTTGCACTGGTAGATGGTTGATCGGTAGAAGCACATGATGTTGGTTGATAGTTTAGAAAATTGCCAGTTGTAGATCTTGGGTGGGTTGCCTGATAGTTTGGGGAGTAAACTAAAAGGCGGATGTTGTGATGCATATATACTTCTGGTGGACCGCCTTAGACACAATACAATGATAACAAGAAGCCTGTGGGTTTATGAACAAGCCTCGATGCAAGTGGGATAAACTCAATGTGAACTGCAATGTTCTGGGGCAAGTATGCTGAAACAATGAACCCGTATTACATCCATGCTTCTGAACAAAGACCAAACAAGGCATACTACCCACTGCTCTCATGGATGGCAGTGCTGTAAACGTTTGTGTGGGATGCGACTTGTTATCTTCTCATTCATTACACTCTGGGCCAGAAAGGAACCCGCATTGTAAAACCTCACCAAAGGTTGAAGCCCATATAAGATCACCCAGCCCATCAGAGTATTGAGCTCGAGGTACCTCGTACCCTACCCTCAATATAGTCTTCATCAGACTGGACTCTGGACTAGAAGCAACGACAACCCCGCGCGCCTCTAACAAACACTCCAGATCAGACGTGGAGTCGCCAAAGTACACCAGATTCTGAGCACCATTGACTCCCTGGCGATCTGCCAGAGCTCGTAGAGCCCGTAATTTGTCTTCGCAAGTCGTCAAAATCGTGTCCCGCGTAGGTGGACCGAGAACATCTGGTCCAGAGATTGATCCATCCAACTCAATTTCGTTGGCAACAATGTCAAAGCCATGAGCGGACAAAACACCTTTTATGAATGATCTCGACCAGTTGATAGACACCACTGAGACCGACCACCCCTTCTGCTTGGCGACATTCACAAACTCCGTAAAACCATCTCTAAGTTTCACCTTGCCTTGTTGTCGAACGAGATCTCCGGCCTTGACAAGGTCCGCCCTACTGATGCCCTGGAAGATACCGGACTTCTCAACACGATGCACAGAACGCAGCTCGACTTCTCTAAGACCGCGCAAGTATGCGAGCTCCTCAGAGAGAGTAAGCCTACGATCCGCTGGTGGCTTATAGGTTGAAATGTGGTCAGCGTGGTCCTGGGTATAATCCTCGAGTATCTGCTGCCATGCCGCCGATAAGTCAAAACCGCGCTGTAGTTGGATTTGAAGGCCAATGTCTGCAAGGGTTCCGATTGTGTCCTTTGTGGTAATGGTACCATCAAAGTCCAGGACAATATTGAGCGCTCTTTTGGACATGAATGCCAGAGAATCAGCTTGATGGGTGGTGCGGAAGGCAAACGCGCGTTGAGTTTTCAGATTGTTATGGCGAATCATCAATCTCAACATGATAGATGTACTGGCAAAGATTATCCGCAAGTCAACAATAATTTGTTTCTCCACTTCGGGAATGTCGATCCGAAGCCATGGCGCCACATGACCAGTAGAGTAGACACAACATTCACATTCGATACAACCGTCACTGGCTATATTATCTGTGCACCGATTCACACCCTCTAGTTAAAATCTGCCTGAATGACAATAATTCTTCTCGCTCATGCGAGTCAGTAGCAGCCATGCAAATCCTGCGACACGCGTACCGAGATTTCGTGTTCCAGACGGGTATCTAAGTCCCTGTGATTTACCCGCAACCATTATACAAAAGCCGACCAAACGCCATGCAATATCAATAAGGCTTCAGCAGCCATATCAATGCCATTGATACTGAAAAAAAAAGGTACTCAAGGACCTGGCACAACATCCTCCATGACCATCTCGTCGTCGTCATCATCAGCCGCTGCCTCTTCTGGGGCCGTTTCACTTGTTGCGCCGGCAGCCATGCTCTTCATATGCTCCTGTAACGACCATTCGTTGGCGTGGATGCCAGATCGATTCATCACCGCTATCTTCTCCAAGGTCTGTCTCAAAAAGGCTTCCGGCTGATCGAATCTAGCCTTGAGAATAGACATCTTCCAGTACTCGTATTTTCTGAAAGCCTCCATGAGACCGTCCAGAAGTTGCTCCTCCGACATACGAGCGGCTCGGTTCTCTGCTTTCTTGGGCTTCGTAGCCTTCGTGGGCGCTGTGGTTTTCTACGTGGCGTTAGCTGTAACGAACCTTCGACTATGAAATGGTCACTCACAATGAAAGAACCGAACTTCTCAACAGCTGCGGCAGAACCATGATGAATAATGTTGTTCGCTGCCCGTTGTTCCAAAATGTGGAGGGTGTGTTTCGGTCTCTGGGCCTCCACTTGCTTCCGCTGCAGGATGGCCTGACTCTCTGCGTTATCTACAGGCTTGCACGCTAGTTCATACTGAATTCTGGCCGCAATCTTGGTTTTCTCTGTGCTAGGTTAGGCCTGGATGACATGAACTGCTGAAAGACTCAACTAACTTGGTATCGCCTTCCGGTAGTACGGTTGCCATCGACCGCGCTTTTCGAAAGGCTTCTTCTCCACTTTGTCTGCTTTTGGTCTTAAGAGTCGTGCGGGAATGCCCGCATTGGCAGCATCGTTTCGAGCCTTGGACTTGGCCTTGAAGCCGGGCAGATCCTCCTCAGTGAAGACAAATGTACTACGCGCAAGCTCTTTGCCCATCTCCAAATCATACTCTTTCGGCATGAGTTGATGTTCCGCCCGGTCTGAGTTAAGGAGCATTTTGAAGCGGTGCTGTTGCAGGGACATTAGTAGATGTAATCAGCCTCATGTGGTTACGCTTTCCTCATACCTCGACACTACCATCAGGGCGTACGACATCCCATTGTCGCATCGTGCCAACCTCAATCTCGGCATCGTCAGGAAGACTGTCCCATGCATCCCATAGATCCTTGGGAACACGCGCTAAATAAGCCTGACCAAATGATCCCTGGTCGCTTTGCGGATCGAAGAATTCAAGATCGCCGGCATCTTCGTACAGGTCGTCGTCGTCCAGTGGAGAAGCCGAAACAGCATCTGGATCAGGCTTAATATACGGCTCCTGTTTGATATAAGTTGATTCCGCCATTCTGAGTTGTTGGTTTTTGCGCAGTTTCCTCACTGTCGTGAACAGAAGGAGGTAACGGTTTGCTATGACGAAAGAGCATATCGAGAGCCCGTAGCTATCGCAAGGCATGCAGGCACAGCTACAAGCCGAAAGTGGATTGACCCACAGATCATGTGACAGAGTCCGTGGGTGTCGAGTGGAGGCAGGCGGTTCCCCTGTACACTATGTACTTTACCTAGGGGGTAGGTGATCCACAGTTGTAACACGGAGTATAGTGTAAAAGCACGAAGTTGGTTTACCGCATGTTGTACTCTAGGTATGTTCCTCTGAATCTTGACAAGCGATGGCTAGTCTTTCAGAATTCGTACTAACTTGAATAATCTGTAAGAAAGTCACAGGGAAGGCATGGTGCTAAGGCTACTACGTCGTAAAGTACCCTCGCGCCTCACAGAGAGATCAGCTGCAGCCGACCACTTAAAAAGCCACGAGCCCCACCATTGACCTCAAGGCCTCTACTGTTTCCTAGTGTACGTAGTATTCCGTTGATCCTGAAAAGACCCGATCTACCATCAGCAACAACAAAAGTCCGACCTTGAATAACATCACATTAGTTCCATCCATTGTCGAAGGGCCTCTCAAGAGGCGCCTTAACAGCGCCAGAAACCATTCAACCGACCCTTTGCCACACCGTTCCTGCAGACAATGAGGCTTCTGCCTGCCCACATAACACCTGTTATCGCGCACCCCACCAAATCACCCAGGCGGCAGACTTCCAGCTAGTCCCTCCTGCCGCTGGAACAATAACAATGCCAAACGTCAAATCACTTGCAGAACTATGCATACAAGTGTGCCAAAGGCACATCACAGAGCTTAGCAGTGTCGGAAATGGCGATGCACTTCAATACCATCATGTTCGCGACATTCTGCTCCGAGTTACCAATCCAGCCCAGCTCCGCGAAATCGAACTGAACTCCCCTCACATCCAAGGCGAAACCTCGGAACTCTGGCAGCGCCTCATCAAGAAAGAGTTCCCATCTGAAAGCCATGAGAAAAACTATGCGCCCAAAAATCCAACAAAATGGTACAAGATATACGAACGATACGCTGAGGAACGTCGAGAGTCACAGCAGCAGGCCGAGGCTGAGTTACGGGCAAAATTCCAGGGCCTGCAACAAAAAAGAGATAATAATGTCAGCAGAATCGTTGACCAGAGATACCTTCCCAAACCCCCAAAAACAGGTCGCACTTTCGGGCTTCGAGGACGAGGGGGAAAGGAGCTACCGGGCACGCTCAGCTTTGCAGCAGGCAGCAGACTAAAGACTACGACGGGCGCCAGTGTCATGAAGAAGGCTCGACGAGAAGCAGCAGAAATCGCTGGCATAAGAAGTCGACTGGCTGTTCCTACAGGCATGATTCGAGCTCCCCGAATCAACAAAGCACCTCCTTCCATGGCCAACGATCATCGGATTGCATCTCAACCCATCTTCCGGCCCACAGCTACCAGCTCCCGTCCTCCAACATCGTCCAAAACTACTTATATTTCTGATTCCTCAGACGAAGATGGCGAGGGTCTCTTCGGCGACGGGGCATCGAGCAAGAAGAATAGGAACAGTACTTCAGCTGGGCCAATTTCCCCTGCAAGTAACAGTCGTGACAGAGTATCCACCTCGGCAAAACCAGTCACACCTTCCAAAACTACGGCTTTAAGAGACCAAAACACTGCGAATAGGTCGTCGCCTATTGTGTCTGCTTCGCAACCGACGGGATTGAAACGTGGCGGCATCTTGGGAAACGCGCCGAAGCAGAACAGCAACATTCGAATTGAGCGACCAAAGCCCAAAGCGGAATTAGCCGCTTCTGCAACTGCAGATTCATCTCGTTCTCACAAGATGATCGCTCCACAAAACGGACCGCAGTCACCACCGCCGCTCCCGACATCCCTGGACGAAATGCAGCCGTCTCGGTCAATCATCGGCAACCCGGACGTGCCAAAGAAGAGGAAGGCTGTCGACATATTCATGCCTAAGAAGAAGAGCAGGCGCTAAATATATAGTATACTAGCTCTACCAAGGCAGACTTGGGATGGATTTGTAAGAGTATGGCGTTTGCACATTGGGAAGGAATACTGTACTAGGATGGTTTGGCGTCGGCAGGATATGATATATACCCTCTTGCTTTGGAAGATGGCAATGCTACGTCAGATTCAATTTGAGACGAAGCGCGTTCTTCTTTTTAACTAGATAAGCAGAATAAGCTGCGTTGAAAATCGATGTGGCCGAGATTCAACCTGTCAGTAATGAAATTTCAGTACACAAATAGTGTCTATTGCTACGTAATGCCTAACGCACGTATCATTCTTGAGCAGATTTTAGTCTGATATATCTGTCAATGCTCGTACCTCTTAGCCTCCTGTTCCGTTGGACGACCAGACAGAGTGTACCTGTCATGCAAAACTGGCACGCATGTCTTATAGCATTCGGTTGTTATTATGCTTGCAATGCGCCTCGTCCAGAAACGCCTCAAAAAGGTATCGGTGCGGCAGGCCGCGGGATAGTTTTCCTTCAACAGTCCTCCTCAACACAAGTCTGAAGCCTCACCTCCACGGAGAGCGAGAACAAGATGGAGCGTGGCACCCGCCTCAAGACCATATTCTGACGCTGATTTGTCGTCAACCCTGTAGTTGAAAGCATTGTGTGTCAGTCGCGGATCGAGATAGGATAGAAGAGACAGAAAAATTCTAAACAGTTGATGAAAAAAAGGAGCGAACCGAAACTAGCGCTCACATTTGCTTGCCACCATAAATCAGTCTTTGCTGGACGGGCGGGATACCCTCCTTCTCCTCAACTTTCTCCTTGATCTGCGAGACCTGTAATCGAACCATCAGCAAATTATTTCTTCCATCATCCGACTCTAGAAGAAATCCATAGAGTAGTATGCACCTTGTACTCATTCTCGATGTCGAGCTCGATCTCCTTGCCGGTCAACGTTCGTACCCTGGTGAATCAAGCAGTCAGCCAACAGAGGGGCTTTGGACAGAGGCTCCCCCAAAGCTGTCTTACTTGATCAACATTTTAACGTTATTATGAGATGAGGTCTAAATTTATTCTCGAATGGGCTTGGGTATCAGTGGGCGCAGAAGAAGGGGAGTATGTCGCGGTTCGTATCGTGCGAATCGTTCTGATCGTTGCAGTCGTTACAATTAGTCGATTAGTCGGCAAGCTCGCAGGCAGGCAATAGGTCATGGTGGGGGAGGGGCGTTGGCTTAAGAGTAAGGCGGTCTAAGGGCCACCGAGCAGGGGTGGAGGACGTGTAGAGAAGTGGAACGCACCACCGAAGGCCAGTATTCTTCCTTCCGTAATGGCCGTTCAATCACTTCTTTCTATGGTCCGTGCACCTTGAGAGGAAGATGCTGACCTCGTCAGGCGTCTAATGGGGGTTTCTTTTTACTCAGCACCTGGTTTATGCAAAAAAGTAGGCAGACTCTACTCAGCCTTAATGGAAAACCAGTTACAAGCCACAAAGCTGAGACCTGTCACCGTATAGTGTATCTAGCTTGGTGTCCACAGCGTGTGCTGTATTACACGGACTTTCAACATTTATTGATCCCTCCATTAAAGCATATGCAAATGTAGGGCGCATTCAAAGCTCTCAGAGGCGTTTTTCATTATAGTACAAATCCTTCTTCCAGGATCGTATGAATACAGTGGAGATTGGTGCTGAAGACAGACGCTTTATTTCTTGTCGCCGCCCTCAAACACGTTCAGACCCAGACCCTCCGAGTCAAGCAGCAGTCTGTTCTTGCTTCCCGCCTCCTGAAGCTGCTGAGCGATGGCGCGAGCATTCTCAATCTTCTTGAGCTCAACGTAGGCCTTGTTCTTCTTAATAGCTTCTCCAATCAGCTCTGCAGAGCGAGCTTCACCCTGTGCTTTGACAACCATGGCCTGCTTTTCCTGGCGAGCCTTGTCGACAACGAAGGCTGCGCGCTGGGCTTCTTGCTGAGCGACTTGCTTCGCTTCAACGGCAGCCGTGAACTCGGGCGAAAAGGCGAGGTGCTACATAAAGTTATGTTAGTTTTGAAGAGCATGGGGGCTGAATAGAGCGTAACCCTACCGTCAGAGAAACATCGTCCAGGAGAATATTGAACCGCGCCGCTCTTCGTGACAGGTTCTCGCGAACTAATTTGGCGACCATCTCTCTCTGGGTGATAAGCTGGCTAGCATTGAACTGAGCAACCACGCTCTTAAGGACCTCGTTCACAATAGAGGGCAAAACTCTCTCGTCGTAATCAGTGCCCAATGTGCGGTAGATCTGGGGGAGAGCCTTGATGTCGGGCCTCGAGAGCACACGGCAGGTGATGTTAACCATCTGCAAGTCCTTGGTTCCGGTAAGAGAGGCGACATTTCTAGGCTTCGCGCGAACATCGTAGGTGATGGGAGTCTCGAACCAAGGCAACATGAAGTGAGTTCCTAAAGAGAAGCATCAAGTCAGCTTATTGCGCATCTACGTCGGGGGGAGACGGTTCGCCATGGGTGGCAATAATTACCTTCGCTATAGATCTCCTTGCTCACACCACTTAACCTCCGGTACTTGATCGCTCTGTGACCACCGTCGACGTTGAATAGCGCGTTCTGGGCAAGGAAAGCGGCACCACCAAGAAGCACAAGACCGCCCAGTCCCATACCAATACCGCGAGGGCCACCAGGCATACCGCCGGGGCCTCCGAAGCCGCCTCGTTTCTGCTGCTGCTGCGCAACCTGCCTGAGGCGCTCGTAGGCCTCCTCCATAGGGTTTCTTCCTCCAGACATGATGAATACAATGCCTGATCGTAGGAAGTTGTCGAACGCTCAATTAAAGGATTAGTTGATCGGCTGCCGTGGTCGAGCGAGTGGAAATGCTGCAGCTTGCGGGAAGCTGATGATGGTGGAGCTTGTCAGTCTTCAACGTCACGGTTGTCCTGCGGAGCTCGAAAATTGGTGTTGGCCGGTGCTTTCGGCAACCACACGAGCCACTGGCAGCAGCTGGCTGTCACCTGAGGCAGCTACCTAGACTACGTAGTAAGTAGCTGACCTTCTGGCTCCATCCATCATCAACTCTGTGCACAGACCAGCCCAAAGCTTCTGTCTAATGCCTTGGCTGGTAGAGCATCTTGCCAGGTGGCAGTCCAGTTGCTACACGTACTTTTACGGCGGCCTCGTCTCCACTATTCGACCGTTGCGCCATTGATGCAACCAACTTCCCATATGCGAGGTCCCCTCCCGTCCAGGACATTTTGAACCGCAACTCTCGTGTTCTGACCGAAAGAGCACGCGTCCAACCCCTGTAACTGTAAACGCCGTATCTCTTCGGATGTGCTAACTCTCTTTGGACTCAACGCCTAATTGTGGAGGATTCTGTCCGGCTGATTTGTATTATTTATAGTTACTTTGCGGAATACTTCAAGTGAAGGCTTCTCGCTATTAACCAAACCTTTAATTTTTCATTTTGAAATTTAAAGACATAATCATTTGCTTCAAGCCAACAGCCATGGCAGCAACACAGACTGTCTCAGATGTCAAGGCTGCTAGTACCAGCCCGGTGATATTGACAAAGCGATTGTTGATCCGTTCCAATACCCTTGCTGATGCCCCTGACATGGCTCGGCTAGGAAACAATCTCAAGATTGCGGCAAACCTGCGCAACACTTTCCCCTCGCCTTACCTACTCGAGCACGCAAAAGGCTGGCTTGATATCTGCGCAAAGGAACCAGGAAACCACTTCGCCATTTGTGAAGCGGACGGCGGGGCCTACATTGGCAGCATTGGTATCACTCGCGGCAATGACGTGCAGAGTCGTACTTGTGAAATTGGCTACTGGATTGGGGAGGACTACTGGGGCCGCGGGTATGCGACTGAGGCCCTGCTAGCGTTCAGCAAATTTTGTTTTGAAAGCAATCCATCGGTTCTTAGGCTGGAAGCCAATTTGTTCAGTTCCAATATGGCCAGTCGGAAGGTTCTCGAGAAGGCCGGCTGGACGTACGAGGGTACCAAGAGGCAGGCGATCGAGAAGAATGGACAGGTTCTTGACTTGGTATTGTTTTCACTTCTTAGGCACGAGTGCATTCGCTAGTTGCACTTGACTTGCTTCATTGGGGGTTGGGGGTTGGAGTTTATTGTAGGAGTACTGCGAGGCTGTCCAAAGTGGCAACATGGCAACTTTGGAGCTTTCATCTGGCCTCGCTATCTCGGGTTCGGGCCTTTCTCCTCTGCTACAGTTAAGTGCGAGAGCAAAGGAGACCCTGATAAATACTAGCCATATTACTTATAACTATATGATATAGTTCAATAAATAGCACCTGCCCGTCCCGTTCGATCTCCCATTTCCGAAACTGTCTGCGGTATTCCTTGATCGCCGTACCTCAAGGGATACACCCAACCAAAATATCTCAATTACCGTCATTGGCATGTTCTCATACGGAAAAAAAGGTGGTGGGGTAATCGTAGACCGTTTCCGAAGCGTTTGGCGACTCGACTCTGGGCCTGACTTGAATTCATCTCAACACGGCAGTGCTTTTTACTCGTTATCTGTTATCCAGATATCCACTTGTCTCTATTACTTCGAGTCTTTGGGTATAATTATTTTCCCCCATCCTATTGCAAAGAAGGTGAAGCCCCGGTCCGTATATCCATAGCTTATTACTATATCGGACAACAGATGGCACATCTATGCCCAGATTCGCTTGTCGTCACCTGAGCACTGGAATGTAGCATATTATTACTACACTGAAGAGGAAAAGCAAGGAATGACTCAGCGAAAGACTATCCAACTACCGGTATTCACTCCTAAGCTACGTGTTCACATTTACCGTGGTTGTACCAAATCTTGTTTGTAGTCTGGGCATTTAGTGAGAACCAGATGAGCGCCGGCGATCCGTTGGCGCTCGAATCATTATGGGTATGAAACAACATCGTGAGCACTTCCAAAAACTCGATAATGTATGGTTCAATCAGGATTGAGTTATCATTCGACAATCTGCCGCTTAAATGTTGAGTTACATAACGAGCTCATTATCATTATCATTTCCACGCTTGATAAGTTGTCTATCGCCGTGAGAATACGAAGGTGCGTCTTCCAGGCCTAGCACCTTCACAAATCAAAATTAGAGAGGATAAGAAGCGACCTAGGACACCTTGAGGACCCTAAGCCTTCTTGTTCGCCTTTGCAGCAGCCGCGGCAGCCACCGCCCGTCTGCCGAACTTCTTGGTCCAAGCAGCGTCATGGAAGTCGAGCTCAACCGCACGTGGCGGCATGCTTCTCTTGCCGGGGTGTACATTGGCTGCGGTGATGTTACCACAGTTTGGTCTTGTCAAGTTGTTGCCGAAAACATCAACTGTCCAGAGCAACACGCCATTGGTCCATCCGAACCCCTCTACCACCTCATACTCTCCTCCACCGCCAGCGACATTAGTCGCATTGTCGGCGTACTTTTCAAACATGATGCCTACATCCTGCTCATTGAGGCCCTCAAGTTGGGGGGTTTCACTTGTTGATCCTCCAGTCGCATACCAAGTGCAGAAAGTAGAGTCCAGATACCGCTGTCCAAGTCGAAGAGCAAGATTCTGGACATCGCGGTAAGAAGGGTCTGATTCACCAAATGTGGCTGGAGTGTTACGCAAGCCTTCCATGAGGATATGCATCAGTGGTGGCCAGACGTTGGGCTGATCCCATTGTTGACCTGTTTTCAAATTTGTTGCTGGAATACCGCCAGCTTTGATATCCAGATATTTTGCGACTCGTCCGTAAGCTTCCTTGACGGCATAAGGGTTGCTCTTGAGATGAGGAGGCACAGCCCCGGTCCAGAAAGGATAGAATTGAGCTACCGAAAAGAAAACTTGTTGACCTTCATCGGCAGTGTCTGTTTCGACCTCGCTGGCATCGTCGTCTTTGGGAATATAGATATTTTGGGCTTCCGAGGTCAAATTGTAATCAAAGTAACTATGCAGAGTCGAGTTCCACATCAGATCATACATGGCCTGACTTCGATCACTTGCCAACTTAGTCCAACTAGCTGCTCCGGTGCCGTTGTTCGAAGAATTGAGCAGTGCAGCTATAGCCATTTCGTTCGCGTAGAGGATGGCATTGAGATCAACCGGTACTGTACCGAGAACATTAAGAGACCTCAAGGGGAAGTAAACGTCTCTTGTTGCGTCTGCGGGGTGCGAAATCCAGCGCGCGGTATAATCCCAGCCACTCTCAGCGCCACTGGCCAAATTGGCATATACAATAGCCTTTTGGCTATCATTGAGTGGCTGCACTTCGGGGTAAATGATGCCACTCGCTGCATAGTAAGAACTATTCGAAGCAGTGACATAATCTTCACGGTACGATTCAGGTCGTGGTTGTGTGTTGGTCACGTTGTATCTGATACCCATATCCATTAGCGTTTGTCAACATAACCGGGGTTTGAGGCCGTCTCACTGATTTAGACGATAAGTTGTCCCATTCTTGTTAATTTCGACAGTTCTGTTGTTGGTCCAGAAATCGTGCTCCTTGATTAGAAGCGGAATGGCTCGCTCGACGATGCTTCTATCATCTGTGTACTCAACATAAAGGCGGACCATTTGCGCCAAGAGCGGAGGCTGTGAACGATTCAAGTAGTAGATTCGTCCGCCGTTGGGTACGAATCCAAAACGCTCTACGAAGTCCAGGAAGTTCTCAATAACATTCTTGGAGATTTCAACAAAGCTGCCCCCGGTTCGTAGGAGGCCTTCCAGGATAAAAAAGGTGTCCCAGTAGTAGCTCTCCCTGAAACGGCCTCCGGCAACGACAAACGTACGGTTGAGTGGAATGAAGCTGTTGGGGTAGCTGGTGTTACCCGCGGATCCGGCATAGGTGCGGGTGAGGTCGGGCCAGATGTCGATGACCTTGTGGGCGAACTCCTTTATGACGGCGTCGTTAATTTTATCAAGGAATTTGGGATCTGTCCGCAGTTGGTCTTTGGGGACTTCCTCAAGCTCCCCTCCGGCCGGAGCGAAATTGGCACGCAGGAAGTCATTGAGCTCTGTGTTGTTGCTAAGAGGCTTCGTGAGGTTTTCGAAAGCAGCTTGGATTTCTTCTAACGATTTGATAGCAGGCCTGAAGAGCTGTTAGCAAGCACAACGTGAGCGGGGGCCATGCGAAGCCCTCTTGGCCATCATTTGCAGACACGGTTCGCTTCACAAAAATCACTTACATGTCCACGAATGTCTTTGAGTCTTTGAAAGGTCTTGCCAGCTCAATCTGCTTGAGAATCTCACCATGGCAATAAATGGGCGAATCGCAAGGTGCAATGACAGAGCCATTCTCGTAGAGAGCATGGGCAGTTTGAGGCCAGACAGCGAGTGCTGTTAGAACTAGTGCGAGGGGAGTCATCGCGTCTCGTTGGGGCCCGAGAGTCGAGCTAATCCTTACACAATGGAATGGTACAGATGGACAGAGCGAAATTCATAGAGCAACCCGGTGGCTTCAGACGAAGAAGTCGGTGGAGGGGTATATAAAGCAAGCTTGGGTTGCAATATACCTTGCACACTGCCAGGATCAGCAGAAGCTCCATGAAGGAGGATGGACCTTTGGACAGGTTCCTGCCAGAGAATTTGCCAATCGATTACACGGCACCATGGGAAGGCAAATTAGACAAGAGGGGGTGGCACGCAGGGGTCTCAGACCAAGGCAAGTTTTCGCAGGCTACTCTGACATCGTGACCAGATGATTCCAGTAATATATTGGCGCACAAAGTTAATCACTTGGTTGCTGCCAATGGTGGAAAGGCTTGGAACCATGCCGGGCCCGAGTCAATTCCGCATCGCGGGCCGGGAAAAAGCTACTTTAGCGTGGCACGGCAGACGACACGTTGGACGCCACACCACGCAACTTTACGGATTGGAACAAGAATTGGCACACCTGGCAGGGCAGAGAGAAAGCTGGATGGCTGCTCTATCGGCTCCGCTTGCAGATGCTGTCTCCTCCCCGCACAGCCTGCTCTTGTGGAGGGCCGCGGTAGAGCCGCCATGAGAGCGTCATTAGACCGATTGGTTCCTCCCCGGGTTTTCCTAGCTCTGGACTGGCTCTAGAATCCCGGGGTAAGCGATGTGGGTGACGGTCGTCGTATGTCATACCACTGCAACGGTTTGATGTGACGTCAGCCTGGAGTAGAAATCTTAGCTCTTGGTCTTGGATGTTGTGCCTTCTAGGCGGGGTAAACTCACCTTTTCGCTGTTTTGGTCAACTAATTACAGCTGTCATTGGGGGCGCCGAAGTAGAGAAGCTCGGCCCTCCCGGATAGCTTTCCCCACATTCTTCCGGAGTGCACCTAAGTGTGCGTACTACGTACACGTCGTAGTCATTCACTCTCCGTTTACTGTCGTCTATGTCAGCGGCGGTGAAATTGCCTCTGAGATCATCAAGACTACTTGACTTGCGCACAACTACTAGTTCCTTTTGAAAGGCTGCGATTGACCGATCCCGAGCCAAGCCTTCCATACGAGGCATCCGGTCTGATTTCAGGACAAAGGCATCTATAAACATGGAACAGGCGTATGCATGCGAGGCTTCTTGAACCCTGTTGGATGGTGATCTGTCACTCGGGCACACCCAGGGATCACCGACAGTAAGTCTGCCTCGTGGTGTGGCTTAAGCGATAATGAAGCCTATGGTGTCATGTAAGCCCAGCATTTAATACATCTGATGGTGCGTCTTCAAGAGCGGGGGATAAACTTCTAATCGCTGTCGTCAAAAAACCGCCCCCGTCAGCGGTTTGCGATAAGAGGGATACAAAGAACAGATGGGAATTTACTCGTGTTTGCTGGTGTGGCATAAAAGTGTTTTTTTATTAACGGAAAAAAGGTTTAACAATAAAAGTTCCAGGGGATGTCTAATTAAGCATGTTTATGCTTGTGTTTGATCGGATTGGCGGTGGCATATGCTCACCAACGCTGCAAGTTTCTCAGCGCGTACGCCTTACCGCGGTCGGTAAATACTCGACGGTGTCTGGTTCGCCAAACATCCTTTGCTGCCGCCCTCTAACGCACGACGGAACACTTGCTCTAATCTCGGTAACACTTCTTCTTGGTTCTGCGCGATCTGGTAATGAATAACCAGTCGGTTGCCGATCAGCTTCAAGCCAACTTCTTTGCCAAAGCTAACAAAAGCCTCGGTGCTGCAGCCTGCCGCGTTAAGGTCAAGCCAGCACATGTTGGTCTCGACTGGGTGAACGAGTGTTCCCCCTAGATCAGTCCACATCTTCTCAATTTTCTTGGCCGTTTCGTGGGAAGATTTCAAAAGACCGCCTTCACCATTAGGCCCCTTTCCGAACGTCTCATCAACAGCAACTCTAGCCGGGGCAGCCACTACTCCCGATTGCCGGAGGCCACCGCCAATAGACTTTCGAACCCAACGAGCATGCTTTATGTGCTGAGATCCGCCGACAACTATGCTTCCTATCGGGGCACCGAGACCCTTCGAGAAACAGAGGCTAACAGTGTCGAACAGCGAGCAGTATTCCGAAAGACTGCCAGCTCCTGAAGCGACAGCCTCCCAAAGCCTCGCGCCGTCACAGTGGACTTTCAAGTTGTGTTCACGGGCGAACTCGACAATTCGCTTAATCTCGACTAGGGGCGTAACCACACCATTAAGGGTGTTCTCCAGGCTGATTACCTTGGTAGGACAGGTATGAACATCGTCATCCAACTCGGCATTGGCCACAATGTCTTCAAGTGTCAGATAAGCTCCGTTGCTCGGCACAACAGGCTTGATCATGGCGCCACAAAGAGACGCAACGCTAGCAACAATGTGTGAGTAACGACTGAAGCACTTGGTGGGTTTGAGAGGAAAAGACGAACCCGCCAGCCTCATATTTGATGATGTGGGCGCGGTGGTCACACAGGACACTGTAAGGAGGCTGGGTAAGGAGGGCTCTTAGGGCAACCTGGTTTCCCATGGTTCCCGACAGAACAAGGAGGGCGGCCTCCTTACCGGCGAGGGCAGCTACATGGGACTCCAGCTCGGTTGTCGTGGGGTCTTCCGCGAAAACATCATCGAGCAAGCTGCAGGCCTGAATGGCAGCAAGCATCGAGGGCGTGGGGGTTGTCATAGTATCACCTTCAACGGTTACTTTACAATAGCATAATGGAGAGATCGATGGGCTCACTTCTCAGATCGAAACCAGCGGCGCCCTGGTGGCCGACCCAAGCATTGGGCTGCTTCGATGAAGCGGCCGCAGCGTTTGCTGTGCTGCTAAGAGCAGATGGAGCCATATTGGGAGTTGAGTATCGCGTTGACGAAGAGTGACTGAGGGGTTTGGTAGTTGTCCGGTTGAATAGAACCGTTGGCAGCAGCTGCGGGGTTAATCGGCTACAACTATGCCGCAAGGGCGCGCCTAGGGCGTGCAGGTCTATTTGTGTCCCGGTCAGTGGTCCGAGCCGGCTCCGAGTGACGGGACGGGGATCAGGGACAAAAGCAAAAGGCTATGTGGGCTGGCAACGTGGCAGTTGGCTTTCGGGTGGCGTGTGGTCAAGACTTACGAGCAATGCCAACTGTTGACATGATGAGAATGGCAGCAGCGGAAACCCTTCTGCGATAGTCAAGGGATCTAGAAAATGTGCACCCAAACTTGCAATGTTCTCGTCTTTTGCGGCGTCGGAGTGATTCGCAGCGGATGCTGTGTCCGAATATTGAGGGGAAGCTACCAATCAGTAGCGGAGCCCAGAGCCAAGGGAGCTCCCCTCTCCGGTTTGACTTCAGCAGCTCCACAGGTCTGTCTTTATGCGTAAATCAGTCAGGTCATTGGCTCGAGGCGGCTTCTGACGAGTAGTAGAGGTCACTGAGGCACTCCTACTGGTCAACAAGGTACGCAATCATTTGGCTTGATGTCAGGAATTGGCGAGTAACCATCGCCAAAGATATTATCTCTTATCTCATCTCATAAATGGATACCGGTACTGTTTCTCTACCACGGTAGGATAGGGTTTGGTAGTAATTGGATGCAATTGGCTAGGCTGGCGATGGGTGGAGACCCAAGGAGGCGGTCGCCCCCGGAAGACTTTGGAGCATCTGTGTTACTGCTGTAGTAGTTAGTGACTTGAAGGAAGAAAAGAAACACTTTGGGTCTGATAGAGAATGAAGATGTTTCAGGCAAGTGCTTAAATCGGTTGAAGAGAAGCTCTGTCGACCACGAAGCATGTAGAGGTCAGTTATGTCAGCCTTGCCGTTTCCCCCCTTGCCAAACAAAACCTACTCGGCACCACGTGCACCTTGGTAAATTTGTCGAAACCAAAGACACACGCACCATCTCGTTTCGTTTCTAGTAGATGAAGGTAATCCTAACACATTGGTCTCTTGAGTGCAAGCTTTTGTACCTGTGGATATAAAACAGTGCCTCTGAGTACGGTTCGACAGGACTGTGACCTCAAGCTCAATGAAGCCTACCTACATCCTGCCCAACAAATGGGTCCGTCTCGTGGAATTCCGCAGCAAACTCGCTGCTGCCTTGCCGTTTCCTCGTGTCAGGGCGACAAGGACCTTACTCAGCGAACATCCGCAGGTACGAGAAAAAGTAATGGTTTTGCGATATAGACTCCACAGTTGGCTCTACTCTCATGCTAGTGGTACATTACGCATCGCTTCTAATTCACCTATGCGGCATTGATCGCCGGCAAGGGCAAACGTTGTAATTAAATGTTGTCCATCGCGAGGAAAACAGCGCAGTTGGTGGGACGTAAAAAAGGTGCTGACGGCAGCTGCCCTGGCTGCATCTCCCGTTTCCTCCCCGTTTATCATCGACGATGCCCAGAATCTCATTTTCCAGTGCCGAATGGCACTTGGGTACATGATTATCCGTACTGGGGTTCGGATCCTACGTAGAAGTGTACTATGGTAGAGGGCAAGGAGCTGCGACCCACTAAAACGCCATTAGAAAGCTTCTTTCTGTCAGGACCCTGCGTCCCTACCGTGTGTAGTCGGCTTGGCGGCATGCCGTCAATCAAATCAGCGAAACGCCATGCTTCCGCCTCCCGCCTCTTACCCCCGAACACTGCTACCGCCAAAAGGGGCTCTTTGGTTGCCGTTGTCTACTGTCCACCAACTTGCTATAATGACTCTTCATACCCTCGCACTCCATCATAACAGGACGACTTTCCGCAACGTGGTCCTAGGACGCCTGCCCATGCATAATTACGGCGCGGACTGATCCAACCTGCGTCTCTTCTGGACAGACGACCTTAAGCTGGTCGGTCCAACTAGGATAAAACTCCCGCCTCTTCTATCTGTCTCCCTCTCGCACCACGCTATCATCCCAGGCTCTCACATTGTTAGAGCCGGTATCTTTGTGCTAAGCCTAGAGTTTGTTGATGCCTCCTTTCCCCTCCGATATGCATCGGATCGCAGCATGCGACGCCGCTTTTGCTTTAGCATGTACCAGCATGCTAGGGTGCTCGAACCTGTCCGAGCTTCTTCGTGTCACCTTCATCTGAATAGCTCATGAAGCCTAGATCCCCACATCTTCAGGTGCTAAAAGTTACATGATAAGTTTTTATTGGCAGAGCTGATTGGTGACTTACACCCGTATAACCTTCTTCTCCATAGGAATATCAAGGCACCCCCCGGCCTCTCTTGCAGGCCCTCCCCTCTGAAGCTTGCCTGATACCCTCTGTATCACAATGGCAGCCTAGAATTCCTTACACCCCTCAAGTTCTCTGTCTTCTTTTTTCCTCGGGGTCAACATCGACCAGACAGGAGGTCTTTTTGGCTCAATCTGAGCCATCCCGACAAGCTCCTAGTAGCTGATTCCTCGTGATAGTCTCCTCTTTCGTCTACCACTTGGCCGGAATCATGGTGTTGCAGTGGCACATTGGTTCCTCAGTTCTACTGAAAACCATCATTTTCATAATCGCCTGCCTAGTCTTGTATGCCAGTCAGCATCCCGCCCTTGACAGGTTCGAGCACCGTATATCGGACCTTGACCTGACCCTCCAGCTGCCGAAAACAGGGCTCGACTTTGGGAGCAACAGGAGCGACCACCGTTCTTTTTACACTTCAGAAGCCGCCCAACGGTTCTGTAAGCACCACGGCTACTCCGTCTTCACTCCACAACCAGATGTTGGCCAGCGGAAGGTCTATGACCTCTTTATGGTCAACACAGAACTGGACTGGATGGAGGTACGCCTAAACACGACCTACCACCACGTTGATTACTTCATCATTGTTGAATCCCCCAAAACGTTTACAGGCAAGCCGAAGCCTCTTACCATCAAGGAGAACTGGGACAGGTTCAAGCCCTACCATGACAAGCTCATCTACCATCAGCTTGAATTCCCACCAGACTTTAACCCCACAAGGTCTTGGGACTACGAAGACCTCCAACGCAATGCTATGTACAGCCAAGTCTTCCCTAGACTCGCTGGCAAACAAGCCCCTGTGTATGGAGACGTTATTCTCGTAGCCGACGTCGACGAGATTGCCCGGCCCGAGACGCTTCTGGTCCTTAGAACATGTCATTTCCCTCGCCGACTCACGTTGCATAGCCGGTTCTACTACTACAGTTTCCAGTTCCTCCACACGGGGCCCGAATGGAACCACCCGCAGGCAACCTACTTCCAGGGCTCACGCACCATCTCGCCAGCGAACCTCCGAACGGGAGATGGCGGCTTCAAGCCCCTATACGATCTGGAAAAGGGCAATCTGGCCAATGCTTGCTGGCATTGCTCCAGCTGCTTCGCAACGGTCGAGGAGTTCCTAACCAAGATGGCCTCCTTCTCCCACGAATGGATGAATGGCGAGCGGTTTCGAGACAAAGATCGGATCGCAGACGCGATCAGAAACGGCAAAGACCTATGGGGAAGAGCCATTGATCAGTTCGAGCGCCTCGAGAATAATACAGACGTGCCAGGCATGTTGCTAGGTGAACCAAAACGGTTCAGCTACATGCTAAATCGGGATGGGCCTTCGGCCGGGTTCACGGACTACCCTTGATTCGTTATTGATTCTCCGATATTTCTTTTCCTAGACTTTCATGTCGTTGGTTCTATAGGGTCGTGGCGTAGAGCTCGGATAGCTTTGTCAGCGCACAGTAAGGGATATCAAGAAGGCGGGGACTGCATTGGGCGCGATGGTTTGAGGGTCATTGGTTTTCCTCTTTTGACAAACACTGGTGATATAAGGAAGGAGTTAGGTATAACACGGTGCTGGTGTTGGTCTGGATATCTACAACTACCTGGGTGCAAGATTGGCTGCAAGATATATGCTGTGCCGACCAGTTGCGAAATCATCCCCTGTATAAGTGTAGTTTCATTTTACTTCATTTGTACTTCATTTTCTGAAAGACATTCTAGAATTTCCACTTGTCTGGCTTGGGCTAATCCAAGGACAAATTTGTTTTGGCGCCAGGTGGCTGCCAGTGGTGTGTCGTGGCGCATAGGAGGGGAGCACAGCGACCTGACAGGGCCGTCACCGGAGGCGGCGTGTTCAGTGGGGTTTCATCGAGTTCTGTTTCCCCTCCATCCGTGTGGGGTGGGGGAGCTATCCACTGTAGCGTGTCAACTATCACCAGGAATTCCCTTGCAGTCATCGTGGTATCGTATCTATACACAGCTGGCTTGACCCGGGCTTCGAGGGCCCAGGCTTAGTGGCTTGTCCGGCTCTCCAAACCTGGAATAAAAAAAAGGGAGGAAGATCCTGCCAAATTCACCTTCATCATCTTCTCCCTGTACAGCAGCTTGCCTACCAGAAAGCGACGTCTTTTCCCCCTGTGACAAGAGCCCAAGAAACAGACAACGCACGCCGGCATGGCATCCATGCCCGCAGCGATGCGGAAGAGTCGGTTGGGCGACCAATCAGTGCGTCCCGAAGCTTCAGAGACCGATGCATCGACGCGCGATGCGCTGGCACTTATGGCCTGTGTGTCTCCGTCCGCGCAGTCGCAGCTCCGGAAAGGAGTGACAGAAAAAATGACGGGACAGAGAGGAAGGGAGTCATGGGAAAGGAGAGAAACGGATAAAGAGAAGGGGACAAAAATACTCATGTCCCCCTCCATCGCTTCTGCCCTTCTACCTCTTTTTCTTCTCCTCCTTTCTTGCCTGCTGAACAAAACACCACGCCCCCTACATGCCACCTTTGCGACCAACTCCTGGGCTTGACTACCGATTTTAGCCCTCCGTTCCTACCACGCACACAACATGTATGCACGGCATCTCGCCTTACCTCGCTTCTTTTCTCTTCTTCTTTTCCCTCAAATCAGGTCTTCTGGGGCCACTTCCAATAAGCTTTAGCTTCTGTATCCGTTCCAGGCAATCTGAGCGCATCCAGCGCTGTGCCTCAAGAGCTCAGCGTTGTGTCCACTCCATGTCGGCACAGTTTCGCCGCCGATGCTACCTTCATCCAAATTCCTAGGTGGTTCCTCCTGCGTCGAATATTTACGAAGAGAACCACAATTCACACAAGTGATCAAGCGATCGCGCGTCAGTCATGATAGTCATTGATCTACTCTCGTAGCATCGTCATCGTCAACCGCTCCTTCCTCTGCTCCGCCCACTCACTGTCTTCTGCTTAGCTCTAACAGCCGTGCCGAACTCAGTCCTTGCGCCCGGGAGCATCTCGAACCAGATATCCCGGCCAAAGAAATTCTGCTATGACGAAACAGCCGCCCTGCTCCAAAACATGGACCCTGCGACCTCCTTAGTCCTGTCCAAGAAAAACCTCCCTTGTGTGCGATATGGTGAAAATTTAACACGGCTGAGCAGGCTCGTTGGCTCTACTGATGCTGTCGCAGACCGACCGAGAACGCCAAAGTCTTCGCAAATTATGTCAACAAATCGATAGGCCATGCTTCGTCAAATCCATGCCTGGCTCGAAGCCCTTTTCTTCCATGTTTTGAAACCCATCCCCATCCATGGTGTTCACCTCGTCTCTCCGGAGACTGGACGAGGAAGAGCGGGAAAGAGCTGTTTGAGTTGCAGACAAACAGGCCTCCCAGCAAGCAAAGACAGACAATTCATCTGTTTGCCCATTTCATGAGCCACTGAATCACGGCATCCAAGTTCGTCTCCTCTTTAGCGCTGATCCCGTAGCAGCAGACTTCGCGGTGGCCTATAGACTTCAGATCCAACGCATCGATCAACTCATCGACCGACAGTTTTTCCGGGAGGTCCGACTTGTTACCCAGAACGAGGAGCGGTATCTCTCTCAACGATGCTTGCCCCATTAGAGCATGAAGCTCATCGCGAGCTTGCTGCAACACATCCATATCGGCAATATCGACGATGAAGACGATAGCGTTCACACCGCGACAGTATCTTTCCCACATTGTCCGGAACCGAGGCTGTCCGCCAATATCCCAGCACTTTAGTGTAACGTGCCCTCGTTGTACCCGCTTCATGTTGAATCCGACTGTCGGGATCGAGCTACATGACGTCTTAGTTAGCCGAGAACGCCGCTAGCCGAGACTGCCACACCAAAAGCCACACATGTGTCGCCTTCGAGGCATCAATAAGATGGGAAGATCGCTTACTCGATAGTGAACTCGCCACCCTGGAAAGGTAGAAGTTAGCAAACGGAGGACACATCATCGATGACGAAAAGAAGAAGCTTGGATAACTCCGGCCGACTTACCGCGAGGACTCGTAAGAGGGATGTTTTACCAGCATTTTGCAGGCCGATCATCGTCACATCCATCTCCGTCGCCCTGTCACGCAAGTCAGTATATAAACAAATTACCATCGCCGTGACTGAGGGGCAGGATGAGCGCAACGGCAGCGGGGTAAGGTCAGAGCGCGCGGGCCGTTGTCGGTCGCTGGGAATCACCCCGCTGCCCATCACCACAACACAACATACTCACCAAAACGTCCGCAATAACCAATCGTACACTTTCCGGAATAGCCCCGCCATAATGCCGGTTGATGACCGCGATGCGCTTGCGCAAACAGAAACGTAGTGTACCGTAGATGTCCAGAACGATAGTCGCAGAGGGTCTACGATCTTGAAACCAGTCACGACCCGAAAATATAGTATGTCGCGCAGAGGGAGTTGGTCGTCGGAGCGCCCACGATGTCTCGCTCAAATGTGGACAGGACGGCAAGACGGTGAGAAGGGAGACAGGCGGGTGGGGTTCTCGTTTTGATGCTTGATTATTGGGTGCGCTGAGACGACTGTCAAAGTAGGAATAAAATGTCTTTTATGACCCGTGATAACCGATCAAATCCCGCAAGTCAAGTCTCGAGCATCGATGAGGCGGTCCTCTGTGCGATGATGGGGGCGGAAGGGTAGGTAGAGGGAGGCTTGAAGGTCCGCTCACTCTCGTTGGCGGGTGATGACAAGCAAGGAGCAGCACTGCGCAGCGGTGCAGCGGGCGGGAACCAGTTGAGCCAGGTGACGCTTGGCCCGGTCTGGCCTGTCCTAGGCCTACGAGGGCGGAGATACAGAGGTCCCCACCAAAAGACGGGATGGAGGGGGTCCAATGTGGACTGGGTCAGGATGTGCAGAACAAGGTACCTTGACCCTGGCCGCACCTTGGGGCACAAGCTGTAGGATGAACCGTGCCGGGCGAGGAGAGAGCGGATGGAAGACGATTTGAGAACAACCGCGTCGACAGGGCCTGTAGCGGTTAGGACTAGGGTTTCATTCGTTTGTTTTTGCCAGGTGCTGTGGAGCTTGCAACAGTAGCCGCGAGAAAGGGCTGAAAGATGAAGAACGACGGATCAGTGAGTATGCCAGACCCGTGCATGTGAGTTCGGGTATGCAAACTGCACTGTTGGCGATGACGGTGGCGGCAGCGGAACCAGCAGGGGTGACGCCGAACGCAGTAAAGGAGCAAAAAAGCGGCAAGGCTTGGACGCAGAGGTAGCGATTTTCTATCACCTGCTGTCGCTTTGCCTATGACGGGCTGACTCCCAGTCGAGGTTGATTATTCTCTGGTATTGGGGGCACAAGTTACCAGGCCTGCAGAACCTAGATTGCGCTAAGGCGGGGTGGGCGGGATGTAGCCGGTGTTCGTATCTGAAGCGGTGCTTGTGATCCGAAAAAGGTGCAATGATGGGTTTTGGGCAGCAGAGAAGGGGCTGCCACGGAACGGATCGAAAGTAACTCTCCTTAATCATGTGAGAGCGGCCTTTGTTGTCTCAGCCCGGCCTGAATCCAAGATAAGACAGAGTTAAGCAATCTGCTTGAATTGGCGAGACTGTGTTTTGCGCCCTTGTTTGTATCGAGGGTAAGGTAAGGTAAGGTAAGGTAAGGTAAGGTAAGGTAAGGTAAGGTAAGGTAAGGTAAGGTAAGGTAAGGTAAGGTTACGATAGTACGTTAGCTGGCGGCGGGGCCAGCCAGACAAGACCTCTTAAGGGATAGAAGTGCGCAAGATAGGACACCCTAGATAACGAAATCTCAAAATCTATCGCTTTGGCAATGGTAATCTGTAGGTGAACCAAGACGGTGCTGTGAGATGAAATTCATCAGCCTCCTTACGGGTGGACAGCGTTCGGCGTTTAATGACGTTCGTGACTGTGATAGAGCCTGTAATGGGCGGCTCGCCACAAGGGTAAATCTTTGGCGGCAAATGTTGAAGGACTCGGATTTGGAAGCGCTGCGGGCCCAGGTGCTGCTGAGACTGGCACAGCCGGGGTGGGTAAATGAAATGGAGTTCGAAACGTGCTGGGAAACAGAGTGCAGGAAGCAGGGTATTTAGCAAAAAGGTAGATACAGGAAGGTCAGCCAATTCAGGTTAGGCAAGCATGAGGTTGATCTAGGCAGTCAGAGGCAAGCTTGAAGAGGCAGGGTAGGTAACCAATCTGATAAACCACGGGCAAGTCACCTCGGAACACACGAGAGCTAGACTGTCTTTCTACGTCTACCTTGCCCATCAACTTGCCTTTTAGGAGGGCCAAACCCATGTTAAGAAATTAAGGCTGTAACGCCAAATGGCACGTCTAACAGGTGAGAGGTTTGTAGACTGGGTAGGCAGAGGTGGTAGTGGATGTTATGCATCACACAGCAGTAGCCAGCAAGCCCAAGTCCTGGGGCGACTCTTGAGTCTCCATCACTGGGCTTCGTTTGCACCATCCCAAGGTGCCTTAAAATGCAGCGCCTTAGTACCTTGGTCCATAATTTGGGCCTCGGAGCAGCGCAAGTTGGGCTGCAAGCCACCCCCCGTGTTACGCCATTTCCCGTCCTAATCAGCACCCGCGGTTGGCCATCACTGAAGCTGGCTTTGGATTATGTATGTGCTAAGCTCTGCCTCGGAAAACTTCCTAGTTGCCGGAAGGGTGAAAATGAATGTTCACATTGGCGGGGACGACTGAGGAGGGATGATGGCAGCTGAGGCAGCATGGCCACCTTTATGCACGAAGACCTTACCTTGCCTGACGACATCATGCACATCAGATCGACTTCTAAAGCACAAGACATGTACACTAAGATCTACTCGCTTCAATTCATACTCCGAGGCTCATCGTCCGGTTGACGACAACATCGCCATCCCCAAACATTTCCTCAATGACAACTGTTGGGACGATTGTCAATTTCTGGCATGAGCTGTTAAACCTTGCCGTATATTCTGGCTGAACCCCAGTTACCGTCCGTCTGAGAGGATGCACAATGCTCAAGCGGCTGCCGTCCAGTCTTCCGGCCCGTTAGACGAAATCTAAAATTCACTTTCCATTGAAAGTTAGTAGCTGAAGCTACCGGCTTGTTTGGTATGCTACTTTTTGCCATCATTTGGTCAATATCAATCAAGTTACCGTCGCGACCCGTAATCTATGAAAGAGCGCTCATCTAAAAGCTCAGAAATAAATCGCTTGTGACACAGCCCGAAGCCGCTGGAAGCCGTGTAATCAGATTTAAAGTTAGTGCAGCCACTCGCACGGTTAGAACGAGGTGCTTCGCTGGCCTACGTTCACTGCAGAAACCGAATTTGCCCATGTCACCTACTGGGCACGATGCCACAAACATCCAGCCTGAATGATGCACTTCGCCCCGCAGTTTCGATAAGACACAGTTTGTACACTGTAGCAGATAACGGCCTGATCCGTTACGAGCGTCCCACCGCCATTGGCTGTCTCATTTTTCCGCTCCATATCTCCATAATAATTTTTTTGTTTTCACCAGGACCTAACAGTCGCAAGCCTCTTCTTTTGGCCCAGCAAACCGGCGCTGTAGGAGAAGTTCATGTTCATCCGGACTCTGTCGCCTTCGTCCTGCACAGAACGACAATCTATACTCACTGTCGTACTTGCATGACATAGCTCCTGGTACGGCCGCCCTCTCACGTCTATTGCGCTGCTTCACCAGCTGATTGCGCCGAAGGCAGGCGAACAAACAAGCGAACATGGCTCCCTCGGCGACCAATACCGAATGGGATCACCAGTACAACACCCTCCGCCGCGAAAATCTCTTTCGAAACCCTCCTAAGGATCATACCGCCTATCCTGCTCTGCAAGAGGCCGTCAGCCCCCACATTGATTCTTTCAATGCCTTGTTCAGGGCTGATGGCAAGAGCCTCCTCGCTCGAGGCCTAGAAGACATTGGGGTCAAGACTTATCTCGATGGCGACGACCGAGCCGGCCTTGAGGGCAAGAATCGCCTAACCATCAGGTATAAGGGCGTTTCACTTCAGAAGTCTCAACTGCCACCCTCGAACAAATTCGCCCGGAACCGTGAGATTCTCCCGTCAGAATGCAGAGAACGTCACTGTACCTACCGAGGTAGACTGTCTGCCACTTTTGAGTACAGGATCAATGATGGCGACCCTAAGGAGTTTGTTCGCGAGCTTGGTCAGGTGCCCATTATGGTTAAGGTAACCACATTCGATGATGCGTTCCACACTCATGAGTACATTGCTGACGTTTTATCATGCAGTCTAACCGGTGCCATTTAGAAGGCAATTCGCCTGCCCAGCTGGTGCAGAAGAAGGAGGAGTCCGAAGAGTTGGGCGGCTACTTTATTGTGAACGGTAATGAGAAGATCATTCGCATGCTGCAGGTCAATCGGAGGAACTTCCCAATGGCTATCAACCGTCCGAGTTTCCAAAACCGTGGTCACGGCTACACCCCATATGGTATTATCCTTCGCTCGGTTCGGCCCGACGAGACATCACAGACCAATGTTTTACACTACTTGAGCGACGGCAACATGACCTTCCGATTCTCCTGGAGAAAGAATGAGTATCTAGTCCCGGTCATGATGATTCTCAAGGCGCTGGTGGAGACGAACGACCGAGAGATATTCGAGGGACTTATCGGATTGTCCAACTCCAAATCGGCCAAGAACACCTTCCTTACCGACCGCGTTGAACTACTTCTCCGTACCTACAAGTCATATGGCCTCCACAGCAAGACTGAGACAAGGGCCTACTTGGGTGAGAAGTTCCGCGTTGTGCTGGGCGTTCCAGACACCATGTCCAACTACGATGTTGGTACCGAGTTTTTGCGCAAAATTGTCCTTGTACACTTGGGCAACGTGAACGTTACCGAAAAGGAAGACAACGACAAGTTCCGAATGCTGCTGTTCATGATCAGAAAGCTCTACGCCCTCGTTGCCGGCGACTGTGCTGTAGACAACCCGGATGCTGTCCAAAACCAGGAGGTATTGCTCGGTGGCTTCCTCTACGGCATGATCATTAAAGAGCGACTTGAAGAATTTCTTACCACCGCTGTCCGACTTTCACTCCGAGAATGGTGCAGGAAACACCCAGCTACGCCCTTTACGTCCCAGGACTTCGCCAAAGAGTTCCCAGCCAACATCTTTAGACACGCTAACGAGAACGTCGGAAATGGCTTGGAATATTTCCTTTCGACAGGCAATTTGACAAGTCCGTCAGGACTTGACTTGCAACAGACAGCTGGTTTCACTGTTGTTGCGGAAAAGCTCAACTTCCTTCGTTTTATCAGTCATTTCCGGATGATCCACAGAGGTGCTTTCTTTGCTGAGTTGAAAACAACAACAGTCCGAAAGCTTTTGCCTGAGTCTTGGGGCTTTATGTGTCCAGTACACACCCCTGACGGTGCTCCCTGCGGTTTGTTGAACCATCTAGCACACAAATGCAAGATCATGACTGAAGCTGTCGATGCGTCCAAGATCCCGGCTCTCGTTGCAGAGTTGGGCGCTGTGGAGGTATCCTCCGCTGCGACAGATGAGAGTGTCGTTGTCATGCTCGATGGACGGATTGTCGGCTTCTGTACGCCTCGCGAGTCGCTGCGAATTGCAGATACCCTCCGACACTGGAAGGTCGAGGGCACTCACGGTGTACCCCTGCACCTTGAGATTGGATACGTTCCTCCTTCCAATGGTGGTTCCTACCCCGGTATTTACTTGGCATCTGCGCCCGCGCGTATGGTCAGACCTGTCAAGTATCTTCCCTTGGACAAGGAAGATTTTGTCGGACCTCATGAACAGCCCTACATGTCGATTGCCGTTGTTGAAAATGAGATTGTATCAGGAGAATCGACGCATGTGGAGTTCTCCCCGACCAACATGCTGTCTATTCTCGCCAACATGACTCCTTTCTCAGACTTTAACCAATCGCCTAGAAACATGTACCAATGTCAGATGGGTAAACAGACCATGGGAACACCAGGAGCTGCTCTACGCTACAGAACGGACAACAAGATGTACCGATTACAGAGTGGGCAGACACCTGTCGTGCGATCGCCTTTGCACAACACCTACGGTTTTGACAACTTCCCTAACGGTACCAACGCCGTTGTTGCAGTTATCTCGTACACGGGTTACGACATGGACGACGCTATGATTCTTAACAAGTCAGCGCACGAAAGAGGATTTGGACACGGTACCATTTACAAGACAAAGAAGGTCACTCTCAAGGACGAGTCTCGGACAAGGGCTGTCAAAAACATCTCCAAACTATTTGGCTTTGCTCCGGGTGGGTTCGTAAAAGGACACTACCGTGCCCTGCTCGACGAAGATGGTTTGCCCTATGTCGGCAGAATGGTTCAGGAAGGAGACGTTCTCTGCGCATGGCATACAGTGTCAGCAGACTACAACGGAAAATTGATCAACCTCGATGGACAAACTCACTACGAGAAGTACAAGGAGTCCGAGACAGCTTTCATTGAAGAAGTCCGCGTCATTGGCAGTGAGACTGGTAACGAGCCCGCTCAGACCGTTTCCATCAAGCTCAGAATTCCCCGATCTCCTGTGATCGGTGACAAGTTCTCTTCCCGTCACGGACAAAAGGGTGTTGCCTCTCAGAAGTGGCCGGCCATCGACATGCCTTTCTCTGAGTCTGGCATCCAACCTGACGTTATCATCAACCCCCATGCCTTCCCTTCTCGTATGACCATTGGTATGTTCGTCGAGTCGCTCGCTGGAAAAGCCGGCGCTCTTCATGGGCTGGCGCAGGATTCGACGCCATTCAAGTTCAACGAAGAGAATACGGCGGCAGATTACTTCGGCCACCAACTGATGAAGGCTGGTTACAACTATCACGGCAACGAACCTATGTACTCGGGTATCACTGGCGAGGAGCTGGCAGCCGATATTTACGTCGGCGTCGTCTACTATCAGCGTCTTCGTCACATGGTTAACGATAAGTACCAGGTGCGAACTACGGGACCGGTTGTGCCAACCACAGGACAACCTATCAAGGGAAGAAAGCGTGGTGGTGGTATTCGTGTGGGAGAAATGGAGCGTGACGCGCTGCTCGCACATGGTACGGCCTTCCTGCTGCAGGACAGACTGCTCAACTGCTCAGATTACACCAAAACCTGGATTTGCCGAACTTGTGGCTCGTTCCTCTCGGTTCAACCGACAGTCTCGCCATTTGTGGGCAAGAAGAAGCAAGTCACAACAGTCCGGTGCAGAAACTGTGCAACTCAGCTCGATGCCGGTGACGCTGCAAGTGCTGCGAAAGTGGAGGGAGAGATTTGGGAGGACGGTCAAGGCAACCAGTGGGTTGGGGGCGAGAACACGACGATGGTTGTCGTTCCTGGTGCGCTCAAGTTCCTGGATGTCGAGTTGGCAGCTATGGGTGTAAAGCTCAAGTATCGTGTTGACTCTCGTGACGCACCTCGCAAGGGCCCATTGAAGCCCATGTCATCATTACCTTAGACGGCGTTCGGTAGGCAAAAGAAGGCGGCTACCTCTGTAATTTGACCATGACACTATTTCACCAGAATTTGATGATTACGTGTGCTCCCTGTGACATAACATTTGACCGTGGCTTTGCCATTGCTTCCTTCCTGATTCGAATTTTTCGACCTCGAGTTGCCCGGCAAGAGCTGGCCGCGCCCGTAAGAGAGACAATCAAGTAAGGTGGTTTGACAAACAATCTTGCATCGAGAGAGCCAGTATGGTTCCGCCCAGCATGCTTGGCCTCATTATGTGACCCCTCGTTTGTGATATGCAGACGGCCAAATGCGAAGTACCATCGTAGCACAGCAATGTCAGTAGCCATCCTGCGAGGGCTCTTCAAGTTGGAAGCCGGCTCAGATCCGAGGATACATTGCGCAAGCCTCCTGGTATGGAGTTGCTAAACCTGGCGGCGTGCCTAAGTATCGAGCCATCTAATCAGCAAGACGAGGCCCACAAGCTTGCTAGTGTCAAAGCTCCATTCAGGCAAGTCAAACAGAAAGGAACTGTCTTAATAAGCAACAAATAGAAGGCTTGCAATAGATCCAATATACAGTGTCAAGAGTGATTGATTGATTGAAATGGCCAGTTTTGTGCGGCAGAAGAAGCCATGTCGGTACTGACCATCTGCTAAACTTAACTTGAGATGATGCCATAGATGATTCTCCTGTTGGGTGAGCCGAGATATTTTGTTTCGTTGGGTATCCTGAAGTGAATTGTAGGCAAGTCTCTTGGAAGGAGGATACTGTGAAGGACAATTGGTGTAACACAGTAAACTCGTGGCGGGAAATGCAGATTACCGCATGCATTCTGTTTGTTCCAAGTCAAATCACGTCTCGGCTACGGTGATATCTGTCTAACCCCAAGCGTAGTTGTGCCTGACCATCCGCTGTAGTCTCATTGAGGTCCTCCTACCTTCCGACATTGGCGTAAGAACGAGCGGCGGAGGAAACAATGTCCAAGTGCCTCCCGAGCCAGGAGCTTCTGGTCCAAATCCGCTCCATCGGTTCCTGTCAACGGGCATTGTAAAACCGTCTTTCTTCGGCTTGGTCGATTAGAACTCCATCTATCCATTGGGTAATGCCTTTCATTATCTCCAATCCGAAGTATCAGTTCAGCCCAATCTCAGGCTGCCACAAATCTCGCTCAAGTCTCCAGGTGTGACCGTTAGCACATGAAAATGGCGTCCAAGGTCGCCATCTGGATGTCAATCATCCTCGCGACCATTACAGCGGCCGCCCCCTACTCTTCAACCTACAATTATGGCTTCGATGCTGGAAACTTGGTCAAACGTCAAACGCAGCAACCCATAATTGTCAGCAGACTGCCCTCGATCAACGGAACTGTTCCGGCTCGACCGGAGATTAGAGAGATGAAGCAAAACCCCTACAAGTGGAATCTTTTCCTACTTTCCATGAGCATGTTGCAATACACGGACCAGAATGATCAGCTTTCTTGGTATCAGATCGCAGGCAAGTATTTGAAGAACTAAACGTTGGCTATTAGACTCCTAACATTAGGAAGGTATTCATGGCGTTCCTTTCACCCCGTGGAATGGCGTCTCAGGCGCCCCAGGGGTTAATGACCGAGGTTACTGCACCCACATGTCTATCCTGTTTCCGCCATGGCACCGCATTTATCTTTCTCTTTATGAGGTTAGATGACTCTCTTCCAGTGCCTCGATACAATCTACTGACACCGCGGCAGCAAGTTATCTTTCGTCTTATCCAAATGATTGCAAGTTGGTTTACGGATCCCATTGAACGAGCAGTTTATCGTGCCGCTGCCACCGAATTCCGGATTCCATATTGGGACTGGGCTATGACACCACCGCCCGGGGAGAGCACATTCATGCCCGAATTCGAAGCACCTGGTATCCAAGTTTACGGCCCCAATGGATGGCAGTTCATCGCGAATCCCCTTCACAGCTATAAATTTCGTCCACTAGATCCCGAGGTGTTTTCTGAAGGAGATGTAAGCTACACTTCATCGCCGAAATCTCCAAGCACTAAAAGTAGCAGTTTCCAACCTGGACAGAGACCAAGCGAGCGCCCTTCGAAACAATGGACAACCGCAGCATAGCGCACGCCATCGACCATGCTAGACCGGCCCTGCAGGAGAGACTATATATTCTTTTGTCTAACTACAAGGATTACGGACCCTTCAGCAACAAGTACTGGAGCACCGCCACCAACCAGTCTCAGTTCGACTCTGTTGAGGCACTTCATGATGCGATGCATGTGTTGGTTGGAAACCGTGGCCATATGTTCTACATCCAGTACTCGGCCTTTGATCCAATTTTCTTCCTTCATCATACCATGATAGACAGGGTTGTCATGATGTGGCAAGCTCTGAACCCGACATCATGGGTAACGCCTCAGGTCGGAATGGAGCATTCATTCACCATGCCACCAGGGGAAATTCAGAATATCACAACAGACCTGAAGCCCTTCTACGCAAATGCCAGCGGCGGTTTTTGGAATTCGGCAATGGCAAGGGACACATTACCCTTCGGATATTCGTATGCAGAGACGACTCCTGTTCAGGAGAAGTGGAGTTCTGAAGATCGCGCCCGGCTCATTGAGACGATCAATCGGCTATATGGATCATCCAGTCCATCGAGTCTAAGCCAGAAGCGTAGAAGAATCTTGCCAAGAAGGGGGGGCGAGGCCATTTCACAAATTCGCAAAGGCATTGTATTAGATGAAGCTGTGACGGATTTTTTAGAGGGGCCCGACGTTGTTACAAAGTCGATCAACGAAGGCAACTTGTACACTGAATGGATCGCCAACGTGCACGTGTCAAACGGGGCGCTGAATGGTTCGTTTGCAATTCACTTCTTCCTTGGCCAGGTTCCTCGGGACATAGGGCTATGGTTAGTAGCTCCGAGTTTAGTTGGATCGATGAACGTCTTTGCCATGAAAAACATGGGCACTGGCCACCACATGTCTGGAACAGTTCCGTTAACATCAGCTTTGATGCGAATGGTGTCTGCGGGAAGAATCAAGGGGCTCGGTCTGGATCATGTGAAACCATTCCTGCAGGCGTTTCTTCAGGTTCGCATTGTCGGAGAGGACGGAGTCGAAGTAGACGTGAACTCCTTGAAGAGTCTATATGTTCACATAGTAAGTTCTCAGGTCCAAGAGGCTAGGCATGCATGGGAGCTTCCAAGCTGGGGTCCTGTAATTGAACGGTTCAAGTTGAAAATTAGTCAATAGTAGTACCCTGATAAGGGTGCAGCAATTAATTGTAACAGGCAGCCAGAATTCTGCGCTAATTTTTCTTTCCTGGAACATGTTTCCCCCCCTAAACACCGTTAGTCGTAATTGCAATACAACAAGCCTCTTCAAGTTTGTGTCTCTTCAGGGGAGCCATGTGGGGTCACGTGGCAGTCAACTCGAGGTGTCGCTGATTTCATCAGCCACCACAGCCTGCGCTGTAGCCCCACTTCCTAGATACGGGATAGGAACTTTTCCGAAGCTTCAGCCTTCTGCATCTGAGGCTCTGGACTGCCAACCAGGTCCACCAACAAGTCGCGACAACCTCGTAGTCAGCCATTCTACTACAGCACGCTCGCAACACACGAAAGCCGCCAAGATGAAGCTCGTCAGGTAAGTTTCTTCAGCCTCACATTCTTTCCTCGGTCTGTGTGCTGAGCATCCATTTGCAAAGACCGCCGTGAATACACCCGAAATAGCTAACCTAGATTTCCACCACCAGGTTTTTGATGAAGTGTGCCAACGAGACGGTGACAATTGAGCTCAAAAATGGTCAGTACTTGCCCTAGAATCCCCTTTCATACAGTATGAAACGCTGGGCGAATCGTGTTTTCCGAACAACTTGGGCTGACGCGTTCTTGCCTACAGGCACCATTGTCCACGGTACCATCACCTCCGTCTCGCCGCAGATGAACACGGCGCTGCGCACCGTCAAGATGACGCCAAAGGGCCAGGATGCTGTGTCCCTTGACACCATGAACATTCGCGGCTCTACGATCCGATACTTTATCCTACCAGACTCCCTGCCGCTAGACACGCTCCTTATCGACGACGCGCCGAAACCCAAGAACAAGGCGCGAAAGGAGGCTGAGCGTGGCGGCCGCGGAGGCAGGGGTGGCCCGAGAGGACGCGGCCGTGGCCGGGGACGTGGTCGCGGTCGGGGTTAGACGGAGTCTGGGAGGAAGAATATGCCTTCTAGATCAGCAGACGGGCACGCATGCACACCAAGTTACGGGCGCTAAGAATGGAGGTCCGCGAAAGTTTGTTGTGTTATTGATCGGGGAAGTGAATGCAGATACTTGGGCTGGGCTTGGAGGGGGGTAATTCTGCAGCCCCCCCCAGATACGAAAATCCGCGATTACTTCTCAGCTTGGCCCAGAGCATAAAAGTACCTTATGCATCAAGACGAACCGGATGCTATTTAGGCGTTGGGGGAAGGTTGGGAAATCAAGACTTCAGTTCCAATGCAAATATCCACTGCCAGCGACGGCAGCATTATCGTTACTATAGCCAGGTCTCCCGAGGTCTTCGGCAAATATGACCAGATACTGCTCAGAAAGTAAAGACCAAAACAAAGCACATGTATTTCCGCATCAGGGCAACGTTTGCTCTTCCTTCCATACCCTAATGATCTGCAACTTCTCCCATCCTGCCTGTTTTCCACTCTCGCCAACCGTGACGGCCTTCCAACTACTACCAAACCCTTCAATGCGGCTCTTCACCTCCTGTGGTTTGTTCTGTGCACAGAGCAGGATGTAAGCACAACCTTTCGTAGAAAGAATGGCGGGCAACGCCTCGATCAACCGGTCAGTTGTCTCCATCCCATCCTTTCCACCCGCATAAGATAACGACAGTAGGTATGAGTCCTCATCGAATGTTGTCTTCCTCTCACCAATCATTAAAGTTTCAGACGACTGGTCTGGAAGCTCAGGTGAGGGTACGTATGGCGGGTTAAAGACGAGGATATCTACAACCCCGTCACGCCAGGGAGATGTCAAGTCACCCATCATCGCGCCGAGCCAGGCATTGGAGCTGGTATTCCGATTCTCATCTTGGGCGCACTTGACCGTGCCATTTGTTGCGCGGCATGCAAAGACGTTTAGGTCCACGCCCGCAGTGAGGACATTCCGGGTGCCAAACAGTTTCTCCGTTTGAGCGGCGATAAACCCCACGACTACGCCAGAACCGGTGCCGACTTCGACCACCAAGGGGGCAGGAGCGTTTTGTCCGCCAAAGCGAGATGTCAGGAAGGCAGTTTCTGAGGGGGCTGAGAGTGTGTCGAGCAAGAGGTACGAATCCTCGGCCGGCTCGTAGACCCTCTCGAAGGGAACATGAGATGTGTCTGGTGTAGGCAGCATGGTCGTATGTTGTCTGACAGTCACGTCAGTTGCGTGCGTCTGATATAAGAGGAACTGGCGAATCTGACAGAAATTCGCTGTCGAGGACACAGCCGACGCCGGGATTTTGCGAAGGAAGAGAAGACACCCACTAGTTGTACCGTATATAAAATTTCACAATAGGTGAGACTCTTTAAAAAAAAAAAAAAAAAAAAAAAAAAACCTTCCTCAATGCAGGTTACTATTGTTCTTATAAAACTACTTTTCGTTTGAATGCCCAGAAAGTAAAAGAATGGTGCTGGCCGTGGGCAGTTGAAAAATCACCGTCGAGTCAAAATCCCACATTCAAAGGAAATGTGGGGTCACGGCTCAACAGCTAGAGGCAGAAGTGTGTCTCAACAATTAGATATGAACAACATCCGCACAGAAACAAATTTCAATATGTTTTCGTCATATAATGTTTCGTATTTACAACATCAGCATATACTTATTGAAAGAACACAACCTAACAAAGAGGTAGTGCTACTTCTAATCGACGATGCCCTCAGGTAGGAAGCTAATGTAATCTAGAGGAGCCACTTCCGGGCCGTCAGGAGTTCCAACAATTTTCAGAGTATCGCCCTTCTGAATCTTGATGCCTGGGAAGTTAATGCGTATGGCCGAGTGTCCATCCAGGAATTCAGACGGCCAGTGGCCTAGCCTTTCTTCGCTGTTACCCCTCCATTGGCCAATCACCTGATCGTTGATGGACAGCACATATGAACACTTTCCTCTGATAACGTCAAAGTAATTGACAGCCACAGTGTAAGTGCCTGAATCGAAATTTATGGTGGTGGTTGCTGTTCCTGCGGTCGTGTTGGAGCTGGTGACAATGGCCTTGTAGCCAGACGCTGTTTCAAACGGATCAACGTCCACAACCTTGTACCCATCCAGGGTCATGTTCTCCGCCTCAATTCGGTACTTGTAGTTGCCCACACGACCAGCACTGTCAGCAATACCGGACATGTTCCAGTAGAAGTTGTTGACGGCATCGCGCCAGACGATAGAGTGACCAGCCTGGTATTTGAGTTTGAAGAGGACGTGCTCGTAACGCTCCTCATCGATGTGGTCTTTGAGCGACTCCCACAACGGCACAAAGGTCTGGGCCGTGGCCGCACCCTCATAGTGCGCGTCGTAGAAGTGCTGAATGACGGTCTTTCCGCTCTTCAACACGTGGGTGTATGGGACGTGGTGGAACCAAAGCAACAGATCATCCGGTGTGGACTCAATGTTCTCATATATCTCTGCCACTTCAGGCGGATACTGGCCGGCGTTACCAGTGCCGTTCTTCACTGTCCTATCCATACCGATACTAACCCCGTCCGCCCTTGTCCACTGTCCCCAGCCGTTGTTATCCTGCGATCTATAGACAGTTAATCGAAGAAAAACTGGTTGGGAAGGATGCTAGCGCAAAAAAACTTACCTCGGCGATGGTCCGTAATGAGCGTACAAGATGTCCGTTAGTGTTTGAATGCCAAGATTACCGCTGTAGCCCTCATAGGCAGGCCAGCTTTCCATGGACATCTTAGTGATAGTGTCGATGACGGCGCGGTTGGTGCCAAAAGTCAGACGGGCCCAGTCCTGGACAATAGTGACGACATCGTCAGTCGGGTTCCAGGCCATCTTGCCGTAGGCATAAAGGTTAGACATAGCCAGATGGCTGCCGAGCCAGGTGGTGTTGGCGCCGACGTTTACAACACCAGCATATCCAGTGAGTGTCTTGTTGAAACGCTTGCCCGAAAGAATATCGCGAACGACGGATGGCTGGCCACCAATGCGCAAGTCAAAGTCCAGAATAGTCTTCCACAAAGGAGGGAGGTAGACTAGATGGTCTTGTTGACCAAGGTACTCCTGGGAGATTTGCAGTTCGATGGCCATGTTTGTGTGCTCAAGGTTGGCGAAGAGAGGTGACACGGGCTCGCGGACCTGGAAATCGATTGGGCCATATTTGATCTGGACCACAACGTTGTCATCAAACTTCCCGTCCAGTTCCTTGAAGAACTCAACGGCGGCGTTTGCGCGGTCAGCATGCCAATCAGTCCAGTCCAACTTGTCATAGACAAAGGCCCGGAACATTACGATGCCTTTTTGGAAGCCGTGATTCTTCAACTCCTTGGCGAAAAGGTTTGCGCCATCTGCAAGCGTTCTGTTGTAGGTAATCGGGCCAGGCTGGCCTTCAGAGTTGGCCTTGACGAGGTACCCACACAGGTCTGGAATGCGAGAGTAAAGCTGCTCAGTGATATTACCCCACCAGGCAATGACGGTCTCGTCAAGGGGATCAAATGTTGAGAGACCGCCGAGAGTTTGGGGCGAGGCAAAGTTCAGAGAGATGCCGACCTGAACACCCCAAGGTCTGAAGGCATCGGCAATTCTCTTTAACCCGTCCATATTCTCTGGCGAAAGGAGAATAGGGTTGGCATTAACATTGTTGATGATGATTCCGTTGATTCTAATCGAAGCTAGCAGGCGGCCGTATTGGGAGACGCGGGTCATATCGCTGACAACCTTGAGGTTCTCAAAGAAAATGGAAACTCCTCCATACTGTATAGGTCAGTGATGTGTAAAAACGTGGCAACGATTCTTAAGGGGACCAAGGGACTTACACCGCGCTCGATGCTACCATGAGTCCCGGTACCGTCCATGTTGTCCCATTGGTTGGCCCAACGGATTTTCGCAGACGGGTTGGTAGCATACGCAACATCACTGAAGTTACCCTGTGCCAACAAACTCAGGTATTCAAAAGCGCCATAGAGAGCACCCCTCTCGTTCTGACCCAGAATTTTGACCGAGTCGCCCTTGGCACTTAGCCAGAAGCCATCTTCGATGAGATCAGCCTCGACAGAATTGTCACCGCAAGTTGCGACGTAGTCGTCAAGGGTGGCGACAACGATGGAAGAGCCAGCACAAGCGTCCTTCCCGACGGTAATATCCTTGCCGAAGATGCCCTTGTAGCCTTTCTGCAACTCGGATAGAGCGGACGAGATTGGTCCGTTTTCTGTGGCGTTGAGCCCGATGGTGACAGAGGGAAGGTTGTCTACGACGCCAGCAGTCTTGCAATCTGGCAGTCTAGCGTAGCGCAGCCAGCCATCGAGACCATCCTCGGCAGCAGCGAGGCTGACCAGAGACGCAAACAAAAGAATCTTCCGCATAGTTTATGCTTCTGAGAGTGACCAGTTGGAGAAGCGCCTGCTGTATACATTTCTACATGGTATATTGGGGTGCTATTGCTTATAAGAGGAAAAGCTCTCACCACGATGTGGAGAGCCATTCAGATCTTCAACCAACCAAGAAACACCTTCTGCAATACAGCTTGAGCGGGCCACGGACGGGGCATCCATCGGCAATGGCAATATCGCATTCAGGCTAAAAGCCGCCGACATATTGACTCTTGGCTCGGAGTGGATAGAATCGAAGCATGTCCAGGCTTTAGTCGAAATAAGTCTAGATGGACCCAGCGGCAGTGTGACCCTTGATTTCGAGTCTAAAGTGTGACGTGCGGAGAATTTGGCACTAACATCTTAAGAGGTAAGAGGAAATGAGCATAAAAAGAAAGTCGACCAGAATCGGGATGTGAACTAGAACCAGGCAGTTCCTGGTCGCATTGATTCAGAATACCACGGTTCAGGGTTGGTGTAAACCCAATGAACTGGACCGAATGACGGTGGTTAGGGATCTGTGGCAATTGGAAGCTGTAGTCCTGGTGGTACAAAGAGCGATCGTACCGACGGAAGAGGAAAATTAGGAGCAAGGGAGACTAAACAATATCTGGAGTACCCCGCACCGCCCTCTCTGCCGTGCGGGGTCAATCAGGGGAACGGTGGGGGAGAACGAACTCGAGGCATCGTGTCGGGTATTACGGATTTCAATACACTGGCTCGGCCCACTGTTCGCGTCAATATGGCTTCAGGGCTTTGAGCTGTAGATCACCAGCTGGATCTTCAATTTTCCTGGTGAAAATACTAATTTCATGACTCAAATCATGCCTCAGTAAGATCTTGTACAGGGCCATGCCTGTCGGGCCACCGACCTCGGCGCTCTCGGTTTAACTCACCCGACAAACTAGATCGGGGTTTTGCTCCCCATCGCCAATCCGGATAATATGAACACCCCGTTCTATAAGCCGGTTGAATCGTCATCGTGCCTTAACCCTGCTCGATTAGTTATCAGCTTCTAACACCGTTGTTCTACGTTGCTCTCTTGTCTTACTGTGTCGCCCTGCCGCCAAACGCTTATCCCTAGCTCTCACATGACTGTGCAGCATTCGCATTCGACCCCTGCGTCTTGCTTGTTGGGTCCCGTGCCGACTTTGATCCCATTTGCTATCTTTTTGATCACGCGAACTCGGTTGTGGTCGTAGAGGCCGTACAAGTCGTGTTGTGGACAAGGTCGTAGGTTGGTCAACTGCATTTTCAAAGGCTTCTTGGCAATGCCACTGCCAATCTGACCACAGGTGCTGTAGCCCATGCCAGGACCGCAAGAGAGGGCGATCTCTCCCCAGAGGCACTTGCACTTGGTGTGTCTGTAAATGAAAACCTCGCACATTGTTTTGTTCCTGGTACCGTAGTTACCTGGTGTTTCGAATCTCAGACACAATTTCTTGAATATGGTATTGAACTAAGATAAGCTGAGAGTGGAGGTTGATGTGGCCCAGTCTAGCAATGCGAACTGGTGAGCGCAAGAAGTAGAAGGAGCGGCCTTGGGACCTGCCTTCCGCAGTGATGCGGCCGGCTTCCCTTTTTCTACATGTAAGGTCTACAGTTGACTAAAATGAAACCCAGAGGTAGTACTGTCAACATTGCGATGGATCAATCTCCCTTTCGTACCGAAGACGTCACAATGTGTGAAAATAAACTGTTTGGCACCCCAAATCTTGCCGACCCCTTGATAACGAACGTTACTAAACTAGACGGTCTGAGTGCTCCCTCTTCAGCCCTCGCTACCTGGTGATTGAGTCAACGGGACGTCCATGTCGCGAAGAGTGCTACTTTCCCCAGTGCCAAAATTCTTTTCCGAGTAGTCATCTGAGCCTGCCATCCGTGTTAATAGACTCTCGATCCTCTGCATTGTTTGCTCGAGTGTCTCCAGTCTGCTGTTAACATCATGCATGTCCTCACTACCAGTAAATGATCCACGCAGCTTCGACGAAACGCCGGGAAACATCGAATCTCTTCTAAGAGGCGACTTTTTCCGCATTGTGTCGTCAGTGATCGTCCTGGTGAACTGTCGTCGGATCATGTGGTGGGTAAAATCGTCGTCCACCGCAATCTCTTCTTCCACCGACTCAGGGGGCGGCAGGTCAAACACGGCTCTTATGTCGCGATGAGCTGTTATGCGCCACTTTTCCCAGAACCACTGCTTTACCCGGGGATAAAGGGTCAAAGCCCCACTACTCCTTGGCTTCTCTGGCTGTGGAGGAGGCCAAAGAATTCTGCGTTCTGCAACAGCGATGATAAGTAGAAGTGGAAGATTAACCAGTCGAACGCTCGCCACGTGTATCTTATGAAACCATCTCGGGCTGACAACAAACTTGAGTGGAAGGAGCACAAAAACGGCTAAGATGTTGAAAGGAGGCTGATAGGCAAAAATGGCGTCGCCTTTCACTCCCTCTAGGGTCAACACTGCCTTACGAAACTGGATTTCTGCAGTTGCGTTTTTGACGATTGTACTGAAAGTGTTGGAGAGCATTGACACCAGAATGGTCAGGAACAATGTGTTTCCCAAGAAAGCAAATGCGACCATCAGAACGGGGCCCAATAATGGATGGAAGTCGGCCTAAACGGATTTTATCCATTAGTCTAGATTCGTTTTTTAGGCCGGCTGGAGGGCTTACTGATCGCGAAATACCTGTCCCATCAAGACCGAACCAAATCCACAACATCCATTTGCCAATTAAGCTGCACCGGTTTGTTAATACATCAAAGCTGCTGACAGTGGGCGTCGACTTACACAGGAGCGTGTTCACCCTCTCCAGGTGTGCCCTCGCCCAGCCAGAGAAGAGATAAAAGGAAGCCACCAAAACACCAAGCCGACAAAAATGTCAGAAGAACAAAATCTGACATCATGGAACGCAGTGAAAGAAATACGAGGTTGTCTGAGAGTAGATTGAAAGCAAGTCTTGGAACAAGCACTGGAGCTCCCATAGCCAGTACATCCAAAGCCTGTTGCTTGGGCACGAGCTCACCAACGCGGGCACCATGAATGCGAAGAACCGCATAGATGACGTAGAGGCCGATGAAACCCACATCAAGGAAGGACCACAAGTTTTGTGTATAGACATGCCTGCCAAGTCGTCAGTATCGCCAACAATGACAGTGTAGCTTTTGTCCATACCATCCGTGCTCCAATATTGTTGCAAACTGGTCGAGAGACCAGCCAAATGCATAAACAGCGAAACAGCCCTCCAAGAGGGTAAAATTTTCCGGATTCCGCTCAGCCATGACGAAGAGATATAAGGCAAGAAGGATCAGGAATTGTAGGACTTCAAGAATATTCCTCGTACGCGGTACCAGGAGCCGATACTGGTCCAACAACGGACCTTCTCTGGGGTTGTACAAGGAGATGGGTTTTAGCTTATAATGATCTGGAATGATGTCCATGAAGCTGGAGGGTGTGTAGACAATTCGGCCTTCGTAAATAGCGTCCACGCTGAGTAAATTGATTAGAGATCCGTTCCAAACAAGATGCATAGCGAGGCAGTACGTACACTTTCTGACACGGAGTTGCGCTAAGGAAATGTTTACTCTCAGTTAAGATAGCAATCTCAAGAGAGGGAAGCATGCGATTGTAGGTACGGTAAGACTCGGTTGATGCTGCTTCGCGAATACCAGCAGGAGCCATCTGAAAAGGTTCAAAACCAGCAACCAAGATATGTGACAACAGGACCAGGCCTGCGCCTTCAGGTCCTTCACTATCCTCACTGAAACGCCTCAAGATACGTGTCGCAACAAGCTCGCACAGCGTTGCACGGCTAAAATTAACATTTTGCCGGCTGTTAAGGTGAGACTGCTCATGGAGAAACTGAGCGCGATTGACAAGCAAACAATAGACTTGGATCAAAACATATTAGTTCAAAGAAGTTAAACAGCAGAAGCTTTCTGGTTTGTAGTGCAGGGTCATGAAGTGATTGAAGTAAGTTGTGGACCAAACAGCGGTGAGGCTGAACTCACCTATGGAAATGTCATCAAGCTCGTAGAGCTTGTCTACCAGTGGACGGACGACGGCGATATTGATTCTGACATCGCGAAGTTGCTCCAAACTGAGGTAATCCTCGACAATGGATGTAATGTCTCGTCTGATGCGGTGTATATTTGTATATACCGGTAGATGGCTGTGAGGGTTTGTCATGCACCCATACAGCGGCACTTGGATTTCGGAGGTGTGACTCGGGCGGTTCCGTTGGAGCAGCGGGCGTTGTTCCGGAAGCTGAAGACGCGCCCGGCGACTGCGGTCAGACATAATAGGTACTTGCTATTATTTTTTGCCGTCAGTGGTGGTGCTAGGGTCAGCGAAGCAAAGTGATGCAGCATGCAACGCGCTTGACCAGGTTGACGGTTTGCTAGCAGCTAGCGTGGTAAGCGAGCAAGCTGAGCTACGCCGTACGTAATGGTAAAAGCGAGAGAGGGTTGGCAAATGGTGACGAGCGATGTTGATAAGAAATTAAATCAGACACATGCACCAAACCCAACGTGGAGAGTAACAACAGACAAAAGCCCCCACGCGGGCCAGCCTCAATCCGGACAGTGTCGTTCAGAGTTAGCTTAGTGGAACAGAAGGTGGCCCTTTGCCGAATGTACAGTAAGGTGGGATCAACCAAGTGAGAAGCTGAGCCTTTGCAACAAGGAGACAGCTCGAGCAATATTGCTAAGTAGCTGAGAACAATGTTAATATATCGCGTCGGGGACGTGGATACGCTCCGGCAAGACAGGGGCTCTCGTCTCCACGACCTCGTAGGGGACGCTAGCAGCCCCTCGGCGTTATTGTTCTGAGGCAAAACTTGAGCCCAGCCAGGCGATCAGGAGCTAGAGAATTGCCCGTCAGGCGCCTTGGTATAAGGCGAACGAGAAAAGGACAGGTAGGGCAGACTTAGGTGAGGTAAATAAGAATAAACCAAATAATGAAATTGACAGAGCTGTGAAGTATTCAGTAAGTGTATGCTATGCAGATTGTTTCCACTCAGCAAAACCAGAATGAGAAGAAAGCGAAATGGGGGAGAAATCGGGCACTGACTCAAAAATTTAGGACAAACCTGATGACTTTGGTTGGCCAGCGTTGCGGACTTTCTTACGAGCCTCTGTCGTCTGGTCTGGAGTTTCATGAATGAATGACGACAAAGCCGCCCACGCCAGGTCGAGCGAACCCCTGTCAAGTCCGGACTGTCTTGTCCTGTCGCTACGGCAGTGGCCCAGCAGAATGGTGTTACGCTCTTGCCAAGGGCTTTCTTTACTGCGGTATGTATGTATGGCACGTTCCTAAAAAAGTAGGCTTTGGCACCAGGGCTCTGCCAGAAACTTGGGGCCTGTGCGCCAATTCCTCCCATGTATTGCATTGCCAACTTCTTATCCAGGCAAGTCGAGGCTACACTATGCAACCGTCATTCAATTAAGGCATGGCACACCTTGCATTACACTGGTTAGATCCAATTTTCTTTTTCTTAGCCACAAGCTGAGCTGGCGGCTGCCCTGTGCGTGCTCCATCCTGTCTGTTCTGCAGGCTCCACCGCTGAGCTGTTTTATCCGATTAAGGATGATCTGGATTGGGTGCATAGCTACCCAAGACATCGACTGTTTACGCAGTTCTATATCCTATGGTGAGCGACTGGTGGGCACCTTTGGCTTCACGTGCACCACTTCCTATGAGTATTTGTAGGGAAGGATATTTTTGATGTGAGAGTATTGCACATGAAAGGTTGTTTGGCATAGCTAGTGAATTTTACCTCTTTTTCAACTGTGCAATTCGTCACGGATTGTTACAATCTTAGAATGGGAGTATTGTATGGTTTTTCATTCGAGATAGGTAAGTACGGTAAGCTACGAGTTTCATAATCGCTGCTCCCATCCATCCGCTGCGTGTTTTCTCTACGCCTGGCGTGTCTCATCAATTTTACCTTGGCCCTCAGACATAAATGGAATTAGGCCCGGTATTTGTTTTTGTGTCATGATTAGCTAAATCAGCTTACAGCTGAACAGCCTTGCGGAAGTTGGCACCGGCGTAAACGGCGTTGCTGCCAAGCTCCTCCTCAATGCGGAGGATCTGGTTGAGCTTGGCCAGACGCTCAGAACGGGCAGGGGCACCGGTCTTGATCTGGCCAGCACGGATACCAACAACGATGTCCGAGATGGTAACGTCCTCAGTCTCACCAGAACGGTGGGAGACCATGACGCCCCAGCCATCAGCGTAGGAATCCTTGGCGGCCTGGATAGACTCGGTCAAGGTACCGATCTGGTTAACCTTGAGGAGCAGAGCGTTGGCGGACTTCAGTTCAATGGCCTTCTTGATGCGAGTGGGGTTGGTGACTGTCAGGTCGTCACCGACAATCTGGATGTCCTGGGTCTTGTAGAAGTAGCTCCAGGCCTCCCAGTCGTCCTCGGCGAAGGGGTCCTCAATGCTGACAATGGGGTACTTCTTGCAGAGATCAGAGTACTGGGCGGCGAGCTCCTCGTAAGTGATCCACTTGGTGGGGTCGCTGTCGGGGTTCTTGAAGTCCAGGTCGTACTTCTTGGCGTCCTCCTTGTAGAACTCGGAGGAGGCAACGTCCATGGCAATGTTCATCTTGCCAGTGTAGCCAGCCTGCTCGATGGCCTCGGTGATGAGGTCAAGAGCCTCCTGAGCGGTCTGGATATCAGGGGCAACACCACCCTCGTCACCGACGTTGCCAGCAGACTGACCGTACTTCTTCTTGGCCAGACCCTTAAGGGCCTGGTAGACCTCGGCACCCTGGCGCATGGCCTCAGAGAAGGAGGGGGCGTCACTGAACAACGAATGTTAGTTATAATCTGGTAATTTGTCGGTTTTAATAAGTTATAGGCAACTTACGAAGGGACGATCATGAACTCCTGGAAGGCAAGACGGCCACCAGCGTGGGAACTAAGAGGAAAAGTCAGCACTAAACGTGACAACGTAGCAACATCAAAGCTATACTTACCCTCCGTTCAGGACGTTCATGAAGGGAACAGGAAGGACGAAAGGCTTCTTGGTACCAGCCAGGTCAGAGACGTGGGCGTACAGAGGGACACCCTTGAAGCAGTTAGTATTTGAAGAAGCAAGCATCGTGTTACAATAAGACCAACCTTCTCAGCAGCGCCAGCCTTGGCAACGGCCAGGGAGACACCCAGGATAGCATTAGCGCCGAGCTTGGTCTTGTTGGGGGTACCATCGAGGTCGATCAGAAACTTGTCGACCTTGGTCTGGTCCTTGACATCAAGGTTCTCCTTGATCAGAGCCGGGGCAATGACGCTGTTGACGTTGTCAACGGCCTTAGTAACGCCCTTGCCACCCCACTTAGTCTTGTCACCATCGCGGAGCTCGCAAGCCTCGTGCTGACCTGTTCAAAGCAATATTAGCCTCTTGCTATTTCCATTCGTTGGGGTATATGTATGTTTAGGAGGATGACGACGACGCACCAGTGGAGGCACCGGAGGGGACGATGGCACGGTGAAGGCCAGTCTCGGTGACAACGTCGACCTCGACAGTGGGGTTGCCACGAGAGTCGTAGACGTAGCGAGCGTGAATCTTGGTGATGGCCATGGTGTTCAATGTGTAGTGGATGATTCCTAGCAGAAGGAGGGGAGAGATGTTAGCAAAAGGTGTCGGGGGGAGGAGAAAGACTTTATATTGCAAGGAGCAGGGAAAAGACAAGTGGGTGAGTCAACAAATGGGATTGATAGGACCGACTCGGGGAAATTGCTAAGCTTGACAGTGCTCCTTGACCGGACAAAACAATTGCCTCAGGTGGGATGGCATGGTGGGGTGATTTCCTCGCAAGCTTCGCAGCCAACAACTGGTAGCTTCGAGTATGGCGGGGTAGCTGGCAGTAGAGAAGTTGATGTGATGAGAAAAGGAACTTACTTGTTTGTCTTTGGATGATGAAGTCGTTGTTATTCCTCAGCAATTGCTTCTGTATGGAATATAAGGCTGCAGTGATGGAGGAGCGATGGTTGTGCTAAAACAGCAGAGACGAGGGACAGAAGTGGGAGAGGTCTTTTGGAGGGGTCTTTCCCTCATCCACCCCACCTGAGGTGAGGTGAGCCCAGGTCAGTGTACCTGCAAAAGGTATCATACCTTACCTAACTGGGGTACACTACCTCAGCTCAGGGCCGTTGCTCGCACCTTCTTTTTTTTGGTGGGTACCTCGACTTTCACCCAATTGCTCCGTTGTTCTGGAAGGGCGGGGCATCTGCCCTGTTAGAGCAGTACCTGGCCCTGAAGCTCCAAACAGGCCAAGAATGCTACAAAACAGCTTCGTCTCATGGTAGCCCCTTTAGCACCGATGCACCACGACAACTGCGGCTTTGGTGAGGGCCACCGCTCCCAACAAACCGAGCAATGAAAAAGCTGCCTTGCCAATGCGACCAAACACGTTTCTCCTCGTGTCTCTCTCTATTGGGTCCTAATCTATTTTCGTCCCCAGCCACCAGTCGGGACTCAAAAACTCGCTTCCTCCGTTTGTCTCCATGTTGAAAGCCCTCGGTCCCGAGCCTACTAAAGTCTTTTACCATTGGGTGCCTGGCAGCTGGCCATCTTATGTCAGAAGTATCATCTGATTGGCTGCCCGCATCAACGTCGTCTGTGTAACGGCTTTCCAACCGCCCATCATCGGGTTCCGGTGGGCTCAGCCTGGGCCTGATGCGTAAAAGTGCGTCTTCGACAATCTACAAGTCCCGACTCCCGATCTTCAACACGTCTTTTTCCCGGCACCCTGGTCCAACGACGAGATCCTCATTGGCAACTCGCATCATATAATGGTTGTTTTACTCCACAAAACATCTGGGACGGGTTGTCCGCCATGGATTATCCCGAGGATGTTGCTCGGAATAGTCAGGTGCTAATGCGGTTCTTCCCGATCATGGATCCCGACCCCGTCACCCCGTCTAGCAATGCCGGGGTAGACATGTATAAGCAAGTCATTCTACGCAAAAATGGTACCCTTTACCTCTCCTTGAGGACCTGGAGAGGAAATGACGTCTACTTTTGCCCCGGGGTACTGCTTCTTGGCGTGGAGAATAGACGTCAGTCATTTATATCCTCGTCTAAGAGCCTACGCCCACACTCGGCCGGCCGTTGGTCCGAGCCGAAGTCGAGGCATGTCTGTCTACCTAATGTCTTTGCATATTATTTGCCTTCATCACCTTGGTTGCAATGCGTCAGACTTTAACGATTTGAATGACAATTTTGCAATACATTTAGATCCCGTCACAGAGCTATCAAGGCTGAACACAGCCACGATGTGCCTTCAGTGACACATGAACGGTCCCTCTCCAGTCGAAGTGATGGCAGCTTTGACAGAGACTAGCCCTTTTTTCCTATTCTGGGATCGAGCTACTGAAGCAGGCATCTACGGCGTTATCTGTATGGTGCGCCACAAAATTCAGCTTGTGGCTGACGTTCGCTTGATTCATTGTTCATCTGACACACCTGCAGAAGTGCTGTTGGCATATTCGTAGCAAAGGTCGCACATATTTGTGTCCTACTGCCAAGGTTTGGAGTCCGAGTACTCCGTAATTGCGGCTCAAACTTGCATGTTAATATTCATCGGGCATCGAGAGGCTAAGTTACCTTTAATCGCGAAACATGTCGCGCGGAGCTCTATACCGTTCTAGGTATGTGCTCTTCATTTGCACGAAAGTCATTGATTGGACGCCGATACTATTGTCTCGGCTTTTTGAACCGTGATCCCCTAACTCAGTTCAGCCAAAGTTTTTGATCCTAGATACATAAGATGGGCAAGAAAGACATGGTGAGACTTGTCTCGATGTCCAGTCGCTACATGGCCACCTGCAAGGCTGACAATGGCTCCGACTGCGACTTAGCGCGTTTTTTGGGACAATATCCGGGAAGCTCACGGGGCAGAGCCGTAAAATCGGCAAAGCGTTACGGGAGGACAGAGGCAGCTGCCGGGCAAACAGAACGCACGGAACGGCGGTGGACCCGCCTCGGGTGGACGCGGCTTGGTGTGGGTTTTGGGCGGAGTAGCTCAGCGACAGAGATTAAGTGACCTGAGGCTACACGGCCTGCATCGGTGCATTCCATGACCGCTGGGACTGAAGGCAATCTTTCCCCTCTCAGCAAACTGGACCCCGCGTTACATGTACCTTCCTTAGACGTGCAGACGTGCATAGCTTAGCTGGGTACCTGAACTGACTGACCGCTTTCGTTCTTTTGTTGCTCAGGCCCCCGCCCCCTCCTTCATGGCTTTCCGTTTCGTAACCAAACGTTCGGTCGACCTGGCCTCACGCATCACATCAACCAGACGGCCATTTGCGCGCATGTAAGTTGCCTGGCGGAAGCGATCATTTACCGAGTCGATTGCAGCGGACGTTAATTCATTAACCAACGAGGCAGACCTTATCAGTTAAGAACACAAAGCACAATATCGACCTCGATCTCGACCTCTACTTCTCGAGCTACCCCTCCTCAACGAAGTCTTCGATTGTCGAACCCTCAGCGCATTACTGCCACACGGCATTGCTCCTTTAAACGGAATATGTGCAAGCACGGAGAAGCTGCCGGCGCCGGCACGCTTAACTACCCGCGGGAATTGCTGCCTGCCAATGTGGTTCCGCGACACTATGACTTGACTCTCGAACCTAACTTTGAGACGCTCAAGTTCGATGGTCTTGTCAAGATTGACTTCGACGTCGTTGAAGACTCCAACACGGTTTCCCTCAACACCCTCGACATCGAAATCAAACATGCCACGCTGTCCATATCAGCCGAGGGCCAGCAAAAGAGCCTCACTGACCCTGTGATTACCTACGATGAGCCGAAGCAGACGCACACATTCGAGTTCAAGGATCGACTTACCAAGGGTGAGAAGGGCACTCTTGAAATCAAGTTCGTCGGTGAACTCAACGACAAGATGGCTGGCTTCTACCGCTCATACTACCCTAAGCCTGATGGCTCCAAGGGCATTCTTGCCACCAGTCAGATGGAACCCACCGATGCGCGCAGAGCATTCCCTTGCTTTGACGAGCCTGCTCTGAAGGCAGAGTTTACCGTTACTCTGATCGCTGACAAGAACCTAACTTGTCTTTCCAACATGGACGTTGCTGAAGAGAAGGATTTGCCATCGGGGAAGAAGGCTGTCCGATTTAATAAGTCTCCCGTCATGTCAACATATCTCGTTGCTTTCATTGTTGGCGAGCTCAACTATATCGAGAATAACGACTTCCGGGTACCGCTTCGCGTTTATGCTCCGCCTTCTGAAGATATCGAGAGAGGGCGGTATGCACTGGACATTGGCGTCAAGGCTTTGGAGTTCTACGAAAAGGCATTTGGCCTTCCTTACCCCTTGCCAAAGCTCGATCAGGTCGCCATCCCTGATTTTGCTGCCGGAGCTATGGAGAATTGGGGTCTTGTCACTTACCGTACCGTCGAGGTCCTATTTGATGATAAGACGAGCGGTGCCGCGGCTAAGGAACGGGTCTCGACGGTCATTACCCATGAGATTGCCCACCAGTGGTTTGGAAACATTGTGTCTCCAGACTGGTGGCACGCCCTCTGGTTGAACGAGGGATTTGCCGAGTTTGCCTCTCGTTACTCGCTGAACGCTTTTTTCCCCGAATGGAAGCTGAAGGAGTCTTTCGTTAGGGAAGATCTTCAAGCCGCACTGGGCCTCGACGGCCTTAGAAGCAGCCACCCTATTGAAGTTCCAATCCACAAGGCCGAAGAGATCAACGAAATCTTTGACAGCATCAGCTATGCCAAGGGCTCTTGTGTTGTCCATATGATTTCCGCTCTTCTAGGTGAGGAAGTCTTCATGGAGGGTGTCCGCAAGTACCTGAAGCGTCATGCCTGGGGCAATGCCACAACCAATGACCTTTGGCAAGCTCTGAGCGAGGCCAGCGGTAAGGACGTGGGTGCCATCATGAACATCTGGACTCAAAACGTCGGCTATCCTGTCGTTTCAGTCACGGAGTCGGGCAACTCGATTAGCGTTGAGCAACACCGCTTCCTGACTACTGGAGATGTTAAGCCCGAGGAGGACAAGGTTCTCTACCCAGTCTCTCTGAACGTTCGCACAAAGAGCGGCATTAACAAGGACCTGATGCTCACGACTCGTGATGCTAAGTTCGACATTGATGATATCGACTTCTTTAAAGTTAACGCCGACTCTACTGGATTCTACCGCACAAAGTATGCCATTGACAGACTCGAAAAGCTTGGAAACGCAGCGGAGCTCCTTTCTGTCCAAGACAGAGTTGGTATCGTAGCTGACACCTGCGCCCTGGCCACCTCTGGCTACCAGAAGACATCCTCTTGCTTAGGTCTTTTCAAGGCCCTGAGCAATGCGGGCGAAGCTGAGTACCTTGTTTGGGACCAGATCCTAACCCGTCTCGGGTCCATCAAGATGGCCTGGATTGAGGATGATGACGTCGTTGACAAATTGACCGAGTTCCAAAGGAACATTGTCAGTACCATGGCACATAAGCTGGGTTGGAAGTTTTCCAGCACAGATGGTCATGTTGAGCAGCAGTACAAAGCCCTTATGTTTAGCGCGGCTGGTATGTCCGGTGACGAAAAGGTTCTTGCTGCGGCCAGGGAAATGTTTGAGAAGTTTGCGGCTGGAGACAAAACCGCCATTCACCCCAACATCCGAAGCTCTGTGTTCTCTATTGTTTTGAAGTATGGCGGCGAAAAGGAGGTAGGTTATGGCTTTCTAGATTCGTTGGCTCCCCAGGTACAGACTTGCTAATAGTTGTTGCAGTATGACGCCGTGCTGAAGTACTACGAGACTGCCGAAACGAGCGACGAGCGTAACAGCGCCCTCCGCACCCTCGGTCAGACTCGTGACGCCAAACTTAGACAGCGCACTTTGGATATGTTGCTGAGCGGCAAGGTCCGCGACCAAGATGTCTACATTCCCATTGGCAGCTTGCGTTCAAGCAAGGGCGGCGTTGAGGCACTGTTCGACTGGTTGCAGACGAAGTGGGACGATATTTACACCAAGTTTCCTGCCCAGTCTTCTATGATCGGAAGCATCGTCAGCTACTGCACTAGTGGTCTCACAAAGCAGGAGCAGCTCGACAAGCTCGACAAGTTCTTTGCCGAGAAGGAGAAGAAGGGATACGTCAGAGCACTCTCGCAATCTACTGATTCCATCAAAGCCAAGATTGCGTGGACCTCCCGTGACACGGACGACCTGCGGAAGTTCTTGGGCATCTAAATGTAGAAACCTTGGCTCAAGTCAGGAGAAAAGTGGTGGTTGGATCTAGCGGTCCACGGCGTTACTCAAAAAACACATGATGAATATAGTAAACCCATGTAATTGTTACCAATCTACCAATCTCCCTCGTTGTCTTTTATGTCTTTGGGTGAGGCGTTGATAGTTTTAACGGGTTCGTTGAGACCCCGCGTTCAAGATACAAAACTTGGGCTTCTACCACCATATTTAAAGCATAGTATTGCAGATAAGTAACGCGGAATCTGTCGTTTAACCTGTTGTCGACTGTTGTCCACTCCGTTTCTCAGAGGTGCGGATTTTCAGCAAGGCGCTTGCTGGTGGGACCCCATCCGAGATAGCGAGGTACCCAGTGCGGAGTAAAATCTCGAGTATGTGACGGTAAAGAACGTCGTCTCCCTCCAACACCCGCTACAACGTCGAGCAGAACTGTTGACCACTTTCTTTCGTTTCAATTTCATGTTTTTTTGTAGATTTAACGCCGAAACAATCAAAGCGCAACATCCTATCTATCCATTGAATCATGACACCGACCCAGACCGTCTCCTCATGGCAAGTCCGCGCCGAGGCCGGCGAGCCTTTTGCCGTGATCCGCGTCCGCGATCTTCAGAGCACAATCCAGGCCGGCACTGACGCCTGGGGTCGCAAGAACAAATCGCAGCCCGTCTTTGTCTCGGCGGAGCTGTCGATGGCAAGCCCCTTCGACGCCGCGTCTTCATCGGACCGCGTCAGCGATGACACTGTCCACTATGGCCTGCTCGCCAAGGCGATCATTGCCAGTCTGGATGGCATCAATCGTAGGCCTCAACCCGCTGGCAAGGCATCGCATGTTCACCTCCGCGACGCCGTTAGTCAGATTTGGGCCGACTTGACTGGCTTCTCCCCAGATGGTCAACAGGTTGCCGCCGCAGAGGGAAATGTGGGTTTCTTGAGAGACAGAATCTCGCTGGTTCGATACATGAACCTTAGTGTAACGCTCCCCAAAGCATCGCTTCTCGGTAGTGCCGTCAGTTTATCGACATCCGCTGTTTTCAGCCCGGAGAAAGTTCAATCACCTGTAGTTGTGTGGAGTTCGTGTCTCCGCATTCATGAGCTACGTGTGCCGACTCTCATTGGAGTCAACGACAATGAGAGATTAGCAAAGCAGGTCGTTGTGGCGGACGTGGAGGTTGAGCACTTTGATGCTACGGAGGACATATATGTCGGTATCGAGTCCATTATCGTAAAGGTCAGTCTGCCCTTCACCATTTCTAAATCCAGCAGTTTATGTGCATTTCTTCTATTCTCCCTACCAAGTGAAATCCTAACATTACATATAACAAAAGACCCTCGGAGACTCATCCTTTGAGACTCTCGAAGCGCTAGGTCCCGCTATTACGGGCAGCGTCAGGCGCAATATCAAAGACGTAACGGGGCCCGCCGCTGATGGAATCTCGAGCTGGGTGATCAAGGTGGTCCTTGAAAAGCCAACGGCCATCACAATGGCTGCGGCGTCGCGTGTAGAGTACAGGGAGCTTCCTAATACCAGCCAGTAGTTGGCAAAAAATTTCCACCAAAGCTTTCCTCAACCTATTCATGTGTTGTGCTCAAATTGGCAAGAAGTGACGGCCATTCTGTTTGCTCGTAACAGAGTCGGCACATCATCTCTGGTGCCATGAGTCGCCTAAAGAGGTAGAGCCATTCTACCATGCTTGGAACTTCTCGCACTGCGGGACGTCACCGTTGGTGATCTCTCGGATGAATTCTGCATCAGGGTCGAAGAGCATGACGTGGAAATGTTCTACGGCATGGACGGACTTAAGGCTCCTCCAATTCTTGAACCAGATCACCTAGCATGACCATCAATGACTGTCACTGTATAAAGCAAAAGAACAAGCACAAGAGCAAGAATGGATAAGCAACTCACCGAATCGGGTTTAGTTTTTGATCGAAACGTCTTATCGACATACGCTTCAATCTCGTTCCTCGCCGTGTCCGTCAAATCCCCTGTTGCCGGGTCTTCTTCGATCTCAAACTTTGTCCAAACAACAAGATGCACGATCCGCTCGTCAATCCCGTACGGCCAATCATTACATAATATCTTCAGATCATCATCGAACTCAAAGGGCTTCCCCTTTGGAACCAACGGTTCGGCCCATCCCAATCTGTGACGAAGCACAAAGTTCATCACACTCCCATGCTCCTGAATCAATTTGAAGATGAATAGACGATACCGCCGCAGCTCAGACGGCACTCGCTGGAAGAGGTCGAGCCGGTTCGTGTCGACCAGCCGACGCACCTTGTCCCACGTCTGTGGGCGGTAGTCGGCGTCCAGGGTGCTCAGAATCCCCACGTCCTTGGCGGAGAGGTTACGGAGGCCCTCCGGGCACTCTTCGGTCCGGTGCTCCGCCGGGACATTGACCTGCCAGTACGGCACCGTTGGGGACTTGTAAAGGCTGCCCATGTTGCTATTCAGTTGTAGGCGGTCAATGGGTTCAGCCTTAATATGTGAACGAGGTGGATTTTACCAGGAAACGGGATTGTTCTCTGTCGAGGGGACGGGGAAGAGGGCTTATGGTCTGTCTCGTTGCAGGGTGGTCCACGGTTGTCAAAGGAAGAAAACGACGAATGAAGGCCTAGGTGGCGGAGATGGGACCTGAACCACTATCCCCCGCCCGGCTTGATCAAAGGCTTAATATATTAGCAGGTTTTTTTTTTCCCGCCATCGGTGAACCCGTACGAGAACTTAAACCAAATCTTCTTACTCCAACGACGCATAACAATGTAAATGCTACGCGGAAACCGGCAGCCACTAAGTCATGCAGTTCAGGCCCCCGAACAGGGACCGTCATGCAGCCGAGCGTGTGTAATTCCTTTTCCCATCTCACCGCTAGTCGGCGCCGATAGCTGTGGAATAGCAGACAAAGCACCTCCACCCGGACATGGTCACTTTTTGCGGGTAGCACCGCCGACGGAACCTGGACCTCACATTGCCTGTCGTAATCCGACTGGTTAATTACATCTCAACGAGCAAAAGAAATATCATGAAAAGCACAAACTTGCAGTGCTGCCTATTAAAATGCTATCAAGTTCGGTCTGCTACTGCCACAGGCATGCAGGTGCCGCCTTTTAGGGAATGTTTTTATTTCTATTATCCCATCGCGCTTTCAGACCGTCATCCAAGATGCTGTAGTGCATCGTAACATCTCCTTCAAAATGCTCAAAATACAAACCTGCCACAGCTTCTTAGTGCTCAAGCAGACGCAAGCTTCCCTGGACAACCACGTTCTCGAGGATGGATCCAGGGGGGATATCGATGGTGCTGCCCTCCGTCGCAACGATGATGACGGTACCCTTCAACGTCACACCACGGCCCAAGTTGACGGCACCAGTGATGGTAAGGTGGTCCAACTCAATGATCTTGGGGATGGATGGGATGTGCTTCTGGAAGTCAGAGACCTTCTTGAAGTCGCTGCCCAGCTTGATGAGAGGAGCATCGCCGAAGCGGCTGGAGCTCATCTGGAGTTGGCCGTGCTTGACGGTGTACAAGTCAGACTTGACAAGCATCAGGTCGGAGCAGGTCTTGACGGGCAAGAAGCGGCGACGAGGAACGTTCACGCCGTGGGCGTTCTTGAAGTGACGGATGGCAGCACCGACAGCGGTTTCCAGCTGGATGATGGAGATGTCAGACTCGCCCTTCTTGTCACCGGGGATGGTCTTTCCGTTGGGAATGATCTCCATCTCAAGCTCGTCATTCTCGACGACGCGCTTGATGGCCTTCAGGTTCAGCCAGATGTTGTTGGTGTTGAAGTACTTGAACTTCTTGATAGACTTGAACTCATTGACGTGCTCCTTGGGAACCTGGGCGATTTCAAGCAGACGGACGGAGCCCTCGTAGTCAATAATGGTACCACCCTTGACATCGGCCTTGGTCTTGTTGGTCAACTCCATGATGTACTCAGACTCGGTCTCAACCATGTGTTGGAGGATGCGGAGATCAACAACCGCACCCAAGTTGTCGACGTTGGAAAGGAAGACAACCTCGATGCCGCGCTCGATGAGCTTGTCGAGAATGCCAGAGTTGTAGAGAGACTCGAAAACGTCACCGTGACCGGGGGGGTACCAGTCGCTGATGGCAGAGTCGTACTTCTTGGGCACAGGCAGAAGAGAGTCCTTGAGGATTCTGGGGTATCTTGATTGGTTGAAGGTGAGGATGTCAACATTGTGACCCTCATACTTCTTGATGATGGAAGCAGTGTCGTCGTTGGTGTTGAACGAGTTCATGAGAATGAAGGGCACATTAACGCCATAGGTGCGGTTAAGGTACTCGATCTGGCGGACAGACAGGTCCAAGAAGGACATGCCGTCACGGACCTCAATAACAGACTTAGGGCCAACGCAACCCATGGAGGTACCGAGACCTCCGTTGAGCTTCAGGACGGCAAGCTTGTTGAGGAACTGAACAGACTCCGAGTTGGCGAGGTCCTCATAGTCGACGACCTGGCCCTGAGCAGGAGGGGCAATGCGGTCCCAGTCGCTAAAAGATCGTCAGCATAAGCTTTCAAGTACCCTCGGATTATGCACACATACACGGCGTTGCCCTTGGCCTTGTCGTTCAGGTAGCGGCGGAAGAGGGCGAAGAAGTTGTCCATCTCAGTCTCGAAGAGCTATTTCAAAAGGTCAGCCTCAGCCATTTTTTAAGCTTGCTAGCATGATTGTGTAGCTCACCTTCTTCTGCTCGGGATCCGTGACGGTCTCGGAAAGGTTGGTGAGGGCATTGCGCATCTGGGCAGCAGCAACACTCGTAGAGGTGTTCTCGAAGGCCTGAGACACTAAATTAGTAAATGATTCTCAGATATATTTGAAGTAACAAGCCATATTAGTACAACGGCGGCGCATCTAAAGATCTTCGAGAGAAAATGTTGGATGGTTGGGTTGCGCCTGCCGTCAACCGACTATCTCCCCTGACTGGTATCATGGGATATGGGCAAGGAGAGGCATCTGCTGGGCGCCTGCATCCCTGGTCGTCCCTGCAAAGTGACAAGATACTGAAAACCGAGCTATGCGTTGCGCTGAATTCACCATGACGAAACAAGCCCAGAGGCTCAGGACTTGAACGGGAGGCGGCTGGCCTTCCGGTGAATTGCAAAATGGAAAGACGTAAACAAAGTGGCATGGGCAAGCCAGCAGTGTGAATCGTCCTCACATCACGCGTTGATTCTCATCACGTCGCCCATGAGAAGAGCACGGCCGGGATCATGATAGTTCAGGGGACAGCGTCCAGGGCAAGAGAAATTGGAGGGGGGGAAGTATGTACCATGTGAGACCTCGTCTTGCCGTGGTGACGAGAGGTGAACTCGGCATCATCACCCTTGCCCTGGCCTCCAAGAGGCTTCAGGTGAGTGGGCAGAGCGCTCTTGATCGCTTGAGCCATTGTGGGCGAAATTTAAGGCGGGTCGCAACGGACGAGGAGGTTGAGCTGAAGACTATGTGTTAACGATTGTAATCGAGTAACGAAAGGTCTCAGAATGGAAAATCGGGGGTCTTGTTGTAGTTGTAGAGGGGAGGGTATGGTGGAAGGAGGGAAAAAAACAGGCGGCGAGATCGCTTGCGGCGGGGTAGAGCCTACGTTGACAGGGAACTGGCCGTGGGATGGGTGGCAGAAAAATTGCTGGGAGCTCAGAAGTATCTGTGTAGCCTGACGTAATTTGTGAGCTTCTCCATGTGATGAGAACAAAGAATAAACTAAGGAAGCTTGGGGGGAGCGGGGGAATGAGGCGAATTGAGTTGCAGCAATGAGCTTTCTGCTTGGAGCAGAAGATCCGAAGATCAGCGGCAACAATGAGTACTTACAGCAACAGCAGCAACAGCAGGAAACAATGAGCGAGTGTGGGTGGTGAATTGGATGCAGAGGAGAAAAGGAGAGACCTCGGGGAGCAACAGATGGGCAAGGCGGATGGGGATTTTCCTTTATAGCGGTGATATCACTGTGGGAACCCAGCTCGCATTTGCCAATTTTCATTTTATCTCGTTCCCCCCGGAGGGAGGGGAGGGGCCGTTGTGTTGCAGGAGGTGTGTACTGGACATTGGGCCTGGCCTGGGACAGCCAGTCACCCCGCCGATACCTTGCCATCGTACCTACGCTGGTAGGGGGAAGGGGGGGAGGTTCCGCATCAGTGCTCTGTGCTCTGCTTCCATTTCACGCTTCGAATATACACCTCTAATTCGGCCACTTTTACACCACAGTCTCCTATACGCTTCGTATTCGTCGTCCCCCAGCTGCAAGACCCAATTCACTTCTTCCACATCTGTACCTGAAGCTAATGGAAGGTGTCCGACGTGTCCCATTGAGCTATTCCAGTCCGTCCTACTGCAACCCTCCACTGAGCTCGCCCGGACTGGCCACCGCCTTCTTGACACCCCTGTGGCGCTCTGAGCTAACGACGCCCAATGGAGAGAGAGGCGGCTGGCTGTACAAGAGCAAAGCTGCAGCTTGCATAGGATAAAAAAAAGGACGAAAAGTGAGATAATATGAAGAGAAGGGGTGAAGGGGAAAAGAGAAGAAGCAAAAAATAAAAACGAAAACGTTGTCTTATCTCTCTATCTGTATCTGCATCAAGACCTGCTCAGCCCAGCCCAACATGCAGATCTCAAGAGGATGCGGATGTCTGTCGCACGTCAGAAGTGTCAACTCGACATGGGCACGCAAGACGACACCTGACAGAGAGCTCATCCGAAATCAAAACACCAAAAGGTATATCAGACATCCCAATCCCAGACACAGCTGGACCACAAGGCCCATCTGATGCCTCTCTATTTTCTGCACAAGCCTTTGGCAACCAATGATGTGCATTAAAACGGAGCTCCGTCTGCTTCTCCTTACTTCGCTGGTTCTCCAGTTTCAACGACGCATCATGGGTGAGCCGTTTAGAACAAGTATTCCCTAGCAATGCATGCACTAAAAAAGGTGCGAATCTCCATTCTCTGTGGATCCCAGCAGTCTTCTCGCTACATTGTCTCTCCGCCGCACTAATCATGATTGGGATCCTGAAATATCACAACCCCACCACCCAACATCCCCCGCCAGCTGTAAGATGAGCTGTCGAGACGGTATCCTTACCTACCTCACCAACTCACCCAGGACCTGACTTACTAGTTTACGAGGACAGACACCGTCTTGACCCTGCCTATGGGGCCTGGTCTGGTCTCGGGGCACCTGACGTATCAATTTTCTCACCTCCTTTTACAGAGGCCGTTCAAAGGTTGACAATGTCGGTTGTTTTGGTCGACTTCACCGCGGATGTGTTCTTCCAAGGACCACCAACCCATCAACTCGGAGTGTAATGCCAGCCCGGAACAGAAATAGACCACTTTTTTTTTCCCCCTGCCCCTCTGTAACACACTCTGAATGGCCACCAAAAGCGCTCATACGGTCCGACATCCCCCTCTTCTCGCTGACGTCCCTCCATCGATGCGCCTCCGTCGCAGCGGGAATGCAGTTGGGCGGTTGAGCTGACCTCCCACCGGCCGGACACGCCTACGGCCACACCCATTGTTGCCTATCAAAACTTGCCACCACCCTGAACTTTCCGATGTCGTCAAATTGACCGCATCAAAACCACTCAACTAGCGATATGATTCTATCCAATCAATTTTGAGTTACTTTTTTTTCCCTTTTAAATTGCCGTGATGGATCGCTTATAGCTATCACAAGGGGAAAGACCAAAGCACACCCCCGGCCCCCATTACTGTTCCTTCTAGTCAGATATGTTCGTTCCAGAACCCTCCTCGAAGGCTTCTTCGGGATGCTTCCCGGATTTTGATGCCTCGCAACCCCCGACGTACGGGGACCAACGTAACAGGTTTGTTATAAGTTGCGCTGTGAGCCGCCGTCCCCTGAATGCCGGCATCTGCGCCCCGGGCGGGCCAATTCCCACTTGAACTCATATTAGTCGCATCCCAACCAGGAGAAAGGAGGGTCCCCATTGGAAATCCATCCCGTCTGGTCGGGAGTTTGATTACATATTGTTCACGCAGTGGATAAGCTTAGGCCCATTGGCTAGGGGGACAAATACAACCTCCCGCTTCAAACATGATCGTGTCATTTAGCTCAACAAAGGCAAGAGGGTCAGGACTAAGAAGAACCAAAATACTAATATTCATAGTAATAACAACTCAAAAAACAGGAAACTCTGCCGACAACCGCCGGCCATCGCCGGACTTGGATGTCCCGATTTTGATATTTTCCCTCCAGCCCCGGGAGCCAAGCCTAGCGCGCCACCCGTGTAACCGATCCGATCCAGTCACTACTACTACTACGACCGCCACCACCACAATGGTGAGGCCCCCCTGCCGCTCTCGTCCCAAAATGTGCCAGAGTGCAATTTGCCCTGACGCCATTGTCAATAATGGCATTTCTCTCCCTAGTCTTTCCGACGGGGCCTCGACTTGTCCTTTGGCTTGTATGCACGGTAAATGGGAAACCTGGCAAAAACGCCCAAGGTAGTAGGTCTTAATCTTGATTGATGTGCGGCGGGTCGCCGGGAAGGGGGGGGGGGGGGGAGGGTATTGAGGAAACGAAACAAAATTGGCGAAATGTCATCGCAACCAAAATAGCGCGGACCAGACGGGAACTCAGTCCGCATCTAGCACAGAGCACAGAGGCATACATGAGCTGCGATTGCGAACAGACCACCCATCAAATGAGGCTCTCGTCTGCGTCCCACGTGGGGACAGGCCCAAACCGTCTTGTTTGAGCTTATACGGTACAGGTACACCACCAGGGGACCGGTCCTTGCAGTCGGCGCTGGAATGCCAGGGGATCAAGCATGCTTTCGTGAAGAGTTTGGACGGATCTTTTGTTCTAGGGAGCGAATCAACGTTCCCGTAGGCAACACAGCGACAGAGACCTAAACAAATTGCGCATTGTAACTGGGGGGGCATTCCCCCCCAAACATTCTTGGTCATGCCTCTCTTGAAGACTAGCTCGCTAGTAACCATACCTGTGCCTAAACGCCGACTCCTAGTTGCGGCTCTAAAGGGCTACGACGACTTGACATCAGCAACCCGCGCCATCCATTCAACATCCAAGGGGTATAATCACGCTCCATTCGCCGGGTTGCCCATTGCCCTTATTTCTTCTTTTGCAGCCTTTCCTTCTCCATGTTCTCCGTACATACTGGACAAAACCATGTCCCGTTGGGCTCGCTTTTGAGACCGACACACGACCAATGAAACCACTCATAAGGGCAATCTTCGTTGTCGCATGCAACCATGTCTCCAAAACTGACGTTCTGACATGTGCAGTACTTCTTGTCGTCACCTGCTTCATCGTCTTCTGCGTCCAGCATGCTGTCGTCACCATCGCCGTCCTTGCCGTCGCGCGCTGGGGTGCCGCTGGTACGATCAATCCGGCTACGTTCACCATCATCACCACTGCCGCTCTCAGCATCAGACAGCTCACTATCTGCCGTGGATGCTGGAGAGTTGCGACTTCCTGCCTTTTTTACACGGGACAAGGATGACTTGTTCCCGTTCCCGAGAGTGCCCTTCTTCCGATGTGTTGCGCCAGGCGTCCCTTTCCTGATGCCTGTTACACTAGATGCCTTTGTAGATGACGACCTGGGTCCGGCGCTGCCAGCCCGCACAGTACCACCTGGACCCGTGCCTGGAGTGCCTTTTGGTGTCCCCGGTCCCAGCGACGAATGCCTTGCCAATCCACTAGATGTTGTCGGTAAGGTGCCCAGCCCAGTATTGGATCTTGGTCCCCTTTTTGGGACGCCGCTCCCCGGCCCCGCTGAGCTTTCCCTCGCCTGACGATTAAGTATCATACTAGCGGCTGGCGTCGCCGGCGCAGAAGAAGCATGTTGTTGGGTTAAGGTATTCCGAATTTGTGGGTTTCCGGTTCGAACCGCAGAGGGGGTGGCCGAGTTGACGATCGGGTTAAGAGGAGTGGCAGTGATGGCGGTGCCGGCCAAGTGGCTCGCAGGGTTTACGGACCGAGCGGACGGGGCTGAGTGGTTTGCGGCGCTCGGACGAAGCAGCGACGGACACTCGTCGGGGTCGTTAAAGCCGGGTTCTGCGCGGTCATAGAGCATCTTGATGTGTTGGTCGAGGTTCCGCAGGTGCTTGTCCATGATCAGCTGCAACTTCTGAGTTAAAGCAATCTTCTCGGTGGCGAGCTGGTCGGCTCGCATAAAGTTCTCGCGCATCTGCGACCTCATGCCCTCTTCACGAGGATTTGTTTCGTGGCTGCCGTTAGCCTTGATCCATTTTTGTATCTTGCCATCACGATCCTCAATCAACTTGACACAGTCAAAATACTGGCGATCTTTATCGGCGATCTCATCTTGCAGGAACCGAATCTCCTCGGGGAGGTTCTGAACACGGTTGATCCAGTCGTCGAGGATGATAGCCGGGTCGAGAGCCTCGGCCTGCGGCATCCTCTTGACGAAATCGATGGACAAATCGTCTCTAGGCATCCTGAGTCAATGACGCGTCCCAAGTATGGGGATGTTGGTGTAGGCAACAGGGCGGCGAGGCAGACGACGACGACAAGGTGCCCAGTGAGGGGCACAGGAGGGGAGGGTGGTGGTAGTATGAATGTACGACCAAGGGTGCTTGCAAAACGAGACGACTGCGTAAAGGACGATGGCCTGTGGTAGATGGGGTACGAGGCAACAGATGAAGACAGGTAGAGAGTGAGGAGGCCGCGTGACCAAAGGTCATGAAGATAAAAGAAAGAAAAGGATCAAGATAAGGTAGAGCAGAGTAGGGTGAAGCAGCGTAAAGCAGAGCAGATGTGGAGTAGAAGAGCCAACAGCAGGTAGGTGGGAATAGTGGCACGCGGTGAGACGGCGCGGCGCGGAGCGGCCACCGTCGGAGTGAGCTGACCGAGGTGAAGGACCACGGGGATGATTTGCCTTGGCTGCACTTGCCCTGGTGAAAGGCGATGCCAGAGAACCTTGGACAGAGAGAAGGCTTGGAGTAGAGACCCCGGCCACGATCCTCCGCAACGAACGAAGTGACTGGCTTGGCTCACCTGTTGAGGTTGGACCGACGGACAGTCGACGAAGAGCTCCAGACCAGATACAAGGCAAGGCGAGGCGAGTCGCGGCGACGGTCGGGCCCTGCCTGTGATCCCGGAATGTTTTTTATTAAATAATAATTCCCTGCCGGGACGGCGACGTGAATTTTTTTCGACGCGCAAGGGTGGGGTTGGAAGAGGCTGGAATCACGTTGGTGGTCCAGTTGCGGTGGCAGTTCAGTGAAATCGGGTGGTGCGTGTCGCGTTGGGTTTGGCGGCGGGCAAGTTTGCGAGTTCTTTCCCCAACTCGTCCAGTGAGCTGAGACGAGACAGGCGGAGACGGGAGTTTTAGCCTTCCGGACACCAGGGCCTTTCGTTACGTCGCCCCTGGGACAGCTTCCATTGGATATCGCAACTTTAAAGCGGGTCGCCACAGCAGAATGGAAGCTCAGTCCGCAACCACCCACAGAGATCCGGAGCCGGTACGGATAAAACGGAGCACCTTGACACTTACCTAAGTCACCTATAAGGCACCTATGACTTATGGCATAGATGGCTCTCTCAAAAACTTTGTATGCACAACATAGAAATAAAGAGTTTTCATTACACTCATCGTGAAGTTCGTTTCAACAAGCCGACGTTAATGGCTTTTCCCCGTCAATTTAACCTGGATTGGGGCCCGGAAGAAACCAGAAACGTCGCGAACGAGCCACAATGAGGCTGTAGTAGCCACTAACTTTTTTGGGGGGGAATGAATCGCCAACCACAACACCTTGGTGGCCCATGCGCGCTCGCACCAGCCACTGCGACTCGACTTCGATGCCCTGGGCTGCCTAAGGTGCGTTCCCTTTACCTTAGTGGCCAACAGCGGCTTCTTCCCTGACGCCTGTCACATCTCATCCAATCGAACATTCATCAGCCTTTCAACGAAATCTCCCACACGCATCGCAAATCTACAACTCACGAAGCCGTGAACCAGCTTGATAGCTTGGTCAATTCGAACATAATTTTCAACAAGAACAATACTCACTAGCGACTCATTCTCCCGACACTTACCTTGACGCAGAACGAAAACATTGAATTTGTCATCTCACCATTGAGCAAGGCTTATCCCGTTGTCAGCCTCGACCCTGTTCTGGAACATCACGAAGCATCCTGACCAACGTCTGGTGCCCTGACGGTATATCCGTCGCCTCTCATCATGGACACGGACGCTTACAGATTTCGCGTTCCTAAACCGAACTACCTTCCTCATAGGGCCGACAAAGATGACATCGTCGAAGAGTATGTCCCACTTGGCCAGGCCAGCGAACTCGACAATGCCAAGTACTTTAGCAAATGCAAGCGCACCGCGCTGGAGTCTGGCATCACACGACCCAAAGGGTACAACGTATCCTTTCATTGCAATCCCGAAATGGAGAAGCATCACTTTGGCCAGACTCATCCCATGAAGCCTTGGCGCCTCACTCTCTCCAAGAGTCTCATCTACTCCTACGGTATGTCCTTTGCCATGGACAACTACATTGCCCGAGCCGCCACATATGAGGAGTTAAATTCTTTCCATTCCGACGACTACCTGGACTTTTTGGGCACAGTTCTTCCCGAGCCTGTTCCCAGGGATGTTGATAACGCCAACCCCGATTTGAAGTTCAACCTTGGCGGGTCTGATTGTCCCTTGTTTGAGGGTCTCTACGACTACTGCTCCATGTCAGCAGGCAGCTCACTAGATGCTGCGAGAAAAATTTGCTCAAAGCAGTCAGACATTGCCGTCTCTTGGGGAGGCGGTCTGCATCATGCCAAAAAAGCCGAAGCGTCGGGTTTTTGCTACATCAACGACATCGTCCTGGCCATTCTACAGTTATTACGTTGCTATCCTCGCGTTCTCTATATCGACATTGACGTTCATCACGGAGACGGCGTTGAAGAGGCTTTCTATTCAACCGACCGCGTCATGACAGTATCGTTTCATAAATATGACCCCCTCAACTTCTTTCCCGGCACCGGTGGCCTGGACGATAACGGCCCTAAGAACGAGCATAACCCAGGAGCACACCACGCCATCAACGTTCCCCTCAACGACGGAGTTACAGACGAGCAATACAAATGGCTCTTTGAGACCGTCATTGGCAAGTGCATCGAAAAGTTTCGGCCAAGCGCCATCGCTCTGCAGTGTGGCGCTGATTCCCTTGCTGGCGACCGTCTTGGAAGATTCAACCTCCAAGTTCAGGGACACGGCGCCTGTGTAGAGTTTTGCAAAAAGTTTGGCCTACCAATGATTTTGTTTGGTGGCGGTGGATACACGCCGCGAAATGTGGCTCGCGCGTGGGCATTCGAGACGAGCATTGCTATCAACTCCCAGGACAAAATTGATCCCATCATTCCGGCGCATGCTCCATGGAGAGAGCAGTTCAGATACGAGGAGCTATTTCCGACACTGGAGCAAATATTAGGAGAGCCGCGCGTAAATCGGAATCCACAAAAACGACTTGCGGATGTCGTGCAGCATGTAACAGAGCAGTTGAGATTCGTCCAGGCGGCCCCCAGCGTGCAGTATCAAGTTATCCCGCCCGATTTAGGCGGTCTCAGAGAGGATGTCGAAGAAAAGCTCAAAGAGGAAAGGGAAGCCGAAAATGACAGCATCAGGAGAGCACGAGAGGAGGCTGTCGGAACAGCCATGGAGTTCTAAAAGTTGTGCTGGTGGTTAAGTCGTGAAGCTTTTGGATCGTAAGGCAACTTGGGGCGGCGTTAGGAGTCGAAATGATACTGGGAACACTCAGAGAGGAATATACCATCGTATTCATGACATCTACCATGTCACGCATCATCCGTAGCCCACTCTCCCTGGTGGCACTCATGTGAGACCAAGGGGTTGCCGGCTTCGAAGCGCGAAAGTGGGTTTTCCGCCTGGTATGGCCGGTATTACATGGCTATCGCCACGGCACATGCCGGCGGGAAATACTATTACGGTTGTTACGGTGTAACGTGCGTGAAAAGCACATCTTATTCGACGTTATTCGGCTGCCTAGAACGGCGCATCCACTTCCATCCTTTTTGAAGGTCCGGGCCGGCCGCGGATCCATCTTGCACTAGCTCTGGAGGGGGGAAAAACTTACGAGTTGCCCAATGGGAATCCTCCCCCGGCCAAGTACCCTTAAGCTTAATCCTGGATTAATCAGGCAACGGGACTTTCGAGCGAGTGATATCAAGGATTTGAACACGAAAAGCGACCGCTCAAGGAAGTATTCTAGACGTTGCCACCAGAAATATAGTGGTTTATAGCCCTTGTGGTGGGTAACGTAACCTGGGTCACCTTCCACTCTAGTATAGGTGGAAGTTAACCGATTGCAACATTGTCGCGACGTCGAGTTATACCTCCACCAGCACACGATTCGAGACAAACAGAACATAAGGCGAGACCAGTATTGGAAGTCACGATGAGTTAAAGATTTCCAAGATTGAGACTCTAATGTACGACGGAATTTAGGTGGTTTCAAATGTCAGCAGTGAGAAATTGAGAGCGTGGCTTAATGAAGAAGGGTCGTCGCACGGTTCGGGCTGAGTCTCACCATCACCCAACAATGTCTCTCGCTGTCAAGACTCCCCCTCCGTACAGCCTTCTCGCCTGATGGGTACCACTCTTTTCGAGTTGCCCTTTTGAGTCCTGCAAGGCAAAGATCTATATAAAGGCCTGCTTGCCCACCCATTTATTTATCGTAGTTGTCTTGATCAGCCAGCCAAAGTTGTCTACAAAGCCTTTCAACTTAGCCTCTCACTGCCAGCTTTTGCATCAAAGTCTGCCGCTGTAAGATTTCAAGCAAACAACGCAGTTTCTATCTTCTTCTGTAGCACACCTTGGATCCGCCAAGACAATGGCCCTCCACCGACTAGTTGCTCTCTTGGCTTTGGGACCGGCCAGTGTACTCGGCCTGGCCACTCCTTCGCAACAAGAGAGCTCTCTTGCTCGGCGAGCAGTTGACTGGAGCAAATGGAAGCCCGGCGTTAACTTTCAAATCATCCTTCACCACCCGATAAAGCATGATAGCACCGCCGACATCGTACCTGCCAATGCGGATGTTTGGGATATAGATATGCAGCACGCCCTTGAAAATGATGGCATGATCCGTACTCTCAAGGTAAATCACGGCGCGCTTTATCTTTTGCACCAGCCGGCTGACGAAATCTAAAAATAGGCTGCGGGCAAGATTGTGATCTGCTACTTCAACGGTGGTGCCCTCCAGGACTGGGACTACGATATAGAAGCCTTCCCCGAAGCCGCCATAGGAAATACTATGAGTGAAACGTATAGCGATGAGCATTATCTTGATATCAGACATAAGGACGTCGTCGATGCGATGAAGAAGCGTCTCTCGAGGGCTGCGAGTATCGGGTGTGACGGCGTTGACCCGGACAATATCGACGCCTGGGCTGAAACAGTAAGTCCACCATCCTACCTAAACTTTTCGTAGTATTCTGGCTAAACGCAGTAAAGGATGGCGAGGACCCTACAGGTTTCAATCTGAAGCCCAAAGACTATGTGGACTACATCAAGACCCTGGCAACCCATGCGCACTCCCTCAAGACCAAGGAAGGCCGGCCTCTGATGATAGGCCAGAAGAACGCGCCCACCATCGCGGCAGACCTCGCGTCCGTCGTCGACTTCGCCGTGCTCGAGACTTGCCTCGGCACCCGCACCTCCGACGAGGTCGAGCCCTTCTGCTCCGATTTCCAACCCCTCGTCGCTGCCGGCCGTCCCGTCTTCCAGATCGAGTACCCGCTTAGCGTCAAGAACAGCGTCAACATTAGCGAGGACGACTACAAGTACTTCTGCGTCTCCAAGAACGGCAACGAGGGTTTCAGCGAGGTAATCAAGCACGCTAGCGAGCAGGTCGACGGTTGGGGCCAGTTCTGCGGTTTGGGACGCCAAGGTGGACGCTTTGAGACTCCCACCATCAACGAGGACGAGGACTAGACAAGAGGGACAATGCAAGGGAAGAAGAAGATGAAGTTGACGATTCTATGAAATACGAGTTGATTATTAGAGGAACACATAGTAGTAGAATATCATGGTTTGATTCTTGAATATATACAGTTTTTGTTATTATCCAATGGAATGCTACAACACTAGTATTCTGACAAGTACCGCAACACCGTGCAAAATCCGATGCATTGAATACCGATATAGACAAAGAAGTATCAAACTCGACCGCCCGTAAGCAACCCTTCGCCATGTACCGATTAGTTGAACCCAGCGGCCGCCTCAGCCTCCCGCTCCAGCATCTTGCGTCTCAAACTCCTCGCCTTAAACGCAACGTACACGACCAACATGACGCCAACAGCGAGGCCAGCTGACAGCAACATGACATTGACAGGAATCGGGTCGCCGCCGAACGTTTCGTGGAATAGGTAATCAAGCCCAGACTGCAAGAAATTGAACAGGCCGGAAAGACAGATGATGGTGCCGTACACGGTACCAAACGTTTCGAAACCAAAGACTTTGGCGCTGTAGTCGGAGACGGCGGTATAGTAGAAAGGCCGGTAAAGCACGAACAGGCAGATCTGAATGTAAGCCGCCCACATGTTGTTTATGACGCCCAAGACACCGATGGTCGTGGCAATGGTTACGAGGGCCGTCAGGACGGTGACAGTGCTGGTGTGGTCGAGCAGAACGCCGATAAATGGTATGGACAAGATGCCTCCCACCGGAAGAGCCACGTCGAAGAAGTTGTTGATCTCGACGGCCTTGTCATGGTTACCGAAAATGGCCTCGTACTGGGATCGAACGGTAGCGACGAAGTAGTTGATACGGAGCATCTGGATGACCGTGAAGAGACAGATGAGGATGAACCAAGGCGAGGCGATTTGCCTCAGCGCCGTCCGGTTGTGCATGACGCCCCAGACCCCCGACGTCTCGTTTTTCTTCTCCTCCTTGCGCGTCTGCTTGTCCGCCTTTTGCGCCCCCAGGAGTTGCTCAATGTCCGCCACGACCGATTCGCGATGCTGGCGACGTTCCTCCCGCAACAAAGCAGTGGTCTCATCGACCTGGTCGTCGAATGGTGACTCGTCGGCGTCGTTGGCTGCGACGGCCTCCTCTTGTTGCTCGACTAGTTCTCCTACAGTCTTGTACGATTGCTTGGGCATTATCGTCAGCTGGGCGATTATGATCATTACTGGCACGATCAAATAGACCAGGAAGAATTGGTCATGGCCAAAAGATCCATCTGTAGCTTGGAAGATCAAACGGTAGACCAGGAAAAGAGCGCTTGAAGCATCGAAAACACCCGTAAGGAGGGCAAGGATAAGACCCGAGTGCTTCGGAAAGGCATTAGACAGCTGGAAGGACGAGATGTACGTGAAGGGCCCTCCCAGCGCAAGCAACAAGTAACCAAGGAGGAAAGCGTCGAACGGCAGTCTCTTGGCGTATGCCATGAGAAGAGAACCAACAATCAGAAACAGACTTCCGAGGATTCCGCACACGCGAGGTCCAAAATGGTCTAGGATGGCGCCTACAGGCAACGCAGCTACGTTGGTCCCTACAGCTGCTACCGTGAACATGAGGTTCAGGTGGATTTCGACACATGTGTTGTCCGGGGTCGAGTCGGGGCTGTCGGCGGAGCAGATGTCGCTATAAGCACCTTCACGCTTGAGAACCGGTTTCAAAGCAGCAAATCCAAAGGCGACTCCCGCCGCAAACAGGCAATACACTACCGACACCGCGACTTGGACTTTGCAGGATGTTAGCGGATGGGCGAGCCTGAGATGGGTGACACGAGTCTTCGGCCAGGCACATAACGGGCAAGCAACACGTAATTTAGGGTATCGATTCACTTACGGACTCTCTTCCATTGTGGAACTTCGAAAGCGCCTACTGCGAGAACGGTATCTGGCTTGTCTGCGGCAGGATCCCACTGATCGGGCAAAGGGTTGAAGCTCAACTTTCCAGGCCTCACACTTGAGGCATCGCTCCCTCGTCTTGACCTCTCCCCTTGAGGAACAAATTGAAAGGTCTCGACTGACGCAACGCGGTTTAACGACATCGCGGTAAACGCCGCAGTTAGCTAGCGGTCGAAGAGGCGCAAAAAGCCGGTGGATGACGTAAACTATCAGGATTCTCTTGGGAACGTTTTTGAAAGGAGCCCCCAAGATTTTCCTTAGAAGAAAAGAGTGCTGTACGAGATGTAGCTGGGTCTGAACAGCTATCACAACGCAACTTCTCACCAATAATAGGTCGACGACACACGTAGAGATGCGCGCAAAACGGGTGCGAAGAGGTGGAGATAGGGCTAGTTATCAGCAGATAAGCTGAAGTTTGGCGTGTTTCTTTTTCCTTGTACCCTATCTGGCATAAGCCTCCGGGAGACAGATAAAAGTAAAGATGCTGATGTTGCCGTGTAAGGATGTCGTCGTCCAGATAAAGCGGCACACTAATATAGAGTGGGAATACTGGGAGCTGGTGAGGGGACGGGAACAGTTGTTGATGAAGTAGGTAGGTTACCGCCACTCCCAGCCAAACACAAACTTGGGACGCGTACCAAGAAGAGATGAAAAAAAGGTTCTTCGAAACCGAGTGATTGGGTGGCAATAAAGAGAAGATCCGGGAGTGGTGGGGGTCAAAAGAGAGAAAATGAATTTATCAGTGGGTGCTAATGCGGCGCGATGCGATGCAATGTAGTGCAATGCAGCTAGTAGTGATGGAGCAAGGAAAACAGATAGAAGATTTTAACAAATGGGAGACGTAGAGACAGATATACTACCAATAATGAAATGTAATCTAGACCACCGAAAGCGCCATCAGCAAATCTGACCGTCATTCTTTTTTCCCCCCCTCTCTTTACTTTACCTTTTCCATTCTTTCTTCTGCTCCCTCCTAGCGCTCCATTATAGGGCTTTTTTGCCTTGGCATTGGCTTTTAGGAGACATTGTGTGGTTCTGTCTTCCGCCTGCCTTGCCCTGCTCCTACCAGGCTGTGGTGGAGGCTTCTCTCCACCAAACAAGAAGCTTGGAAGGAAGAGACAAATGCATGCATGAATGGATGGAGAACGGATGAGAGAATCTCATCGTCATGCGCGTTGGGGAAAGGACCACATGATGAGCTATTGGCCGTCGACCCACTTTAGGCACGGCCGGCTCGGGGTGGCTTCGCTTGAGGCGTAGAGACCTGGAGATTCGAGGCGGTTTTGTCTTACTACAGAAAAGGTTAAATAAAGTAAGAAAAGCAGAACATGCAAGATCATCGCTCCTTTAGTTAGCAACGGCTCGCCCCCCATACGTACATCGCAAATCAAACGGCTCAGCTGCAAAGCTTTAAGTACATCACGCGCCGTTCCCCGCCCGCAACTAAAAGCCCCTCCCAGTTATGGCCGGGGAAGAAAACAGCACATGCGAAAGAGTGGGTCCACAACCGAACTGGCGAACGGGTACCGGTGCGGGCGGGTATGACAACGGGTACAGCATCATCCCACCCCCACTAGGCGCACAGCTAGCGGGATCAGTGGCCCCTTCCTCCAATTGCATCCAACCACTACGTGCTGCTTCAACTCCATTCCACTTCTACCCTAACAATGGGCTCGATCAATTGTTGGACATCCGGCATCTAGTGTACTCAAGAGTATGTCTGGCGTTAGAGATATGAAAGAATATTAGTACTCAACGTGAACAAGACTGACGTTGAAGTAATACTTGTGCAATCAAAGTCGAGGGAAAGAAATACAACTGCTGTACTGTATGATATGCGCCACTCTGTTCGTATTCTGTCGGTTCAACAATGAAGCGTGCTGCTGGAACACGATTAGATTCGTCAATTTTGGGAGTGAGCATACTTCAAGTTCAGTCCGAATATGAAGCAATCCTGTCTACGAGAGCAACTTGCCTCACTGCAACTTACATTGGCGGTTAACCAACGAAGGCAAACATGCTCTACTATCCAGCATTGGCGCAAGCAAGGAACACCGTGCAAGAGGTTAGAAGTGTAAATTTACACCTCTCAGTCTCCCTTATCCAAGGAAACAATTTTGACTTTGGCCCCAACATGTGTGCAAGTTTCCTGACACTGTGCCTAACTCTCCAAACAGGCACTTCATCAGGTCTACGCTCCGGCGCGGATGGGCATCGGCTGATTGCGGCGGTTGGATGACCGGCGACGTCCGACATAAAAGGCCCGCTATACAACCTCAGTTCACCCGTTCATCGATCACGTCGCCACAAAACCGGTAGGGTCGAGCTTCGAAGCAATACAATTAAAAACTAACGGTGCGTCGGCAATACACGAAGCGGCTATAAGGGTCCCCCCCAACGCCTGCGGGCTGTACTCATCCATCATGAGACAGTCCGCTACAAAGATGCAAGCATGGTAGGACAAACAGCGATAGACAAATGAAACGATACGTCAAGGTGGTAATGTGCCGGCGAGGGCTGCCGTTCTCACTCTGCCCTCCCCCAATCTTCCGTCCATTCTTATGCAAACTACCCGAGTCGAGTATCCATCATCTCATATGCTCAATTGATCCTCCCCAGCAAATAGTCGTCGTTTCCTCCGCGCAAAGGCATGCCTCATCATCGAAGCAGTCATCGCAGGAACGTAAATCGTTCACATGGGTGTCGAGTTGCCGGTAAAGAGATGACCGTCCGTCTCGCTCGCAAGTTATCCGCGGCAGTTCCAATTGCGCCTGCTGGCCGGTTAAGCCTTCGGCTGTTGACCTTCCATCACTCCAACTTTTCCTCTCCAAACCGTCTCCACAGCATGAATATTATGCACAATCAATTAGAAAAAAAAAAGGGCCATCACAGATCGTATGCGGAAATGAGGACTTCAAGCAATCCGCTAGTGGCGGTCGTGTCGTGGCGATCCGTCGGTATTCTTAGAGGTATTCACGAGAAACAAAATGCCCAAAATCAACGGCAGCAAGTGTCTAGTCGTAAGCATCTCATTTGTAAAACCGGAACACGGCCTTTCCGCTGCCGGATATGGCCGTCTGTAATATGAGCGTTAGCACGTCTTTCAGGCCATTAAAACAAGAATGGTTCAACTTACAGTACAGCCAGTGCCACCACCCGTGAAGGAGCCGTCGATAAGAGCACACTTGCTGTTGACGTCACCAATGATTTCAATGTTGAAGTCGAGCTTGGCAGTGGAGGTCGGAGCGTTATTGAAGATGGAGAGGTAGGTGTTGCCGTCAGCGCTCTTGCCAACACCAATGTTGATAGGGGCCCAGTTTCCGGCACCAAGAGGGTCCTTGGAGCTCTTCCAGACGCAAGCATCCTCGACGCTGAGGCCGAGCTTGTTAACGTAGTATTGCGCGGTGGTAGGGCTATCGTTCCAGACGTAGTAGTCGGGAGAGTAGGGGTTGGTCAGAGCCAACTGCTGGCCGGGCTCAGGGACAGTAGCAATAACCATAGCCTCGTTACCAGGGTAGTCGGTACGGCAGACGCAAGACTGCTTCTCAAGGTCGTTCTGAACGAAAACACCACCAGCGCCCTGTTCGCAGAGGGTCTTCTTGCTTTCACGGGTGAGTTCGAGCTTTCCCTTGCTGTTGCAGTAAAGTCCACCGATAGACTGCTTGGTCGAGCCCTGGGCCGAGGGCCACTGGGTCTTCTGGTAGCCGACGGGGCAGGAGTACGAGCAGAAGGAGTTCTTGGTGCAGCCACCGTCACCGCTAACGGCCGTCTCGATGAAGGAGATGGCGGCATCTCCAATGTTGTAGTTGGGGGTTCTTTGAACGCCGGTCCAGCCGCCCGTACCGAGGTATGAAACCGGGACAGCACCGTAGTCGGAGGGGAATTCGGAGCAGTCGATCTCGCCGCTGGGGAACTCGGCGGTCAAGCCCTTGGCGCCGCCAGATCCACCGCTTGACGGCGTGGAGGAAGGCGCTTGGCTACTGGAGGACGAAGTGGTCGGTTCCGGGGTAGGAGTAGGAGTAGGAGTAGGAGTCGTCGAGGTCTTCGCGACCTTGGCCTCGAAGAACTGGGCATCCTTGGAAGTGGAAGGCTTGGGGGCCTTGGAGGTAGACGGGGACGGTAGGGGGGTTGGAGTAGGCTTGGTCTCTCCAACGACAACGAACAATCCGTCCTCGATGCCCTTCTTGGCCTCATCCTCGGTGATGACCTTTCCTCCAAGCTCATAGGCGGTCACCGTCGGGCCGGCCTCGTACACAACGACAAGGTCGGGTTCGCGCTTCTCGACGGGCGAGGCGGCATCCTTCTTGACGTGAAGGTGACGGTGGTGTTGGTGGGGCTGCGCAACGACACCGGCGGCAAGGGATGCCGCGATAGTGAGGTGAACGATGGACCTCATATTGTCGGTTATAGATATTCTGTCAGCATTTAACGTTAGCGCATTCTGAATCCCCCACAGAAGACATTGATTCCCATCCATGCGACAATGCTCAAGCTCCTCGAAAATGCGTGCTCGCCATCCTCTTGTAATCGTCGCTATCCGTCCTCCTTTTGATGGGTGGTGGTCGAGCCAATGTCGATGACGGCTTCGGTTTGGGGTGGGCTCTCAGCAGGTCTTACCTGTTTTTTCCTCACCAGGGATCAATTGGGGTTTGGTTGAATCGATCGGGCTTTTCGCTTGTCTTGTCGGTGGGATTGAAGTCGAGTCGAAGCTCGAATAGGTGATCGTAGGTAACGAATGAAGGTGAATTCTCAGATTCAAAGGAGTGTAATGAGAGCGAGCTCTCTAGTTGGAGGAATCAACGCGGCGAACGAGAGTGTAGACCTCGATGACCGGAAGAACTGAGAAGAGGGAGAAGGGGAGGATGAAGTGGAGGAAAACAGGGTGAAGAGGCCATGTCGTGGATCCCCTGGGAAATTAGGAGACCAGGTACCAGAGGTACAAGCCACCCGGACCCCCAGGCGCTATTAGCAGAACAAGACGATCCGCTGCAGGTACGGACAGGGCCTAGCTAATGCTCGCGAGGGGGACGCCGTTGGCGCGCCTCCCCGGAAGGCAGGAAAGGGGGTTGTCTTCCCCAAAGAGACTAGTGTGGTAATTAAATGAGTGGTTCCTGCGCCCAGTTATTTACGTTGACATCGTACCTGCCCACGCTGCTAATGAGAAAAGCACCCCAGTGACCGCACGTGAAGCCTTGGGGGACCCTGGCAACCAGAACCAAGGCCTCACGCGCTGCGGAGGGCCAGAAGAAAGCTCATTAGAAGTTGTACCAGGAAGGAGGACCGGGGGCATTGAAAGCACCTAACAGGTGGCCCTGCAGGCCTTACGCTGTGCTATCATGTACGTGTGCTAAAAACTCTAGCATTTGGGCGAGGAGCCAGCTGGCTGTGCAGGCACAAAATTGGGCCATCGCAGCATTTGAGCACCTCAGGGAGACCCCGTCGCAAATCCGTGAGGGCTGCTTCGTCGCCATGCGCAACATCAGTGTTGTCTGTCATCCGATCCTGCTGGCCCTCTCCCTCTCCCTCTCTTTCTAGGTCCAACCAGGTACAAACACTGCGGCTGCATCTTGACCTCGTGGCAAGAGGATCGTTTGATACAAGTTCGTCCCAACTGATTGACATGAGACGAAAGAAGAAACCAGGAGGATAAAAAAAAAAAAAACATAACAATTTGTCGAAACCACCAAGCCTTTTTCTTTTCCCCTAGCGTTTCTTCACCCTCTTTCCGTACCACCATCAGATATCAGACCACTGTCCAATTTGCTACTCCATCATCCCTTTTCCCTCAATCCCTAGTTCTTGACTCGCTTGCTCCCTTTCGTGGAAGGGCTTACATGATTGCCATAAATTCAACAACCGACAACTCCCTATATTCCTCGGCTGAAGGAGAAGTAAAAGCCGGCTGTAATCACCCGTAAACAGGTCGCCCAGCTTGAAAGGTCGGGTCGGCCGAATGACGATCACCACGGCCATTGCATGCGAAAGCCAGCTAGATCCCTTCTAACCCTGCTGGATGTAACGCTGTGACACAGGCTGCCCGCGCATGGCCCTGTCCATTCGACGGCTTTGTTTTCCGTGTTGGTGCTGTCGAACCCCCCTCCACAGCCAGTAGCCGAATCAGAGCCTCTTGGTTTAATTAGAGAACCCTGAGTAGGTAAATTCATCCTGGTTATTGCTAACCAGCAATTGGCTTCAGTCAATCTCGATACTCCTCAGTAATCAATCAACCACCCAGCCACCATCACCAATCCGGTCTTTCAGCAGATTTGTTTGCCTGTCTTTTGTTATTACCTAGTCGCCGTCATTACCCCAATAGTTGTTGTCGTCGCCGTCGTCGTCACCTTGCATCTTCATTCGGTGAAGGTGGAATTGTTTCCCCCTCCTCGGAAGCCAGGCCCTGTTTAGTCAACCTACCATGCCATGGTTCCTTTTTCCATGGGTCTTTTTTAATCTTCGTTTGGGGCTGGCCTCCCTCCATGCTCTGTTGCACCTGTCGTGCGCTAGGCGCCAAGTGCTCATACGAGGCTCGGCTCTAAGCGACGTAGCCGTTTACCATCAATCATCGACGCAGAAACGGATGTTATTGTGAGCCCTAGTCGCCCCTATTTCTTCACCGTCAGGAGAGACTCATCCAGGTAGCCGACGAGCGCCACAGGCCAAGGGTTCGAGAACAGATTGGCGATTCCTGTCTTAATGCACGACCATGTCCCTGTTCATCCCGTGCAGTGGACACTGGTCGACCGGTGCTCTCATATTGTGATCACTTGCGATGTCGGCATAGGTATTTGATCGATATAGGCAGGCCGTATGTGATCTAGAGTATCCCTCCCCTGCATCCAGATGCACAAACATGAAGCGCTACAGAGTGTCTCCAACACATGGACTTCAGGCCGGCTGCTATTCCATTCTATTCTCATTTGTCGAGTTTTCTGAGCCTGCCCCTTTCACGATGTGCTAATCCCAGGCGACGCAACTAGCCAATCTCTTAAACCTCATTAGTACACTGGATTGCGCCGACTTCATTCAATATTGATGGGCAGAAGAATCCCCCCAGGTGTCCACAAAAATAAAAGGGTGGAGAAAGCACCATGTAGAGATTTCGCCTTATCGCCCACACCTGTCACTAATTTCGGCAACTGGTGCCCAGAACGTTACTCATGAGCGCTAAAGCGGTGGCCACACATACACACACACTCGCTCTCGAATTAGTATATCTCTCGCACTACGGATACTCGTAAACACACCTTGAAAATAACAATAGAAGCCACCAAAGTCCCCTTGCCTATAACAGTCGTGGGCGGGCCGAGCGATCAACATCGGGAAATCAACTCATCAATGAAATCAAGCCTGTGGCTTCGGTAGTGCTGTCCGTCACCTGAGGGCACTCATTCTTTGGATGTTTCATTTACCAAGGCGACCAGCCTTTGAATGGTTTTTCGTTTCGTCTCTTCTCCTTCCCGCCAGAGCAACAAATTTCTGGTCGCCAAGGCCAGAAGAACAATAAAACATGGGTATCCAATCAAGCTTTAATCACGGCAACAGCACTTATCCATGGACCAAGACAATTGAACAGGAAAGAAAAAAAAAAGAAAAAAAAAAAAAAAAGAAAGGAATACGCGCTCTGGTTTCTGCCATCCAATACGTACCTACTAGCGAACAATCCGCGCACCAGACCCCTTCGTACGTCGGGCTTCTGGCCGTTGAAGATGGGTGCACTACCTTGTCACACTCTCAAAACTGCTACTACGTATTGCATAGTACGTAGTGTGTAAGCCCGCGTACCACGCCAGTTCTCCAATCTCATTTTGACCATGACGTCCCCCCAATCCACCCCCAATTTCGGAGGATACGATCGATCTACGCTAAGGGGAAAAAAGCAAAAGGCTGTGCAGCCACTAAAATGCAGCATCTTTCCACCTGAAACGTTGAAACATCTCCAGCCTTCTGGGTCCTGGCCTGTAGGATTTGTAGTTCATGACAGGACAGGCGTTCCAAAGAACCGTGGCACAGAGTCATGTCGTTGAGCCCTGTTGGGCGGGGATCCCCCTCATCGGCTGAAGAGTGCCGCCCGTTGCACTTGCGTAACAATCCGGAATCGACGACAATGCCCTCGTACTATGTCTACCCGTATCTTCAATTCCCCCCACTTCACGTCAAAATATTCATTTACCTTGTTGGCTGGCGAACTTGCGTGTGTACAACCAAGTGACTGGTCGATCGGCCGTGTGTTGGAATTGTCGTAAGCTTAGGTGATTCACTTACAACTTTTCCCACACCTCGTCGAACCTCTCATGCTGCCTGCCCTTGAGACGACGCCATTCCATAATCGGCTCTGATCCATACCAAGCCACCCAGCCGTGCATCACGCGTCAGCTTCCCTCAAAACAACACAGCTCGATCGTGAAGCCTCAAACCGCTCTAGCTCAAATGCGGTAGCTCGCGGCCCGTCTTCGCGTTCCTCGGTTCGGCCTCTCAAGTCTGGACTGCTTGACCAAGTTTCTGCCCTACTATCCAGCCCCTGGCCATGCCTGGCCTTCTAGAGCTTCGCGGGACGGGACCACCGTTGTCTTGTCTTGAGACATTGTGCAGAAACAGGACGTGATATTCAGGAACCAAGAATGACTATTGCGCCACCTGGTCAGGAGGGGGGGGGGGGGGGGGGGGGAACCTCCCCTTTTACAGTGATTGATCCCCCATCGTCAAGATCCAACCGCATCTGGCTAATCTGCGTATGTCCGTTGTCTGCCTTCCATCACGCAACCATCTGCGCTCTTTATGGGTGACTTTCCCATCTGATTTGGGTGATCGTCCGCCGCTAGACGATCTTCAAACGTCGTCGCCTTGTGCACAGCCGTAGGTTTCGGCAACGGTAGTTTACAATCCGTCATAGTGATGCCGAAAGGTGGGATTCTATTGTCCAGACCCCGGAGTTTTGTAGTGGCATTCCAGTGGCTGCTAGACATATTCATAGATTGTAATCACTCTAGTGTCTCCTCTTGTACTTATTCCCCCCCCCCCCCCCCCCCCCCCAACGGCTGCGTCATTGATGGCCGAATGTGGTGGCATGCTATTAGTGAGATTCGAACGTCCACTGGATTCGCCGGTACACGGAATCCCGACATTTTATAACCTATCGACAACTATGTCTCATGGAGAAAATCTATTCATTTCAACTTGGTGACTAACACGTGAGTTGAAGGGCTGATGAGGAGTAATGTACCACGCCTTTCCTCGCCGAACCCATGCCACGGCCCCGCGGGTTTCAAGTCCTCGAAAGCCAGGGGATTAAGTCTCTTGACTGTACGTTTTCGGGCCTTGCCGATTTCTCCGATACTAGACATCTGTCTGAATGGAGTCCGCGGCGGGCTAGAGGGATAGTTCCTATAACGCTTGGATTTGAGCGTTGATGTGGGTTTTGCGAAGCGTCGTTTGCTGTTGTTGTTGTTGCGCGCGGTGCCCGACTTCACGTGTTAGAATCAGTAACGACCAGAACCGCCCAGCGAGGTCTAACTGCTCAAACAATGTTAGCCCACGGACCGAAACATACAGTGGCTACTTTATGCGCTTGCAGTGACGTCCGAGGGCAGTGAAGGTATTGTCGATGACAAGATTCGGCTCCCCGTGTCATTGCTGATAGGTCTTTGCCTGTTGTGTTTACGGGAGAGGATCGCGTCGGTGGTCTATTCCGCAACTCCAACTTCAAACGTATGGAGACCAATTCCTGTTCGATAGCTCATAATCTAATAACATTGTCTCCGAGGTTTCTACTTAAATGCGACACGAGTATCTTTGAGGTACGGACTAGAAATGTCCTAGATCATGTTTGGTTAACGAACCACAAGATCTCAAGCTATCCAACCTAGAAACTACCAAGCGGCTATGACAAATATAGGAAGAAACAATGATGGGAAGTTCGCAACCTAAACTAGAAGCGTTTGCGAACCTGTTAAAACCTCCATCGTGCAACAACAGGATACACTTTCCAGGTTCGAATGGTCATGTGCCTCGCTGACAGGGAACAACTTGTTACCAGAGTCAATCTATATCGAAAACAGGCTCGTGTCGCCTGCTTTTCTCTTGTTTATATTCCAGTCGGCTTTGCTATACTCATTAGCAACATCACCCTTCCTGTCGTCCTTCCCGTTGCCACTAATCCTAGTCTTCTTTTGTTCGGGCTTTCTCATCTATCAAAAACACAAAAGCACCGCAGCCTGGGCAGTATTGGCCGAGAGGTTGAATCACAATGACAAAATAGGGATTGTAAGTCCACGGGTGCGTTTTCACGGCACTTTTCACTCTTCATAATCATGGCCCTTTCCATTAAAGGCATGACGAGACTAACAAATTAGTCGATATTCGTCGACAATCTTAATGATGACTCTATCATTACAACTCGCAAATGACTAGCGCGGTAACAGCATCAATTGCATACTCTTTGGTTTCCATCTGGCCACGTGCCGTTCGAACTGGGCCCCCAAACCATTGTCGACGATATCACCGAGATTTCCGGGAGAAACCGCGATCGTATGCTTTCGTTGGCGACTTCGGTTCCTATCCTGATCACCACAGCTTCCGAATCTACTATCAACGTGTCATAACTATCGCCAGGCTTTGTACATTGCGGGCGGGCATGGAGAGCTTTAGGACTCTGCTAGCATCACCGTCCACGAGGTATAGAACCGGCTACGGCTGCAGTTGGAGCGTCTCCGTAACCATACATAAACATTCTCAAATATTGAAGAGCCAGTATATCATCTAGTAATGAGCTAAACTCGAATATCTTTGGAGACACAGACAGCTGTAAACAGTGGCATGTATCGAGGCTGCAGAAAGCTCAAGGAAACATGCAGCTCGCGTCGCTTTACCAGAGCAAACCGTCATTGAGCATTGAAAAATGGCAACTTCAAAACCTTATAGGGCACAGGCTCGAGCGCCAACGTTATCGACGACCATTTACTCTCTAGTTACTACCGATAGAACCAGTCAGTGGCGTCAATGAAGCCCTCATAAACTTCGGCCTTGGTCGTCACAGATCACATGATGTAGCCATGACACGAGTTTATCGGACAGAATACTGATCTTCAGATTAGTCTGATCACCCGGGCTTTGCAAACAGTTGTCGCTACCTCTCTTCCCGATTGGCCACCGGATATGCTCTGGGCGGAAAACATTACTCGCCTATCCATTCTGGGCAAGGAAGCTACGCAGACTATTCACTATTCTCTAGCTAGCCGACCGCAGGGCGACATCAAGTAGAATCCGTGAGCGTTCACAGTTAAGACACAATCCGTGGCAGGTGCCCGCTCAGTAGTACAATTTCGTATCCGCCCAGCTTTGGAGTTGTCCAAATCTCTCCGCGCCTGTCCGAATGAAGCATACTCTCTGGCAAGAATTTTCATTTTAAGATGCATACACGTTCTCACGCCAAAGAGGTTGTAGCTTCATTATTGGCGCAGGAACTCAATGACTGGCCATGTGCTCTGGAGCCTTTAAAGAGTCAACGTACAAGTAAACCACTTTACCGGGGCCGTATGCCGATCTCCTACAAGTAGCTCCGATGTGTGAAACCAGTCATGCTACTATCGAGGCCACAGTCAGCCTCACCGTGTCAGATATTGAATCGGGACTAGCGAAATGTCCAGAAAGGTCTCTCATTTGATGCTCCCCGGCAGCACATCGCCTGCCGTCATTGGATAAAATTGTGCCCGGAGCAAAAGATGGTAGGCGGCTCCCGATCATTGGTATGCGGGTTGTCGCCAGAGTCACCGCTGGATTAGCAACAAGACCATCCGGAGCGTTCACACCGTACGACAGACGAGTAAGTTGTAGTGTCCTGAAGCAACAATACTAACGTAGACTGTGAACCCATGTCGTCGATAAGGAACAGAACAGGATGGTATGCGATGGAAGCTGCAATGACGTTGGGCCCCTCATGATCGGAGTTGGCCACTGCAAGATCTTCGGCGATAGCAACGCGACGGTTGGCCCGTGACAGCGCGCATCATTCTTCGGATCCTCAGTCCACCGCTGGGAGCACGCCTGCACGCTCATCGACAGGATGATTAATGACGATTAGCGGCCAGGAGTTGGAGGGCTCAGATGAGCCCACACTCTTTCCTCGGTACGAGTAGTAAGCACAGAAAGGGATCAGCGGCGCAAATGGGCGTGGCCAATGGGAGACTCGAGGCAAGGGGGATGTGAGGCCGAGCTGTGGTTAGGCCGTGGCTCAGCTGACGCAGCGCCGTTGGGGGCGAGTATTAGTATCGCAGGATGTGCATTTCTCATGAACGACTTTTCCAATTCCTTTTTGCCTCTCGTTTCGATAACCATGAGAAGGATAGGAGGGTAAAGCATGATGAACGGTGAGGTCGATATAGCGACTGGTGGCCCAGCACGATGCCATCCCATGGTATCTCGATGTAGTGGTTGCCGAACAAGTCTTTCTGATGAGCTTAGGCTCTAGACTAACTAAAGATATTGGCTATGTCATCTACAACTACAAAGGATGTGAGCAACATGACCTCAGCGACCGAGCGATTGTAAGATGGAGCTACTATAGAAGGTAGGGGGGCCGGAGGCGGCTTTTGGCTGAGCTGTCGCGTTCGTGCCAAAGCCTGCCTGTCTCTGTCCGTATCTGTCGGGATGGATGGAGAAGGCAAGGTAGGCAAGGGGAATGTTCAGCCACATTGGCGTAGCATCACCTTTGTGAACTGCCGCAATGGAACACAAGTAGTTCACAGTTCAGGCGACCCGCCAGCCCCAGGGGTTACAAAAAGGCACTAGCTTGGGGGGGCTAGAGAGATTGACGGCCGAATGGGGACGGACCTGGCTCCGAGATGATTCGTTGCGGGTTGAGAAGCTGACAAAAAAGTTGAGGTACGCGGTACCTGGGCGTGCCATCGATTGGCTGGCCACCTTGTCTTGTTCGTCTTACCCTTGCGCTGCGTCCATCCCCCTGGGCAGCAGGACGGGGTCATCGGCTTTGGGTGAACAGCATGCAAGGCCACAAGCACGAGGCAAAGCCGCGGGAATCTCAACGTCTGGCGTGGATCGACAGGCCCGACAGTTTGTAAGGTGAGAATTAGCTCGAGAGAAGGACGGACCAAATGCCGACGTCCGGCTGGCTTCCTGGCTTGCGCGTTTACCGCAGGACAAGCCAGACCGAAGATTGGCTGACCAAGACGGGCAAAGGTCGTGTCCTGAAGGCTTCGAGATGAAGTGTTATGCCGTCATTACGACGAGATCGCCTGAACTGTCTACACCAGACGTCGAAGAAGAGCTCGGGAACATGGTGGTAGTTTGACGGGATAAACCTTTCCTAGCAAAACGATGACCAGGTAATTGAGTTGCGGGTGAACGAAGCTTGGGCTCATAGTTGGCAGTAGAAGTCAACTTCAGGGCGCAACAATCGGCGATGATTTCATGGGCAGAAAAAGTATAGTGTCTCTTGGGCATATACATTGTACCCAGCACTTGGCATGTCATTGAAGGCCTCTGGTCGTAGGCAGTCGTTGTAAAATAGTCTTTCTGTGGAGTAACGCAGGCCGAAACAGGCCAGGGACAAGGGCAACGAGGCACAGCAAGGCGAGGCTCCGGCTGAGATCTGATATTGGTACGATACACCTCAATGAGGTGCTAGGCGAGCAGGGTCTTTGCCATCGTTGAGTATGTTCTGGGCAAATCCCTCCAGAAAGAACCAGTCTCGGCATCATGGAAAGGACTGCTCCTCAGTGGAATTTCCCTTGACACTGGCAAGAACGAATAAGCCTGGAAGCCTCGTGGTAGCAGGTGCAAATAACATTTGCAAAGGGAGGCGCACGTGGAAGGTGTCAGGCAGAGAAAGGGAATTTGCTTATCGTCAAGTCACATTTGTAAGAGCTCTGAACTGCAGTTACGCCCATCAAACACCTGAGCAGCCCGCTTCACCCGCTCTTGGCTTCCTCGGCTGGTCCTCAGCTTCGGTACGCAGAGCTGCATCTTTGCTGCGGGGGTGGTAGAAGGCAAGGGAGGGGCAATTTGCACCTGAGGTGAGCAGAAGGACGCGTACCAGGTACATCGCATCGAGCAAGCAAAGCCACGTCGGTTTACGAAGTGAGGATGGAACCTTGGCTCAAGTACCTGGTCCTGAAAGATGTGGGCCAGTCGGAAATAGTGGGTATCAGGTGGAGACGGAAACATGCTGCTGCTCTGCCCTTTACCCAGCAAAAAAAGAGGCTGGGGCTCTTGCTCAGCACAGCCACCGCGGGGGCTGAACGGGCCCCTCTCTCCTACCCCTTCAGGCTCCATTCCCTCAGGTTCCCTTCCCTCCCATTTCCCAGTCCTCCAGTCTTCCCTGATTGCCCCATTGTTTGTTCTTTACAGCTCTTTTTTTTTTTTTTTTTTTTTTTTTTTTGGCCTGCTTCAACTCTTTTTACGTCTTGACATCACCAGAGGAAGACCAGTACATTGATTTGAACGCGCCGCACAACCAAGCCTTGGAGAGGGTAATTTCCCCTACTGCTCTGCCACATTGTCAGGTGGTTTACCCGTTGGGAAACCCATTCGTCCACCCATCCAAAGGTTCTGTGTGTGGCGTCTCAGAGCTGGAACCGTCCGGATAACCTAAACATGCATCTACTAGGCGTGGCGCAACCTCCAGAATGCTGAGGCGGACGAGTGTGTAAGCCGTATCCGCTCTCCTCGTTCCCGCGTCTTCCAAAGGCAGGTTTGCAGCGTTTACACGGTGGTTCCCCCCCTTTGGGGCTTACACAAAGCCACTCTCGTAGTGGATGGGTAAAGTACCGGGTACTTGCTGTCAGCTACCAGTGTTTCCGTACCTTGCCTAGTCGACGCTGTCAGGTACCGTAAGGCAAGGAAGGTACCTGGAAAGTGCACCATTCATCCATGTGGAAGGGAAGTACCTGGCTGTGAGCTGGAGAGAGAAGGGGGGCTTCACGGGCGGCGACGAGGAGCAAGGCCGTTCACAGGTCACTGTTCCTGTTTCCTCCCCCATTAGTAACATGTAGTGCCTACCAGCAAGCAAACACCAGCTAAACTTACTGGCTGGGTGCTGGTCTTCCCGTCCGCGCAGACCTGGTTTCCGCCCCATCAGGCCGGGACACTGTGCTGAGGTTCAAGGTACTTACTGGCTTTCCGTCCGCGCCGTGCCCTGCGTAGCGCGCCGACGTACCTCGCCCAGTGAGCTGAAGGGCGTCCGTACCTCCCGCGCGCCGGCCGCCTATGCCTGTGGCAGAAACCAAACCCGTACCGCAAGCCCACACACTCATTGCGCGCGCCCATTCGGAAGTCGATCTCTCACTCTTCTCACTCACACACACACACACACTCTCTCTCTCTCTTCTTACTGCACCCGCCCACCCATTCCCTTTTCCTCCAGCTCCTGCCACACCTCGAATTCAGTCTCTTTCTCTTTTTTTTTTTCTCCCTCTTCCTCAACATCACATCCGCCTCAACTAGCCTTTTGTCATCACCGCAACCCCACGGGAATTCGCGCGCATTCGGCATTTTCTCCAACTCACTTTCTGTCTCGAATCCCCTGCACCAGCCTCTTCCCATCAATCGCACTGTCGGTTCCGCCACATTCCACCCGTGACTCGTCCGCTCGTCCCCGTCACTTTCGGGGTCCTGAGCCCATCCAGAAACCAGAGAACCGCCACGTGTGGCTGAACGACCCGAAGCTCCCATGAATCGTCGTTGACAATCAACGACAACGCCGTCGCATTAGACCCTCCATCCCCCAGTTAAATTTCTCAATTAGCCCGTTTGATGATTGAGTCTGCCCATGGCCTCGGATAACGGTCCTATCGCGACCGAAGCCCCCCTCCTGGCAGCGACAACGCCCGTCGCATCAGACGCTTTCGCGCTCGGGGGAGATCCCGCTCGCACGAAGTCGCTCAAGAGAGCTCGCGAGACCACTCCCACCTCGCCCACGTCTGCTGTTGACCCTGCCGTCGATCCCGCCGCTGCTGCTTCATCCGTCCCCTCCTTCGACTTTCCCTCCCCTACGAAGTCCGCCCGCTTTGCTTTGGCCTCAACACGCCGCTCGCCCACGCCCTTGACAGCCGCCGCCGCCCTCGAGGCCCTCGAAGAAGAGCGAAAGAGGGAACAGCGCCTGAATCCACCCGGTTCCAGCGATAACCCCGGCCACTCGGTCCTGTCCGTCCTCGCCGGTAGTGTCGCTGCCATGAGCCGCCCCGACGAGGCCCCTCAAGCTCCTACAGCTTCCATGGAAGCCTCTACCAAGGATCCTCAATCCGTCTCGATACCGCAGGTCGACAATGCACCTACAGAAACCGTAGACGTCAGCCCGCAAAGCGCGACGAGCGTCGCGAGCATAGCTGGTGCTCTGGTAACGGCTAGCCCGGGCCCAATGGACGTTGACAACAAGAGTAACGAGCAGCAGCCTCAACAGCCTCAGCAGGAGCCCCAATCCCAACCCCAGGCCCAGGCTCAGGCTCAGGCTCAGGCTCATACCCCCCAACCGCCGCACCCGGCCCCTGCTCAAGAAGATAAGACTACGCCCGGATCACTATCATACCCCGGGTCACTCCAAGCCGCTGCCATGATGCCCGCACCACCGGCACGCGGCATGAGCTTTCCCATGCCATCGCCCGGCCACGACTCGCCGACCCAGTCGTCCGGCAAGAAACACAAGTGCCCGTTCTGCGAGACGGAGTTTACGCGCCATCACAACTTGAAGAGCCATTTGCTCACACACAGCCAGGAGAAGCCGTACATATGCCAGGAGTGCACGATGCGCTTCCGACGACTGCATGACTTGAAGCGTCACAGCAAACTTCACACCGGTGAAAAGCCCCATGTGTGCCCCAAGTGCGATCGCAAGTTTGCCCGCGGTGATGCGCTGGCTCGACACAGCAAAGGCGCCGGCGGATGCGCCGGTCGCCGGTCAAGTATGGGTAGCTTTGCCGAGACGGATGATTTGGATGGGCCAAGTATGGCCGAGGGCGATGATTCAATGGCTGGCGTGATTTATGGCACCGAGGACGACATGACGGAGGAGGAAAGGCGTCTGAGCCTGCCTAGCATCAAAGCTCAGCACGTCGCAGGGCAAGGCAGTATGGATGGATACAACCCCCATGCTCGGACTTACCCGCCGGCAGGCCCCCGGCCCGGCACCACGGGCGGCCTGTACCCGCCGAACGTCGACCGTGGCGCGTCGAGCACAAACACATCCCCCAGCATGCCCAACAGCATCGCTGGAGGCCACACGCCGAACACGAGCGTGTCATCCATGCCCGTAAGTGGTGGCTCCATCTACTCGCAGAGTGGCATGACGGAAAGCCCAAAGCCTTTGAGCCCTGGAGCTGCGCATGACACAAACAACATTGCGAGACAACGATCTCCAAGTCTCACACAACAATTCCAGCAGCAACACTTCGGCCGCAGGCCATCTGAGAGGAACACCTCACCAGGTTCGTTCTGCCCAACCATGTTTCCGCTGACCACTTTGGAAATGTGTGCTGACTCATATCCCACAGCATTCGCCGCTCCGGCTGGTGCACCGGCGGGGGCCACTCATGCTCGCAGCGCAAGCGGCCATGCCGGAAGTGGGGCCGAAAACGGAAATAACATGTTTGCCTCAGATCCCGGTCTATGGGCGTATGTCCAGAACCTGGAGGACAAGGTTAAACAACTGTCTGATAAGATCACGGCATTCGAAAAGGCAGACACTGCGAAGCAGGCGCAGATCGGACTGCTCACAAGTGAGGTCACGGGGCTCAAGAAGCAGTTGGAAGCCCGCGAGGCCGAAATGACGGAAGTCAAAGCATAATGCAAAACTCAAGCGACGGCATCTTGGAGCCATCCAGTAGCACAAGCACAACCTTATCACCTATGTAAAAACGATGATATGTTATGGTGGGCAAAGGGCAAGAGGAACCTCATGTGGCGACAGGAGGATAAACCGGCGTTTTCGCTCATTGTCGGCGTCTCGATTTCTCATCTCTCTTTTATCCCTCCGCTATTCTTGCCTCTCGAACCCATTTATCTTGCGGGACGCCCCGTCTGGGGAAGGCGTTTTATTTTATTTTTTGGGAGGGCACGGGCAGACGTGCAACGGTGGACCTCGACACGAAAAGTTTCTGGTTTGAAAGGGGGGTTTTCCTCGGTCGCGTACAGAGCCTAGACGTACTATAGATTATGTCTTACGCTCACCGCGGTGTTTCAGTTCAGTCCTGGTCGTTTTCAGGAGGCACTTGACATGGATTTTTATCTCATCTATTTTTTTCCACCCTCTCGTGTATTATAGCGTTCGTTGCGGAAACTTGGCCTCATGGCAGCCAGTCCTCCAAAAAGGAGCAATTTAGTCCAATTCACATGCCGTTTCGACTGAATGTGAAGAGAATACAACAAATTTACTGCTAACCGGGGAGAAAAGTAGCATGTGAAATGGATATTCGGGGTTTACATCCCACCTCCCAGGGGGTGATCCCACCCAGACTTGAACGTGGGGCCGGTCCGCCACTTCCCGATGCTTGTTGACGATTGTCATGGCTGTAAATTTGGTCTCTCTTTCTCTCTCTCTGTGGCTTAAAAACTGGGAACTTACACCTTACCGGCGCCGAGATCCACCGAGACCTGGAGGAAGGTTATCTCTGTTGGGCTTTTGCTGTCAATTTATTTGGACTTCTCGCGACGTGCCCGCTTGGAAACCCCCGTCAATTCTACGCAGGAGATCTAGCGATTTGCGAGCGGAGGCACTGGGTTCCTTTCCTGCTCTACAAAATGTCCTGGTATCGGCTCTAGCATGTGGCGATGTGCACACGGTCTAACGTGCTCTTGAGGTGCGGCCAGACCTGGCCGTTTGTATCATATGAGAGTTGTGAATTCGGATTGCAAATGATGGAGTCATCGTGCTCTAGGCTTCCCTCAAGAAGGATTCCGCCGAGGAGCTGCCGTAAAAGTTGTCTTATGGCGCGTCGGAGGAGCCTTCGACATCGCCTTCGGAGAGGATGGTGGCCATGATGGTTACTCTCCTTGCATAGGTTGAGCTGTCGGCCCTTGTCAGCAAGTAGGACGGGGGCGCTCAGGTTTGCTACTGGCCCTGTCAACAGATCGGGGACTCTTACAACGGGCTGCTGGATTGCGCGAAGGGTACGTAGCCAGTATTGACACTGAATGAGCTACACTTCATTCAACCTTGCTCTATACAACACCTGGTTGCTCCGACAGAAACGGCGCTGGGAAAGCAGTGAATCAGTTGCACCTAGGCTCTATAAACGGTCAAGGGAGCCCATGGTAGCCGTCTTATTTATACGTTACATCATTCTATTTCTATATATATGTTTTTTAATGATATCATTGGTAGCCCCTGAGCAGGCCGACCTAGACCCATGGCCTGCAACACAAACATGTTGGCTCGATTCCCACCTCCAGAACCATTGCTCCTCCGTTGTAACGAAACCAAAGAAAAATTCTCGATAAATGAAACTCTCCACTTAGATATTAGTGTCTTCTTCCATGATAGAACTGTATGTCCTATGTATAGGAAAAGTGAAATAAAAACCTCCAACATCGTGCCCTCAAGGATGGCTGGGCGCAAACGACCACGGTCTCGCCATCGCTGCAGACAAACTGTTGGTAGTCATGTGAGACCAGCCGCTTCCAAGAGAGCTCCAGGCAACAAAAACCGCAAGTAGAGCAAGCACGGTCATGTGGGAGGTGCTGAAGCTTTGTGTTTGAATGGAGGTGATGGACGTGGCGCGTCCCTACAACTGTTAGCTCAAGTCCAAGGATTGCCAGCAATGGATTTACACTTACAGTATACTCCCAGTCTGACCATACGGGGAAAAGAGAGCGATACCAAAATTCACCTTGCGAATAAGGGTAGCTCATGGCGTTCCATCTGTTGGATCCATCATCCAAGTGCCTTGTGTACCAGCTCCCGCACCCAGTATTCCAGACCGTCTTCTGCAATGCCGTCTGCATCTCGTTGACAAATCGCTCTTCGGCGTCGCCCTTCACGGTCGCTATACTTGCATGTCCCTCGAGGACAGGCTTCAGCACACGAAGGGCGTAGTTGGTAGCGTTCTCTAATGCCATTACGGTGGACGTATGTCCAGTACCGCTGTTCGGTCCTATCATCCCGCCACTGGAGTTAATTTTGTCACGTCCATGATTGCCAGTGGAATGTCACGCTTACCAAGAAGGAGGAAGAAGTTGGGAAACCCGTTCGTGGCGCAGGTATTGTAGGCTCCCTCCCCGCCCAAAGACTTCCACCGTGTATCTAGAGTTTCGCCAGCTCGACCAACTACGTCGACGCCTGCAACGAATTGGTTGGTGATGTAGCCATTTGCCAATATGATGACATCAGCCTCTATCAGGCCTTTTTCTGTTCTGACTCCCTCCGGGACGATCTCCAACGCCTTTTCATTTGTAAGAGTAAAGTTCTCGGCGTGAAGGCTTTTCAGATAGCCGCAATCGAAGATCCGCCTCTTGCAGTTGACTTCGAAATCCGGAATCAGCATGTCATGGTATTTCTCCGGAGCCGCAGCCTTCATATATTCTTCAGACACTTTCCTTTGGCTGGCTCGGAACTTGGCTCCAGCACTCGTTAATGGAAACCCGCGATACCCATTTTCTGCTATACAGAAGATGATGAGGCGTTGAAGCAGCCTCAGTGCCGGAAGCCATGTCAAAAGGAAGCGTAGAAACTCAGGAACATCCGAGTCGATTGATGGAAAGACCCAGTGCTTCGTCCTCACGATCTGGGTCAAGGACTTTGTCTTGTGGACGATAGCCGGGACGACCTGAGAAGCCGTGCATCCGTTCCCGAACAGAACCACTCGCTTCCCCTCCAGGTCGATGTCCGGACGCCAGCGGCCAGTGTGGGAGATTATGCCCTTGAAAGTTTCCGCACCCGGCACGTCAATGTCTCTTGGAGTAACCAGCGCGCCAGTCGCGGCGAACAAGAACTGTGACTCGTGATGGTAGGTGGTCCCTGATTTTAGGTTGCGGACGGTCAGGCGCCATCGTGTTCGCTCTTCGATCCACTCGCAGCGCTGTACGAGGGTCTCAAACTTCATTCGCCTCAAAAGATCATACTTGCGTGCTACTCCGTCGAGATATTCCCAGAGCTCGGTGCGGGTCGGCATGATTTTGGTCCAGCCAGGGTTGGGTTCAAAAGAGTAGCTGTACAACGCACTGGGAACATCGCATGCGCAGCCTAGGGACACGGACGCCGGAGTGAATATCAAACGTATCCAGATCCATAGACATGGCTGACTTGGATATCGTTTACTTACCTGGGTATTGGTTGATGAACCACGTACCGCCCAGCTGGCTGTGCCGCTCGAAGAATTGTATGTCATCGATCCCGTACCACCGCTTAAGCGTCGCCCCCAGGCCAATACCTGCGAAACCAGTTCCTATGCACGCGAAGAGACTGTAGCTGGTTTTTTCCGTGTTAGAATCCATCTTGAGTCACGGTGGGTGGAAGATGCGATGAGGCACACGATACCGCTGGGTTGACGTAGCACATTCAGAAAGGATGCGATTGGAACGGGGGGAGAAGAACGCACTTTTCTATGAATTTCAAGGTTTAGCCCTCTTCCCACTCTCGATGCTTGATAACTTTCCTCTTCTTCAGAAAGCCAATATTTTGCGAAAGTGAGACAAGGCAGCAAGCAAATACGGGTGGTTCCCGGCCGATATCTTACACCTAACTGCGGAAACGTCCACATGGGCTTGTGCAACCGAAGCCATCCCGGTGCTTCGGCCAAGGCTCGGACCGTTTCACGCCTCTATTGAAATGTAATTCATGCGCGGAAAGACATGTGCCCAAGATGCCGAGACAGAAATCTTGTTTGATGCCAAATTTCAAGGCGGTGTTTGTGCGGAACGGCGCCTGCGTCGACGTCAGCCGCCCAACTTGATCCATGACCGGCACATTCAAAGACATCCATTTCTGTTGCGATAACAGAAGGGAGACAACAAAGACATGAGACTGAGGAAACGCCTTAAAAACTTATTATCATTGACTTCGGCCTTGGAGATGCCACTGCTGAGAAGATGTGGCTGAGACTTATCTGAAAATATTGGGTTGCTATCAAAAGAGCCACATTTTGCCGACAACGGCTTCCCCCCCTTAATTTCCAACTTCCCAGTATTAGTGTTGATTTTCTGCCGCCAAGTTAAGTCTACATCGAAAGCTTGTGTATCTTATCTTGCCGTCGATAGATCTTATTCTGAACACCCTCTCCACTCCCAATCTAAGTCGACAACAGAATAATTTTGTCTACATCAGCTGAGACATATCACATGGTTCCCGGCAAGCATATCTGATTCACAAAATCGATGATAAGGGCGTCCACAAAGATTTACGGCTTCTACATCAACATCCAGTAAAGCAAACGGGACAGGTGATTGCTTTGTCTTGCTTTTACAAAGAAGCGTCTTGGTAAAGTTAAGCAACCCCCCCCCCCCCTCCAACGTTAGCTATATCTTTGGTGCTCCATGTATGTCCTTCATCCCAAGTCGAGGAGCTCATGAGCGCCACAAACTACCAACTGATACATTTCTTGCCATGTATATGCGGAGGGAAGGGGAAATCGATCTCGTGTAGGGCAGCAAGTCCAACTCTTGTGGCCGCATAGTCGGCGATCTTTGGCGGGCGGCAGGACGGCACTCACTAAACTGGTATTGGTGGCATGATCCTGATTGGAATTCGCCGTATGTAGAGGGAACTCTTTTCGTGAGAATGAGCAGTGGCACTAGATCTGTCTTCATCGTTAAGTTGACATCAGTGTAAGCCCCGCAATGGCTGTGAAACACCGACTGAGACCTGTGTTGTTAGTCGACACCGTTTGGTTTCCCACCTCAACTCTGACGTGGTAGCAAAGACACTTTGATTGATTCCTTTTGATCGAGATGCATTTTATTAGTGGAAATTTGCCACCGGTATTGGTATCCAAGTTTAGAAATTCAATATTCGCAGCCACGATGAATGTTGTCGGGTTCCTGGCCAGGAGATGGTAGATGATCGTCACCAATTCCACTGCTAATCCTAGTTACAGCTTCTATCTCCTTTCCCAGTTCTAGATATCATCAATAGTGCAGTTATTTGATTTCTAAATGTTGAGTTTCTCACGAATCCTTAAAAGGTCAGCTGTCATAAGAACCCACGTTGTTGAATATGTATGAGGAGGCGGGAAGCGCAATAAGAATTTGCTTGTCGTCTATGAAGCGATTGTAGAAGCTAGTACAGCCACAATCGATCCAACGAGTAGACGATGAAAAATAGCATTGTAGAGATACTCTGCAATTACGTTTGCGGTCTAGTCCTTCTCAAATGCCATTGTGTATTTTGAAAGTTGCACTGCCGGGCAGGAGTAATAAGATCTAGGGGCACGGCAGGTTAAAGCTGTTCACTCTGTAAACCAGTTTGTCGTTCATCTGTAGGTGCCATCCAGATACCCAATAAGCTATTTAAAACCAAACTCTTTCGAAGGCTAGAACTCCAATGTGTAAGACCTCACGAACATACATGCTAAGGAAATCAGGATCTGTGCTACAGGGATAGCATTGATCTTTCATGTAGTCTTCGTTAGTTATCGAGGCCAAGTATAAATCATTGTTTGCATCATGGATTGACACGTTAATTCTTAGCCATTCCCAATGTCATTCTTTCACATATTTAGGTCACTACTCGCTACCCATCGCAAAGTCCATCAGCACTTCGGGCTCTCTACGCCTATTTCCGCATCATTTAATGTTCTTCAAACAACAATATACGATTATAACCACCCCGTATCGAACGGCAAACTTGGATTTGACTTAAAAAGAGAAGATCAAAGAGACTTAACTCGGCAGGATCCCTTCTCTTGATAGGTGGCAATACGATATTGAGCCCCTAACGAGTGTGGATACGCGCATCTGATAAGCTGGAAACCGACAAGACGCCCAAGTTTATCTCTATTGACCTTTGAATTTGATGCTTTCAACAGATGTGTGATTGACGTCTGGGAAAACGGGTCCACGCAGCATCTCCATCGCCATAGCAAATATGTATCCCACATACTCCAAAATAAGATAGGGCAGAAAATCTTGCCTCAGAAGCAGTACCAGACAGCTTTCCTGTTTCTACCAAGCTTTCCGGAAAGCTTTGATGAATTACAGTGCTATCATGACGATATCAGTCGCGTACCTGGTTCCTGGATAAAAAAGCGTGTCATGGGCGAAAGCCGGAGGGACGGTGCCATTTTTGATATTTTCTCTACAACAACTGGACCATCTACTTAGGAGACCGGCTAGACTCGGAAGCAACTTGATAACACTGCAGCCAATACTCGTCATGAAGACTCAGTCAAATTCTGTCTGTCTTTAGTTCGTTTACTGTCCTAGTGATGCGTTTACCAAGCGCCATGCGGTGAATTACCGAACAGGCTATCACAAAATGGTGTCTTCACCAGCAACCGAGCCTCAGAGTGTATCAAACCATCGCTGGTGCAATCTCAGGTTCCTGCTACTACCTATAATACTTGGGAGTGGTGCTTTTCAGCGAACGATAGATCGCCCGCCGCTTCTCGACCCACGGCTCTTGCGGTAGCATCAAATATCGTCGCACGGCTGACGATGCCACTTGCCATGGGCATCAAACATCTCATGTTTTTCTAGCTACTTCGCTTCAAAACAACTTCACTGGTGACTCTTCTGCTATTGCTGAGAAGCCAGGTATTGGATCCCTTATTCAGCGTTGTGGTCTCGTCACATTCGGCCGTGGAAGGTAGCTATGGAGTGTTGTTATCGAACCTGTCTACGCCATTTAGAAGGTTAAAAAAAGAGGTGCGTTAAACATACTGTCCTATGAAGTGGGTCATATCCGGAGACATAAGCATGTGTTAAATTTCCGAGTAAAGGAATGGCTCGGGGTCTTTGGATAGCAGTTGACCTCCTTGCAACAAGGTAGGCAAAACATTTGACTACAAGTTAGTGTTTACCAGGGATTTATGCCAGTATCAATCATGACTGATGGACCATTTCACTCTAATCACTATATAACATTGTAGGCTTACAAGAGTTATAGTGTATGCAGATGATCCTGGTGGGAGTCCGGTACGCCTCCGGCCAAGCCTCAATCAGACTTCCGGCCCGTGGTTATCGGGATGATGCCGCCGTCAGACCCACAATATGCCCGGGTGGTTTCCGGCAAGCAGAAACAGCAGCAAAACTGTCAGAGCGAAGCCTTGAACATGTACATGACGCGCGGCACATTATCCTCGACCAAGTGGCGGTTGTCTTTTAATACTGGCAAGTTTATGGAAACAGATAATTAGGAGCACCTAGTTTACTTAGTTGAAGAAGTCACATATTCACTGGACGTCACACTGGAGGAATCCGAGATAAAAGTCTACTGCTGGTCCTGCGGCTACAGCGCTTGGTTAACAATGACATGCAAATTTCACGACGCCGGTCCTCTGTCGAAATTTTTAGGTGCACCGTCGCAATAGCTGGATCTGCCGATTTCGCCACGAGGATGGGCAAACACGAGGGCCCAATGACTGACCAGACCAATCATGGCTCACTTGCGAATCGTAGCCGTGGCCTTTGGCTAGTGAGTGTAATCTCCCAAGACGCAGGAGGCAGTAAGCAAGAGTGGTTACACGTGTTGCCGCAGGTGACCTGGATGGGCAAGATGCAGTAGCCTGCAGCACGATAGAGATCCCTGTCGCCGCTATGATGCTGTGAGATGCAATGTGATGCGACACGACAGGTTGGCCGAGGAATCAAAGGCTTTCGAAGGGATCGGATACAGCACTCGCCGGCGACACGTTCCGGTAGGAAGAAGAAAAAAAAAGGCTCCGGGAAGAGGCGGTAAAGATGTGCTGGCGAGGAATGAAGCGGGGAGCGAGCGAGTCGGGCTGATCCCTTCAAAGGTGTCGGGGATGGTGGCACTATGTGACACTCGCTCAGTGGTGTGTGACCAGATCGTAGTCGAGACGGAAAGAAAGTTGAGAGTCGCAGGCGGTAGTCCATCCAGTGTCTGTTTATCTGGAGTCTGTCGTCTGGTCTGCCTGGTTTAATGGTGGGTTAAAGGTGTGCGGATGGCCCGAGCTGTGCATTCATGACGACCCTGTAAACTTAGGTAAGGCATCCGTACGTAAGCGCGGAGCTGGGCCTGATACTGAGGGGCCCTCACGGCCACAGCGGCCTGGAGGCCTGAAGACAAGGATACGTGCAGCTTGGCTGTGCCGGGGATCCTTTTTGGACCAATCCTCGCCATTTCCTCGCTTGTCTTCATCCCAACCGCTAATTTTACTGGCATCTCGCCTCACCTTCCCTCACCTTGTTTTGGTGGACTTGACCAGGCTGGCTAGGTGTCCCCGCTGCCCTCAGCTCCCCTCTTCCAATGTCTCCCCCCTCCACCATCTCCTACCTACCATCTTGGACGTACACATCCCAGGCTGGTCCCGACAAGACAGGAATAGTGAGTGCCCATCGTCCCAGAGTTGGCCCCCCAGCCACCTTCCTCCCCCCCCAGTTCAGCCAATTTTTGGAGGGACCCCCCGGAATATAGCTTCACGGCTTGTCCCGCTTACTGCTTATTCTCGAAAAACAAAACAATAACATCGACAGGCTATTGTCTGCGAATCCCCCTCCCCCCAGCCTTATCATTTTTTTTTTTCAACACCCCCCTCGAAGTTTAACGACAGCGGCGACGAAGACGACCACCGCACCGCGCCATCGAGAGAACTGTCATACAGTCACGCGCAATCAATCCACGACAAATGCGCAAGACGGGTTTGAATCGCCGCTGCGACCATGATGCGAGATCCGCGTCGCCGGAGCCCCGAGAGCTCCCGGCGGCGAAGACGAGAGCGGCGTGATTCTCGCGAACAGCCCGTTGGCACCACCGTTTCCAGCATGCCAGGCCCGTCTTCACAACCACAACAATATCCTACATCACAACCCGAGCCGCAAATGTACTCACAGTCGCAGTACCCCCAACATTATGCGGACCCTCAAAGATACCCCGAACCAGGGAGCTATGCTCCCAGACCTGACCAATACAACGAGTCCCCGAGATACGGAGACCCCCAGAGATACCCTCAGCCTGAGCGATACGTCCAGACAGAGAGCTACGCCCATCCTCTAGACCAAAACACCGAACGCGATCGATATGCCGGACCATCAGCGCAAGGGCATCACGAAACGGAGAGAATGCGCCCCCGAGGCGGCTCGAGTTCATCATCTTCCTCGTCGACTTCGTCTTCTTTTTTGAACATTTCCGCCAAGAGCCCCCGGTTCGGCGGTGTCTTTAGCACCTTTTTCAGAGCACCTTCGGAACAGCGCAAGCGTCGCCGACGGAAGAAGCAGAAGGCTCGCATTCTTTCTTTTGGCAATTCGTCCTCATCTTCGGTCAACTCCGACTTAGCTTATGGACGCGGCTATATTGAACGCGACAAGAGTCAGCGTGGAAGCCCCATGCCGCCTGGCCATCCCGGTCTTGCAACACCAACACATCGGAGCGAACCTGTTGAGGCACGCCAGCCACCAGCACCACCACAACCACCTGCGCCGCGGTCTAAGACCGACGAGGAGATTCTAGAGATTGGGCGCCAATTGCAAGACATAGCCAGACGCCAGAATGATGCCGACTTGCGCGCGGCAGGCAAATCGCGATCAGCTCAGCTGGCCGGCGTCGCCGGTGTCGCTGGAGCCGCCGCCGCCTTCAGCCACTTCCGACGTAACAACAAAGGCGACAGCAAAAGCCGAGGGGCTAATACTTCTAAACCTGGAGAGAGTGGCTCGTCCTCCGACGATGACTGGGAGTCGGCCTCCGAAGATGAGTCTTCATCGGACGGCTCGGATGCCGGCTTGGCATATGGCTCCGAAATCAAGCCGTCCAAGTCCGCCAGGATATCATCAGAGCCTCCGGAACAGATTAAGCCACCCGAACGTAAGAGCACCGTAGTGGATCCCCGTCTCTTCGGCCCCTACAATTCTCTTCGCGGCGCTGTCAAAAGCCCATGCGGCTTCGGCGAACAAGATCCTCGATCTGCTGGCTCGCATCGCCGTCATCATGAAGAGACAGTCGCACAGGTCCAATCACCCAAAACTGGTAAACAGCCTATGCAGAGGGTGTTCCCTGTACCTACCTCAGACCCGGATAAGTTTGACTATGATCGTGGCTCCGTAACCTCGTCCCGACAGGAACTCCCTCAACATTCGCGGCCCTCCCCTGTCCCCTTGCAACAGCCAATCCCCATTGTCCCCGTCTCATCTAAAGTGTACGATGCAGAGAGGTTCGTAGAAGAAGAGTCCCGGAACTCCAAACGCTCGCCACCCAAAGGGAGGAGCGCTGCGGAGACCGCTATTGCCGGTGTAGGCGTTGCAGCCGCAGCAATCGGTGCGGCAATGGCCTCTAACCGTAGGGATTCTGGCGAATACGTCGAACGCCGTGACGATCGCCGAAGCGAGATCCCTGACAGACGTGATGGCCATCGTGAATATCGGGAAGGCAATCGGCACGAAGACCGAACGGACCGGCCAGTGAGAATCGAACTGGAGGACCACGAGCTCCGCAACCAAGGTGACCCCCGCCAGGCGTATCGCCACAGCAACGTCGATATCATTGATGATCGAGACAAGAGGCGAGTCACCCGCGACGACGTCACTCGTGAGTCCAAGAAGCGCGAGCTGGAGACAGATTCCCGCCCGGAGGTGTACAGGTTGCCCCAAGGCGACGAAATTCGAGTCGAGTATGACCCGAACGAAGAACGCCGCCGTCGCGAGGAGCCCAAGGAGCGTCGCAGAGAAGACCGTAAGCCAGAGGTTATCGTCGAAAGCCGGGATGCGAAGCGGGTAGAGAAGCCAACTGAGTTACCCCGAGATTACCAAGGGGTGGAGCAACCCAAGGTCCCCATTGCACAAGCACCTATTGACCCTTTTCAGTTCCAGGTTGCTGATGACGCCTTTCAAACACCTAAATATACAACGCCCAAGAATGCCACACCGAAGAGGCCTTTGACTCCGCAGGTGGTAACGGTTGATCGTGAGCCAAACTTTGACGACTCGCCCCCAAGGAAGCCCGATTACTCTGATGCACGAATGAGCCGCAAGGATTCCTTCGAGCTCGAGCAGAGGTTGGAGCAGTACCAGCAGGGATTTAGAGACCGTGACAGAACTCCCGAGCCACGTCGTCGTGGAGACTCGTTTGAAGAAGAACAGCACGCTGCCAGATCAATCTACGATGAAGCCAAACATGCAACTGCGCCTATTTCTGCGGCTGCTGTAGCTTCTGCAATCGCCGTAGAACTGGAAAGGTCACACAAGCATCGTAATGATCACGTCACCGAAGATGGTTCACGCGACAGAACCCAGGCTGCGAGGGATGCCGTGCAGGAAGAGGCTGACAAATATTACCGGGAAATGATCCTTGCCCGCAAGATTGCCGAGGATGAAATTCGTTCCCGCAGCGCTTCGCCCCATGATAAGTCAGTCGTGGGCAAATGGGAAGATCAAGAAGGCCCCGAGGTCGTCACTATTGTGACTCCTCCTGAAATGGATCATCCTCACGATAAGAGTCCATACGATGCGCCCAACGCCGATGTCCGTATCGACCACGTCATCATCCCAGATGAACTCTCCCGGTTCCGCCTTCCGACTGATCAGCTTGCCTCCGGCTCGACGTCAGTATTCCGGACTCGTGACCCCTCTTGCGAGCGCGAGCGACCACTCTTGAACCTTGTCCTTCCTACACCTATTGTTACGCCGCGCGCCACACCTGCTCCTGAGCAGCAACAAGAGTCAAGACCCATAACCAATACCCAAGACTCGCCGGCGGAAACTAGATCGGCAGCAGCAAGTGGAGTCTCAGCGCATCCTTCTTCTGGCACTGAAGTTGTTGTAGGACCGAAGGACGAGGTTATTGAAAGGCCCACGACACCCGCCGCCAAGTCGGTGACTTGGGGCGAGAATGAGACAAAGAGTTTTGAGGTTGAAAGTCCAGAACCACCCAAGAACGCCCCATCCAGTTCTTCCACCAAGTCAAAGAAGCGCATCGGCAAGAGCTCACCATGGGGCATCATTGCTGCGGCAATTGGTGGAAGCGGAGCGGCGGCAGCGGCAACGGCGGCAGCGGCTCCTGAAATCCGCGACCCATTCGAAAGTGAGACAGAAAACAAGGAGAAACACAGCCCTCCGCAATCTCCTAAGTCTCGAGCTATAGAACATTCGCCAGAGCCCGGGGTTGCTCCTGCTTCTCCCAAACTCGTCACAGCTTTTGACAAAGACGAGGACCTGCCTCCTGCACCTGGCCCGAAACCGTCCAGCCCTCGGGTCTCCCAGATGCCGGGCTCATTTGCGGACGATTTGGAATTCGCCTCTGTTCTTGCTGCTGGCCTGCAAGATACCGGATTTGACCCTAACATCGTCATCGATAACCCGACGTACATGAGGCGTGATAGCCCTCCAGGTCAAAACGAACCAGGTCTTTACCAACAGCCTTTTGCGGAAACGGTCACTGACTTGGGCATCTACGGCCCAGAACACGTTCATGACGACCCATCCGCACGTAAGTCAGGCTTTGTCGTCGGTGAAGTACCAGATTCACCAGTCGCAGAAAAGGACCTCAAACATGATCATGCCGTTTTCGAATCACCCAGAGGTTATCAGCACAAAGGAAAGGCTAAGGAGATCACTGATTCTGACCAAGAACGCGCTGCCACCGAGTTCGAGCCGTCCAGGAAACTCAGCAAGAAGGAAAAGCGAAGACAGAAAGCTGCCAAAAGACAAAGCATTGAGAATGTCCATGACGATGTGGCCTACAATGCTTCTGAGGTTGCGGTACGGCCGGAACCTGCTCCCCTCGCAGAGGGAACTACTGGTTATGACTGGCACCGCAGCTACAATGACGTACCTCAGAGCCCCGAAACTGTTGTTGCACTTGGTCCAAAGGCTCGCGGATATGCTGACGTTCCCTCTTGGGACTTGCCGGCTTCTTCGCATACAGACCACCCTTCAGACAGGCCAACCGCTCACGATTACAACCGATCAATTGACGAGCCAACCTCCTCGTATAGGACCCGTTCATTTGACGAGCCAAGCTCTTCGTATACAGGCCACTCATTTGATAACACGCCTTCGTATGACACAACGACATCTGACAGGCCTCCTGTCGATGACGACGTGACTGTCCCGACAAAGTTGAGCAAGAAGCAAAAGAAGAAGAACAGATCCTCGAAGTCAGATGTCGTTATTGTTCAAGCCGATGATGGAATGCCCCAAGAAGAGACGGCCTACTCTGAATCACGGCCGTCTCGTGAGAAGCTGCCTGAAAGCGAAGAACATGCTTCTACAGAGCCTCGTAAAACCGACGAGGACGTAATTGACACGTCAATCAAGAAGAAGAAAAAGTCCAAGAAGTCAAAACAGAGCTCAGATGAGTGGACCGATGTCGAGAAACAGAGCGATGCTCCCTCTTTGATAGAGAGAAGCACGCCCACAATGGCTTTCGATGATTGGGATGACCGACCTCCCAAGTCGCGGCGAGATCGCTCCAGGTTTGAAGACCGTGACGTGAGTTCCGTGGTCTCAGACCCAGCATCCCGGCTTGAACGATCTGATCGCCGATCTAATGGCACACGGTATGAGGACGGTGACGATGTCAAGTCCGTCGCATCTGACGGCGCTGGCCGAAAGAGACGGACCCGGGACGACAAAAAGAGTCCAAAGGACGAAGAGAAGCGCAGCAGCAGCTCCTTCTTCAGCTTGTTTAGACCTGGAGGCGTAAGCAGCAAGGACACGTCTGGAAAGGATGAGAAGTCTTTTTTAGATAATGCCGGCACCCTTGGCGCGGGTGCCGGCTTGGCGAGCGCCGTGGCAGCTTTGGGCTCCATGATGTCCCGCTCCAATGCCGCCGAACCTCGACTGGAAGAGTCGTCCGATGTTCCGCGCTCCCTGGAAGGAGTCGTCAGTCCCTCAGAAGACGCCGAAGTCCTCGACCCTGAAATCACGCAGCGGACAGTTAGGCCAGCTATTGATCCTCAATATGGCGACTTTCTACCTTTACCGCCCAGCCCTATGCCGCCAAGCACTCCCGGCTTTCCCACGCAAGAGTTGTCAGAACTCCCTGCCTTGCCTGACAGCCGCCCAGAAACCCCACCCAATGAGCGAAGGCGCCAGCATGAATTAAAGACACATGTTCGACGCCGCAGCAACTTGGACACACCCTCTAAAAGCCCGAGTCAGACCGCAGTGCCGTTCAAGCTGCGTTTGGGACAGAGGTCTACGCCGTCATCCCCCGGTAACTTGGCCCATGTACCTTCCCCTGTGCCTTCTCCAACAGTGCCAACAGCCCCCGAAACAACTCTCTCAAGACGTCCTTCTGTACGGCCAATTTCGTGGGAGAGCAGTAGGGAGATTAAGCCTCTCTACCTACTTGAACATGCCCGTCAGGAGCATGCTGCCCAGTCTATGGAGCCACCCATTGACTTGCCAGAACTGCCTCCTAGCGAGCCGTCGTCGCGCGAGTCCCCGGCCCCGGAGTTTGCGCTTCGCGAAAATGACGTGGACTACTTCCGTCAGCTTCAGGCATCACCATTCGAGCCGGATGAACTTCGCATCAACACCGACATGTCTCACTTCCCTACATCAACAGGCTATCACGGTCCCCAAGAAACCACGCCGAAGGCCAAAGAAGCACTGCAGTACACTGGTGCCATATTTGGCCTCGCTTCCCCAGCTCTTCCTGACGTCCCGGATGCAGCCAGGCAGTTAGAACTTTCAGAGCACGAACTGGCAGAGTTGCCTTCTCTTCCTGCTAGTCCTGTTAGTCCAGCAACTGAGCGCGAGTTAGTAGATTTGCCGGCTCTCCCTGCCAGCCCGGTGATCGAGCCCGAATCTGTAGCTTTCCCTGCTTTGCCTGCTAGTCCTGTAACCAAGTCTCAGCCAGTCGAGGCGTCCAGTTACCCTACATTCGTCCCCGAGTCGCCTGCTCTTCCTTCCCTCCCCGATGCAGCCAAGCAAATGCATCTGACCGAGAACGAACTTGCAGCCTTACCTCCCCTTCCTACCAGCCCTGTGACGGAGCAGGAGACATTGCCGGTTCTTCCTTCCGAGCCTATTGCTTATAACGATGTGGAGTATTTACCTGCACTTCCTGTCAACCCAGTGACAGAGGAGATAGCAGCATTGCCTGTTGGTATCGATTTCGTTCCCGAGTCGCCTGCCCTTCCCGCCGTTCCAGACGCAGCCAAGCAATTAGATCTTTCCCATCAACTGGAAGAGCTGCCCGCTCTCCCTGCCAGTCCTGTGACAGAGGAGATAGCAGTATTGCCTGGTGGTATCGATTTCGTTCCCGAGTCGCCTGCCCTTCCCGCCATTTCAGACGCAGCCAAGCAATTAGATCTCTCAGAGCAGTTTCTCTCAGAGCAGTTAGAGGAGTTACCCGCCCTCCCTGCCAGTCCTATGGTAGAGAAGGAGATGGCCGTATTGCCTCCTAGTGTCTACTTTGCTCCCGAGTCGCCTGCCCTTCCTGCCGTCCCGGATGCAGATGAACAATTCGACTTTCCCCAACAGTTAGAGGAGTTACCTGCGCTTCCTGCCAGTCCAGTAACAGAGAAGGGGATGGCAGTACTGCCTACCGATGTCTACTTCGGTCCCGAGTCGCCTGCCCTTCCCGCCATTCCAGATGCAGCTAAGCAACTCGATCTTTTGCATCAACTGGAAGATTTGCCTGCTCTCCCTGCCAGTCCTGTGGTAGAGGAAATGACAGGACTGCCTACTACTCCCTATTTTGTTCCCGAGTCGCCTGCCCTGCCCACCGCCCCGGATGCAGTCAAATACCTACATCTCTCAGAGCAGTTAGAGGAGCTACCTGCACTTCCTGCTAGTCCAGTAACAGAGAAGGAGATGGCAGCATTGCCTACTAGTGTCAACTTCGCTTCCGAGTCGCCTGCCCTTCCCGCTGTCCCAGATGCAGTTAAACAACTCGATCTTTCGCAACAATTAGAGGAGTTGCCTGCTCTCCCTGTCAGCCCTGTGGTAGAGGAGATGGTGGTGCTGCCTGCTGCTCCCACTTTGGCGCCCGAGTCGCCGGCCCTTCCCGCAATTCCAGATGCAGCCAAGCGATTGGATATCGCGGAACAGTTAGAGGAGTTGCCTGCTCTTCCTGTCAGTCCTGTGGCCGAGTCTGCGGATTCACGCACTGGCTTCAGTCTCGCAACCGAATCATCTTCTCTCCCCGTTGTTTCAGCTGCAGAAAAACAGCCGGATCTTGATGAACGCTACTTGAAAGACCTGCCTGCTCTTCCTGCTAGCCCTGCGACGTCTCCGGCGGCAGGAGAACCTGAGCCAGAGCCAGTGGAAGCCATGTCCAAGGACAGAAGTTCGTATCTCCTACACATGACGCCCCCCTCCGCAATCAAGATTCTAATGGAGCATGATCTTCCAGGCACGCCACCCAGTCCTACACCAAGCCAGCCCCGCGATACTACCGAAGCACTGGCCGGCATCGAGGATGTAAACCTTTCGGGAGCTCGTGACGTTACCCTTGTTGCCCTTGCCGGAAGTACTGCAGTTGGCCTTGCTGCAGCCGCCCTTGCTCAGGACGAAAAGGCTGGGAACGAGCCCAAAGAGGCCGAGTCTGAAACCAAGGACTCGGAGGCTTCTCAACCAACAGATCCGCCTGCTGATACGAAGTTATCCAAGAAAGCCAAGAAGAAGAAGAGGAAGAGCAAGGGCATGTCAGTCGATAGCCCTGCACTTGCCACCCCCGAGATTGCCTCCTCTTCTGAACACACAGACAAGGGCGTAACTTTGCCTACAGCTGACATTGTTCTGCCTATTTCCACTGATGATAAAGTACCGTCCAGCGACATTGCTCTCACTGCACCCGCTGAAGAACCTACGCTTCCATCAACCGAGATCAGCACTCTTTCTTCAACCGATAAAACCATTGTTCCGCTGTCTGTAACTGGAGAATTTCGTCACGATTCAACTGAGAAGGATGTGGCGCGATCAATCGATATGGCACCTGCAGCATTGACTGATATGGCTGGACCATCTTCAACAGACGTCATTGTGTCCTCCCCAACCGATCTCACGCCCCCCACAACAACTAAGCTAGAGACGGGCCCATCTTTGCCATCTGGGACCGACAACGTTACCGCGCTGGCTGATAGTCTCCCCATCGATGTGCCTTCGACCGAAACCCCCATTATTGAACCGCTTTATTGTGAGGTTCCCTCGACTGAAGTCTCTGCAGCGGATGTTCCGGTCCCCGAGTCTCCCTTGTTGAAGTCTGGTGATCAAGACGCTTTGCCATCAGCTGATATCATTCTCCCTACTCCTGAGAACAACGACTTGACATCCGATGCCACCAGGTCTGTTTCACCCGAAGACAATAACCCTGCCTCTGTTGAGCCCACTCAACCCATGGCATCTGTAGACAGGAGTTATGTGCCGGAGGATGTACCAGTCGTATCAGGCGCTAAAGTCATGGTTTCTTCATCTGGCAATGTTCCCGTGGATCATGAGGTGCCCACAACTGAAGCCACCGTATCTCTTGCCGCCGCAGTTGTTGAGTCTGCCGGTCCAGCGCCCTCAGCTGAAGATCTCTCCGCCGAGAAAAAGCTGTCCAAGAAAGAGAAAAAGAAGCTCAAGAAAGCGCAGGCACGGGGTTTAGAGCTTGATAACCTCACCGACTTGAGCGAGCAAAGCAATAAGGCCCCTTCTGATTTAGAACCATCTGCGGTCTCTTTTCCTGAGTCTGAACCAACAGGTCCCTTGCCCGAAACCGAAGTAGCGGTTGCTCCGTCACACAGCGCTGAAATACCAATTTCTATGCCTGATATGGAGCCCACTGCAGATGCCACTGAGGTTGAGCAGATCATAATGCCACCGGTTGCTGAGACTCCAGTCCCCGAGACAAAGAAGAGCAAGAAAAAGAAGAAGAAGGGAAAGAAGGTCTCCGATGCAGATGACGAGTCCGTAGCAGCCACAGAGACTGGCAAAACCATTGATGCTGCCTCGGAATCGGCGACTCCAATTCCTAAGCACAAGGAAAATTCAATCAACTCTGAAGAAACTCCAAATGTGCCTGAACCTCAAGACCGCGTTCCTGAACAGGATCGGTCGAACATTGTGGGTGAGGCCTCAGCGGAGCCACTTTCCTCGATTCTCTTGCCAGAGAGTTCCCCGATAGCGTTGGACGGCGTCACAGAGCAGCACACTCCGGTTCAAGACTTCGTGGAGAAGCTAGCTATTGCAGAGGAGCCTCCGTCTGACTTGAAGCCTTCTGCTGCTATCGAAAAGGAGGAATCAAGCGGTTTGGAGGCTGTCGTATCCGATCCGGATTTTCCAGCTGCCACACATGATGATCAACCAGCCTCTGTGGATGAAGGCTTAGCAGAGCACCAAACTCGTCTCACTCTGTCCGAAGAACAACCAATCACTGTGGACATTGATTCCACTCAACCAGTTGCTGCCCTTGAAACAGATGCTGTACTTGCCACCTTAGACAACAGCCCTTCGGAGAAGGAAGCCCTTCTTCCTGAGATTGGTCAGACCGCTCAAGAGACACCTGCCGAGGTACATGGCACTGAGGTATCTGCAGAAACATCTGGCGAGACACCATCTACTCCAACTTCCAAGAAACAGAAGAAGAAGAAGGGTAAGAAAAACCAGATTGTTGAGGATGAGTCAACTGTTACCATCGACTCTAAGCCTGCCGATACTGAGCCAATTTCACGCGTGGACCTTGTCAGCCAGAACACAGACATGACGCCTCATATTAGCTCTGAACCAGCTCTCACGGAGTCCGAAGATTTGAATGCTGTGGCAAAGCTTGCCGACAACAGTGACGCACTTTCTGAGCCACCCGTTCTGGACGTTGCAAACCCAATTACGTCGATTGTAGACATTCCTCGCGAGACGTCGGAGCCAGTGTCTACTGAGCCGGCTTTGGTCGCAGTACCGCTCGCAGAAGATGCTACCGTTGCAACAGCCGAAGTATTTTCTGCCACAGGCGACAACGAAACAGCGCCCTTTGATCCTGCACGCATGGACACGGGGCCGGCACTGGCTGAACCGCCACAATCAGAGCAATCGGGCAAGAAAAAGAAAAAGAAGAAGAAGGGCAAGGGAGCATCTATCTCGCAGCTGGATGACGTCATAGCCACAGAGACCACGTCCATCGAGTCCTCTGCCCTTGCCGTTGAATCTCCCGTTGTCGAGGCTCCTGTTGTCGAGGCTCCTGTTGCTGAGACTCCTACGGTTGAGACTTCTGCTACTAGACCCTCTACTGCTGAGGTACCGGCTGTCGAGACTCCTACGGTTGAGACTCCTACGGTTGAGACTCCTACGGTTGAGACTCCTACGGTTGAGACTCCTACGGTTGAGATCATCACTGCTGAACCCTCTACCACTGAGGCTCCGGTTGTTGAGACTCCCGTAATTGAGGCTCCGGTTGTCGAGGTTCCTACGATTGAAATTTCTGCCCCTGAATCCTCTACTGAGGTTCCGGTTGTCGAGACTCCTACGGTTGAGACTATTACTGCTGAACCCTCTACTGCTGAAATACCGGCTGTCGAGACTCCCGTAATTGAGACTCCTGTTGTCGAGACTCCTACGGTTGAGACTCGTACGGTTGAGGCTTCTGCTACCGAACCCTCTGCTACCGAACCCTCTGCTTCCGAGAAACCGGCTGTCGAGACTCCCGTAATTGAGAATCCTGTAGTTGAGACTCCTATTGTTGAGACTCCTACGGCTGAGACTCCTACGGTTGAGACTCCTACGGTTGAGACTCCTACGGTTGAGACTCCTATGGTTGAGACTCCTACGGCTGAGACTCCTACGGTTGAGACTCCTACGGTTGAGACTCCTACGGTTGAGACTCCTACGGTTGAGATCATCACTGCTGAACCCTCTACCACTGAGGCTCCGGTTGTTAAGGTTCCTAGGATTGAAATTTCTGCTCCTGAATTCTCTACTGAGTTTCCGGTTGTCGAGACTCCTACGGTTGAGAATCCTGTAGTTGAGACTCCTATAGTTGAGACTCCTACGGTGGAGACTTCTACTCCTGATCCCTCCACTACTGAGGCTCCGGTTGTTAAGGTTCCTACGATTGAAATCTCTGCCCCTGAATTCTCTACTGAGTTTCCGGTTGTCGAGACTCCTACGGTTGAGACTACTACTGCTGAACCCTCTACTGCTGAAACACCGGCTGTTGAGACTCCTGTTGTTGAGACTTCTATTACCGAGACCCCTTCGGTTGAGACTTCTGCTGCTGAATCCTCCACTACTGAGGATTCGGTTGTCAAGACTCCCGTAATTGAGGCTCCTGTAATTGAGACTCCAATGGTTGAGACTATTACTGCCGAACCCCCTGCTACTGAAATTCCGGCTGTGGAAACTCCTGTGGTCGAGAACCTTCTAGCTGAGACTCCCACTATCGAGACTCCTGCACTTGACAATACTGCCGAGAAGCCTGCAGCTGAGAATCCTGTAGTCAAGACCCCTACTGTCGAGCTGTCAGATGCTGAAAAATCTATAGTTGACACTCCAGTTCCTGAGGCCTTGACCGTTAAGAAGGCATCTATTGAATCGTTAACGTCGGAGGTGCCGTTTGCGGAGACGACCACCGATGCAAAGACTAAGGATTCAGTTTCAATAGATGAACAACTGGCAGAGAATGCTTTGCCTCCGGTCCAGGTCGAAAAAGAGTCAAGCGAACAAACAAAAGTCATTGCAGATACCTCAGAGGTGCCAGTCCCTTCTTCCGCAGATTATTCTGAGCAGAATCCCAATACTCCCCTTCCAGTAGAGGAGCTTGTCAAATCTTCTAAGAAGTCAAAGAAGAAGAAGAAGAAGGATAAGAACGTTTTAACCGCAGAATCCGAACCCCCTGCTCTTGTCCCTGACGTTTCGGGTGGGTCTGCGGATACCATCGCGCAAAGTGCACTGTCAGAAAAGGTTGTCGAGGGAGATCATGCAGATGCCCAGAGCCTGGACACGCACGAAAGTCAAACGAACCCAACAGATGCCTCCCTGGAAGAGCAGAAAGCGGAGGAAGACTCGCAAGTAACTATTCTTGAGTCGCAGGAGCCCACAGCTGGCCAGATCGAGGAATCTACTACCCCTGCAGACGCCCACCTTCCGCTTGATCAGGATGGGGTACCCGGAAGCCTCTCACAGGAGCCAACTTTGCTTGAGAGTCAGACTGAAGCGATTGATACGAAATCGCAAGAGCCACTCGCCGAAAACGAGGAAAATCAGAACGTTGAGCCCTCAGTCGAACCCGACGCACCAATCACTTCCAAGAAGAGCAAGAAAAAGAAGAAGAAGGAAGCTGCGGCTGCGGCTGCGGCCGCGGCTACTGCAGCGCTGGAAGCGTCGGTCGAGGACACGCTCCAAACCCAGGATGATAATGCGGAGGCAAAGGACGAGACGAGTACGGACAACAAGGACTCAAACATCACATCAGACAAGATGGGGGACACGGAACAATCGCCGCAAGAACCCCCTTTAAGCGGAGAATTCGCATCGGACAGCAAGATTTCAGAGGAGGCAGACCCAGGGCCGGCTGTTACCAAAAAGGGAAAGAAAAAGAAGAAGGGCAAGAAGTCATCAGCCTTGGACCCGGAGACTGAGAACAGCCCTTCCACAAGTATCCCCGAAACCACGGCAGATGTAGCGAATACAATGGACAAGTCCGCTTATATTTCCTCTCCGACGGGAGAGCTTGGCAGTGACGCACTTCCCTCCCCGCAAGCAGGCACCTCGACAGAGGCTGAGTGGCCACCTGCTGCAAATACGGGTGAGAGCAAGCAGAAATCCGTGACCTGGGCACCAGAACTGGAATCCTTCGCGAACAGTCCTGAACTTCCTTCTCTAGAAGATGACGATGGCTCAAGGAGCCAAAGTGGTGCAGCAAACCCCCCAACCTCCGAACAACTGCCCAGAATAGTGCCAAGTGATCCTCCGGGTCAATCAGATGCAGCAGATTTACAGGGAACCGCAGTCGTACGAGAGGCACAGGGTTCAAAGACCATCGATCTCGACCAGACAGCCGCTCCTGTGGCAGACAAGGATTTGGACCTCGACAGCCAAGCTCAAATGCACCCTGTAGGCCAGGTCGGCCAGGCCCTGCCTCAACAGCGCGACATTGCGACCGGCGACAATCTTCCGGCATCTACTGAGCTGACCGTAACGCGGGGAATCGCGCCAGAGCCAATTGCCACTGAGCAAATATACCTCCCTTCCGCTAATCGCATGCTCCTAACAACTGCATCTATGGATGACGCTGGGGTGGCTAACCGGAAGGGCGGTGAGACACTGGAGCGGGAGCAGGACGCGGAGCAGGAGGTTAGCGGCGAGGCTGATACAACCTCGGACGCCGAACATGCGGGCCGCCCTGGCATCATTGACAAACCATCTGCGAGTACAAGCGCCCAAACGGGAGGGGTCGGCATCATGGACCCCAGTCTGCATGCGGGTGTGGAGCCGGAAAATGGACTAGGGCACGACAAATCAGTGGTAGACACGCAAAACGGGCGGATGACGGATGCCCAATCCGTGGGCCCGGCACTCACCGACTCGGCTCTGGAGGCTGGTGACCCACAAAACACCCCGGTTCGCGTCTTGGCAAACCAAGACACAAACCCGGAGATCCCCCAACCTCTGGATGAGGTACCCAGGTCATTGGAGGTTGGCAAAAATTCTGACGCGGGGATTACTGAAGCCGCTGAAACTTTCCCGGAAGACGAGGAGCTCAATGACATTTCGAACGTCGGGAAGTCGGAACAGAAGAAGATTGAGCAAGAGGACTCAGTTCCCCTCGCCGCTGATGCTGAACTGCCAGGTCAGACAGACACCTCGGAATTCCTTGGTGAACCGATTGCCTCGGAGCAGCAATTAGAGTCACCTTCTGAGACATTTTCAGGTCTTGAGCCCACAGGGGTTGTGAACACCTCCCAGAGCCCCGACAAGCTTGAGGAATTGCCTGGCCAAGTAGCCGACGTTTGGTCTGAGCCCTCAGGCTCAAACAAGATGTCCAAAAAAGACAAAAAGAAGAATAAGATTAAGGCTGCCGCTGCCGAGAAGACATTCCAGGATGAGATTCAAGAGATCAAAGCTCAGGATGTGGATGATGGACCCCCGGCTGTTCTACCCGTTGATTCAACGGAGCTGGCGGAGCCAGCGCTCACACCAAACGTTTCTAGCAGTTCGAACCTGGCCCCCATGACTGAGGCGATCGAGGCCGGTGAGGATGAATGGGCAATTCAACCAGCCAGCAAGAAAAGCAAGAAAGACAAGAAAAAGCGTGCCGCAAACCAGTCAGCAGAAGTGACGGTTGATGCAACCACCCAGGGGGAGGAACCTGTTCACGGAACCCCGGTAATTGCTGAAGAGAAACCTCAGCCCCAACCAATCGGCAGCCATGAAGCGTCAAATACGGATGCTGTAGAAGATGAACATCCAACTCTTGATAGCACAGCTGAAACTTCCATGGAGGCTTCTGGAAGCAAAAGCTCTGCGAACGAGGAGCTTCAAACCGTCGCCGAAGGCGCGCCAGAGGACGATCGCAACTCAACACATCCAGTCGATGATCCACTGCCAGACCCGGTTGCTGCCACTGCGAATGAGCAGCCGCATGTGCCCCAAGACACTGATACGACTGATTTTGAATTTCCGACCAAGAAAGGTAAAAAGAGCAAAAAGAAGAAGCAACAGATACTTGATGGAGAAGATGCTCAGGAAGTTTCCAACCACACAGTGCAGGTTGAGCAGCAGCCTAAATATGAGGAAGGCGCCAGCGCTGTTCCACCTGCCGACACAGTCTCGGGCGACACAGAACCTCAAATTTCTGAAGACGCCCAGCTGCCGACCGAGGCAGCACCTGAGATGCCATCAAAGGCCTCAGAAGATGACGATGTGAATTTGACATCCGACCAGCAAGAAGCTGCAACAACGCCTGCGCTTGGCTTACAGCCGATTACCGGTGAATTGGACGCTCTTCAGGAAGGTTCACAATCAATACCTTCGACAACTGTTGAGATAACGCCGGCAACTCAAACTCCTGATATTTCGACGATAGATGAACCTCTTGAATCCGGCGATTCAATTACAAAATCACTGGAAGGACCAGCACACGCTCCGCAAACGACACCTGAGACCACTGGCGACAACACGCCCGCTCACTTGGAAGACGAGTTTACGTCTATCACCAAAAAGTCCAAGAAAGACAAGAAGAAAAAGAAGAAGGGCCTTGCGACCCCGGACGAAGTTGACGTCGCGCGAACGCTGGAGCCTATACTTGAACAAGCAGGTTTCCGAGAAGAACAGCCAACTTCAGGCCCTCTAAATATGCAGACTGCGGAGCCAATAAACGAATCGACGGAAAAGAAAGTCGTTTCCGAGGATCCCATCACTGTAACTGACATGCAATCCTTACGTCCTGAAGAGCCTACAGTTGTGGATGAAGGTCCCAAACCTGTCGAGGAAGATGCACCCATCTCAAAGATGTCGAAGAAAGACAAGAAAAAGAAGAAGAAGAACGCTGCCGCCGAGACTACGGGGGAACAGCCGACAGTTTTAGAGACCGAGGCAGTGCCCGATCAGCCAGCTGCGGCAGAGGTTGACGAAACAAGCTTGCCAGATATAGCAGACTCTAGCAACTCGCAAGAGATCTTGGCCCAAGAGCCATTCGCCACCCATGAAGACACACTGCCAACAGAAGACCTACCTGTTCAAGATCAACATATGGAGAAGCTTGCCGACGACGGCGATGTTGCCGAAAACGAACTGATCGATCAAAAGCCCATTGATGAAAAGCCTGCTGAAGATACGTCTGCTTCTGCTGCAAAGAAATCGAAAAAGGACAAGAAAAAGAAGGCAGCGGCAGCAACACAAGAACTTTTGTCTGAAACGGCGGCCGAACCAGAGAATCTTCCGGATGTGGTCTCTCTTCCGGATTCTCAAGAACGCCAAGTTCTAGATGTCTCTGTAGACGAGCAGTTGCCCAAGACAGACTCACCCGGAGACCAGGTTGCAACAGCTGACAACGAAGATCCTTCAATCGCTGAGGACATCCAGAAGACCAGAGTTCCAAAACTTACAGAAGGCAAGGATTTATCGCAGTCTGAGACAATCGTTGATCCAGAGGAAGAATTTGAAGTTCCTCAGAAGAAATCAAAGAAGAACAAGAAAGGGAAGAAACCCCAGCTCGATCCACTTATTGAGCCCGAGACCCAGCCGGAGGAAACAATTACTAGCGAACCCGTCGCTCCGAGTGCTGCTGTGGAGCCATCAACGCCCGAGAACGTTGGAGACGGCGAAAATGTCATTCCTGAGAATACACCAGCTTTGGAGGGAGAGACAGATGAGAAGGAGAGAGCTGGAGACTCTACGAGTGTTGAGACGAATCAATTTGCTGATCCTGAGCATGAATTTCCTCCGGTGGGCAAGAAAGCCAAGAAAGACAAGAAAAAGAAGACAGAATCTGCACCTACCATCACTGAGCCTGAACCAGAAGCTCAGTATCCGACAGCCAACCCAATTGAGACTGAGAAAAGTATTGGTGCCGCATCAACATTAGCTGAATCCAATCTCATCGAGCACGAAGCCGCAGATTCTCAGAAGAACGACCCGCCTCCTGATATTCAAACGACACCTGCTGAAGCTGAAGATCAGCCGCGAGCTTTTGCACCTGAAGCTGTTATCGCTGACGACGAGTTCCCCTTGACTGGCAAGAAAGCAAAGAAGGTCAACAAAAAGAAGGGCAAGGTTCTCGATTTGACTGAAGCTGAGCCTGCTACCGAGCCTGCGACTGACCCGATTGAAAAGACTGCTGAGCAGCTCCCGGCAGAAGCCATAGACATTTCAGCTGACACCAGAGCGGATCAATCGGAACAGCACAAGATTGACGATGAGGCCGGCGACAAAGACCCCATGGAAACGGTGCAGACAACCTCTGATACGGCAAAAGGTACTGCAATCGAACCTCAAAATCCTCGCCTGGTAGACAACGAGCCCTCTTCGCCTAAGTTGTCAAAAAAGGACAAGAAAAAGAAGAAGAGGGCCAAGCAACAAGATGATCCTAGCTCTCCTTCTGGCACATCAACAGCCGCCAAATTTCAGACCTCTGAAATGCCGGATGAACCGTCTTCTACCGCCCAAGACTCTCAACATGGTGATGTTATGACCGCTTCACTCGAAGCAGCCCCTGCATTAGACGAGCGTGCTAAAGAGCTCCTTGTTGCCCAGGTAGAGGATGGTGCTGCAGCAGCACCAGAAACAGAAGCATCCGCAATCCCTTTTTTGGCCAACCCAACAAGTCAAGAGGAGTCATCTGCAACGACAATAGACCTCCAAGAGGATTCCGCTGCACTTGACGCCGATAAGGAGTTTCACAGTGTAACTAAAAAGTCTAAGAAAGGCAAGACGGACAAATCTTTGAAAGAACCTGAAGCTGAATTACCAGTTTCCATGTCCACTCCGTCGGAAGAGCTGGGCGAAGCTCACTCAGCGGCCGAGCCTTCGATGGTGAAGGAACCTGAAATTGTTGAATCGCTACTTCCAGAAGCAACCGACATAGCAGTTGACCCCGTCTCGGAGTCTACAGCTCCTCTACCTGAGAATGATTCTCCCCACACGGCCAAGAAGTCGAAGAAGGATAAGAAAAAGAAGAAGGGTAAAACCGTTGATGAGGAGTCGCTCGAGCCAGAAACTTCAAAGCCTGTACCTGTCTCAGAGGGCGAAGAACAACACTTGGCTACCACTGCTGATACCAAAGAGGGGTTGAAAGCAATGGCAACCTCGCATACCTCGGAAGAGCCAATTCTTGACCCATTTGAGACAAGCACCACACCCTTCGCCGAAGATGTTGCTGAAGCTTCCGTCGAAGCCCCTGTCGTAATCGGCAAAGCTTCTGAGGAGCCAAGCCAACCAGTGGAGCCTCCTGCGCCTGAGGCGACCAGTGTTGAACAGCAGCCGGGCGAAGCTTCTGAAGCCCTAGCCACAGCAGACCCGCTTGATGACGAGTGGCCCGAGGCGGCATCTGCCAAGAAGTCAAAGAATAGCAGCAAGAAGAAAGAGTCTAAGGCTCAAGGTGATTTGGAAGAGAATCCCGGGTCAGCGGCCCTGCTGGAAATGCCAACCGAAGAGGCTCAAGCGGAAGCAGCAACAACCAACGATACTACGGAGATCGAGAAATTAAAAGCTTCTGATGATGCAGTGACCCCACTTACCATTCCCGCTGAGGTGGAACCCGAAGCTACTCTCCAAGATGATATCATCCGCGAGGCTACTCTTGAAGAAAAACAGCTGCAGCCTTCGCTAGCAAACCAGTTGGGCGAGCAGGGTGCCGCGGCCGAGCTCCTTTCTTCCGCGCCCGAACCAGAGAAAGCAGTGGCAGAACCGTTGCTTGTCGAGGAACCCACAGAATTCATTGTCAAAAAGTCCAAGAAGGACAAGAAGAAGAAGAAAAAAGGGTCCGTCGATGAGCCTGAGCCCGAAACTATTGCAGTTGACAGCGAAGAGCTACCTGTAGCACCGCAGGAACCCGTCACGGCCGTCATAGTAAATACTGCTTCTGAATCTGCCATCGTTGAACCAGCGACCCCTGGAACTGCTGTCATTATTGAGAAGACTCCCGATGAATTCCCGACTAGCGAACACGAACATGAGACCCGGGACCCGACGGCAGAAAGCCAGGAACAGGTCACATATCTAACAAAGTCTGTTGATGTGGTTTCAGAGTCGCAGGCGGTAGCAGTTGACGAGTGGCCCGAAGTTTCAGACGCCAGGAAAAGCAAGAAGGACAAGAAGAAGAAGAAGAAGAAGAAGGGAGGTTCAGAGGCTGATGGCCAAGCTGCCGAGCCTTCACTGAAGCTTGACTCGACTTTACAGTCAGAAGTTAAAGACCCTGTAGCGCCAGGTTCCGATTCTTTGCAGGCAGATAATACTGTTTTGAGAGTTGACGACGATGTTGCACCAGAGAAGGCGGCAGACGAGCCCATCACAACTGATGAAGATGCCCTATCGAAAACATCAGAAGCTATTGCTACCTCTGAATTACCACAAGATCTGGCCAAGGTGACCGAGAATGCCGAAGTTGCCTACCAAACGCCCCCTGAAGAAACAAATGCGGTAGCTGAAGGGGCGTTATCCCATGAGCCGTCTGCTGAGGAACCACTTACGGAAGCAGACGCTTCGAATGATAGGATCGCCGAGCCTGTCTTGAAAGGTGTTTCTGACAACGCAGCTGATGAGTTCGTCGGGCAAACGTTGGAAAAGTCAGTTGAACAAGTCGCCGAACCCACCAAAGCAGTAGACGAGCTACAAGAGAACTTCGTTGTCAAAAAGTCCAAGAAAGATAAGAAGAAGAAGCGTGGCAGCCAGGCATTGTTGGATGACAACGAAACTGCTGTCCCGAATTACACAGAGCCAGCTGCGCCAAGCCCTTCGTCTGAGCTGCCGCTGAAAAGCCTAGAACTGGAGGAGACAAATCAGTCAAGCCCTGACATCAATGATGCCACCCGTGACCTGGTCGCGGAAGGAACTGTCTCTAAGAAGTCGAAAAAGGACAAAAAGAAAGCAAAGGCTCTTTCTTTGGCGAACGAGCCTGTTGTCCTACCTGAAGAACAGGCCAGCTTCTCTAAGGCTCCACCCGCCTTAGGTGATGAAGAATTAGGCGTGATACACCAAGCGCCTATATCTGCTGAAGTGCCAGGGAAGTCAAAGACAAGCACGCAAAAGGTTGATACAATCCTTGGCGCCGACAGCCCTCAGCCCGTTTCTCAATCTATCTCTACCTTGCAGGGCTTGGACGCTGTGGTTGAAAAGGACGCTTCGGAGGCAACACGCTCCCCAGCAGAGGTTTCTTATGATTCTGCCAATCGATCTATCGGGGAATCCACTAGCAAACTTGGATTTGACAATGATGAATGGGACGCTCCCATGGTTAAGTCAAAAAGGAGCAAAAAGGGAAAAAAACAATCAATGGTGTCTTCTCATGAGGCATTTGAACCATCGGGAACGGTCCTGCAGCCGGCACAGGAAACCAGCAGCGTCGTTCACGAAGTCCCGTTTGATCAGTCAGACAAACGTAAGAAAATAAAGACGGAAGAACAGTCGGGCACCCTTCTGCCAGAGCCGATCTTGAGCTCCCAGGACATTGCTGCTGCATACCTAGAGGAAGATGTCAGTCATGACAACAGCACTGCCAGTGAAACTATAAAAGACCTAGGTAAATCCTCGCTACCAACACCAGCGCCTGAAAGCCCTCGAAGCCAAGGATCCTTTGAGCCTGAGCTTGTCAGGCGTGCTCCTCGCCAGCAACCTGAAGAATCATTACCTCGCGACATCACCGCTTCATCCCTGGAGTACAAGGGTGATCATGATCCAGTTGAAACTGCTAAACCAGCAACTCCAGAATCGCAACATCAAGGGGCCGAGTCAGTGACCGCAGCTGGCGTAGCAGCGATTGCGGCGGGGGCAGCAGCTCTCATTAGCAAGTCCGCCAGTGAAAAGAAAAAGGAAAAGAAAAAGTCAAGATATACCGACAAGCGCACGTCTCAAGAAGACGACATGTTTGACGATCCATCTCTCTGGGAGGGTGCCGATAAGAAACATGTTAGCGAAACTGCCAGTGAGGAAGTTGAAAAATTCTGGGGCGGCATTGATCCTGACAACAAGCACATACAAGAGCCATCAGTTCGTACAGATGTCATGGACGGGGCATCCAACTTCAATACCCAAGAGCAACAGAAGTCAAATCGAGACAAAGCTTTAGCTGACGATGATGTCTTTGCGCCTATCGCAGTGGTGGCCGCCGGAGCTCAGCCAAGTTACATCGAGGCGGATGACTCGACAACATCCAGGAACAGAGACATTGCCATGAAGGAGCCGCTAGTAGATATAAAACCAACAGCTGATCAGCCAAGCAAAGCCTCGGTTTCACGGTCATTGACGGAAGACAACCATACGGAAGAAATGAGAGACATTGGAAATGAGACCAAGAATGCCCTAAGCTTAACAGCGCCACTCAGGGAGAAGGCACAGGACGATATTGTGGAAAGCCCTATCCTTGGTCGGGAACCGGGCACAGAGCCGCCTGAGGTAATCGCCGAGAGAAACGACCGCTCGTTGACTACACATTCCGAATCACCCAAGGCAAGCACAATGGTCGGAGAATTAGATGAAGCGGTCGACCGTGGTTACGAAGTCGAAACTCGTCGCGAACTGTCAGGTGGCCTGCCATCGGAAAGCCCTGAAAGAAACTTTGAAGCCAGTGGCTTCCGGAGCCCGGTCCCCAGCATTTTGCCGCCTGTTCAGGAGGAAGCCCACGAAGATGTTGAAACTCAGTCAAGATCTCTCCCCAAAACAGCCTCCCGAGGAGCCCTTCGCACGCCAGAGCCAATCCGGGATAGTGGTTTCGTGGCAGGTTCGCCGAATCCTCTAAGACGAAGTGGATTCGACGGCCAGGAACGTGAACGAGACAGCGGCGTCCTTCGTGACTGGCAGGACACAACATTGCAAGGGCGGGACGCTAAGCGCACGCCTGAGCCATCCAGTCATCGGGAACGACGAAGATCTCGCGAGGCAGAGAGAGTGAAGTCGCCAGCTGTGAAAGATGTACTACGGCGATCACCCTTTGCTGAGGGAGAAGCACGAGATTACCCGCTATCCAGAACTCCAGTGCTACGAGAGCCAAGTGCTCGAGAGCTGACTCCAACTCCGGAGCCACACAAGCAAAGGCGCATCAGCCCAGAGCTGGAGAGGAGAAGATCCAAGTACCAAGACTTGGCCTCAGCAGCTTTAGCCGGCGCAGCAATTAGCAGTACATCTACACCGCGCAGCACACCTCCACCGGGCAATCGCAGTGTGTCAGAGAGGGTTGCACTGCTGCAGTCGCCTGCGTCTTCCGAACCCCCTGTAGCGCGAAGGTCCATCTCCAATAGCAGCCTGTCGCGCCACAGGCGGGCTATGGGTACACCAACGCCGGAACCACTCGTTTTCCGGCCTGAAAGCCCAGGCATCTCCAGACCAGGCACAGCCACCCCGCCTCTCCGTCGAGTTGACAGGCGTATGAGCGGAGACCTACGATCTCTCAGCCAACGAAGTCAGCAAGACCTCACCAAGGACCCGACCAGCTCATCAAAAACCCCAGTCGCCAATGAAGGTCGTGTCCGAACTAAGGACATGGCCGACGTCTATGTAAGTTCATCCCATCTTTCATTGCGGATCCCTTCACACACAGACCCTCTCTTCCTTTTTTTTTACCTTTTACGTCGTCCATTTTCAATTGAGTCTGGCCCGTGGTAGCCTCGCTCAATTCTCACCGACAATCGACTGACCCGACCGTTGCAGGATGGCTTTGGTGAGGGTCGCATCGGCTCTCCCCGATCGCCCACTCGACCTCACAGCATGCGCCGACGTCAGAGCATGCAAGTTCTCGAGCTTGAATCTCGTGTCGAGCAACTGATGGCCGAGAACCGTATGCTCGCCGACGCTCGAACCCACGCCGACTCTCACAACAACAACAATAGAGCTTCCGGTATCCTCGCAGAACGCGATGCCGAAATCGACGTGCTTAAACAATCGCTCGAATTTCTACAAAAGGAGGTGGCTCGGTTGACCGAAGTCAATGAAGGCCTGAACAGCGCAAACACCCAACTTGCGGCCCAACACAACGAACGGTACCGTTCATTGGAGACGCAACACGCTGATGCCTCACGTCAACTAGAGGAAGTGCGCAATGAACAAGGTTACTTTCAAGAGTCCCTACTGCAAAAAGATGCAGAGATTGGCCGGTTGCGCTCAGAGCTCGACGCTGCCAAGGACAAGATCCGTGAGATGCAACGCCAGATTCTGGCCACCAAGGGCGCTGATGCCGACTTCCTCAACGTCAAAGACGTCGATCATTTCGACCACAGATGCCAACAGCTCTGCTCTCACGTACAACAATGGGTTCTGCGCTTCTCCAAGTTTTCTGACATGCGCGCCTGTCGGTTGACGAATGAAATTAATGATGAGAAGGTTATCGACCGTCTCGACAATGCCATCTTGGATGGCACTGATGTGGATACTTATCTCGGAGACCGTGTCAGACGGCGAGATGTATTTATGTCTATGACGATGAACATGATTTGGGAGTTCGTGTTTACTCGTTATCTCTTCGGCATGGACCGCGAGCAGCGACAGAAGCTCAAGTCGCTGGAGAAGCTCCTCACAGAGGTCGGCCCCGCCCAGGCCGTCCGGCAATGGCGCGCTGTTACCCTGACGCTGCTTTCTAAGCGTCCTAGCTTCAAGCACCAGCGCGACCTTGACACTGAGGCCGTAGTCCAAGCCATCTTCCAGACACTGTCCAAGGTTCTCCCGCCACCGTCCAACTTGGAGGACCAGATTCAATCACAGCTACGCCGCGTCATGAGAGAGGCCGTCGACCTCTCCATCGAGATGCGGACCCAGCGCGCCGAGTACATGATGCTCCCGCCGCTACAACCCGAATACGACGCAGATGGCGAGCTCGCCGATACCGTCACTTTCAACGCTGCGCTCATGAACGAACGCAGCGGCGACAAGTCCGTCACTAACGAGGCCCTCGAGGCCCAGAACGCCGTTGTCCGCGTCGTTCTCTTCCCCCTCGTCGTCAAGAAGGGGGATGATGCCGGCAACAATGACGAAGAGATCGTCGTATGTCCTGCCCAGGTACTGGTGGCTCGGTCCAAGGGCAAGTCTGCGCGTCTTTCCACGCCCGGCAGCGACGTAGGCACAGGATCAGTTGGCGGCAACATGGCAGCCATGCACAGCGAACTGAGCATGGGCACCTTCCTGCCCGAGCGAGCTTCGAACAAGTGATTCAAACCGTAATTGTCATGATGGACAAATAAAGGAAGACGATGATATAAATGGAGAGTGTGTAATTATGGGAATGGGAAAGGGGGGGGTATGTGGGATAGAATTAACATGGGATTGATTCTGAATAGAAGCTTTACGATACTGGCTTCTTGGGAAAAAAGGAATGGTTGGAGAAGGGAGGGAAAACGGTGGTTGCATAATGATACCTCTTGTCTTTGCTTTACTTTACTATTTATTTTCCGTCCTTTTTTTATTTTTCTTTTCTTTCGTCATGGATTTTTTAGTACTATTTTTTCCCTGTAGTTTCACTTGCTTGTTTCATTCCGATTTCAAGAGTGCCTGTCACGATCCATCCCGATCTTGTTTGACTCTTTTTTTATCCTTCATGTCTTAATTTCTAGTGCAACGCGGGGAAGGGGGGGGATAAGTTTTCCATAGACAGTTACGAATGATGACGAATTTATTTTTGAACATTAAGTCTTGGTTGCTTTGCTTGTGATGTTACTCGTTTCTCTTGACATGTGTGTAAATTTTTTTCTTTTTTTATGTTGTTCTTTCTCTCTCTCTCTCTCTCTCTCTCTCTCTCTCTCCCAGGACATGGTCGTAGGTTGCCCCTCCTCACCGCTACACGTAACGCCTTCGAAGAAACCAGCCAGTCCGAGCCATCATATCAACACACTTCTTTCGTACACGACGACCCTGGTAACCTTCGCGGTGTCCTTTTCTATATTAAGTAAATCGTCCCCCCTATTAACTATGTGTCTGGAGGACAACTTTTGTCCCCGTAGTCGTCCTGTCTCTGACTAAAATCATACAAATCCACATTACGCATATTTATATATGTATATATATACCAAGCACGTAAATATATGTGTAGCCGAGGTATTAGAAGATTCTTTGGTGGTTTTGCCTTCTTTAACGTATAAATCGTTATATATCGCGACATTATCGTTGTCCCCAGTGGAAACCATTTAACCCAAGAGTAGGGTCGTGGAAACCAGAGATATTCAGTTCGCCGGTCGTCGGATCGTGGGGGAAAAGGCTGTTGATAATATCCTGTACATAAGTGTGTCAGTTAAATGTAATGGGGAAACTTTTTCTAACCGGTAAAAACATACCCAGTCTACGCCCTCAAGCGAGTTCACCATGGTCATAGGAGCCTGTGTTGTTCTGTGTCCAGCAACGCTAGCGCCATCGCAACTGCTCTCTGGACTCTCGGCAGTCACTGGCTGCACACTCCACAGAGCTTCTCCGTTGGAAACACCCGCGAAGACAATGTTGGGAGGAGGAACACCCATCTGGCCCCCCGGAGGGCCTCCTGGCGATCCCATACCCGGAGAGCCGGCACCACTGACAGGTGTCGGTGGTTGTAGACTGTTGGAGATACCAGGTTCTGATTTGAGACCCATCGGCAGGTTTTGCTGATACTGTTGGGGAGATGGATGCATCGACGGCCCCGGGCTGCTCTTGACACCCACGGCATTCTTACTAGGTGCAGCCCGTGAGGTTCCGGTTGGTGCCCGCATCTTCCGCATACCCTGGTATATAGAAGTTTTGCTCATAATCTCGCCCAGGATTTGCAAGCCCTTGACCTCAGGAGGCAAGTTACGATCCGTTTGGAAAACGTAGTCCAGGCAAGCCCAGATACGAGGAGCCTCACGGCTCTGTGGCCGGTAGTATACTTCTGTAGCAAGAAGCAGGGCAATCTGGAACTGCTGGTACGCTCCGAGATACCAAGCCCACTCATGGAAAGGAGTGTCGGTCTCAAGCTGTATTGAAATTTCGATGATCATAATGCCTGACATGATAAGAATGTTGTTGAGACGGTGCGGCATAGGGCTATTGGCGTTGGCGTGATAAGGATGGAGGACCATGGCATAAAGGCGGTAGAGGAGCAGGTGCATCACCAACTTGGCGTACCGTTGAATGGGCACGTCTCCGTCAAGGAAACGCTCATACTTGTCCAGCATGCGCTTTCGAAAGTTCTCAATCTTCGTGAGAACTGCGGCCAGGGTGGTCCGACGGCTTTCCAACCTGCGACGGTCCAGCCAGATGATACGCATCATTTCGTTGCTTTCAAACCGGATTAGAGACGGCAAAGTTGAAGTCCAATATTCGGCCGGCTGAGGAGGCGGTCCTGTTGCAAGCAATTCGTTCTCTTCGCAGTTTAGCGGGAGTTTAGTGTCGTAATCCTCCCTTCGAATTGCTGGCCGTGGGCCCTGTGCTTCACATGTGCGAATATCAAGGAAGCACAACTGATGCCAGATGAGCCTTCTGACATGAGTGTCAAGAGGATTGAGACCGTACGTCTCTCCGTCCCTGTGAAGACCCATGCACTCAGCCATCCTTACAGCAGCGCCTACCAGAACGGAGTGGGCTCGGGATACCTCTGCTCTGCAAAGCGGAAGCTATATCCAAAGTTAGGAACGACTGGCACGGAAAATGCAGGAAAGTACTAACCATGTACATGATGAAAGCCTGCATAGTTTCGACTCTCGTGGTCCGGAGGAAATTGGCTTTTCCAAGTGCTGCTTCGGTGGCCGACTTAAGCCTATCGATCAACGATGCTTTGCTTACGCCGAAGAGTCGGTACACCAGCCCATCATCCATACTGACTGCAGCACTGAACCATGCGGCGAACATGATGGCTTGAGTCGACGGCCGCGGTTCGAAATTGTTGTAAATTTCGTCCCAAAAGTTTTGGTAGTCAACCTCGAATGTTGGACGATGTACACACCTCGCGATGGGATGGACGGCTTGAAAGTACTGTTGAATGAGACGGTCTCCAGCCTCTCTCGTGGGTAATAATGATTCGAATGACTGGGCCTCGGCCGTGTGGCCAAAGAAAAATCCGCTGGAAGGAGGGATGTAAGATTCGCCGGGTCTCAAGAAGTCGGGTAGTGAGTTGTTGGAGCCTCCGCTAACAGTGGACATGGCATCCATGCCCGGAGGTGGGCCGGGGAAGCCGGGATACCCAGGTGGTGGTCCACCACGGGGCGGGCCGCCACGACCGGCCCCGCCCATTGCGCCCATCATTCCGCCCATACCTCCCATACCTCCCATACCACCCATTGAAGGGGGTCCAGGAGGTCCTGCACCGGGAGGACCGCCGGTTATGCCGGCAGAGATCTATAGACTGTCATCAGAATGCCTCCAAGGCTACGAAGAAAAGGGGCTATTTTCTCAATTATTCTGTACGCACCTCTTCAGCAATCCTTGGTCTGGACAGACCACCAATTCGTTCTGTAATGCGCATGCGGCCGACCTGAACCCCTAGGTCGATAAGATCGTCGGTTCCATCAGCATCTTCGTCATAAGTGACATCGAGTGCTGTCATATCCGTAGGCTCGAGGTCGCGCTCCTCGGCGAATTCATCCTCGACGTCGTCTGCTAGAATACTTTGTTGCTTAGCTGCGCGAGAGGTGGTCTTGGCGACATCGCGCTCCAGCTGACGCTCCAGGGAGCCAACTTTTTCCTTGATTTCAGTCAAGCGTAACTGGCTGGCCTCGTCAAGTTTGGGGCTCAGATAGACACAATCACGCGAGAACTTCATGCAGTTGACGCATGGCTGCGACTTGTTGCACTTTAGCTTTCGTCGACGACATTCGAGGCAGGACGTAATCATGCGCATTCGACGCCGAATGGGTTTTGAGGCGGGGCTAGGCGTTGCCCCAGGGGAGACGGCGCCAGCGGGCATTCCCGTCTTACCCGGGACAGCAGTGGACGTTGCTGATCCCGGCGATTGCGCGCCGGGCATGAGATCTGAGTTGGGCAGAACACGCGGGCTTGCCATAGAATGACCCGGTATGGATGGGCTCACAGAATTCATCTGGTAATACTGTGGCTGACCCTGGGGCGAACGAGGGTTGACGGGCGGATGTGAGTGTGAGTGTGGGTGTTGGTAGGCGTGTGGGTGGCCAGACGGGGGCGAGTAGACGGCAGCACCGGCGGCAGCGGCATGACGTGCAGCGGAATAATGGCCTTGGTCCATTTGACGGTTGGTTGTTGCTCTTCTCTGTCACTTCTCGTCTTTTTTGGCAGATGGCGGAGCGTCTGAAGGACGGTAATGAGTTCCTGTTAAGATCGAACAATGGACAAGCAGGGCGGTCATTCGTTGGGCATTATCAAAGGTGCGATCAAAAGAGGATAGAGACTGGGAACGGTTGAGGATCGTCTAGATCTCCCGGGGGAGTTACGGACGTAAAAGAGGACGTGGCCTGTTATGGGTGCAGGACTGAGGGCTGCTGGTATTGGTGGTGGGCCGAGATGCGGCTGTGTGAGTGTGTGGGAGGAGCGGGGCGGGACATGCAGGAGGTGCTTTTAGACAGGCCCCGGTCTGGTGGTGGTGATGGTGTTGTTGTTGTTTTTGTTTGGCGGCGGCGGCAGTCGTCGTGCTGGCAGCTGAGGGAGAGAGGGAGAAAGAAAGAAGAAGAGAGAGAGAAAGGGCAGGTAAGAGAAGGATAAGAGCGTTGGGTGAGTGGATATACACAAGCCTATGTAAGTGTACAGCAGCAGCAGCAGTAGCTCCAGGGCGAGTGATGGGGGGCGTATGTTGGAAAATGGATTTGCAGTCGCATTTGGATTTTGTGGGTTATGCAAAAGTCTTTTGTCCAACAACGGAGAAAGCAAGATGAAGAAGGAGGAACGCGTCGGCAAAGACGCCAAAGAAGACAGAGGCGAAACGAACGGGGTGGTAGAGGAGGAAGAAGAAGCCAAGGTCAAGGTCAAGAACAAAAAGAGCGCGTGGTGGTGGGAGATGGCTAGAACGACTTTCTTGCGGGCCAAATGTATGTGATACTTTGTGGCAGGCGACAATGAGGGGTCCTGCTGTCGTAGGTCTCAGCTGCTCCAATGATGCTACGGAATACCCAGTACTTACAGGATGGGCGTCAGGGGCACCCCCCCGCTACAAGGTAGTGAGTACTTCCCGGATGCGGGGGTTCAGCACCCCTGGCCTCTTTCTCTGTGCCCAAGACACACCTCCCTGAAGGGAATAGCTCATGGCAACATCACGCAACAGGCACATCTCGGCGCCGCTCACCAGTTCGCTAATCTCGTTCTTGCCTGGTCTTCCCATCCTTACCGCGCCCTACCTTACTTACCGGTTATCAAAACCGGCCGTCTTGGATGTATTGCGTACCTTTGCTTAGTACATCCTCCCGGTCTCAACCACCCCAGGCTGGCAGATGTACATACACATATCATGTATCTTAGCTACGTGATTAATTAGTTAGTTAGAGTGCCACACAGAGCTTATCTGCCAGGGCCGGCCGGACTGCCTCTGTGTGCCCAGCTGGTCAACGCAACCTGGCCTGGCCTCCTAGCTGATGCTGCCGAGTTTTAGTGATTTTAGCTGCCGATGCCCTGGAGGCGACGGCGTTTTCTGCTCTAACCGTCCTGTCCAATCGACCCTTCCCACCTCGCGTATGTGGCTTGTCTAGTCATTCCCTGCCTGTCTCTGTGTCCATCCGTTCATACGGTCTTGTCCAGGCAAATCTCAAGACAGGCAAGGCAAACTAGGTTGATCTGTCTCAATCTGTTACCTGTCTTTGAATGCCAAAAGAGTAAGCCGGAAGGGCACTCTTGATGCATGGGGAATTAAATGCCCAATTCCATTGTTCAAGGCCGGTATAAGCCCAACCCCCGTCTACTAGGCTCATGTAAGTAAGCTAGGGCCAGGGGGGGCTTCTTTAAACCGAAATGTCAGTCGAGTTCGATGTCATCTAAACCACACAGCAGCATCGACTAGCGCTAGACTCCATTCTTTTTTCTTATTTCCTGCTCATCTTCTCCATCCTCGCTGCACGTAATAATAGCACGAGAGAGGAGAGGGATGCCTCGGGAGAGGGCAATCCCTCGCCGGTTGCCTCGGCCGAACACACCGACTGGCGCACGACTGCCCCTGATCATCCCCCACCTCTCTCCATACGATGTGGCCATCAGAGCTACTTCTTGGCTATCATGCGTCTTGGACCCCCCCTTCAACAGAGCATTACTGGATTTCGATGCGCACCGAAATCACCATTTGGGTATTCACTCACTCTCTGCGAATACCCTTCATCCATAGCCCCACCAGCCTTCTCCCCCTTCACAGCACCACCAATACCTGCCCTCCTCCACAGACTCCACCATAGTATAAACCTGACTAGCCATGATGCCGCTTCCATCTGTCTTCGTGGTATTGCATGGAATTTTAAACCTGCCGTCCCTGTTTCTCTCCTATCACATATATTACACACCCTCCACGGCGAACAGAGAGCCTCAAAGAGAGACGCTAAGCCTCAACATCCAAATGCAGCATCTCCCACCTCATAGAGCCACACCCAAGTCCACAAGCTAGTCCTTTCTCTCATCTCTTTTCTGTTGCTGTCCCTGTTCCTATTCCTGTGCCTGCGCCATGATCGTGGCTATCCTGTGCCCCCTAATGTAAAGCCAAAATACACTACACATGCTGCGTTATATTACATAGATTGCATGCGTCGCCCCTTTCCTTCACCGCCAAACCACCATTCTGCTCAACCGCCGTGCCAGCCCTTGCCCGGGTTTAGGCTGCAAGTCGTTCTGGTTGTCATCTGTAGTGTTTGCTGGACCGGCAACTCTCGTTCTTTCTGTGTCTTTGTTTCATCCCGTCCCTTTCCACTCAAACACGTGGGAGTATCGCGTGCCGAACATGCTTCCTCACAAGGTTTTTTACTCCGAAAGATCGGGCATCTGTCTCATAAAAAGGACAAAGGGCTCCATTCGATGACCGAAATGTCAAGGACACCTTCTCGAACGCATGCGGCAGAGACACACTCGCAATTGTCTTTAGTCCCAGCCGATTGCCCCGTCCTTGAGTGAAAATTATTTTCTCTCACAATCCTCGTTGTCACGCTCCATGCTTTCACCAAACGCTTCGCCACTCCAAGCTGCTCCCTCTTCTGCCTCGTGTGGCGGAGGGTCGAATGGCTTCCCATCAGAAAGACTCTCCCCCATTGCAGAATTCCATAGCTCGCGCTAGCATGCCGCTTCAGTGCTGCTCTGCATTCTCATGTCTCATTCTCCAGCGTTCCTTCAGGCACCACTGCCACGGACTTGCAGCACTAGAGTCGATGTCCCAGGTCCCTGGCCTTGTGTCTCACAGTCTCACATTCCTTCCTTTCACGCCTGTCGAAGCACAAATTTCTTCATATTTTGTTCCATTCTCTAACGGGGCCCTGCTAATTCAAAGGGCCTATTCGTCGCTGGGCTTCTTTGCGTCCAGCTCCCCAATGACAACCCTCCATCGTTGGAACACTCGAGCAACCGCTCGTCGCTCTTCCGGTCCCTGATATCGTCCAACGAGATCCAAGACCCACCCTATCCGTCGCGACCGTCCATACTCGCCCCTTTTCAAGTCCTGTGTTACTTCCATTACCAGAGCCGTGACTACTTTCCTGGAAAGTTTGATGTGATTATCTTGGAGCCACGTAACACATAAAGACATATGCCGTAATCTCGTCCTGTCAGTCAGATGCTCTGCTTGGGAAAACCAGATAACCATATTTTCCAACAGTGCCGCCTTCTTCTTTGTGAGCCGCTCTCGTTGTGCTGCGCTTTGGTTTCTCATAGTTGCGCCACTGCTGACAACCTTCCAAACGGTGGCGATATCGAGGGACTCATCCTTGATCATGGCCTCTACGTATTTCGTCCACCTCGTCCAGTTCCATTGTGACTGGATCTTCCCATACACTTTGGTCGCATGGCTCTCTAGGAGCGTCAACAAAACGAGCGCCATGTTGTAATCGTCGCTCGCGATGGCCAGCTGCTTGAAAGGTTGGACGGGCAGATGATCCTTGCTTTTGCAGAATCTTTGAATTGAACTCATCAGCTCATCCTGGCATCCGAATCGACGGACAGCCTTAAGAAGACTCCTCAGCAGCGCAAGGGTTCGGCCGGGTGATTCGCAGTCGCAAACATGGATGACCAGTGCAGCAAGACTAAGGTCTGATTGTTCAGCGGAATCCTGGCTCCATCGGGCTTCGATAGCTTCGTGGTTTTGCAAGTATCCACGACTGTTCCATTGCTGTATAAGAAGCCGGCTGAGGTCTCGGCCGAGAGGCTCGGGTACTTCTGGGTCAAAATAGGCTGATCTGACGCAAGCGTCTAGAAGATAGTCCTGCTTCACCTGCGGCATGTGGGCTAAAATTTGCAACCAAACAAAACGAAGCTTTTTGGCAGCGGCTTCTCCGAAGGCCGTCGAACCTTCGTAGACGGCAGTTTCCATTTTGCGGAGTAACGTGCCATGGTCGGCAGATGATAGTTCGCGAAGCGCGACGCCAATATCCGCTGCCCGTTTGCGCCCGGTTGACCGAGACATAGTTAGTGTTTGCACAGCCGCAATGATGCCCTCTTGAACATCGCTGACATAGTGAGAAGGAATTGCGTCGAGGGTAGTTTGAAACAAAAGAGTCGTCGCGTCATTGACAGGCAGTTGTGCTATACGCATTAGCAGCTGGTTCCAGAAGCTGCCTTCGAATTCTTTCGGTCCCAGGACCTTAGAGGATGCAATTCCGTTGACAACGGCCGAAAGAAACATCTCGATGGCTGCGTTGACCACATCGCGATCGGTCTCGGTGTCGAACAAGGATTGAGGGAAGGTTGAAACGGCTATGTCCAAGTCCTCGGGGTCAAGGATACCCAGCTGGAGATCTTGTTGAAGCCCCCCAATAAAGTGGTAGTATGTAGATTCGATTGCCTGGGGCGTAGATGCAGCGACAGCAGACCGGGCTTTCAAGAGCTTTCCCATAAGCACGTTTGTAGATGAATAGATTTCGTCCTGAACCTGTCTGGTATCTTCCTTGCCAATCTGTATCCCCTCCATCCTTGGCGTCGCGACCCACGATAGGACCGACTGGCTATGCTGGCTTTGCGTATCCTTCCCCTCTCTTGCTCGACGAGCAGTTGGGGGTTGCCACTTCCATTGGCTTAGATCGACGGGAAATTCAATCGCCCAGGGAGGCAACGTCGATTGATGGTCCATGTGCACATCCGTCATTTTCCTTCTGCCCAGCCGCTTCCTGCTTTCCAACGGGCCCGGCAGGGAGCTCGACTTCCGACGCGCGAGACGCGATACATGGCAGTAACGCTCAAAGGCGCTCGCCAGCACGCCGTCTGTGATCCATATATTGTCCAATGGCGCCCGAATGTGTTGCTGGACTATTCGGCAGCACTGTACGGTAGGCCGTGACGGCATTTGAAGAGTTGCAGCAGTCGGATGACGTCCGCAGGTGAAATTTATGCTCGACGATGATCAAGATGGGCCATATCTATCAGATGATGTTGTATATGGCGACTCGGACGCGGTTTCGATTGCAATTGATACGACGGTTACGATTGATAGCTGTTTCGTGATGGAAGCAACAAAATGCCAGGGAGGTCAGCGAGTTTGGAAGAGCTTGGATTGGCAGCCCCACTAATGTCAAGCCTCATTGTGGCTAGGCAGCTCCGGTCCGGGGACCTCGGCGATGTAGGCTGGTAGGATGGGGAAAGCTGCTTTGGCGGGGTTTTCAGTGGCCGGGGAGGGGCATCTTGTATTTAGAAGGAATCTACAACAGTCACAAGCAGAAATCACCAAAGCTAGCCGAAAAGACAAAATGGAACTGACATTCGAGCCATTGAAGAACGACCTGCTTCTGCGGGCGGCACGCGGTAAGCCAATGGAAATCTCAATCTCTTCAACATACGAGTCTCACGCAAACCTAACCACTTGATGCAGGCGAAACGATCGAGCGCCCGCCGTGCTGGATCATGCGGCAAGGTAAGGACACCGCCCATCCTCGTTCAAGCCATCACACGAACAGTGAGGAAAGAGATAGTCTGACGTTTGATCTATTGAACCCCTACAGCCGGCCGCTACCTCCCCGAATACCACGAGGCCAAGGGCAACCGCGACTTCTTCGCCTGCTGCCGCGACCCTGAGATCGCCAGCACCCTGACCCTGCAGCCGATCGAGCGCTTCGCTGGCCTCCTCGATGCTGCTATTATTTTCAGCGACATTCTCGTTGTCCCTCAGGCCCTCGGCATGACCGTCGAGATGGTCGATAAGAAGGGCCCTCACTTCCCGGATCCCCTCAAGTCTCCCACGGACGGCCAGTACGACCAGGTCATGGCCAAGAACGTCGACGTCGCTTCTGAGCTCGACTACGTCTACAAGGCCATTACTCTCACCCGCAAGAAGCTTGCCGGCCGCGTGCCCCTCATTGGCTTCTGCGGCGCCCCTTGGACGCTGTTCTGCTACATGGTGGAAGGTGGTGGCACTAAGCTCTTCATCCAGAGCAAGACATGGATCTACAGATACCCCGAGGAATCAAAGAGGCTGCTCCAGAAGATTGCCGAGGTGTGCGTCGAGTACCTTGCCCTGCAGGTCAAGGCTGGTGCTCAGGTATGTTTCCCTTCCAAGGCGACATTTGTGCACGGGTGTGGCTGACGACTGTAGCTTGTCATGGTCTTCGACTCCTGGGCCGGCGAACTCGGCCCTGCGGCTTTCGAGGAGTTCAGCAAGCCCTACCTCTCCTACATCTCCGAGAACCTGCCCAAGAAGCTGCAGGAGATGAACCTTGAGCGCGTGCCCATGACCGTCTTCCCCAAGGGCGCGTGGCATGCCCTCGACTCCGTCTGCGACATTGGCTACGACGTCGTCGGTCTCGACTGGATGCAGAGCCCCGCCGATGCTGTCAAGATCCGCGGCAACAGACGCGTTGCATTCCAGGGCAACGCCGACCCTGGCGTCCTATACGGAACTCGCGAGAACATCACCAAGGCGGTCGAGGAGATGGTCAAGGGTTTCTGGGGCCAGAAGAAGGAGTGGATTGCCAACCTTGGACACGGTAGGTTCCACTAACGCTTTCTTCCCGACACAGACGGGGGAAGAGATGAGCTCTAACTAACGATACACAGGCATCACTCCCGGCGTCAACCCCGAGGATCTCAGATTCTACCTGTCTGAGATCCACCGCTTGACGAGCAACTAAAGAAAAAGGACGGAAGATGGAACGTCTCGGTAATGATACGAAGCATGATAATTTAAAAAAAAGCATGAATCATCACTCGGATTAATAGGTATACCGGTGCATGTCAAGGGAACGGTCCGGGGCGGGCAAAATACTATTCAGGTCATTTTAGCGACTGGGCAGGTATTAGACCAAAATCACAACTCAATGGAAATTTATCGCGCAAATCAAGGACTGTGGTTTTTCAACACCTCCAAAAGTGACGATCAAAGACACGTGAATGGCAAGGAGTGATGAGATATAAGTATTTTTGTTTCTTCCCCTCCATTGTTTACATGTTTGCCTTTTCAAATCCTTCTCAAGTAAAACCCTCAAAAGTAGTAGCCGAAAGTGAATGGTATCAAGAACTTTTTTTGTTTCATTTCAACAGTTTTCAACACGCCATATTCCAAACGCCCAGAGGTAGAACAGAGAAGGGAATAGAGAGAGAGAGGAAAAGAAAATAAAAATTAATCAACATCCTTTCCCTTATATCTTGACCCAAAAAACTCCGTCGCCGAAATGAGCAATACATGGATGGTGGCCATAGCTGGTGCCTTTCTGGCAAAAGAAAAAAAAAAGAAAAACCGTTCCCTCGACAAATAAAAGAAAACTACGCCCAATCGTAAAGGCCATCGCCATGGTTGAGCGTCATTATCGCCATTGAGAAACAGCACGACGCAAGAATCAGAGAGAGATTATTCGTGTGGGAACCCCTCCCTTCTCTGAGACGAGAAAAGAATGCTCATGCTTTCTTGGTCAGGTTGTTAAGCCACTGCTTTCCCTTGGCAGCGAGGCCGTTGGCGCCGTCCTCCGGGCTGCGACGACCAGCGGTGGGCGAGGGCGTCTTGCGGAGCGAAGATTCTTCGTCGTCGACGACGGCAGCGGCGCCGTCGAGCTTGGCCTTTTGCGCGGCGGCCTCCTCCTCCGAGCCCGACTTGAAAACGTTGGCGGCGCCGCCGCGGCCGAAGTGGGAGCCGGAGGTGCTCTCGCGGCGGGGGACACTGTTAAGCAGAGCACGTATTAGTTATGGTTTGTCATGTCTCCTCGGCTTTTGGTATCACTCGGTCTCATATGATGTTCCAGAGATACATCAGAAACCAGCATGATATCTCTGTTTTCTTTCTTTTCCCAATTCTCCTTCTTGGCGCGGGAAATACTTACGCTTCTACATCCTGGCGCAGACGTGTCTCATAGGGGTCAGCGTTCTTGGCCATGTTGCCAGAGCCACCGCGGCCGGTGGTGACGACCGAGGTCTTGAGAGTTGGTGTCTCGAGGTCCTTGGGGGTGACCTTTGGCGACTTGGTGCTGTCGGCCATGTTGCCGGCACCGCCGCGACCGTGGGAGGCAAGCATTGTATTTGTGTGTTTGTGACTTGGTGGTTTGGTTGCACGACTGTCTATGAGGTGCGCAAATTCGCCTTGTAAAGGGCGAGTATGTAAATGTGTGTTGTCGTGTTGAGTCGAGATGAGCGCGCGCGCGGTCGCAATACTGTAAGACGTGCGACGGGGGTTTATGACAGACAGCGTGGGGGAGGAGGAGGGATGGTCTTCTAGCTGCGGGGCGAAGACGGACAATGGGAAAACGTGTTGCTGCTGAATGGAGTTGATTGTTTGGCCACGCTAAGGGGTAGAAACAGGGCCAGACTCTGAAACTCTCTTGTCTACTGCTTCCTCTTCTTCTAGTTGTTTTTTCTCGGCTGGTTTTCGTTTCTCCGGTTAAGATCAGATCCCCCCCAAAAAAAGATCAAAACGAGTGAGCTTGACAGGACTGTGCGGCGGCGGCGGCGACGCAGCAGCCAGATGGGAGACAAAGGACTTAAATAAGGACACAGCGGCACAGCAACATTTTTGCTCTGTCTTTGTTTAAGCTTCATCGATGGTGGGAAGCAAGGATAGGTATGTCCGCAAGCAGCTATTGCGCTACCTTTCCCAGTACGGCGTAAGCAAATCCTTGGCCTGTTCCTCCCAACCTGACGTAGGTTGCGCCGACAATTGATCACAAGGTCATTCAGATATTTTTTTTTTCCCTCTCGTTTCCCCCCCTCTCATCTTCTGCACAGACCTGGGCTTTTTTGGGCTTGAGAGTTCCCCACATGCCATCAGTGGACCATGGTCTCGGTGATGGCTAGCTTGGCGTATGGGCCATTCCCAATTGTGTTTTTTTTTTTTTTTTTTTTTTCACATTTTCTTGTCTTTCCCTTTTGCTTTTTTTTTGCTTTTTCTGCAGTGGATACTCCTCAATGGTAGATGGGGTAGGCAAAAATGTTGGAGGAAGAGGGGAGGCAGACAACGGTTGCTGGGAGCTTCAAGGGACGTTGCAACTTTGGCAGGGAGCGGGTGCTTTGGAGAACCATGGGGGCGGACAAGCCATTAACAAACCAAAACGTAATGAAAACAACGACGTCCAGCCAAAAACACCACGCACACGCTTAACCGACAGGCACGACGGCCCCCAGCATGCCCTTCCCGAAGGGTCCCTGGCCCGCCTTGTCTGGGATAGGTCAAGCCCACGGTGGTGTCATTCATGGTGCGTGTGTCACTTGATCGCAATCTTCGAACCGCCCGTCGGGCCCATGGCAAACTCGCGTGGGCGGTGGATGTGCAATTCGCAACGATCCATGAGCCTCCTTTGGCGGCTTTGTTCTCAAACGGCCCATGAACGCAACGTCGTCAGCCTCGAGTTAAGCTACCCCTCATTATGAGTGTGTATGTGAGTGTGTGTACTTAGGCAAAAGCAAGGCTTTCGTGGCTGTCAATTGCCGCAGATGACCGCTCCAGATTTTTGCGCAATCTGGCAGAAATATCCGTGTGAGTGAATTGCTGGTCTTGCACGTTTACGTCGGCCTAGAACCCAAAGGCAAATTGGCAGGGCTTCGCAGCCTGGTCTGAGGGGTCTTGTGACTTGAGTGATATAACTTCCTATCCGCTGCCAATGTTCCAGGCTGCCAGAGAGGGCATAAAAGTGCAGAGAGCCATTCCGTATATGCAGCACTTTGAGCCTCGGCCACAGGCGTTGAGTGATTTAGTAGTATTAGTAGTAGTAGCAGCTTGGCGTGCGCAATATACGTCGAGTAAAGCCGGCAAATAGTAAACCGTAGAGACGGAAAAAGGGAAGGAGAAGGAAAGGCTGCCGAACTGAGAAACGCCAAGGCTTTTCATCAATTACACCTTTTCACGCCAAGCCGATTATTCGAGGTCCTCCTACTGATACCTCACCACCAATCGACGTAACCCATCCGTCAGTGGATGTCAATCCTGATGCCGAGGCCGAAATTGCACCATGTGCCGTCTAAAAAAAAAATTAAAAAAAAAAAAACGAACAAAAAAACCATGATGGTGATGCCATACTAGACTCATGTTCCGTGACTCGCCAATAAAAGCATCATCACCTTCATTGCCCGCTTCGCGAATTATGCGGCTCGCGCAATTTGGCATTTCCCACTGGGCGCCGTGCCGATAGAGAGTCGTTCCCCTAATGGAGGGGGCTGAAACCTGCAAACAACTGTGACCGGCAGGGCTGCACCCCAGATTTGCGGACGAAATGGGAACATTGAAATCTGTCATTGAGGGAAAAGGTTTTGCGCCAGCCACGACTCTGCCTTTTCGCATCCATTGGTCATCCGAACAGCGCTCATTCAATCACGGCCGTCTTGATCTTTGCTTGCATTCCCAAACACCAGAGGAACAGGTTACGGTTGTGATCGTCCCCTCACTTCCATCTCATAAGACCTTGCATACCGTAGTAGTATAGAAACTCTGGCCTAGAATGGCTGGTTCTCACTTGCTGATTGGCTCGTAATACTTTTTTGGTCTTTCATGGCTGTCAGTCTGGGCGGCGCCGAGGTGGCAACTCTGAAATCCTAGTTCAGGCGTTGGCTTGCTTTAGTATAGACCTTAAACTCTGCCCATGTACTAGTACGCACGTATCGACTCTCCCAGTCTCGGCCCGGCCTGTTGGTAGGTTTTCAGCACTTCGGCAAGCGGCGATCTGCATCTGCGAAGGCACATCGATTTGGCCTGGACGTCTGCGGACGACGCGCATTCATTGGTATCCCGCTGTCTCGAATGTCCGGCGACGGCCGATACGCGTCCGGGGCTTTTTCTTTCATCCTAATCGTATTTCGCTACCAAATCTTTATTCAAGCCTGTACTCTAGGAAGACGGCAGAACTTTAATTCAAACTGGTAGCCGTTGGTCGGTGCTGTTGTTTGGTGGCCACTGCTGCCGAACAATCCGACCTGAGCCGTCTTCAAGGCTTGACCGACTCTGACACATAGAAGGAAATGGTTTCGTTACTTTTTGTTCTTTTCCCCTATTCATCTCGATTGCGGAACCATGAAGGATGCCAAGAGGGACAACTAAAGCATTCCTACACTGATATGCTGGCCCGGGATACGCCGGCGGTCGAACTAAGTAGGTGCATGTGAAGTTTGGCGTCAGCCCAACTCAAATCCGATCGGTTAAAGGCTCAATGAAGACAGCAGTCCCGCGAAATGGTCAGAACATCAAAGATACAGCTTCATTTCTTCGAGGACATCTCTGATATCCATGTGCTCTTGGTCAGCCGCAGGCTCGAAGCTGTAGTCCCGTCATGGTCAGTTGACATTGATGCCAGAGCCAGACCTGTCACTTAAATCTCGATTTTATCCGTTCGCACAGACTTGACCGCTGGACTTGACATCTGGGGCGCCCCAGTTCGTGCGCTGTTACGTCTTGGCCGTTGGGACGATGAATTCCCTTAGACGCACCCGCCATGAAAAGTTGCTAATATAGAGGCTTGTCAAGGAAGGTCCTATGTAACGCGGGCGGGCTCCCGTACTATGTATCCGTAATGCACAACCATATCCAACTTGGGATGAACAAGCAAAGCGGGTGCACATCATCCTTTCGGAGGGCTCCACACCCGTGCTAGCGCGGCAACCGGATCACCTCCGAATGCCCTAGACCTTGCGCGTTCCTCGACCAAGGACCCTTGGATTCTCCACATCGCGCCTACGTTGTTTCGTTGGTACCGTAGACATCTGCCAGCTCATCTTTCCCGAGACGGATGTATCCTCTGGGGGAAAAATGGCCTAGGGCATGATGAGACTCCCGATCTCGAAGATCCGTTGATTCGGATGATCAGATATATATCATGCTTGTTTCATCTTCAATCTTTCTTGAGCAAGGTGAGGTCTGCCGCTTGGTTGCTACGATCCTGCTTTACGCCGCTGCTTCCTAAAGGCTTGCTTGATGTGTTACCACGAGTGAGGAAAAGAAAAAAAATAAAAATAAAACAAAAGTGTAGATCATGCGAGAAAGACTGCAAAAGGTCGAAGTGACACCGGCTGCATAATAGCTTCCAGCAAGGATGTGTTTGGAATTCTGTCTCTAAAGCAAGCAGAAAATTGGATCATCTATGCTGCGCGAGGGCCTGTCGGCACTCTCTGAGTTTTGGTACCGAGAGCAAACGAAAGGTCATTGCGAAGCATGGGGGGAAAGCTCCAGTATCCCAAATCCATGCCTCCGGCGCCAATCATCTCATGATCCGATTTGTTTGGCCAAAGAAAAGCGACCAAAAAAAGACTACGAGAACATTTCGAGCAGTGTTTCTGCGGCAATGGCATAGCGGGCTAGGGTTTCCCCGTTGGAACAAACGACTTGCGTGACTCACCGGCTTGTCAGGCAGCCTGACTGTCAAAAAGCAATGCTCAAGGATAACAAGACGATGAGAGGTTGCATTTCAAATCATGCATTGCAATATTAGTATAAGCAGGGGCAGCATGGGGGTCGGGGTTGTTACAGCTTCAAGACACCTTCCTCCGGCGTGTGTAATACCGCCAAAGGGGCAATCAGTGACAACAAGCAGCCAGTTTAACTGCTAGGCTTGTAAGGCGCGGCTAAGGCCAGCTTCCGGCTTGGCCAACAAGGACCAAGGTGTCCAACCTGGCCTTATGCCGGGCGCTGTGTTGCTAGGATCCCACTACGATTTTCGGCAAATCTGGGAAAGAAAGCATGATCTAGGGTGAAAAAGAATGTGGACGCCTTAGAAGATACGCAGCATGATAGGTAGATTCACACTTTGCTGCCTTTCATTAGAACTCTAGTGGCAGAGGCATAATTCGAAATGTGAGAAAATAAGCAAGTCACGGTGCTCCAGGGGAACAGTAGCCGAAACACGAAGCCCCAAAGGAGATTGGTACGATGTGTTAGGCCATATCAATACCAAACGGCATCCAAGGGGAGACGGTCTAGATGAGAAATGCCACAGCGAGCATGTCCAGATCGACAGAAGGCACAAGAACTGCGCGACCAATCGAGGGGGGGCGGTGGACAGAGCATGGTGGGTAACACGGTAGACGGGGATGTTGCAAGCCGGCTTCCGGTTTGGTGCTGACGCTCGGGATGGCGTACGAGTGGGAGATGAGTCTTGCCTCTTGTGTGCATCAAGCCCCGGTAAGGCCGAATATGGCAGTTTACTTTCGTGGAGAAGCTGTACCAAGAAACTGACGAGTAAGTTCAGGGGTGATAGACCTGGCGTGCCCTTTTCCTTTGGGGATATGGCATGGAGTCATCCCCAATGAGGATCAAATATGCTTGGGCAAAGCCCCTCTCCGATGCTGGAGGTGCGGCTGAGGTGATGCGCCGAGCGGGCGTTGGACATTTCGGTTGTGTCTGTTGGCACCGAGGGAATGGTTTGGCATAAAGTAGGGATGCTGCTAATGTCGGGCTTGATACATGCGAGCAAATGGTTCGTTGGACCATAGTGTCGGGATGGGTGTGTCTGGCAGGATGACGACGCTTGTGGTGTATGAAATCGGGTCGAGTTGCCGATTTTGTTTTCCAGCCCGGTTTATTCTGTACCGTTGAAAAGCAAGCACTACTACGTGACGATATCATGGTGGCAAGATATCCGTAAGCCTTAGGTGGCCGTAATCTTGGGGAGGTCAGGCCTAAGACATTACGGAGCAAAACTAAGTTGAATGGTCATAGAGCATGTGTGTGGTGGCACACGGGGAGAGCTGTTGTAGGATACTCGACTAAGACAGAGTAGAAGGGCATGGGATTGTTGAGTTAACTCGCGTATGTATCCGTAGGTGCTGCACTGTCAGTTGGCTGGTTGGGCAGAGGGGCGATTCTCTCAACCCTGCCCCTTCCCCTGTCGAGTGTGAATTTTTGCCTGCCCCTTCCCCTGTCGTTGCTTTTGCCTAGCCTGGAGCAGGGAGATACCTATAGTAAATGCACGATGCCTGAGCGGCCCGCTTGCGCAGCTCCTTGCACGGCATCAGACTTTAAGGATTTAGAAGGCGACGGCGATTGAAAGGGGCCGAGGGGCGTCTGAAGGCATCGGTTGGTAACTGTAGGTAAAAATCGAAGACAAGAATGTCTGTATCTCGAACACAGAGTAAGACAAGGTAATTTTCGAGGGTCCTTTCTGCAGTCTCTCACAGTGGAACCTAAGTCGAACGTCAGACTTGGCCCAGGCCAAGGTACCTTAACTTACCTTACCTTAGCTTATCTACCCGGATACCTTAAGACAACATCGGCCTATTCGAGCCAGGGTAAGTAGGTGCTTACTACTGGAAAGATAGGCATGCCATACAGGCAGAAGCCAAGGAAGGGGGAGGGGGCAATCAGGAGAAGTCAAGAGCTGCCGAGGCTGATAGGCAACTGCCTGCCTTACCTGCCTCTTTCCACCTACATAAGTGCCTCGATCTGAGCCCTGGAAATAATAACAACGATGGTGATAGACACAAGGGAGAAAAAACCAAACACCTATGATGAACGCGCACGCTCCCTTTCACAATATCCGAATTCCCCGTCCCTAACTGTCCAGACGAGGCATCTCCACCTGGTAGAAAGAGGCAAGAGGGTCGAAGACGGTAAACTTGTGGTCCATGGACCAGCATCTAGCGGGCCATGATCCGTTCCATACTCCAGCGCCGCGCATCGCGCATCGCACATATCCACTGCGGCCGCAACCCAAGCACAAAAGCAAGGAGAAAGAAAATGAGCCGGCGCATCAACAAACCCCGCGGTAATGTTGACCGAGGGCCTTCCACACAAACGACTAGTACTGCGTTTCAACAAGCATCTATTTTGCTCTGCAAGAATCAGGCACACGATACTGAGGGTGTGGCGTGTTTGTGTACTTGACCTCGCGGCACTTCACATCATCGCGCAGTTGCATAAGTGTAGCTGATGCTCTGACATGCACCGCCTTAACTCGGCCAAGAGACCCAAGGGTATGGACTGGGGAATCAGCTGAAAGGTTCGGAATATGGAGCAACAGCAGAAGCGACGGCGGCGGCAGCAGCAGCAGCAAGCCTACTTTTACTGCACAATCGTCTCAGCTGCCATCTTCGATCCACGGTTGGAGACCCTGCCATCTTGTTCACTCAATTGTGACAGGCAAACTCATGTTATCTTTCCGTGCCCGCCGCCACCCGCCTGACGTCTCGTTATAGTAACATCAGTGTTAATAGTAGTTGGTAGCAATGCACTGTCAATTTAAAAAATAGAAAAAAAAAATAATAGGGTCAAGCACGTCTCTGCGGTTAGGCATTGCTGGAAGGGAAGGGCAGCAGCAGCAGCACATGCCCCTAGCCCATCCTGCCGTGCCCCGTTCTTGTCCCTTCCCTCCTGTCTGTCCTGTGCTCTCACTCCCCTCTCTCCCCCCTCGCCTGTCCCTGGACTCTTGGGTGCTCCACTCGAACCACTTGCCCGCCCATATCCGTCCACCACACACACAGACCATCACTTGCACCCCTCCCTCCCCTCTCCCCTCCTCCAATTGCCCAGTGACTTGCGTCGGTAGCTGCTTAGGTTTCTCAAGCTACCTTGTCCCTCTACACCACCACCGTGAGGTCCTGCCTGCGTGCCTGTACCTTGCCTGCTTGCCTTCCACTTTACCACGGTACCATAGGAGCGTACTGCGGTACCTAAGAGCTCGAGCGCCTCCGAAACCCAATACATCTTGTATTTGAACCCAGCCCGACCCATCCTTCGTCCCTTTGTGCTTCTTCCAAACCAGATCGCATTTTTTTCGTGCTCGCCGAATTCTTAAGGTATCGTACTCTCCCTCCCCTCAATATGCTGCTGTTGTTGCTTCCTACAGTCCTTTTTGCTATCTTCAAATCATACCTCTTTGCCTTGTTTCCTCTCGCTAATCTTCACCGTCCAGTTGCGACCCGCGATAGCTTTACCCTGCCCTCCACCCCACGACGAGCAGACCAGAGTCACGGACAGTCGCGAGGAGCCGCCGAAACCATGAACTACGACCAGCAGCACCAAGCCGCCGGTGGCTACCACCACATGGCTCCCAATCCCTACGGCCATCAACTTCCTCCACCTTCGCAACATCACCCATCTGCTCCTCAACACCATCCTCATCCTCCGAGTCAAATGCCACAGCTCCCTCCCATGTCCTATCCACCACCGGCACCATTGCCTTCCAACATGGCTGGCAACGGCATCCCTCCTCAGCATCTTCCATCCGCCCCTGGTGCTCCTGGAGCTGCGGCTCCCCCCGCTCAGAAGACTGGCCCTTTGCCTGAGATCTCCAAGACCGACGACCAGGGCAGGCAATACAGGTTTGTCACACTTGCACACAGTATGTGGCAAAAAGCGTCCTTTTTCTGACTTCGTCCACCCATAGGCTTGATGTTGTACAGCAGCCCCAGCGAGCGCGCATGTGCGGATTCGGTGACAAGGTAAGCGTCTTATCAACGAAGATGGTACCCAGGATTCGGCATCAGCGCTGACGCTTCTAATTAGGACCGCCGGCCCATCACCCCTCCCCCTTGTATTCGAGTCGTAGTTTTCGACCCTGTCACCAAACAAGAAATTCATGTCAAGTAGGTTTAGGGCCCGTATGCTTGCTTTTGACCCTGGCCCTTGCGCTAACAGCAACTGCTTTACAGCGAAGTTGACCATGCCCACTTCATCATCAACGTTGACTTGTGGTCAGAAGATGGCCAGCAGGAAGTGAACCTGGTCAGGCACTCATCGACCACGGCTTCCATATCTACTACCATTCCGCACTCCTTCACGGGACTGAGAGATGATATCCAACCCATCCAGCCCTATGCCCAGATTATGCCCTCCTATGGCGCCCCTTCCATGGGTTATGGCCAGCAGCAACCTCCGGCGCCGGGCCAACCGCCCATGGTGCCAGGTTACACTGGTTATCAACGTGAGTTACTCGATCATTGCCAGTTCGTTTATATGGCTGAATGGCTAACAACGCGACAAGCTCCCCCAACGGGATACCAATCTACAAATGCCGCATTCGCGCCCCCAACCCAGTACTACCCGCAGCATGCGTCAGCCACTGTGCCGTCACAGGCAGACATGGCCTACGGCCACCGTCAGTCCATGTCTATGGCCTCGAGCCAGCCCCAGGGCATGTTCACTCGCAATCTGATTGGCAGTCTTGCGTCGAGCGCTTTCCGTCTCAACGACACTAACGATAACGTCGGGATCTGGTTTATTATGCAGGATTTGAGTGTCAGGACCGAGGGTCACTTCCGGTAAGCACGCCCGAACGAATTAAGAGTTAGCGGTGTGGCTAATAATACCTTCAAAGGTTGCGTTTCTCGTTTGTCAGTGTTGCCAAGCGCCCCGGTCAGCCGTCCGCCCAAGGCTCGATGGTCAATATGGGCAAGTCACCCGTTCTGGCCCAGTGCTTCAGCGACGTATTTCAAGTCTATTCTGCGAAGAAGTTCCCCGGAGTTTGCGAGAGCACAGCTCTCAGCAAGTGCTTCGCTCAGCAGGGTATCAAGATCCCCATAAGGAAAGATGGGCCTTCGGACAGCAAGAAGGGCAATGATGACGAGGAAGATTTCTAGTGAAGTGTCTAGTCATTTTGATGTTGAACGGCGCTTGGAGTTTTGGGAAACAACAAAGTGCATCATGCGAAAGGTACTCGGGCGGCTAACCGGATTGGTTTCTTAAACCTCTACAAAAATCATGGTATCAGGCAAGACGTATCACTGCCCTCGTGGCTTATACCCCCGTTATTAGACACCTTAATAGATCTAGCATGGGGTTTTCAAATGAAATGCGATGGTTCTGCACTGCGAGTAATTCAAAATCTTGCAGTTCGGTAGTCTGGCAAGTCTGTACTCTTGACAATGATGGTAGAAGCTGCTTTGATTTGGGGTTGAGTATCTTTTTTGTCCTTTCGGAATTCAGGCCCGGCTTTCCCCCTTCACTCGGCCGGGAGAGCCCCCTCCACTAAGCCGCATATACGATGCCAGCCAACCTGGCCTCAGCTATTCCGCGAAGGCGTGTGTGCGTGTCCTTGCCTTAGTTCCCGTTGGGGTGGAGATTTCTGCCCTGAGCAGCCAACAGGACCTGCTTACGCCGCAACGGCTACCGCCTTTCTGCAGACAAGCCCATCTCGTTGGATTCGAAGCTTAGTGGTTACGCCACACCGCCCCCCCCCCCGTCGCGGCAAACGAAGGGGTGACGTGCGCGCGCATGTGAGTGAGTGTATGTGTGTGGAAAATTGCCGTTTGTTTTCCTTACAGACAGACGGCGAGGAGGTGATGTTTCCCGTGAGTTGTGTTTCTTGATACACTCGACTGATCCCGGCCCACAGCTGCGGCTTCTACATTGCCCTCCCCCACCCCCCCCTTTTGGCCTTTGGTCTGCCTTTTGTCTCTGGCCACATCATACGGTATGGGTAAATCAAATCATCATCATCATCAAAGTGTTCTGCCAAGCAGCATTATTGTGAGAACCACACTCTGATCAAGTAGTCCATGTACATCTTGGGAGCAGCTGTTGGATGGATGGATGATGTTGTTCCATTGGATATACGGATTTGTGCCACGCCAGCCTACAACACCGCCTCTTCATAGAAAGCTAGAGGTTAGAATTTCTCGCTCATATGAATTTCACAATGTGCAAAGGTAGAGGTTTTCACATGGCAAGGGCAACAAATCTAATGTTTTGGACTCTTGTCCACGGGATATTGGAAAACTACAAATGATGCCTGCAGTCTGACTGCGAGGCAGCTCCAACGCCTGACACGCCCTACCCGGGCTCAACTAACAACGCTCAACGCTCCCAGAGTTTTCATTGCTGATCCTTCCTTCTTCATGAGAAGCCGCCAGTGACATGTATCAGCTGACATGGTCGCATTCCATCCGTCAGACCTCATTATGTTGCCTGTATCAAACGCCATCTTGTTTTCATCTGAAGAACAAAGAGAAACAAAAGAAAAAAAGGCGGAGAAAAGAGGAGAAAAAAGAGCCTTAAACTGTACAAATCGAGGGTGTTTCCCACCATTGTTCCTTTTAGAACCAAGCCCATGTCCCTCCGCAAAAGTGATATAAATATACCGACTGGGTCTTTTTGTTTTCATCAGCAATAACACATGCCGTGGGTGCCACAAAAACATCACCGCTCAGTTAGCATGCAGGCATCCGTCGCGCGCATGTGCCTGACTGCACGCAGACCTTATCCCGCGAATGGGTGAAAGGATGCTGAAAGGATTTCGGAAAACGCCGGCTGTGGGTATGCAAGGACTCTAGGAATCGGCCAGTTTCGCAAAGTGCTTCGACCATATCCAGCCAACCTGGTCGTCAGGGTCATCCTGATTTTTGGCAAGCCAGAGCTCGCCTTTCTCCGCAATAACATCAAAAATCTGGACAGGAATGTTAGCACTTCCAAGGTTTCAGCATACAACAACGTCAAGATTACTCACCTCACCAGCTTGGTACGTGAGATACGGGTACCCAGCTTCGTGCTTTGTAGTCTCAATGTTGAACTCGAATAACGATGCCGCTAACCACAGAACATTGTAGCCATTGGCTGCCGGTGTTCGTTCACGCGATGATGCTCTTGAAGACCTTTGACTCTCTTCCGTGCCATCTGGCATCGGAAGGGCTGAATGGAACAGGCCAGAGAATCGTCTCGGCTCACCGCCCTGATATGTATGATGGGAAGGGTTGGAGTCGCGGTTGTGCACTGTAGATTCAGAGCTCTGCCGAGGCAGGCCGTTCGACTCATAGCTTTTGCTTGTCCCGGGGCGAGTTGATGAAGAAGGAGGGACGTTTACCCGTGCTACGGGTGACTGGTCACCCGCAACTGGAGATGCACCCACCGACGGACGTTGTCCACTGGGACCGGTATAGTAGTCCCGGTAGTAGAATTGATGGGGGCTCAGTGGCGTAGTTGCCGGTGAAAGTGTGAACTGACCGCTATGACGCTTTACAAAATCTGGGGTGGGTAGTATTGGGGCTTGATCGCCATTCACTGAGAGGCCTCTACCCCGTGGGGAGGGCTCGGTAGGTCGAGATCGAAGCTTGGATGTGACGTCGTCTGTGCTCGCTGTGGTAGATTGTGATGTCCTGCCCTTGTATGTGGGGTTCAGGATTCCAATGTTTGTAAACAATTCCTGAGCATACTTGTAGTCCCGTTGGAATGTGGCGACAATGTCTGGAACTTCGGGTGGCGGTCCTGTTTCTCCCGTGACCTTCTTGACCTTCTCCACCCAAATGGAGTACCAATTTGCTTGAATATTGACGAAGTTGCCGAGGCAAATGTTACCAATCTTCTCGGTCAGAGCAGACAACTGGGGTAGTTCCTTCTTCAACGTTTCATTAAGGGCGTCGTACTGTTCCACCAACTCCTTAAGTCTGGCGTCTACCGTCTTTCCGCCTTTCTTGAGCTGCTCAGATCTCTCGTAATCGAGACGACGCTTGGCTCGCTTCTTCATTGCAAGCGAAGGGTTGCCGTACGCCTTGATAACATGTTCAAAGGGCTCGATTACATGTTTTCTTACTTGTTGAAGCTTCTCATGTGTCAGTATGTAGGATGAACACGTCAAGGTCACAAATTAGCATAAGGGGAGGCCGACTCACATGTTCCTCTAGTGCAATCTTCTCAATGTCCCTCATGGACACATTAAATTGCACCCACTTGCTCTCCAGTTCGGGATAGCTTCCTGGTTGGAGTCTCATAACAAGCTCCATGGAGGACAAGTATTGCAGAAACTCATGTACGTAAGCGCTGACCTGTCGAGTATAAAATTCGACGTCTCGAAGAACGACTTGAAGGCGCAGGTAGTCATCACCAAATTTCTCGTGAAGCTTGGCGTAAGTAGCATCTTCAGGAATCCTCGAGCTGGTAGCTTGCAGCTTGTCCACTCTTTTGCCAAAGGCACGAGCGAAACCAGCCTTAACATCGGATTCTTTCCTCTTTCGCCCGACAATTTGTCCAACCAGCTCAAAGTTCTTCTTCGTCTTGTTAATCTCAATGATTGCCAGCTCCAAGACCTCTTTCGCCGAAATCAACTCTGCTCGATCGGGATGGTCTTGAGGGGTGTGCTGTAGAAGGGTCATGATCAAAGTCGGATACTTTGTAATCCTCTGCATGGGTTTGATGAGCAATGAATCTAGGTCCCAGGCTGCCGTAAGGTCCTTAGCCACTTCATTGCACTCGTTCAACCAAACCTTCACTGTTGGATCTTGCTGAATCTGGATCAACCGCTTCGCTGCGTGATCACTGTTTCTCAAGAATCCTTCATGTGCTATCCTCATTTGGTCGATGTACTTTTTGAAGATAGGGCCGATCGCTGTGGCTCGATCCTTGTCATCATCAAGCTCAGGCGTGGTTGAGTGGGCCGATGGGTTTCCTGTCTGATCAGGAGCTGCGGAGTCTTCCCGTGGCAAAGGAGATCGACGTCCGTGAGGAACGTAGACCGGTGCAACAGATTCCTTGAGTTGGGTCAAGAAGAGTGTGTGAAAGCTGATAATCTCATCCGTGTTTCTGAAGATGAGCTTGATAGTTTGGTCATCCAATCGCGGGCAAGCCTCGGCAGTGCCCTTGTAAATCTCTTCCACAATGTTCATGTCTCTCACAAAAACCATTTCAGTGTCGATAAGTTCTTTGATTACATTGCGTCGTTGGACTAGCCGATGCTTTTCCTTTCCTGTAGGGCCGTCCTTGTCTCGGAGGGGTGTTGATACCGACTCTACGGGAGTCTGGCCGCCGAGAGAATGATCTCTGGTCTCGATTGACATGTGGTCAATTGAGTGCGCAGTGGAAACAGGCCGTGACACATCCTCACTTTGACGCCGAGAGCCGACTATAGTACTTCCTGGAAGAGTATCGGCGTAGTATCTGCTTACAGCTGTTCGCCGCCCCTCGTATCCAGACTTGGGGTTAGGAACAGGCGGCGGCTCATGTTCTGGACGCGGTACGTTAGACTGTCGATCCTTGCGTTCCTTCTTAGGCCAGGGGTAATTGGCATCGGGATAAGGAACAGAAAAGCCTTCTCCAGTATCCAGCTCGGGTAGTTGATGAATGTTCGCGCGACCTGACGGTTGGGCATCCGTAGAGTCCAAAGGCGAAAAGTCGGAAATGTCATGTTCACTTTGGCGAGCAGATGAATCTCTACTAGAGCCAGAGCCGTAAACCGGGTCGGACACGTATGGCGGCTTGGGCATGGGCAGAACCTCGTCCTGGAAAGCTGAGACTTGGTGCTCGGGGTCATTACTGTCAACAGAGAAGTCGGTCCACGCAGATTGCTGACTAGCCCTGTTAGTGGATGGATCCATAGACGGGACCATCAAGCTATGGGAAGTGTCTGGAGTTTGTTGACTCTCAAGGCTCGTCTTGTGGGGATCTTCTTGCGCGTCAGAAGACTCGCAAGTTGATGCCCGCTGAGAGGAATCGTTGTCCTTGTGGCGATCACTGTAGAAGTCCTCCGGCCGTTCGAGTGTAGTACTCGATGCTGTGCCCAAGACCTTTTCTGCATGGTTGGGGAAGTAAGACACGTCGTCAACCTGACTTTGGCTGTCTATCTCATCATAAGACTCCATTCGGGGGAACGGAACGGTCTCTTGTCGAGGAAAATCATATTCAGAGTCCCTCCGCAAGATCTTAACCGTCGTCTCGAATGATGGACTCGAGTAGGGCACCGGCTCATACTCTTCTGAAATTGGGCGAGAGCTGGCGAATGCGCCTGGGACAGAAGGATCCTCAAACTCGCTCCTTGTCGGGGTGGGTTCGGGAGATTGTTGAGGAGATGTCGGATCCAATGAGATTTTTATCGAGACTCGGTCGTCGGAAATCGGCTCCTCTTCGAAAGGGTAGTGGTATTGCGCCTTCTCCGGCGTCGGTGGTCGACTCACTTCTTCGATTTGAGCGTGCCTGTGTTCTCCATCAAGCTGAGCAAGTGTGAGTCCGAGGCCAGTTGGAGGGGATTGCACCAAGTCTAATGGAAGTGGCGGGAGGATTTGAGGCTCGTTGTCGAACTCCGTTGTTTCTGTGGTCGCCGAAATGGCAGACTGCGGGACATCGTCCTTTTGAATAGGTGGGCTAAGGGCGGGAAAACTGCCCGGGATTCCCAGCGTTGGTGAATCAACGGCCAATGTGGATGGAATTGCGGCTGTGGTGACAATGGGTGCCACTGCTGTCGAAATGGTCAGTGGCTGAGACGACTGCTCAGGTGACGCAGACCGCGCCGGTGGTTCCGGTTCCTTCGAGGCTTCCTGGGGCAGTTTCTCGGCTGCTTCCACGGGAGGCTCGGACGTCTCAGGTGGCTTCTCGGAACCATCTTTATCCTCCGCCGGCGGCGAACCTCTTTCAAGAGTAGGTACTGGGGGAATTTCTTCTTCCTTAGCAGTGGCGGCTTCTTGTTCCTTCTTACGTCTTGCAGCCGCTTGCCTAGCATCCCGAGCTTGGCTGTCGCGGATAGACTTAGTATATGCAAGTCGGATATGTTCCCGCCGTTGTTCAAAATCAATCGGCCCAACAGATATCCTCCGCCTTCGGGATGTTGACTCTTCTGTCTTAGAAGACTGCTTAGCCGCATTCTTATGCGGAGATTTGGCTCTATCGACAGCCCTCATGCGCGAACTTGCCGTGGTTGCTGTTGATACGGACTGGCGAGGACGAGAACTGCGCAAAGGAGGAGAAAGCTTAGGTGGCGGTACTGCCACGTACGCAGTTAAACGTGTGTTATTGTTTGGGGTGATGAGACCACGCGGGGCGGGCTTGCGTCCTGGCGTGGCTTGGGTTGGCGTTTTCGCTCGAGTGGGGGTTTTGGAGCGGGTAACGGGCGTCGCTGTCCGCGATGTCTTGCTCGCGGGGGGAGGGCGTTTAAAGGTTGATGGAGAATTGGCTCGAGAGCTTTCTCGTGTCGAAGGTGGGCTCGTCGAATCGCTTGGGGTAGTCAACTTTCGTACCGAAACAGGAAGGCGGGACGTAGGTGACGCAGCTCTGTCAGCCTGCACAGCTTCTACCGGCGGACGCGACGATGGAACCTTTCGCACCATTGGTGAGCCGGTTTTCGACGTAGCGACATCACTGTGTGCCCGAACGTGGCTTCTTGTGTTATGTGCAGAGCGTCCTGTCGAGGGATGGGGGTGTGTGGCCGCAGAGCGGTACCAATCAGTGGGAGAAGAAGGCTCAATGTCAGGATCAGATTTTGTCCGTTGATGTAGCCTGGCCACGTGGATACTTGACTCGGATGTCCTACGAGGACGCGCGCCCGAACCCTCGATCCCGAACCCTGCAGTTGAAGCATCACGCTGTCCCGGTAGAATCTCACCAAACAATAGGCCTGGTGCTCGTGGAGAAGTGGGCGGCAGCGTTGGCGACTTGTGCTGGAGGTTTGTCATAGATTTCGACGCTTGTGTATTGCCCGTAATCGAGTTCGGGTTTCGCGGTTTGGCAATACGGCTGGCGAAGGATTGTGAGTTGTTTGATAGTTGATCCTCGGCGACGAATTTGGTACGCTGTGTGCCTCGAGCACCGGTTCCTCGACTGGAGTCTGATGTCAGTTCACGATTCGTTGAGGTCCTTAGCGTAGAGTATGATGTTGACCCATTCCCACCGGGCATCGGCTTGTCACTTGTTGCAGTCCTGCTTGGTCGTAATGGAACACCTCGAGCAGGAATTCGGGGACCTGACGTAGAAGAGGTTTGCTGGTCAAATCTTCTGGTCAAGTCCTTGACGCTCGGTTTTCGGTTCGTGTTCGACCTCGGCGCACCGACGGCAGGCTCGATCGGGGCAGAGGCAGATCGCTGTGACGGACGCAAGGCGGTTCGGGCTGCAGGAGCAGGTGGGTGCTTGGGGTTGGCGCCATTGCTGCTAGACCGCACGGACGGGTTATCGCGGGTTCGGGAGACTGAGGTCGCCATGTAGTCGTTGTCTGATGATGGAGATCGTTGATGAGGGTTCGACGACTGAAGGTCTCGATAGTTTCGGTAGAAATCATCCGGGTTTACGACGCCGTCAGCATGACTATCGGCAGCTAAGGCCCCAGCCGTATCTGCGGCAGAGGCATCCAAGTTCTGTGGGTGGAAGCCGTTGGCTACAGGACTTGTAGGGACGTAGTGGCGATGGCGCTTCTGGGAGGAAGAATCGAGCGGATGGCGGTAAGGGTCGAAATCGGAGTCGGGGTCGAGGTCAGGCTCGTGATACTCGTAACTCGAATCGAAGTTGGGTTGGCGATGAAGTTGGTGCGTGTAGTGGGTAGGAGATTGAGGCTGGTGGTGCTGTCGGCGCTGTTGCTGGTGTTGCAGGACGACGGCCAGGCGGTCCTCCTCTTCTGGACTACCAGCTTCCATTGTGGCCTGAACATCCGTCAGGCGTGTTGGGTGGACTGGCTCGTCAGAATTCCCAGAGACCCATGCAGGCTGTGTGGGATGTTTGGGTTGGGAAGCATTGATGTGTTGGCCTGCAAGCTGAGTGGGCAGCGACAGTTTGGAGAGGCGACGGGCAGTCCCTGGTTGGCGAGCGCTGGCAGTGTCCGGGGCCTATCGACAGCAAATCTTAATGCATGTATGGGTGGCCACCGCAGGAGTACCCGTGGTGCGACTTTTGCTCTGTGGGGGCTTTATGGAGAAGGGATATTTTGATGCAGTTAAGACGAGATCCCTGGCGTTTGCGAAAAGTAAGTTTGGGTCTTTTTTTCCCGCGAGGGTCTCTATTAGTTGAGTTGTCGAATCGGACGTAACGAGATGGGATGGCAAGAGCGAGGTTGGTGAGGTTTGAGGCGAAGGTAGGGAGACAGACGTAAGCGCAGGCGCGCACGCACACAAACTTTCTCAATCATACATACACACAAAGGCAAGAGCGAAGCGGGAGAGGAGAGACGGAGCTGTAAGGTGAGGAGATGGGGGAAGGACGGGGGTGGGTGTCCCACTTTAGTAGGTGTGTGTATAGTGAATATGGAGGAAGAGAGAGAAGGAGGCGGCCTGAAGTTCGTAGCTTGCGAAAGCAGAAAGCAGGAGCGAGTAGAGGGAAGGAGAGTTGGCGCGGCGCCTTCCTTACAGTGGTTAAATACGGATTTATGTGCACTTTCTTCTCTTGCCTGTTAGAAAATCATAGCCATCACATGGTAGACTTGAAAGCTCTTGCTGCAATAAAAAAAGAAAAGAAAAGAAGAAGAGAAGGAAGGAAGAGAAAAAAAAAAAACAGCTGGGGGCAGGTACCACAGGAAGGGGCCCTGGTGGGTAGGTTCAAAAAGGTCAGGAGCCTCGAAGGGTGAGCTGAGACGGCAAGTGGGACTGCCCTGAGTGAGCAAGGTGAGGAGAAGGACGTCCAATCGGTCGAAATAGGGTGCAAAGCTCGGTCTGAATGGCAACCGGGACAGGAGGCGGAGATGGATGTGAAGCAGGATTGGACGTCTTGTGCAAGGTACGGAGAACGAATTAGTTAGGTTGCTTGGCAAACTGGCAAGGAAGGGAGGGGGAAGTGGGAAGGGGGGGATGACGGCAGGTACTAGAGACAGTACGGTAGGCAGGTCCGGAGACTCGGGAATGAGGGAAGCGAGACCCGGGCCAGGAACCGGCGGCATCAAGTCATCAGGACGTATTCAACTGACTCTTGCTTCCTCAGAGCGGAGCGCTTTTTCACCAAAGACTTTCTGGCACGGTAAATGAAATCGTGAGCGGGTTTGACTTTGACAACGGGCAACCACCGATTCAACCTTCTATCCGCATTGCTTCCACAAAAAAAAAAAAAAAAAACGGCAAGTGCATACTATGTATGCTTCACTTACCCGATCTGCCAATCTTCCCTACTCGGACAAGCTCGCTGTTGCTGGAGCTAACGGATCCGGCAGGGCCCTGCGGTCAGCTCTGATTCATCCTACCGGTTAATATACATAGCAGGCCTTCATTTGGAAGTCCGCAACCTTTCCTCGCTTGGCCTCCACTGAACTGTTTGGACCTTGGAAAACACGTCCAGGACAAGGTTGCAAAAGGGACCCAGAGAAACAAACAATCAACTCCACACCCAAAGACTGATGCGGTTTGCCAATTATCGATGACGGATGGCCGTGTTCGACAAGCATTTGGTGTGTTTTTGTTGTTATTCTAATTTCAATTATTTTTCCCCCTCCTCATTGAAGAATAATTTCCTGAGGATTGAACTGAACGGGAACTTTCCCTTCCCCTCGCTCAAGCAGAGATCTGATCTTTGGTGTGCCCCTTGGCTCTCGCTTCATCCCGTCTCAAAAGGTCTCGTGGCGAGCAAAGAGATGCTCCAATGCAAGACATAAGACATTAGAGGGACGGGATTGGAGCACGTTGAGTTCCCCGTGCCTGAGCCCTCCCTACCCGTAAAGCCAAAACGGGCACTCTACTGACGTTGGTGTGCCTGACGGAGAGAAGCTTACTACGTAGTTGGAGGACCAAGGAAGCACGTCCACGAGCAACAAAGACGTCACGACCAATCGGCCAAACATTTGGACGCCAACCCGAAGGGGGTCTGGAGGAGCTTTCGTGTGTTGTTTGGACTGACAAATGCAAACCTGCAAAATGACTGCAGCTTGTCATCCATTCCAGAAGGGGAGGATCCATGCCAAATGCCACCGCTTATCCGTCCGCACCCCACTGCACTGGCAAGGTAACGTGCCTTAAGTACGTTTATCTCGAGAAAAAAAGATGAGGAACGGCGGGGCCAAATGTACATCTCTTTCATCATCGAAGCGCATACCAGAGAGCAGTATCGACAAAGTCACCGAACGAGACTGCAGTTGGTATTACTATCAAGCCAAGCCGCTCCAAGTTCCAGGCTGGAACATCCGAGAGTTAATTCCCCTCCGACGTCCAAAACGCTTTCAAAGTTTCTATGCAAACTGTCTGTCACCCGTGCCTGGACGATGAGCACGGCACCCTATTCGCCAATCCTTTGTCGTCCGTTTGTCGATATCCAAACAGTGTCAGACAAGCTGCTATCTCAACTCTTAATCATACCCCTGAGCCTGTTACAGGAGACCATAATGGCACCTTTTGACGCATTGCCCTTTTTTTTTTTTTTTTTTGCCCCTGCCGCTCGCATATGTGTGCCATAAGGTACACGCAGGAGCTGACACGGCTCAGAGATGCAATAGAAGACGCAGAGAAGGGATGCAGCGCATCAATCTCGGAGCAGGGAAGGTCCCCAGCCACAGATTGTCGGGAGCCAGTACTCATCTTAAGACCTGCAGTATGATGTGCGGCAATCAATGGACATGCCGTTACACCGTACCAACTTCAGTTCCCCCGCCTTTCCCAACTCTAGATGGGTAGTTTCTACGTAGGCAGACACGAAGGACTTAGCGTGCTTGAGTAGGCTGAGTGCCTAAGCGACAGTGCAGCCTTCTTTCGCTCACCACGTGCATTTTTAGAAGTCCTTCTTGTCCTCGCTTTGCAGCTACAACAGCCAACAATGATGTATGGCTCATGTCAACAGCCTGCGTATCAATTCACGGTCTGTGAGCTCCAAGGTTTCGGCTTCCGTTCCTTAGCCTCTTTGCTTCGAGTTCCGCCCCCTGAAATTGCAAACCCCTTGCGATGCGAGGTGTAAGTAGCTGACGACATATTTCAAGCGACACAAACAGGCTTTGGGTCGCTCGTCTATTGTCAAGTATTCGTATCGCACAAAGCCACTGCATATCATCGTTGTATGTGAACCGTGCAATCGTTTCCCACCAAACGGTTCTTCCGTCATGACCTAGCATACTAGCTAGACAAGCCGGAGGAGAGGTCACACCACAGGACAGTAGGCCTTTGCAGCATCCAGCCGCTTCTCTGCCGCCCTTGCATCAAGCTCCTCAGCCCAGCCCCGTCCGAGGGCCAGCTCAAGTGACGATGCACAGTTAAATTAGTGTGGTGCAAGCGTAGTGCAGCGCATTGCAGTGCAGTTCGGGTTATTCCACATCCTGTCAGCGTGACGGGAAGAGAGGATGCACCCGCCAGCCCTCTGTAGCCCTGATGAATTTCCACTGTGAGTGACAGGAGTTTGATGAACCCCCACGACCACCCAACCGTCTCACCAATCCCCGCTGGGGTACCTTAGCGTCCTTGACCTTGCGTCCTTGGTGGCTTGAGCGCCAGCGAGCGTCTGCCAAAGCCACGAAGCCACCGTTTTGAGACGGCGCCCGTGTTCGGCAGATCACTGGACGTGCGCTGTTGGCCCACACGACTCATCACTTCGATGCGCCTAGGCCACCACTCCTACTGAGAACCTAAGAGCCCTAGGGGCGCCTTCCTGCACGCTACGTATACGTAGTATGCCGTTGCGATACCTCCGTGGCGGGCCTAAACTTCCTAGCCCCAGACGCGTCGCGCTTGTGAACATCATCCAAACGACGTTGACCCCATGTGCATGTGCGCCTCACTTTTCCCCAGCTCGACCCCTAATGTTATCTATTCACGGACACATGTCCCATGTCCAACCTGCAAATGACAGGTTCTAGCGCCCCATCCTGAGTTCCATTGCACAACCCACGCGTTTCGAACCAGCCTTGCCATCGATGGGCAACGGCTGATGTCAAGCCGCACTTGCAAGCCGATATTGGACTTGGGATGACATACAGTCGCCACAATGCCAGTCAAGAGGAAAGCACATTCGCATGGAGAGTTGCGTCAAGGACACCCTCCGCTTAAAAAGGTTAAAGTTGATCGTGATGAGGCTCTAGTCAAGCATTCCCTCCTCCAGCAGCACTACGGCAATGTGCAAACCCTTCGGGCATACCTGCTCTCCAAACTGCCAAGTTCGTCGAGGCTTCGCCGCAAAAAGATCACCTCAGTTGGGTCATCACCAACGATATTGGCTGAAGAAACGAAGCAGGTAGAATCATGCTTGTCAACACTGCTAGACACAACGCTGGTCTGCACTCAACATCACCCCAAAGCCAAGCTCGACTCCCGTTGGGAACAATGGCAGTCCTTCTCGCAAAAGGGTGATGAGTCTGTCATGACGCTTTCTGGAGGACTGGCTGGGGCAACCTGCTCCCAGTCGGAGGTCAGTAATACTCGAACGGTCCAGGGCCACTTTCTAATTATTTCACTCAGATTGTCGACTTTGTCATCTGGCAGCTTTTCTCTAGAGTCCAGGCCAACGGGTATTGGCCCAAACATCTTCTGTGCGATGGCTTCAGGAGGCGCGGTCCGGACTTTGGCAATGCAAGAGGGCCGAGCAATTATGACTCGGTACCTGGTCTTACGTCTGTCCATCCAAATCATTCTGCCCAGGTTCTGAAAGGTGCTCCGTGGCCTCAGGTTCTTATGCTTCTGGGGAAATCAGGGGAGCAGATCATGATCGACCTTCTCATTGACACTGCAATCTTCGTCCCAGTGCAAGCAGGTGTCGGGAACGTGTACCAACTTAGTGGCATCCCAATGTTGGAGATTGACCCGCTTGCTACCACGAATCCAAGACAAGCACATGGGCAACAGGTGATGAAGCCTAAGGATTCGGACCTTGTGTGTGAGAGATTGCCTTCGGAAATAGTGTTCATGAGAAATCGCATGCTCTATGCTCGCGCAGCACTCACGAGCAGAGGCACAGTCCACTACGGTCTTAGACACATACGTAGGCTTCCTTTCCCACTGACGTTTGGACCTTTGCTAAGTCGTATTTCAGATGTCTTGAGTCGATGTCCACTTGTTTCTTACCTAGAGCAAACCAGCTCCGAGGAGAAGTTACAGCTAGATCAAGCCAATGAGCGGAGCACGCAGAAAATTATCATGTATATCTTCCCTAGACAGTTCGGGCTGCACAACGTGTTTACCTCGAAGGTTGATCATCTCAAAACGGCGCAGAAGTTGCCTGACTATACACTTCGTGAGGAAGAAATTTCTCTGGCGTTTAAGAACCGGCAAATACGAATGCCTAAAAGGTTGCGGGGAGATGTGAGACGACTAGTTCAGCAGCTGCAACGTCTCCATAATCGTTGCTCATACGCTGAGCTATTGCGTCACTATTGTCCTTCTGCGCTTGACACCAAACCTAAGAAGCCTGCGGTAAAGAAAACGCTCAAACAATCACAAAAGTGCTCGAGCTCTCAGACTCTAGCGATTGGCACTCAAAAAACAATGCCTGTTGTCCGAGGCAAAGGGGCGGAGAAGAGCCAGAATAGATCGCGGCAGCAGGCCCCTCCTATGCCAGTGATCAATTTCGATGCTATTACCGATTTGGCTACCCCAACAGCTCATGTGTCTGCCTTCTGCCGCGCGGTGCTAGCCAGACTTGTTCCGAACGAGTTCTGGGGTACCGGCGACAGCCAAGCCCACAATCGGGAGATGGTGTTCAAGAAAGTGGACCACTTCGTTCGACTGCGGCGGTTCGAAAGCATGAATCTTCAGGAAGTACTAGACGGGCTGAAGGTAACCAGATACATATTATCACAGAGAGCATCGAGCTAACGTATCCACCAGATTACATGCATGGATTGGTTGGCACCGCCTGCTCTCAGAGGCCTAAGGACTAGCCAGACAGATATGAAGAAACGCCTCGAGATTCTGAACGAGTTCTTGTACTATGTTTTTGATTCTATTTTGATACCCCTTTTGCGCAGCAATTTCTACATCACCGAGTCGAGCTCCCACCGCTATCGGATATTTTACTTCCGACATGACGTTTGGCGGTACGTTGCTGAGCCTGCTATGGCGACTCTGAAAGCAAACATGTTTGAGGAGGTCAAAATAAACGAGGTAAACCGGATACTAGGATCCAGGCGTTTGGGTTTCAGCCGCATTAGACTGCTCCCCAAGGGCAAATCTATGCGACCAATAACAAATCTGCGGCGAAGGGTTCCTGTTACAGGGAAAAGCACGATTCTTGGGCCGAGTATCAATTCTGTCCTTGCCCCTGTTCATTCCATGCTCCGGCTAGAAACTGTAGGTTGTGATATTGTTTGGCTTTTTTGTTCAGGCTAATGCTGTTCAGGAACGCAACCCATCCAAGCTTGGCTCATCTTTATTCTCGGTGGGCGACATTTACGCACGGCTCAACGCGTTCAGCGCAAACTTTGGTAAGGAACGGCCGAAATTCTACTTTGCAAAGTTGGATGTACAATCTGCTTTCGACACCATCCCGCAGGAGGCTGTTATCCGGTTAATGGGTGTTGTTCCCAGTGAGGACCAGTACATTATCAAGAAACACCTCGAGATAAAGGCTGGCCTAGTGGAAACCCCGCACCGAGATCGACCAGTCACAAAGGTTACAAGGCGATGGCACTCGCTTGCTGCTACTCGGGATGACCCAACTAGCTTCGTACAGGTGGTTGAGAGCCGTCTCGGCGTGAAGGGGAAGAACGCGGTTTTCGTAGGCAACATGTCACGAAAAGAGCATAACACGCGGCAGCTGATGGCATTGATGGCATCTCACATCCAGCAGAACTTAGTGAAGGTTGGTAAGAAGTTTTACAGGCAAAAGAACGGCATACCCCAAGGCTCTGTGCTGTCCTCAGCTTTGTGCAACTACTTTTACGCGGACCTAGAAGCACAGCATCTCTCCTTCCTGGCTGACGAGGATTGCCTCCTCCTAAGACTGATTGATGACTTTCTTCTCATAACCACAAGTCAGAGAAAGGCCCGAAATTTTGTCAAAATCATGCATCGTGGGCTTCCTGAATACGGGGTTGCCGTGAACCCCAACAAAACCTTGGTCAACTTCGACATGGAGTTTGGAGGCGCAAGTATTGCCAAGGTATCTAAAGATACGCCGTTCCCCTATTGCGGCGTGGGAATCGACTGCGAAACTCTTGATATTACCAAAGTGCGTGAGAAGATCAAGGGCACGGGTAAGACAGTGAAGTCCTTCTGGTCGAAGCGTCTAGCTAACATAGGGATAAATAGCCGTCTCCGATGCTCTAACTGTCGATTTTGGAAGCAAGTCTGGACAGAACTTCCAGAGGAGAGTTCTGAGTGAGTTTTTTCGTGCTGCCAATATGTTCCTTTACTAACCTTTGCAGACGCCTTGAAAATTCAGTCTCACCTTATGTTCTACGACACCAATCACAATACTCTCAGGACGGTAATGTCCAATCTACACAAGGCGTTCATAGAGACAGCAGAGAAGATGTGGTCATACTGGCGATGCCTGCCTACGGACAAGCAACCCGATAGTCGGTTGGTAATAAGTACGTCCCACTATAACAGCAAATGTTAAGGCCGCTCTGTCGGCTGACGTGACATCCAGAAACAATAGGCAAACTCATCGACGTAGCGTTTGTATTACTCACCGGAAAGACGAGGAAGAAGAAGCACCCTCATTACAGCTGCGCCCTGGAGAAGACGCAAGTTTTCTGGTACGTACAGGCTTGTCTTCTCATTCATGTGAATCGCACGAGGCTAAGTACACTAGGCTGGCACTTGATGCCGTGAGAAAGGTCCTCACCAGGAAGCAGGCGAACTTCGCGCCGGTGCTTTCGTGGATTGACGCCGAGCTGAGCAAACTCGAGTCGACTAAGACGACACGCGCAATGAAAGTCATGAAGCAACTTGGGTGACACGAAATTCAATGACACTTGAGAGGTGGTTTTTAGATGCAACTTGTGCTTCCTCACGTTCCGTTTTCCCACTGCGTGATCATGTATATTATTGGTGCCCTCCGAATGCCGTGCCATTCTTGTGCCATCGGGGCCTGCGCATGCAGGCCTCCTCGTATGTTTGTGTGTTCATCTCAAGGCGTTCTCGAAGCTGTCGGCTTGGCACGGGGTTTTTTATCGTGTAATGTCGTACAGGCGTATCGCGACTGCTCGGGATAGTCAGCTTTTGCCGTGGAATCCGAGGCCATGCTCGGTGTTGGGGAAACGGCCCTCGGAACCACCACCGTCTGCAGGTTGTCCTTTGAGAATACTCCAGCACTGGGTTTCATTCCATCGACGAAGCGTAATGGACGATCGCGAGAGTCAGTTTCTGGTGAAACTCGCCGCGGCGGGCACGTATCCTGACTCTCTCCTGCAGCAAGATGAGCGAGGGGCAACGATCAGGGCACGCCGTGAACACTACAACGCCAACAGGGCAAAGATATTTGACGGGGTGCCGTCGAGAATCGACACGCCCCTGGTTATCATCGATTTCGGCGGCAGCGGCTGCTCTGGTAAGACAGAGAACGACCCGAAGAAGGCGGAACTACACATTATTCGAGACCTCGGAGGACTACGGAGGAAGCTATCCTGGCCAGAACGGCATGAAGCCACGACGGGATCCGCTAATTTGATAAAGGATCCGGCGCTGCGAATCGTGTTTGTATTGCCACTACTATCTATGCTATGCTCGGATGTGTATGTGTGGATGTGCGTGTATGATTGGCACTGACGCGAGAAACAGGCTGCTGGAACGCCTCTCCCCGACTTCGCTGCTACTCAACCTCGACGAAGACGTGCTTTTCGAGCTTTTGACATATCACCAGGTGCCCTTTTACTTGTTGAGTTTCCTTGTGAGCGGCGGGGATTCGTGGAGCTTCGCGAGCAGCATTCGCTTCACTGGGTTCCGGGGCGCCGTGAGCCTCCCGACGAACCAGGATACCGGAATCGCCAGTCTGGGTCGCAGCGGCGCGCGTATCCAGCTTTGTTTTGCGCTCTTCAGCATCAGGGAGTATCCGCTCCATGCGCTGCCGCGGGGGGTCAATGCGGACAGGACACCGCGATGGGAGCCACACTCGGCAGTCATGTATCTCCACTTCGACCTCGTGGAGGGGACGGCGGTGTGGTTTCTGGCTAGTCCGCGTTGTCATAACCCAGTGCGAGGCATGGGTATGCAGAACCAGCTGTGGAACGAATTGAAGGAAAGTCTGGCAGGAAAGTTGGGCGGAATAGGGTCTTTGGATGTAAGTGGGCGCTTTCACGTCAGCTTAGAATGCCTCCTCGCCGTTGCTGAATGGGCTGTTGGAGAGCTAGCGCTGCATTTCCAGGACTTAGAGACGCGTCTGTCCGACTTGGTGAGTGGGTGGCGTGAGCAGTGAGCCTGGGAAGTTGTGGCGTGCTGAAGGATTGCGTCGCAGACAAAGCCATACTTGCATCCATATGACGACAGCTTAGAAGATGACATTGCACGAGAGTCAATACACGAGCAGGACCTGCGCCGAATGGCATTCCTAATGGAGCAGCGGCACGAAAGTATCATGAGGATCGACAACAACCTCCGGGCCCTCCGCTGCCTCCGGGGCCTCCTCGTTGACGAGCTATGCGAGAAGCTGGCGAGCTCAGGGGTTCGCCACGCGGATGAAATGCGAGAGCATATCGAAGAGTTCAGGGGCAAGTTGGCATCAACAACGGAGGAAATGGGGGATTTGCTAGACAGGGCTCAGGCGCTAGACAAGCTGGCCAAGAATCGTGAAGAATATGTGAGTCGCAACGAATTCCCTCCTCCGTCGGGGCCACCTTGTAACACCCTGCGCATGGAAAGATTCAACAGATGCAGACGCAACATACGAACCGTCAGATGAAGTCGATCGCCGAGCTGACGGCGTACGACTCAGCCGCGATGAAGCAACTATCCTTCATCGCATTGGTATTGCTTCCAGTTACTGTCGTGTCGGTAAGTAAGAGGACTCCGAAAATAGGATATCGGGAAGCGAAGGCGAGACATAAAAGCGAGCAAGGGCTGATTGGATGACATGAGCATCACGCGTGCGGCGACAGACCGTCCTAAGTACAGACATTGTGAAGTTTCAAGACCTTTCGAATGGAAACGAGAACGCCGCTCCTCCTGAAGCCGGACAGCCCCACGCGCCCGTCCCAGTGTACAGCTTCTCGGCCGCGGCGTTCGGGACGTGGGCCGTTGCGAGCGTGGTCATGACCGTCGTCACACTCGCCATCGTCAGGCCGCTGGGCAGTGGGCGGATCGACGGCCTAAACAGTGGCTGTAAAAACTTTAACAAGCAAAATATGGTGCGGCAGTCGACGCTGAAGGAGCGGACTTTACACCCGTGCAACCTTCGAGGCGTCTCTCGATCAGCCCAGCAAGATACGCCACCATCGGAGCCAAGTCCGGCATCGCGCTCAATCCACACGGCACCTACAATGACAAAAACGGCATCAAACTCCCCAGAAGCTCCGGTGGCGGATGTGAGTACTCCCGTCCAAGCCGGGTCTCAAACGTTGACGTCGATGAGTCGGTGGCTCGGCACGGCTTGGGGGACCCTGTGGCGGCAGAAGTCAGGGGGAAATACGACGTCGACGTCGGTGTCAGCAACTGCGTTACCCCGATAAACGAAAATGTCAGCTGGCTTGAGTAAGGTGTTGATGGAGGGTATCAAGTGGGGCGGGCGAAAAAAGCCAGGGGGACACTGCAAAGAGAGTTTCCTCTTGCCTCATGTCATTAGTGTGCTGAATTAAGGGTCTTGAGTATGCGTCGATCAAAGTTCTGGCTGTAAAGGATAGGTATGATAAGGTCGGGAGCGGCATCTTGTCAGACGCGAGACTGATTCGTCCCCCTAAATCCAAAGTTGGAGGCGTCAAGTTTGACATTCTTCGGGTCCGAAGAGCCTCATTTTGTTTTCCGCTTCTGTATCGGATTGCCACCTTTGGATGTTCGGGTTTTCGAGATGCATACACAGTGGAGCCATGTGTAAAATTTTGGGAAAGCGAGAGCATTATTTCTGATGGCTCCGAATATCGCGCCAATTCTAAACGAAGCATTGCTGTGACTGTCTGATGGCGAAAAGAGGTAAGTCGTGGGCAGTGCGTCCCGTACTCGTGTACGTTCCCATGCTCAGGTAAGGATACTCGGCGAATCAGTGCAATGCAAACACGCCTAAACGGGCGGTTTAGTGAATGCGAGATGCCCCACCATGATTCGTAGTGCTCAGATCTGACAAGGAACCAACCTTAACTGGTAGACGGCACTTCAGGGGAGATCCCGCCAACCGACAGAGCCGTAGTGGTGGCGGGCCGCCTGTAGAGGTGGGGGCGAGCAGCACATGTACACACTAGTATACGTAGTAGTAGTGAGTGCTGCTGGAGTGGAGCCTCCGGGAGTTGAGTCGACTGGAGTAGTCCTGACGTCAGACGAGAGTTGCGGCAACTCGACTCGTCAAAACACAAATAGCAGAGGGTCAAACAAAACCCTTTCGAGAAATGTTTTCATCTCTTCTTTTGCTCCGTTAGTTTTTGAGCTGTTGTGGTTTGCCTCTTACTAGCACCTCTGCCCACTCGCGCACACCCTTAAAGGGCAAGGCAGTATCATCCCATCCCTATCCTACCTCTGTGAGGAAAGCATTTCGTTTCCAAAACAGCGAAACGGATCCTCGACCTGTCCTTTTTAGAGGTTAACACACGTTTTCAACTTCTCAGGTGTGCTCCTACCACCTACACTACTACAACCATCCATAGGGTGCTCTCGTTTTCTCTTTCCTCGTCTTAAAATCATCCTCTCACACCCTCCGCATGGCGCATGGACACAATCCCAACCCATTTATTTCCAGCTCTGAGGCTTTAACTTCTCCATCCTTTTACTTGCTGTCTTCGGATCGGGCTTTCAACGGTGCCCCTTATCCCCGCGGTTTCTCCCAATCGTAATCGGGTTCGGCTTCTGCAAACCGCATCCCACTTTTCTGCTCAACCGGGGTCCTCCAAGCACATGGGACACTGCGGGAATGAGGAAATGCCCTATGCATATGTGTGTGCTGGTTGCGGTATGCTGTAGACCTCGGGAAGTGCAAGCATGAAATTATCGCGAAGCCTCGCACCTTATCATCCTAAAAAGGTGTTGGCTGATGAACCCTGGCTTTCAGCCCTTATTGAGCACTTGTATACTCACCGTATTCGCCGCCACCAAGCTGCGGCTCTGTAATCGCTCTGTTACAACCCGAGACATACCTCACAGTTCACATACACTGACTACATTTTATATATACTGTCTCTGCTCACTCGTCTGTCGTCGATCCGTTCTCCTTCTCTCCCCACCACAACCAGTTCCAGCTTGCTCTGGGATGCATCACACCCCCCTCCACAGTTGAACAAGAACAGCCTCAATCAATATGGCAGCCGACATTGTCACAACTTTGGGTATACCCAACATGACCGCGCCAATTTACGCCAACTTCACGAGGCCAGCCGCAGATCTCGCCAACGCAAGCCCCCCATTCATCGCTGCCGTTGTTCGAGATAGCTACCGCGCCATCTTCAAGGCCCGCGTCGCCGCCGGGGAGGCAAAGCCTTTTGTCCTACCTTACGGCATCTTTGGATCCTTCATACTGCCTATCCTGTACATGACCATTCCGCACAGAAAACGACCCTGGGTATATGCTGCGAGGTGGCTCGTGCTCGCCTTCATCATCGCCTTCAACATCAAGATTATGCGAGAAACTTCCAGCACCAACATGTCCATGGGCTACACGAGCGGGCTGTCAGCATTTTGGGGAATCCTGAGCAACATAAACACCTTCATCTTTACGGCACCTCAGTTTGAGTTCGAGAGAGTGGCGCGGAGGAAGAGGTCCAAAACTCTGTCGCCAAAGAGTTCCAGCAGAGCCAGCTCCCCCGTCACCCGCTCAAACTCTCAAAGCGGTCTCCGCAAACGAGCCGGCAGCAAGAAACGTCGCAACCAGATCACAGCTCCTGATGTTAACGTTGACGAGTTCGAATATTACTGGCAGTCCTACCCAGGGAATGGTACTTTCTTGCAGCGTCTGGGTTGGGTGCTTGACTTGTACACAAACTTCAGGGGAGTCGGTAAGTGTTGTCTAATTTTTTGCCATGCTTGATTCTTGATGTTAACGTACGACATAGGTTGGTCTTGGGCCGTCTCATCTGTACCAAGCCCTGCTCCCCCTGAGCATCCGCACACCGAAGAACTGGTCAAGATGGACACGATCCCGCTCGAGACATTCGTGGGGTGTCAGACCTACAAAGACGAGCGCGACTTCTTGCTGAGAAAGATTATACCTTTCATAACAAGCTACATGATTCTTGACGTCTTCAAGGTCAAGAGCACAGAGGATCCGTACTTCATCTTTGGGAGCACCCCGTTCCCTCTTCCACCTTCTCTCGCGTCCACGCCAGGTTGGCTCTTGTCTGTTTACCGACACGCCGGCATCATCTGCACCATCTACGCCGCGCTTGTCATGATCTTCTCTCTCCACGATCTATTCCAGTACTTCGTATTGAGCAAAGCCTTCCCTCTCCGCGGCGAGCTCTGGCAGTACTCCTCCGTGTTCGGCTCCTTCTCTCAGATCATGGATAGAGGTTTGGCCGGATTCTGGGGAGCATGGTGGCACCAAACGTTCCGCCACGCCTTCTCTGCCCCGGGAAACTGGCTTGTGAAACACGGATATCTGAAAAAGGGAACCAAGAGCACGAAGCTGATCGTCGTCTTCATCGCCTTTTGGCTGTCCGGCCTGCTCCACGGCGCCGGCAGCGTAACCGCAATCCCCGACACAAACTGGCTGAAGCCCTGCTTCTTCTTTTGGGCGTCCGGTGTCGGCGTGCTTCTTCAGCAGATCTTCTGCGCGGCCTTGAAGCCTCAGATCACGAAGATGCCTCGTGCGGCGAGGAGGCTGGGCAACCTGTTGTTCGTCCTTGTGTGGCTGCAAATTACAGTCAAGCCCTTGGCGGATGACTTCGCCGAGACCGGTCTGTGGTTGGTGGAGCCGGTCCCTTTGTCTGTGGTGCGAGCGCTGGGTTTTGGCCATGGAGAGACGTCGTGGTGGAAGCCTGACATGGAGGCGATTGGGCATTGGCATATCGGAGAGCATTGGTGGGAGAGCGGTTTTGGCTATTAGAGCATTGGCGTGAGCCACCTTCATGATTTCATGTTGCGACGAAGTAATGCATTTTCTCAGTTTTCTAGACCTCTCATATACTCATTCCCAATCTCCTTATCAGTTTCGACATGCTCTGAAGTCGGTTCTCCTCCGTTATTCTTGTCCGCTTCGCCTTGATCTTTATTTTCTACCTTCTCAGTCTGGAGATTTGTCAGCACGCAGTCGATCTGCAAACCGTTCAGTTCGTTCTGCGTGAGATGGCGAGGAAGGCGGTAGCTCTAATAACCGGTTCCATCGAACTGTATCACACGTCAATGTCATGCTTCGAGAAAAGCTGATGTATCGGACTTACGTGGTAGAGGCTGATGGTTTCATCAGGAAATAAATCTTGCAGCCTTTTCTCAAGCAAGTCTTTCTGCGTATTGGCCATGCTGAACAACTGTACAAGGCAGCCCATGATCGGTGGTTCTAGGTTGCTGAACGTTTGGTAATGGCAAAAGGTGGGAGGTTGTCTGGAGTATTGACAAGTAGGTTCTGATGATTCGATAAATGTGGGAAAGTCGAGGCACTTGTATTTATTGAATCTGAAGGGCCTTATTGACGGCTTGTGAGTCTAACGAAATGGAGATGACCTTGGCTTGTTGGGTGACTGGCCCCTACCCTCTTGTCCTTCTCACACCCCTTTTCCCATTTGACTAGGCAGTTGCTATTACCACAGGCGACGTCCATGACCCCAAAGCATCAGTGAGTAAGAGGGAAGTGGCACATGAAAAGATCAACAAAGTGAGCAATATTGATTAGGAATATCGTCACGTCCTTTGTGTGTATTCTCAGGAATCCTCCGATCCTGATTCAGCGACATACTACTTCACTCACCCCTGGCATAGCCTCCTTCCGTCTGCTATCGACTTACTCATCATCCTGTCACATGACCCTTGCTTACGATGAACACGGGCTGCGTTGTTTCCTTGACAAATAAGGACGCTTCGGGTTGGACGTGAAAAAGGTGCATCAGCCACCGCCTTCCAGACGTTTTTGACGGAAATTGGTTCGACATCCATGCAGAAGGCCCACGCCGTAGTATAATCGATGTCTGTATCGATTCTGAAAACTGTGTTTTACCTAGCCTACGGTACAGAAAGAAGAGGGGTATCTCAAGCCAAGTATCCGGGTCTCAGCGTTTCCAATCCTCTGCCACACACACACACTCTCTCACTCTCAATCGTCCAATGCCGGAATCCACCAGTAGAAAAAAAGCGAAAACTTGCGGCTGTAAACCTCTTATTACAGCCAACCTGGATCGTCCGTGACCGAAAACAAAACTAAAGGAAAGAGAATAGGGAAAGTGTGTCCCTAAAATCAAGCCAGAAAGGTCGTAGTAATCCGACATGAAAGCAATAATAGTTTGCATCCTTGCGAGTTGGCAACAGTGAAATACCAGCATCTTCATTCGTCAGAGACTCTAATCGCGAGAAGAGAGTTGGCTGCCTGAACATCTGGCTCAGTGACTAAGTAGCTGAGGTTGCCATAAGCGACAGCGGAGGTGCCTTCCTGCGCGATGTTAGACTTGAGGTAACGTTCACGATGCTAAATGGGCAAGAACATGGAAGATTTACCTGAACCTGCATGACGCGAGGAACAAATGTATCTGACTTTTCCTGAATCTCTCTCTCGGTAGCATCGAGCCACTGCTTCATCGCCGGGTCACCCTCGATACCGAGCTTTCGCGTAGCGACATCGACATGACAGCGTAAGAAATGAATGGCATCCACCTCGTCGATACGTCGAAAAGAGCGGGCTTCACTGTTGGTGAACCAGAAGTTGTGAACCACATTGATAAGAGTAAGTTCCTTGGAATCAGCGCGCTTGCCATTGTCATTGATATGGTTCGTAACCTGCGCAGTAAGTTCCGAAACAGCTTTCTGGAACTTAAGCATTGCCATCTCATAAGCTTTGCCACTTCCATTTTCTGCGGGAATTGAGCGAGACATAGCGTCGTCGAGGAGAGCGTCCAACGCGAGAGCGGCGGAGAAGCTAAAAGGTCTTGACGCACGGGTATTTGAGTTTGCAAAGTGAATCAACGGAGGTGAAGAGATGTCGCTGGAGTCAGGGGTTGTTAAGCCATGCTGGTGCTGGGCGGTCTGAGAGGGGCTATGGCCGTCCTCATACTGCTCGACAAAGTTGTCGCCGGGGAGATACTGAACCCCATGATGGTAGACGCGACCCATCTGGGCGTTGTCGTCAACCTGAGAGCAGTGTGAGTGGGTTTCTTTGAGTTATAAAAGACGTTTGCCAAAGGGGCTGGTATTGACCTGATGGTCGAGCTCCATGTTCCCGTCCCCTTCATTGACGGCGTCGAGCTGTCTATGACGGCCCTGGCGTTCTCCGGACTGCTTGCACATTTTCTCGTAAGTGTCAATGGCCGCGGCGCGAACAGGGCGTGAGTTGGCAAGTCCTACCAGAGGAATGGAGACTTTGTCATCCGAGGCGGAGGAGGAAGCCATCTGGGCCGAATGCTTGCGGCTACGTGTAATCTGACCAGGGGGCTTATAGTCGCCGTCCTCGCGATTAGAATCGGACGCCGAGGAGATCTTTTCAGTCTCCCACTTGTCGTTGTCGGAGCCGAAAATTGTATGAGTGTGCGTGTATAATGATTTATGAGGAGTGCTGCGAAGAATAGGGTTTGTGGTGTTGTTGGTGAGGGTAGCCTGAGAAGGGGGAAAAAGAATTAGTGCGGGTCTGGGAAAAGTGAAATTGTTCGAATTCACCTTGGATAGGAGGTGCCGGTATTGCTGCTTCGACTGGCGTCTATTGGCTTCGGGTGTGTTCTTTGGACTCTTGGTACGGCCCTGAGGACGTGAGAGGACGGGAGCGCGAACGGCGGGCTGCTCGGTGTACTCAGTGGGGACGGCAGGACCGGTGTGTGCAGCCGCCTTCGCATTCGACTTGTTGATGCGGGCTCGGCTCAGGAGAGGCATCTTCCCCCAGTTGAACTGGGAGACGTCCATCTGGGCATGATTGCCAAAGCGGGTGATCATGCCCTCTTCAACACAGTTTCGACAGATGACCACAGAACATTTTTGGCAGCGTTGATGGACTGTTTTACCCATTGCACGACTGTTGCAGACGTCGCACTTGGTCGTATTCTTCGGAGCCGGCCTCCACGATCGATGTGGTTGTGCGTTAGGCAAAGGAGTACGGGGCTTCGCCGCCGATATTGTCTCTGGGTCGAGTCGGATGCCAGAACGATAAAAAACCTTTTCCACCTTTTGATGCTCTTCATCGTGAGAAGCCTGATCTTTCATGCGACTCTGGCCGTAGGGAGAGACATAGGTTCGCGAGGTCGTATGATCATGAGGCGCCATAACCGTGTGAGCATCGGGCTGGACTAAAGACGAGTTATATATGTAGCCATAGCTATTCGACGTCTGAGACGACTGTTAGTTGTTTCAATATATTGATGATGATGTAGTATTGGCTGTAATGTGGTTCATCTTACCTGGTTCTGGTGATTCTCGATGTGAGCTTGAGCATGAAGTTGAGCAGGAATGGGCTCTTGAGATGTGACCGCAGCTCTAGCGCCGCTGGCACCCAGATACATATGATGGCTGTAGCTAGGATTCTGTGAAGAGGGAGTTAGTTAGAACTTCCGGTTGTGAATGTTTAGTGCGAGGCGGCAAAGCTACATACGTGATTCTGACCGTCGTCCTTGGAGGCGGCGTATACTTGGGCGGCAGCAATGATACGACCTTGACCGGGGATTTGGAACGGAGAACCCGGGGAAGAGTCAAGACCCAAATCATCTGTGGACGCGTAATACGAACGACTAGAGCGCTGTGAAACCAGTTATAGCGTTAGCCTTCATAGATGTGGCTGAAAACCGATAGATACATACCAGGTATTGATCGAAGCTGGCTGTCATTTTAGGCCGTGTCTGAGCAACAGGAGTGCCTGGACAGCCACCATCTACCGAGTCGCGGAGCCGAATCCCAGAGTCCTTCTCAGTTCGGTGATCTGCCGGCCAAGCAGACATCTCGGCGCGTTTCTTCCAGGACTTGGATTCGTCCCTGAAATTGCCCGCGGCGTTGGAAAACTTAGAACGAACAGGCTGGTCAACCTCGTCCACGGTGGCACCTTGAATATACGGGTTAACGGCTTCAGAGGCAAGCATCGAAAGCAACGCTTCGTTATAAGTGACCATGTGTATGATGATGTTGGTTGTGTGGTGATGTTGGGGCAACGGAGGGCAACACAGCCAAGTTTTAGGGTGATTCAGGGAAACGGAACTTGGAAGGAAGGAGAGAAACAAATTTGTTTTGATACACAAACAACTAGGTAGAGAAAGATTGTTTAAAGGCGTATGTGAGTAGTTAATGTCGTTACTGAGACTCACGAGTAAAGGGGTTGAGGGTTGACGATATGTTTGACTTTAACGGTAGCTTCACACGTATGGATTTCAGCTTTTTGTGCATCAAAGACGCAGGGGATTGATTCAGTGAGATGCTTTTTCTGGTGATTCACGCACAACCACATTGATTACTCTCCCTTGTGGAAACTGTCACCGAGTGAATGTGAACATTGCCTTGGGATGACAACTTCGATGCGTCAGACGTGTTAGGTCTTCAAGGCTGCATGAAACCTGTGGTGATAAGCAACTGTTACTTGGGGCGAGATTAAGAGATTAGTGACACTTAGAACTATGTAAACCAGCACAGTAGTTCTCAGTCATAATGAAAGAAACGAATCTAGAGGCGTTGAGGTTTTTGAGCAACTTGTGTATTACTAAACCTCCATGAAGTAGTCCTTTTGTCGAAGATAAAACGATGCAAAGAATGGGCAGAGGGACACTTAGAATCCGTTCGTCAAAAACGAAGCAATGACTTCTCCATAGGTTAAGTGTAACTTTGCAACCATTGGTAAACCGTCCTGAATTTGCAACCTCACCCGAAGTTGTCTAACTGGAGAGCACAGAGCCGCTATGCCGGGGCATGCCATGCTCGCCTTATCATGGGCAGCATCTGGCCAGATACGTCAACTGATGAAGTAGAGCCATATTTCATTGTCATGCTCACTCTGCCAGTGAGGTTGCGTATCTTAAACTAGCGGGCAGCGGCGACCCGGGGCATCAATCACAAATCATTTGCCAAGTGGTTCAACATCAAGACGTCCATGACGAGTTGAAGGGAGATGTTAAAGTCCCTCTATAGCCAAGGGAGATGGCCTCTAAAGTGCCAGCCTAATTTCCTGTATGACATCGACCTTCGGGCATCGACCTACGGGCATCGACCTACGGGCATCGACCGTGTTGGGCTTGCATACAGCGACTTCTTCATGAAGAAGCCAGAGATATTCTTGAGGGTCTCTAGCACTCGCAAACTGGAGCCTTAAATCGGGATAATGCCCAAGGGAATTTTCAACGTCGCCGGAGATTTCGACGAACATCTTTATCGCTGGGAGGGGGGATGGTTTGACTCAGTAACACTCTCCCCTGTGGAGAAGACTGAGATGCCGAACCTTGATGTTAACTGTATTACTTCGATTGACACGAAACCTCAAATCTCAAAATATCATCACTTCGTACTCTTTGCTGCCATCATCGGGGCCAAGAAAACCCAGGTATCCAGCCCCCATTTCCGACGTTACAGCCGTCTTGAGGATCAAACATTGTAGCATGCCACCTTCGGCTGCCGGACAGATATGAGGCTAGTGTCGTTGGTGGCTAATTTTCCGGGAAACGTAACCTCATTATAGTTCCAAGTCACATGCAAAACAGCCCTCCCCTACGCAATCCAAGCTCGAAGCAAATAAATATTCGTTCACGTGGTGTGTACAGAACCGTGAGAACCCACACTCATGTCTATCTGTCAAAAATCCGACGCCACCTCGAAGTCAGCCAAACGAGGCCGCGAACATCCCTTTGACGTAGTTGCGTTTCAATACCAGGATCCCAGCCTAGTTCATGCATCATATCATTAAATTACAACAGATCATGTCTTTCCCTGTCTTTCAAATATCTTTCCCCCATTTTACCCACACCACCTCACAGTAGAAATACCATTACCAACCGTCAACTATCTTGACGTACACATGTAAGCCCTTGGCGGGGCGTGCTGTGACGCCGCCCTTGATGGTCATGTTCTTCTCGTCGTACTCCTCCTTGTTCTTCAGACTGAATTCAAAACGCCCAATCCATGAAGCCAAAATGCACGCAAACTCGGCCTTGGCAAAGCCCTGTCCGATGCAGCTGCGCGGCCCGTGCAAAAAGGTCATAAAGGCGTAGTTGCTCGTGGCGCCGCCACTGGCCGCGGCCTTCTTACTCTCGGCGTCGGCACCGTCGCGGGGCATCCATCTGTCGGGATCAAAGCGGCCGGCGTCGGAGCCCCACAGCGCCGTGTCCTTGTTAGTGGCCCACGGGCAGAGCATAATGCGAGTGCCCTTGGGGACTTTGGTACCGTCGATTACAGTGTCGACGGCGGCCTCACGGAGGGTCATGGGCACCGGTGAGTAGTAGCGTAGGACCTCGTTGCAGACGGCGTTGAGGTAGGGCATGTGGTCAATGTCGAGGGCTGTGATGTCGCCAGGTGTACCAGGAATGGGGAGCCGCTCGCGGATCTCGAGTCGAAGACGGGATTGGACTTCGGGGTGCAAGGAGAGGCAGTAGATGGCCCACATCATGGCCGAGGCCGTGGTTTCGTGACCCGCCGCGAGGAAGGTCATCATCTGGTCGACAAGGTTATCCTCGGTGAAACCACCGGACTCGAGGGCCACGGAGAGTATGTCAATGTCGGTAAGCTGCTTGCGCTCGAGCTTCTCTTTCTTCTCTCGGATGAGTTCTCGACAAGTGGCGCGGATAGTTTGGGCGGCCTTCGCGATGTCGCCGTTTCGCTGGAAGGGAAGGGCGTGAACGAGAGGCCCAGGAAGAAGCAAGCCCAAGACGGCAAGAACCTGAGCCTGGCGACTCGGCTTAAATACGTGCTGGTATGTCTGGTTCAGGGGATTCGTAGGGTCGCGAATGGCACCAAAATCGCGACCCATACCAGCCATACCGATAATGTCGAGGGTGGTTCGCGACGCCCAGTTGCCAATCTCGAGCACTGCGGTCTTCGGCCCCAGAGCCGCCTTCTCGGGGTCAGTGGTTCCGTCGGCTGCCGACTTGGCCGCCTCGGCCATAACGGCGTCGGTGATGGCATCTACGCCCTCACACGCCTTGCTCCAGAACAGCGGATACAGATCCTTCACATGACGAAATGCGAATGCCGGCATTAAGTTCTTACGCTGGATCTTGTGGTTGTCGCCTTCAGCTAGGAGGACGCCAATCCCGAGGATGCGGCCAATCGAAGACCGCACGGCAGTGGGCTTGTGGAAATCGTAGTTATGAGTGACCAACACCTCAGCCAGCGCTTTCGGGGAGGTGATAAGAAGACGCTCTTGGTTCAGCAGACCACGATAACGAATGATGCCCTCATGAGGAATGGTATTAATCCTAGCGGGCATCGTTAGTTTTCCCCTTGCCATATATGAAAGGGGATATGGTTGCAACGCAAGTCTTGCAATGTAAACAGGATTGCAACTCACCACTCAATCATGGGGACGCCAGTCGGCTCGCGTATTATCCTGGGATACTGTCCCATTAACCAGTGGTCGTTCTTAGGTCCAGGCAGCGAGCGAAGGTTGGAGAAGTATTGAGGGTACAGAAAGACGACAAAGACCGCCCAGCCAAGCATCTGCAATATCCAGGCCCCTGCGAAAACGCCCAGGAGGTGACATCTCGAAAACACTGGTTGGCGCAACGCCAGTAGCACGGCAATCACTGCCGAGCTAACAGACACTCCACGCCAGGGAACCGCCATGGCGCTACTGATCGGTTCTCGTCGTAAACACGGCGTTAATGCGATTCAAAGTAACAGCGGCGACAGGAGACGACGAAAAGAGTGTATCAGACAGTAAGATCTCTCCTTGAGCCGCTAAAAAAAAACTCTTCAAGAGCTTTCTTACACGGGAGATATTGGCTTGTTGGCCGGTGGGAAAAAAGTCACAACAAAGCTAACCTCCCGCTGGTTGGAAGGGGAAAAAAGAAGGTTGGACAAAGCTTGGGCTAGGGTGTAGATTGGGCAATGTAAGGTTGAATAAAACAAGCTCTCTTGGGTTTAAGCTCACTTGAGAGGTGGGAAAGGCAAGGTAGATCTCGCGTGGACCAGGTGCTGGTCGAATGGTTTCATGCGTACGGGGTTGTAACACGGAACCAAAGCATCGACATCACATGCAACGTCCGCTCAACAACGCACGCGCCGTTCTTTTCCCTCTTCTTTATTTGTTGGTTCTGTCTGTATTTGCTCAGGCAGGGAATGTGGGTGTTGATCCAGGGGAGGACGCGAGACGACGGAGACAAAGATGGGATGAGACAAGACGAGACGGGACAGGCCGGATGGTGGAGGTCGAGTCGATTCAGGACCGAGTTTTGGAAGAAAAGGCGATACTGGGTCTCTCTGAAAGACACAAAAATATGCTGTATCAAGCGTTGTTCCGTGTTGCTCGTATCTTCAAGTATGGAGCATCTGTCGGATGAACTTCACAGCCATATACGGCTCATTCTTGTATCTCGTATTTCGTATCACGCAGTGTCGGGGGCAGTTTGGCGTTCGTCCATGGGGCGGCAGAGCGGCAGCGAACGCAAGTTAATATAGACCAAGTGGGCGAGCGGGAACGGGATTCAATGGATGATCAGTAAATGATGAAAAAAGAGACCGGCGTACGTAGACCTCCCTTACCTTTCGTGGCCACTTCCTGGGAAGAAGGGCCCTGGTCCTTGGGCTACTTGTGGTAGTACGTAGTACTAGTAGTGTGGCCCCCTCAGAGAAGCCGACAAAACTGTCTTGCCTAGCCTGGTAGGAGCTAGTACAAGATTGGGATATCAGTGGAAGTTTCCCCCCCTCTCCCCCACCATCCCAGGTGCCGCAAGACCGGGACTGGGACGATTTGTTCGCCCGATCGAACCTCCCACCGGACTTCTTTTTCTTTGTACGTGAGATACTCTGGCGGGGGCTCCCTAGCGAGCGACGCACCGTCCACCGGGGCACGGCGGGCCATTCTCCTCCAGTTGATGCAGGGGCCACACTCGGTCCGCTGGGCACATTCCAACCCCCAACCCCAACCTCGAGCAACTCAGGAGCCAGTCAGCCATTCGGTCTTTAGCCATGCCGACACACCACCAGACTGCATGAGCCATGTGCCCTCGAGCAATCTCAGTGTTTGCATATGTCAACTGGACCCTGTCATTGGTTGGCCCAGTCGCATAGGCTTCCCGTTTCAATCTGGTGAGCTGTGCTTTGCTTCAAGACGAGCACAGGAACCACCCAGACGACAAATGTTCCCTGGCAGGTGGCCAGCCTGGGATCAACAGACAAGTGACAAACAATCGAACCCGTCTTACTGGGAAAACCCTTAATATCCGTGTACTGGTGGAAATTCGTGCTGCTCATTTAGACGCCGACTGGAGAATTCTATTAATCCCATCACCAGTGTCCTACCCAGACGTTCCCAATTTAATTCAAGGTTACGAAAACGACCAAAGCACATCCAGAAACTCATGCATAGAATGGGAAACGTTTCCTAACAACAACAGAGAGAAACGGGAAACAAGAGGCGTTGGAAAATCCGAGGGGAAATCCAGCACAGCCACGCTGCGTCGCCTTTATCAACACAATCCTACAATTTCACCGCGGCGCAAGGTGCAGAGCATGCCCGAGCATCCTCTAACAACCTTCGTTTCTGCTGACCGTCCGTGAGGCTGGTTGGTTGGCTGGTACCAAAAAATAAAGGAAAAAAAAACTTGTCTTCTTTTATAGCAAGGCAATCAAAAGTAGCAGTGGTGCTACTGCCTGTTTTACCCTTTTCCCCTCCAAAACATAATGCAACTGACTAGCACTACCGGCCGTAGTAACGCTCGGGAATCTCCATTCTAGTCTCTATATCCTACGTTGGGATGTAAAGCAGCGTCCAAAGGTGATTGACGTGCGACCAAACTGTGGGCGCCAATACCCGAGTAGGAATTCTGTGTCCCTCTACGGGGATCGAGATGCCTGCTGCTGTCTACGGCCGGGGCTACACGACCAGGGCATAGTCACCGTCACTGTCGGCTCACTCTGACTGGATGCCTACCTAGGTATGTGTCTGATTTAGCACCATATTCATGCTGCTCCAAAATCATTGGCCAGACTATGCCGGCTCGTCAACCGAGCCTTTCGCACTCGTTTAACACCATGCGTCGTTCGGCTACATGGAACCTAACAAAGAAAGGAAAGGAAGAGCAAGAGCGGGATAGATGCATTTTTTTTTTTTTTTTTCTTCTTCTTTCCGAATCAACGTGCAATGGAGCAAAGCCTCCCGTCTCCGTTTGCATTCATTTTACGCCGAATCCCGTAGCTAGCTAGATCCACTAATTACCGACTTCCCCCCTTCCCTTTCTCTCTAACCCCTCTCTTCTCTCCCTCCCATTTTACTTCCATCAAAACCATCTTTTGGGGAACACCCAACCCCTTCCTCTCCCCCCGTCTGATATTCCAACCTTTTCGATGATTTGCAATAATATACTTTTCGGCGCATGACCGAGGATACATATGCTAACCACGTTGCGTGAAACCAACCGTACCTACCTCCTATGAGGAATACAGACGGAAAGGTCCCATCCCTCCCTCACAGCCTTAGTGACAGGGCAGATAGTTGACCAGTATTTCCTCTCACTGCACCCCAGATACTTAAATGAAAAAAATAAATAAAGAGACAAACAAGACTAGAGACCAGCCACTCCCCGCGTCCGGGAGGGAAAAAAAAAAAAAAAAAGAAGTCTGCTGCTACTATCCGACCAGCCTTATTCTCGACAACTGTATTTTCCACTCCTCAACATCCATCACCACCACTACCCTACCACCACCGGGCCAACCAAAACCCCGACAGGGCCCTGTCCCGTCGGAGTCTCATTTCACCGTTTAGACAAAACCCCGTCCTGCCGGCTTACTAGCCGCCTTCTTCGCCCAAACTCTTGACGTGCCGCCAGAGGGAGGGTTAACTGTAGTTGTGTCCATCCAATGACCTTTCCACAACGACGAGCTGGCAGTGGTGCACCAAGCGATGGTCACATGTTCCATCACATGCCCGCCCCGACAAGGGCCACTTGTGATTGCTGCACATTGAAATTCTCACGGCAATCAACACAAAGGCTACACACTGGCCTACAGGCAAAGGCTTGCTCCTTCTAGTACGAGTGGGATACTTTCATGTATTGGGTTAACCTACAGTATCATTTCCCGCTGTAGGTACGCTGGCATGCTCTCCGCATAGTACGGCCAAGTCAGAATGCCCGCTAGCCGTCCCTTATTGCCAAATATTGTTGTGGCTTCCTTTCTCAGGCCTCTTCTTGACCTCTAACCGCCAAATCCTCCTCACACCGTCGAGTTCCTGAGTCATGTCATTATGAATGGTGATGCTGGTTCCCAATCCCCTAAACGCCAGTAAAAACGCCATGATTGATCCTATCCAACCCAGTTCACACCGAACCTGCGCGAAGCACAATTAATAAAGAAAGAAGAAAGAAAGAAAAACCAAATCACTCTCCAACAGACATCATAGCCATCGCGGCTGCTGCATATCTTCAGCAAGTTAACGGCTTTGGTTAGGCTTTGTGAAATGCTCGTGATGGTGCTACTACTGCGGTCCCCAGTGCGGTGGTCCATTAGTCTGAGGCACGGCATTGTTGTCACCGACCATCATGCGGCGATGCATGTCCTCCGGCATCGTGGGGCTTCCGCTATGCCAGTTGCCAGGAGGTGGGGCCGGCAGGGAGTTGCGGTTCAAGTTAGAAAACGGAGCATTTTGCCCTGCTTGGAGGAATCCATGGGGCACCGGCGGTACATAAGGCGGCATTGCTTGAGCAGCAGGAGATGTTTCGGAGGGTACCCCAAAGCTCGGAATGTGATAATGGGTAATGTTTCCCACAGGAAAAGGGAACTGTGGCGGGCCTCCGCTAGTCATCCGGCTCGGTGCATTTGATGTATGTGTACGACCGGCGACGAGGGCATGTGCTCTTCTTTCATGAGTAGCTGAAGAAGCGCCCCCAAAAGATCCTGGGCGGCCGCCACTGAAGGGTGGAGAGCCCGGTCCCCGGAAGCTGCCATGTCGTGGTCTAATCCTCCGTCGAGTCTCTCCGCTGTCAGCTGGGGGCGACCGGCGTTCGCCATGAGTGGAGGCTGCTGCGGAATTACGACTCGATTCATCCTGTCCATGGGTAGAATCTCTTTCCCTCACAATACCCCGAGTGCGGAACAAGTTATTGAATGCGCTGTTTGTGGATGTCATTCTGGGCTCCGACGGCACTTTACTCCTGCAATAAGGGCAGCTGTCCGACTCCTCAAACCACTTCTTAATGCAGTGGTCGCCGAATACGTGCTTACACTTTGGCAGTCGGAGAGGTGCCTCCTTCACCCCTTCAGGTGTCTCAACGCCAAACTCATTGTAGCAGATTACGCATGCTGGGACTCGTTAGTCGTCGTTCTCCTCATCCAAACTTTTCAAAACTTACTTCTTTCGCTTTCGGAAAGATCCGCAGTTGCCACGCTCTGCAGGGACTGAATAGCTGATGTGGACGCGACCATCTTAGTGGACACAGAACCACGCAGGAACTGAGCAGCCCGGATGTGATTGTCATCGATATCATGACCCATCAATCGATTCCCCGTGTGGACAATAAAATGCTCAAGCATCCGCATCTCCCCCTCATGATCATACTCCCGATCTGACGGCGGCGACTGTCTCCGCGACAGGGTGCGTCGTGCGGTTGTCGGGACTCGTCGGCGTTCTGCAGCTGGTGCGACTGGAGCTGAGTTGTTTGATGAGCTTGAGGATCCGGTCGAAGAACCTTCTGACCGAGCATGTGCAACACCGGACAAGGGCAAACCATTTGGCGTAGCCGCAAATATTTCACCTCCAGGTACTGGCCGATTAGGCCGGTATGAAGAAGGTGCAAAGGTAGGGTTGTTGTGCTGGGGAGCAGAAGACGGCGGCGAGGATCCGAACTGGATATTGGTGCTTGCAGGCGCCTGGGTTTGGCTGGTTGAAGATTCCGAAGCTGCAGACTCATTGCTGGATTGGCTATCCATGTTCGCTTCTGAAGAGTCTTGTACAGAAGGAGGCTGTGTTGACGTTGCGGCTGTCGAGGGTGAAAGTGTGTCAAAGTGGCCACTGCTACGGGGCCCGGGAGGGTGCCCAAAGGCGCTTTCTGGGGGTGCCGTTGCAGACTGATTTGAGTTGGAAGAGTTTGCATGAAAAGGCGTCGGGTTTCCGTATCTCACCGGGGGAAGTTGTGGGATGGGAAAGGGTGGATGGATTGCGTGGAGACCGCCAATATCATGGGAAGGACCTTGGTAGCCGGCCAGTGCATGGCCAAAGTTTGGCACCGGGCCATGGTTATAATAAGGAGGTTCCGGGACAGAGTTGGCTGGCCGATGATATGGTGTAGACGTTCCTCGGTGTCCCAGCATTTGGGGTTGCCAGTGATGTGGCTGTATCTGCGCCTGCGATTGCCAGTGACTAGCTGAAGCGTGCACGGGGTCGTAATGTGACGTCGAACGATGCGGGGAAATTGCGGGATGCCCTTGAGTCTCTGTCCTGTTGAAATACGGGCATCTAGACCGTTGTTGCGAGTAGGGAAGCTGACCGTGGCTCGGGTGTTGCTCTGGATGGTGATAGATGTAGTCCATAGAGTCGTCCATTGTGCAAATGCCGTGCCGCTGTTGCAGAACGGCTGAACGGCCTTGTCCCAAAATCTACTGTGGTAGGAGAAGCCGGGTGTTTTGTCTCCAAACACCCACCCCCGTTATTTCAGTCGACTTTCCCCGTTTGCATGCACCTGCACAGCGTCGTTCTCTTGTTATCCCCGAACACCTAAATTTCGACTAGGACGAGCGAGGAGGTTGTACAAAATGCCGTTGGTTGAGGCAAAATGGTGGTAGCGGTGGAGACAGAGGTGATGGTGGTCTGTTGGGGAGTCGTCGTGGACTGACCCAAAGAGGGGCTGTCGTGTGCGTAAACGTGGGCGAAGCTGGAGGGAAATAGGGGCCTCGACCGAGCGTCGTTGCTTTTATCGGTCGGCGATAATCAGATACGAAGAACAACTCAGATTTCGGTCTCCTCGCCTATCCATCGAGGTTCTACGGCGTGTCTGATCCTTCGAAAGTGACGTTGCCTGAAAACAATCCAACCCAAACTCGGTGTGCCGACGAGGCAAAGACAGTGTCGAGGTGTAAGAGTCAGAGTGAGAGGGTGCAGTGGTTAAGACACGGAGACGGGTCCCTGGATCATGCCGCATTCAGCGAGTAATAAAAAAAGAGGACAGAGAGGGGTGTGCCGTTCGCGAAAGAGCGGGATGCGGGCGTCTCGTATGGCCGTAACGGGTAAGATACAGCCGAGTGTAAGTAGTGGAAATTTATGCTGAGAAGACTGCTGGCTCGTCCTCGTAATAAGTAAAATAGGCGGTCTGTGTCTTGGTTTGCTTCCTCGCTATGGTGTCGCAGACGGTGGGAGAGTAGGGATGAAGGAGGAGCGTGTAAGAGGATTGTGCGTGGGCAACGAAAGGCGGGGGGCTCGCGAGGCCGAGAGATATAAGTAGGCGATGATATTGATTGAGGGCGGGGTGTGTGACGGTGTAGGCTGTTAACCAGGCAGAAGGAGAGGAGTGGACGAGATTCTTCCAGGCCGCATACGTCGTGAAGCCGATGTCGCCGAGCAAGGGATAGGGTCAAGGGTCGAGGGTCGAGTGTCGACGAGGAAGAAGAGGAGGAAGAGGAAGAGGAGGAGAAGGATGAGGAGTAAAAGGGAGAAGGTTTCAAATTGCTTGACGGGCGGCGGAGTGAATCGGTGAGATGACGATGGGTTTGGTCAAAAGAGCAGCAGAGGCGGCAGGTAGGAGGGAATGCACGGCAAAGGAAAGAGGGGGGCAGACCGTCTTGGTTTTGTATGTCGTCGCAGGCAGGTTAAGAGGCAGCAACCTTGGGGGGAGGAGCTAGACAGGAGCCTGAGAGACGGAGAAGACGGAGACGAGACAGAACAAGACAAGACGGGAGACAATAGACAACGGGAAGGAGCAACCTAAGAAAGTGCACCTTCAAGGCGGAGTGAGGCACTCAAGGCAAGGCAAATAAAAATAAAAAAGACCACGGCAAAGCTAAAGCCAAAGCCCCTCCTCTTCTCACTCACTCGCTCACTTTACACCTCACGCTTCTACTCACTCAGCTCAGGAAGGACAAGATTGGCACCGGACCAGGAAGACCGTACATGTGCAGAGTCAGGGTGCTGGATCACTTCTACGGATACCTCGACGTGGGGTGTAAGGCAAGGTGAGGTAAGGTAAAGTCCGGTACCTCTAGGCAATTATGTACGGCAACGCACTGGGAACAGATGCTGGCAAAGGGCTGGGCTGGACTAGACTGGGCCGGCTCGGCTGGCACTACTAAACGGTCCATGACCATGACCATGACCGACCATGCCCATGTCCATGTCCATGTTCAGGTCAATGTTCCATGTCGCTCCAGAGAAAAGGCGGAACAGGATGGGTTGGGGGGGATTGGATTGGACTGAAGGCAGCGAAGCAAAATGCCGTAAAGCACTTGACACAACACAGCTCTCACACACACACATACACACCACACGCACACACACACACACACACACAGCACAGCACAGCACAGCACAGCACAGCACAGCACAGCACAGCACAGCACAGCACAGCACAGCACAGCACAGCACAGCACAGCACAGCACATCGCAACAGAACACAGTACAACATAGGCGGGACATGACAGGACAAGCCAGAGCAGGGAATGATGCAGCACGGCGCTGCGCTCGATGAGGAAGACGGCAGACAGCCGGGCAGGCATGTTGAGACCGGGGAGTATGAGAATAAACGCCGGGGCCGACTTGACGGGCGCCAGAAAGTGAGAAGGGATACGGCAGGAGTAAGAGTCAGATTCCAGTCCACCTTAGCAAAGTAGAAACGAACGATGGGCCAACGCCGAGTTCAGGTGAGTTGCAGCGCCATAGACACTGGGTCTACTGAACAGTCGGGCCCAGATCCCGTCCAAGGCAACACTGAGTGTTGGGTAAAAATGCACTTCACCAGAGATTACACCTGAGGCCCCGATTTATCCACCCGCTCGTCCGCCCGCTCTTACGTATCTCGTAAGTCTAGGCAAAAGCAGGGTGGTCGCTGTTCGGAGACAGTAGCAGCCAAAAATTAAAAACCAGAAATAAAAATAAAAATGAGCACCGTCGACCTCAACTTGGACATCTTACAGTCTGGTCGAGTGGGGTACGTGCTGGTGAATGTTGATTACGATGCTGATGTGGATGTGGATGGGACAATGCTCTACTAATAAGGCGCAACAACGCCTCCGCCATTTTCAATGCCAACAAGTACCCATCTAACACACATTAACCCGTATCCCACATCATGTTCCACTTGTAAGCAAGGCCAGCCCAGGGATGCGTATGGCTCCGTTTCTGTGGAGGGGCAGGCTGGCAAAGCTATGCAACGACAACTGCGCTGGGGCGAGGGTTAAAGCAGTTGGGAGGTCACCGAACCAGCAGGCAATGGGAGCTAAAAGCGGATGCGGATGCAGGCGCAAGAGACAAAAGATAAAGGGTGCCAAGACAATACCGTGAGTGGAACAAGAGTCAGTGGGCAGCAGGTCTCCTCATATATGTCGCCCTTTGAAGGTAGGGTTACCTTTTGGCGGGCTGGCTGGCTAGGGCCCTGTCTGTGGTGAGGGAAGAATGTGAGAGAGGCAGAGAGACATAGTCAAAGTGAGATATCGATCCAAGTGGACAAGGGTGCATGGTGGGCGTGTTTGACTGAGCCCTCTCTCTCCCTATCTTATGTTCGGATCTTGCGGGTGTCAGTTTGGCGGCAGGACACTTTTTTCCTAACAAGGCAGAGAAAGCGTGGTGTGATACGCCAAGTTCTGAGCTGGGAGGGGGGAGGGGAGCCAGGTCACAAGCACCGAAATGGACGGCGGCGGTGGTGGCGGCGACATCATAGTGTAGTTGTAGTAGTGTCTGCTGGCTGAGCACAGAGTACCTGGCCTGGCCTGACGGCTATGTATGCCGTGTGTGCCAGGTGCCAGGTGCCATCAGAGCAAGTCTGGTGTCAGTGCTACCCAGTAGGGAAGCAAGGTGACAGGGTGGGTACTTATCTGCAGGCTGCGCATTCAGTGGCTCGGAAGCCAGCACCAGTGGATGCATGGGATGGTGGACCTGGACGGCGGCGCTGAGTTTGTTTCTTGGTGTCGACCGGGCTTGGAGCTTCAGGGCACGAAACTGGGTACGAAAACTTACTACGTAGGCATTTAGCGCTCAAAAGGGGAATCATGGGCCGTGTTGGCCCATCCTCGTCCCCCCATAATACCTTACCGCTCGAGCCGTTCAGGGCCAAAACGATGACCTGTTTGTAGGGGAAAGATAAATTGGCAGAAACAAGAGGAAAGTAAAATAGAGATACGATGTAATCAGAAAAAGCGGGCGCTGATGACGACCCAAGGCCATCGCCTCAATACTTTTTGATCAGTCAGTTGTGCGTTCAATCCTCTGAAAACGTCAGGTGCGCCTTTTCTAGCCTACCTGGGGCGTCATTGCCCCCTTCTCTGCCTCAGCAACTTAACTCATCGACCGCCGCTGACCAGACCAGGGCTGGCTGAACAAGCCAAAGACCATGCAAACAAGGGCTCTCGGACAGGCAGAGTTGATTGTTCCAAGTGCCATACATGAAAGCTGGGTGAGCTCGCCCGACTCGGGCAGGAGATTCGTACTGTGGATGCAGGTTGTGTTAACGAATAAGAGCATCCTTGGTTCATGATTAGATACTGTTCTCGTCATTTTGCCCATCTAGTTTGGCATGTTCCCCTCCCCCCACCTGGATTAACTGGTCGGTAGGGTCTCATGGGTTACCGACTAGGATATCATGGCAGCATCAACATGGCTGGGCTCGGCTGCAGTGCAGAGGTTGGTGGCCCTGTACGCAACAGTTTAGTTTCTCATTTTCATTTACTCAATATCCATGCATGTTCCGTCTGCTAATGATGTATGCTAATGCTTGGTGGCACCACAGACGCAAGCCAACCTCTCACCAGGGAGCCTATTTGCTGGCCAACAGGGATGATTGATGAATTCTCACAGGTCTTCCTACTGTATCCAGTATCCTTTCCGGTGAGCGCAAGCTCCCCGTCGTCTACACTTGTGTGTCGGCTCTCCGTCTGGAGCCAGGCTGGACAAACCCAATACCATAGGAGGTGAGACTAACAAAAACCATGCTCCACAGGCTTGTCAGGTGTTACAAGTCGACCTTCAAATGAGCCACTCGCACGCACAGGTGGCCAGATTCGCAGCACCAGTGTGTTTTCGGCTTGCTATACATGAAGAGGGCCTTAGCACCTGCCAACTTGTCTTCTTGTCCCCTTTGGGCAATAGCTACCATCTCTTCCCTTCCTCAGCCAGCACCTGATACTGTGTAGTATTCGCCTTTTTCCACTCCGTCCAAGACGCCGCTTCCCCGCCTTCCATTACCAGAAGGTGCCTTAGTCACCCTACCTTGCGCTTTGCCTCATTCGACCAAATGGACCCTGAACCGCTACACATCTCTTGGTCCTATCAAAACACACATACATACATACACTCCCCTCACCACCATTTGTTAGATCCTTCACTCATCAAAGTCAACCAG